CAGTAATGTGAGATGAGGTACCTCAGCGCCTCCAGCTTCGGGGAATCCATGAGCAGATAGTCAGAGAGCTTGCCCTTTCCTCGGGAATGATGAAGATCATGATCATGGCTCGATGCCAAACTTGGATCTTAGCATTGACAACGAAAGAGCATTGATAAGTAAGATGCAGTTGACAGGTCGGGCGGAAACAGAGAATTCAGACTTTTCTGGTTACCTCTATGTGATGCCTTGTTATATGACCTCTCACCCAGCTCCACAACTCAAAAGCATTTCGATAACGCACAGGGAAATGTAGGTGGCTATCGTGATCGATGTCGAACTTGGCACATGACCAACCATGGAGCTTGAATCACTTGTACTTGCCTGGATTTCTATGAGCAGCGCGATGCTGGTCTGCCTGATCAAGCCTTGAAGTCAGAGTTTTAGCGTTGCTACTAGCAACAATGTTTTAGCGCTTGTTGGTTGCTCGTGAGGCTGTTTTCAGGTGGGGCTCTGTTTTGTGCCGGACTTGGCTCCGCAACTCCATCAATTTCCCCAAATCTCAGCTAGCTGAAATGAATTGTAAAACATCCGCAGTTTGCAACCTCGTGTTTTCCCGCGTCTGTAAAACTACCGTTACTTCATCTTTGTTTGGTGCCCCTTTCACTGCCGTCCTTCTCATCCGGCTTAGGTTGAGGGACGGCCAACGAGAGAGCTCGCTTAGAATCTCCCAACGAAGAGAGCGCGAGATTGGATTAACCTGGCACGGATCCTTTGTCGACATGGGAAATAGCTACCTGTAGCAGTAATTAGTCGAAATGAGAAACATAGATGGCAGATTACTATACAAAGCACGCTAAAGATTGTCTGTAATCATAACGGCAGACATTCTAAAAGCCGAGACTATGTGTGAGCATTACTGGACCGCCCTTTGCGAAGCATAGACACTCACTAGTGCCGCTAGTTGACCCTTTTGTTCACACTATGAAGCAGAAGCATGAGTGATGCTAGGAACAGAAGGCAGTGGGCCTTTACGCTGCGATCATTGTTGAAGTTACGTGCTAATTTTGGTAAGGTCTGCCTCATACTCTCATCGAATTGGAGCTAGGGTCTTACACTGTCAAACCTAAGGGAAGCAGCTTGCTCTGCGGTTCTGCCCACTGAAAGCGCAGCGCATGTGACGAGGAAAGCCGACTTCACTCAGTGCTCAAAACAGGCAATCAGCTGGAGCAAAGAGAAGGCCGGTTACGAAACCTTGCGTGCGACTGGTTGCGCGTCTTACAGAGTGGAGAACTGAGTTTGAATCTCATCATGAATCTCCATTTGCTGAAATTGGACCTCCGCCACGTCCCGTCAGAAACATTCATGAGTGCTCTGAAGCCATTTGTGCTGACTCGTTGGCCTGTCCCTGGCTGTTCATTGTTCTGCAACGAGCTCTGCAAAGTGATATTCGGAATGGGATTCCTCCCGCAATGGATTTCTTGGCGAGACAAGATATGGTACCTTGTCAGAAGTGCTGAGATAACGAAACAAAGTTGATGTCAATTGAGCGGCAGCGTCCAGAGCCGAAGAACAAGACGAAAAGGGTAATGGCATAATCATGTGGGGTGATGATCGTCGAGGCCTCGTGACGGCTTCATGCATAAGTGCGTGCTGTATTGGAGCCCAACGTCACTTCAAAGGATTTATTTTTCTACTGATTCACGTTGGCAAATCGCCGCCATCTTCATGCACGCAGCCTATCGAAATCGAAAGCTGGCAATACTTGAGAATCCTTCTAGCTGGTACTGCAATGCTTGGCACCTGGTCACGCTTGCGAAAATTTTGGTAACCAATAGGTGAAAAAGCCGTCAGCCATCTCCAAGTTGAGCTCGCACACAATCTGGTCACTGGAAATCCAATGGCTGGTTGACTGCAGGAACGTTGTTCGCCGTGGGGGTTTGCCCCCACTACCCGTATGCATATTTGACGTGTCTGCAAGACTCGAGGAGGGAATGATGCGAAGAGTCGGACATTGCCTTTGTAATCCCTGGGTCGTAGTGATGAAGGTGAAATGTGAAATATTCAATCTCGTTTGTAGATCCATCCTCGTTGATACGGTGACGCGTCTGTCTGGTCTTACTCCACTTTCACGGTAGACGTACTGAAGCTCAGCGCAAAATTCAGACAGCTTGGGAAGGAAGGATCCGTACTGATTGATTCTGGGTTGAGGCAAATTCGAAGAGGCAAAGAGGCTCGAGGACGTAGCCATCCTGATCTTTTTCCTGCCGATTATTCTGGGTATCGCCACCCTGATAGCCCAGGAGATTTGATCGATGAAAGCTTTGGCCCCACATCAGATTGGGTTGAGGTTCGCCATCTCCCGTGAGAGTTCCGGGAAGTTTGCACGTTTGAGTTCTGTCCTCCCTAAGGTTCGTGCAATGTAAAGTGACACGAGTACGTGAATACCGGCGGTGTATATGAAAGTTGCCCGTTGCAGAGGACGAATTGGGAGAAAAGAAAATTGCCAAGGCCTTGCTTGGCCTTTAGATGCGTTGATGCGTCCTCAAAGGATTTTCAACGCACAGTGAACATCCATGCTCATGGAATGTACATGATAGAATGACGCGGCTAGTGCTCTCCATATGCACTCCATACTGCAGCTCTGAAGTTCAGTAAACGAGTAACCTGCGGGACCGTTAGGTACGGGGCGTACTTGGACGCTAGAGCGGACAAAACCGTTTCCTGCCCCCGCATTTCCAAGGAGGGGAAAGTGATAGGTGGTAGTGTGGTACGCATGCGCAGAGTGGAAAGAGATGTTGTTTATTAGCCAGTTGGTGAATGGCGTTTCGAGAAGCTTGTTTGACATTGCTGATTCTGAGGCTGGAAAGAACAAGGCCCGGAGACGGCGGAGAGATTCATTAGGAAGGCAATGGTGGCACCCGCCATCGTGGATGCAGCCACTGATTCGCCAAATGCGCCTGAGCGGGGGAGCGGCGTAGGGGCAAAAATGGGGTCATTGGGCTTAGTGGTGGCTGTTCCAGGCCCCCTCCGGGACTGCAAGGGAGTAGCGAGTACCGCAGTATGCCTTCGCCTTCGCCTGATCTGTCAATTTTGCCGTACGATGTTGATGTTTGTGTTCTCCCTTTTCTGTTGCGTCGGAGAAGCCGCTGAGACTATCATGAGGAAGGGCAAGGCCGCCGCCACATCCAAGGGAGCTGCAAGGGAAATGCAACAAGGCTTCACAAAGCAGCCTCACGGAAGGATAGGGGTTCTTGGAGGCGTCGATCATCGATTCCGGAGGGTCGGCAAGAGTGCTTTGTGCATAATCACAATTATGCGGGCCTCTAGAGCAAAGACAGGCTCACAGGTGAAAAGGTAGGCGGTAGGCGGATGGATGGAGGATGCTGGGATGTGAGGTACAAATTGAATCCAGAAATGCCTAAAGCTAAGATAAGTCTATCCGCGAGGGTTATTCCCTGCTTTCCAACAGGGGGCGTAGGGGATGAAGTAGTCCGAGTAGGTACCTAGTAGCACTTGGCAGTAGTACTCGTCTTCTGTGCTTCTGGTAGGGCAAGTCCAGGCGTCATACGCACTTACCGATTTACGCATCATTTCCCTCGACTGACGCCATGGCGAATTCTGTACTCTGGTACACGGTCTGTAAAACCCTGCAGACGCATGGCTGCCTTCCACACGCTATGCCAGCTTGAGAGGACTTGCAGAGAGATATCATGGTCGGCTCCGCCAACAACCTTGAAGAAGGAGATTTAACATTCCGCTGTTGTCCAATGTAATGATTCGTAGCCAAGGAAGGGAAGAGAAGAGGCAAAAATAAATTTGGGAGAATTCAAAAAAGAGGGCAGCGGTCGATCAAACCAACAGCCGGTTCCTATGAGCGGTAGATGTTCAGGGACATTGGAACTAGCCTCCACCGTAATAGCCGCACAGACTTCGCATTACTCAGGGTGTCAGACTCTACTCAGATAGTTCACATAATAATACCCATTCTACCGTATCCCCACCAAAAATAAAAGTAGTGGGGAGATTTAGTCGACCGGAAGATACCACGACGGTTAGCACAAGTGTAAATGACTAGCATATTTTCAAAACGTAGGTACATATCCCGATAACTTGGTCTTAGGTCCAATATAAATTTTGGAATTTTTTTTTGAATTTTGATTTGGACGTCGTTTGTTAACATGCACCCGTTTGCCCCAGTCTCTCATTCCTTCTCCAATCCTGTCCACTCTAACAGCATTTGACGGATTGACGGGTTGACGGTTGCCCAGCTGTCGATGCGCCTTACTGTTGGACCCCGGGTAAATTTCAATCACACGCGTCATTATTTTATTGCTCCAGGCCAAACACAACGGGCATCCTCCCACCTCCCACTAATTGATTTATTATAAGACCAAAAAGCTTGGACCACATATTCCACAATAAACGTTAAGAAAGCGCGTCTATCTCACACATTTTGATGATAATATAATACAACCTACACCATCAAGATTTTGGGGGATGCAGGTCCGAATCCATTAGAAGAGATTCGTAGGCCACTTTTTCATGTGAAAAGAGTTCTTGCCGACTTAAACATTACCGAAACTCAATCTTGCCCGGTAGTGTCATTCAAGCTTCAATTACTTCTGCGCTGCTGCCTCTTACCGTCGATCTTTATGTACTTTCCTCGACTGCGCGCTCCAACAGCGTTGCCCGTCTGAGGCTCCTCAGTCAAAGAATTCCCCATCATCGCTTTCTTTGACACCTTTCACCTCATTCTCTTCCTCATTCATAATAAATCCAAATAAAAAGGCAGACGAGCGTCTGCGTCATGAGTGTTGGCAAGGCCCCTGCGTGCGTGCCCACATGGCGGGGCCACATCGAGACCACCAAAGACGCGTTGATCATCTTCGAGGCTTGCTTCAGTGGCACTTTGGCACACTGTTTCCGCCGTCCTCACGACCGGGAGCGCAATCAGCTCATTGTGAGCGGCAACGTCTTCGTGTACGAAGAGGCTACCTCGGGCATCAAGAGATGGACCGATGGCATCCCCCTGGAGTCCGAGTCGCATTCTGACCAATTTCCTCATCTACCGCCAACTCAACAGCCCCTTTCCGCCTGGCGAGAAGAAGAGAGCGACCAAGCGGAGTCAGAGGGCACTCAAGCCGGGTGAGCCGTACGCAACGAGTGCAACCACCACACCCACAACCGACGAAGGCAGATCGTTCCCGGGGCCGGAATCACCGAACCCCTCGCAAAATAAACAAGATGATAGCCCGGACAAGGATGCCAACCGCGGCCTGGTCGGCTCGCTAGTAGACTCCTACGAGTTCAAGGAGAATGGGCTGCTAAAGAAGACGATGACGGTCACTGTCCACAATGTACAGCATCACCTGGTATCCTACTACTCTCTCGAGGATGCGAAGCACAACCTCAGGACACCTAGGGATGATCCTCGTCTCAAGGATCTCCCGATAAGGGAAGCTTTGTTGAACCAGCCGAAGTTCAAATTCCCCAACCTTGACGACGCTGGAGACGGAAGCTACGAGCAAATGGAAGGGTCGCAGAATGCCTATTCTCAATATTACCAGCCGAACGGGTACGACGCAAGGATGTACCCTCCAAATCCCGCACTTCAAGCTCCCCAAGTTTCATCCCCAATAGCTTTCCACCCTGCGTATGCTCCGTCACATCCACCTTCTACAGGCCCGGGCTATGCATCGATAGCACCATCCACACCGGCCTACGCATCCTTGGCGCTTGGGCCCGTGTCATACCCGCAACATCAACCTCACGGTCAATACACGCCTCACTTCAAGCAAGAGGGGGTCCCACAATACCAGGGCCAGCCGCCGCAACACCCTCAGTATCAACCACAGCATTATGGTGGCCATCCTCAAGATCACCAGGTACAACAACATCCAAACTACCAGCAGCAGGCAGGCCAGAATGCCCTACCCCGTCCGCAAGCAATGGTAGACTATCTTCACGCGAACACAGCAGACAATGGCATGAGTCATGAGCTGTACGGATCTCCTGGTATCAAGGCGGAAGGGATGGTGCCAACATCTCATCCCCAACAAGGACAGGCCTGGCCACCTGCCTATTCGCAGTCATGGGGTGCCCGTCCAGATGGGCAGTCATACACTTCTTCTTACCGCGCACAATCCTAATCATTGGCTACACGGCATTCTTTCAAAATGCGGGCGGAGTGCGATTGTCGTTTGATAACCTTGGGCTGCGCGACGATCTGGAAGGCTTGCAACGGAAAGCAGTCATCTACAATGGCGTTATCATTTCTGCATTTGCGTCTGCTACAAAATATACACCAGGGGCGGCTTCTTGTCAAAATCTCAGCATGGTCTTCTACGAAAGTTGTTGCGTACTTGGCTGGGACTTATAAACCCAACGGGCGTTTAATGTGGAGTCACTGTTAATGTTTGCTGATAATTGCACATACACCACATGGCATCTCTGCCGCTTGATCGCATTCGAATACTCCAGCATGAACTCGAAGCCTCCTGAGCTCTCACACGTTCCGCTGTGCGCTCCACATCGACACAGCGATATCCGCCAGCTACGGACCCGTTTCCAAAACTGGCCCCAGATGTAACCAGACGCCGCAAAGTCTGGTCATCATCTTCCCCTCCTCGACCGACTTCATGCGATGGAAACGGCGATCCCTACAGGAATTTGACCGAAGTTCCCCATTGATCCTTAACAGCACATCATGCGTTGTGCCGACTACCGAAAGCCCCCTCAAGTGGAAGTTAGTCTCGCACTGTTGCAATGCATGACACCTGCGCACAAGGACATCCTGCCTTAGCGTGCGCTGATCGATATTTGGATCGACTGGCTGTTGAGACTCGGCAGCCGAGGTGTACGGAGAGCATTCGGAGAGTGCTCCGTGTTTCAAACAGGCTTGATGGAGGGAAAGCAATCGGCTTCTTTGGCTTGGAAGATAAACAGGTAGCCAAGGCAGATCAAGCGAGACTGGCAGAAGCAGATTTGCGTCAGGCTGTACTATAATGCGGAGACCTTTTCGCTCTGCTGCTTGATAGGCACATAGGGAAATATTGAAAAGGTAGCAATAGAGCGGAAAACAACCGCAGCATCTTCAAAGATCAGCAAACGATCGTCGTCCGACCCAGACATTTGACACGACTGATCCTTTTACAAGCTTTGAACCGTCGAGATGACCATTCCGTTACGACTGGGGTGAGCCTGTCAAGCTCAGGGGAGCTCGAAAATATGTACCTCCTCAGGACCCGGAACAGGCAGGTCCGGTCACTTCTTTCAGCCCTACCATGCACACTAAAATTCTTCTGAAACATCACCACTTGGGCAATTGAAACAGACATGAGTGGAGGAATCCTACACCGAGCAACGACCCTTGTCATAGCATCATTACATAACATTCAAGCGGTGCACCATGCAATGGCATCAGCGGCTTGTGGTCTTGCATGCCGTAATTTGCGCGTGACGGCACCGCGATTGCGTGCAGGCCTGCGCACACCGTTGCGGCTGAGAGCGGTCAATGAGAAAAGTCAGATTTGGACCTGGGCGAACCGTGAGAGGATAGGTGGGGTGGATGGCGGCCTGGAGAGGTAGGGGGCTTGGCCTGAGAGTCGTTTTATGAGCTCCAGGGACGAGGACTGACGGGTTGGGTAATGCAGGATACAATGGGCTGAGAGGTTCCAGAGGGAGCAGCGAAGGTATCTGGCTGATGGCGGGAGGAAGGATGGAGACAAGGAAACGGAGAAGAGGTATGTTGGAATAACATTCCGCTCTCGGACTTGTTGACCACTTCTCTGCGCCTTGTGCTGCTCTGCCTGCGTTTGGACCTTCGATTGCATGAAAACTCACGGCGCGCCCTACCAACTTCCCTGGGCCTCATGTTCCACCAAGCTGCTTTCTTCTCCTCCCACTTGCTCTCCGCTAACGGGCTTCACAGACCTTCCCCTCTCTCCATCCTCCTACCCGTCCACGAAAACATCTACACCCTGCCCAACATCCTGACCTTCTCGCGCCTTGTCGCGGCCCCGGTAGTCGGCTATCTGATCGTCCATGATATGCACATGCCGGCTCTGGGCTTGTTTGTGTACGCAGGCGTCACGGATTTGGTTGATGGCTGGATCGCGCGGAAGTGGGGTCTGCAGACCGTGGTGGGCACTGTGATTGATCCGATGGCGGACAAGGCGTTGATGACGGTTGTGACGGTCACGTTGGCTATGAAGGGGGCGCTGCCTGGTGAGTGGTTACACCGAGCAATACTCGTTCGCCCATACGTTTTGCTGTATAGCAGCAAGGTCGATCGGTACGACATCGAATGATCCTAATGCTTCAACAGTGCCGCTCGCCGTCCTCATCCTAGGCCGCGACATACTCCTCGGTCTCTCTGCCTTATACTACCGCTACATTTCCCTCCCTCTTCCGCGCACCTTTACCCGCTACTGGGATTTCTCGCTCCCCAGCGCAGAAGTGCGGCCCACTACGATTTCTAAAATCAACACGTTTCTACAGCTAGGGTTGATCGGAGCTACGATGTCTGGGCTGGCCATGGGAGGATTGGGGGAGACGGCGCAGACCGCGTTGGAAATCAGTTGGTGGGTGGTTGGGACGACGACGTTGTGGAGTGGGGGGAGTTATTTGTGGGGGAAGGATATTGTGAGGATACTGAGCAAGAAGTCGTGATCGGGTAACGAGTCTTCGCGGATTTCAAGCCTGAAAATGTTATGACCAGAATGGCTACTTGCAATGAAGCAAGCCGATGGCAGCACTGGCAGCACTGGCTCAGACCTGGACTAGAGGGGAGAGGTGAAGAAAGGCACCCCCTCACGAACAAGGGTTTCGCAGGGCGAGGAGCCGCGGAACTGCAAATGTCAAGGTTTAAAGAGGAAGTGCAACAATTCTCGCGTGTGGCCTCACAATTCGGAAGTTCCAATAGTACATCGCAGCGAAGCCGTTGTTCGACAGTGTGCCGTCTCGTAGCCAAGCAGAAGCAACGAGTACTCTGTCTTTCCAAATTCGTTCGTGTCATGGCTTGAAAACTTACAAGCATGAAATCTATACAATATTTAGAGTAGCGAATGCGCCGTTTGGAAGGCATCTTTCCCTTCAAAATCGCCACGGATCCAGAATATTTGATTGATATGGCCACCGCTAGCGCCGACATTTGCGGGCAAGGCTGAGTTGGAGTTCCATCGCTCGCCTTTCCGACGTCTTTCTTTATCGCGCGCTCACAAGGCGAAGGTGACGAATCAGTTCTCCCGAGTAAATGTTAGAGCGTTCTTGTGAGCAATTGGCACAATGCAAGCTAACGGCGAGAGTATGATCGCCCACGATGATGCTTGCGGCTGAGCCTCGATGCTGCGCGAGTACTGCGCGGGCAAGGCTATGCAATTGCTCTTGACATTCCTTCTGCCAATTTAGAGACACACTCCAGTCTTACAATCACTCTCAAGGCCTACAAGATGGCCTCGTGAACCTATGTCCCTGTGTTCTCTTTCTACGTCTCCTCGAGTACTTGCCATGAGGAAGATACTGGAGGCTTCGTGGATCGATCGATTTTGTGTTTTCGTACAGTTGATCATCTGATGAGACCCATCGACTATGGCAGGATTAGGCATCATAGCTTCCGTCGTCCAGATCGCAGACGTCGGCCTTCGCCTCAGCATCAAACTCTACACCTTTGGCGAAATAGTCGCCAGCGCAGACCGTTCCGTCATCTCCATCTCAAAGGATGTCTCCCTTACGTCTGGGGTGTTGAAAGAGCTTGGGCACATACTTGATAAGGACAAGGAAACTGGGACATTCTCGGAGAATGCCGTCCAAACCGCAGATGGCGTCGTCAAGGAGTGTCTGGAGGTGTTTCAGGAGATGGAGAACATATTGGTGAAGAAATTGCCCAGTCTGGAACGTGGACGTAGGGAAGGGAAGGGAGGAGAGAGGGCGAAGAGGGCGACGATCATGTTGGAGAGGCTCAAGTGGGGGTATTTGCAGCCGAAGCTACAACTGCTGCGAAGCAATCTGGACAGACTGAAATCGACGCTCTTGTTGATGTTAAATGTTATCACTTACGCTAGGCAGGTGTCTGGGAAGTATGTCTCGGTTACTTGTGGGGTAGTACGCTGGTGGCAAGGAAGGCTGATCATGGGCAGAACCGAGCCGCCATCTGTGATCGCTGAGCAGAGGTCTCTCATCGAGGATCTGGCGCATTCGAACCGCGAATACATTCGCAAATTTGAAGGATTGAAGCTTGGAGTTGGGGGACCTGCAGTAGAGCATGTGGATGATGCTTTAAGCATTGGAGCATTCGAAGGGGAACCGAGCACTACAACAGGGTCACAGCCAGGAGCATCTACCCGCACATTTGAGAGGATGAAGCTTTCTATTGGAGGGATACCGCTACAGGACAGAAACAATCCTTGGGGCCTTGGATCCAGGGGGCCCACCACTGCGATAAATTCGTCGCCAAAAGCACCAAGCAGTGTGACAAGATCGCTGGCCACGCCGCCAAACGCAAACATCGAAAACGTGTTCATCAATACAAACGTACAGACTAAAAAGGCAATGCCACCAGTAGGAGAGCGAGGAATACCAACAACAGAGGCGTCGATGGGGTTGGACCAAGAAGTGCTCTTCAAGCAGCTTGAACATTATTCGATGCTCATCAGAAATTTACTGAAAGAGGTGGATGAAGCACAATATAAGGTCACATACAAGAGCCGATTGCGAGTGAAGGGCGGTATAGCAGGTCTCCATGAGGGTGAAAGGCAGGAGCTTGAGAAGATTTGGGGGTGCACGGCGCTGCAAAGTGCGGAAGAAAGACTTGATTCTCTCACGGAGGGACTGGAAGAACTGCCTAGGATGAATAGATTCGTGGCGAGAGACCCTGTCAAGATGTTCTCCCCTAGCAAGCTGAGGCTCAAGAGAACACCCCTGTCGATGGCGGCAAACCGTGGGCCCGACAGCAGAGAGCAAGAGGAGGCTTCCTTCTGGTTACCACAAGCCACACCGGATGGACGTTTGGTCTATTTGAATTCAATCACTGGGACATCCACGATGGAAAACCCTTCCAAAATGTCAATTTCGGTCAACGAGGCTGCCGCAAAACGGAGCAGGATCATCGGTATGTCTGAGAACAATCGAAATCCTATTGATAGGCTGGCTGGGGTCTACACAAGGAACGATTCCGTACCAGAGTCGGAATATTACCTTTCAGATAAGAAATACATCAAGATTTCGGACTCCGTCCCAAGAGCCTCGAGAGACAATCCGAGAATTGAGGAGTCATGCGCGCCAATCGCCGACACGGATATCAAGCCGGCAGGGGAGCGGACCAGAAAAAAAGCAGATCATGCTAGTACGTCGAGTGACATGAAGACCCGAACCTTAGGCCGCAAGAATGTCAAGGGTCTTGCGTTGAGCGCCGCACCAAAGGCGGTCCCTGCTCCGTCAGCGACTGGCACAGCGAGGGATGAAGTGGGGATGGAGCATTATCCTAATCTGTGGGAAGCAAGCATTGTTGGAGCAGCGGCTGGCGCAGGCGCTTTCACCTCACACCACCTATCGGGCCAATCAAGTGAAAACGGGCCTGTGCAGTTTCGAGACTCGAAACCCACGGTTGCTGAGTACTCCGATCGAGATCCTAATACGGACAAATGGCTAGAGCAGGAACATGAAAGGGAAGATCGCTGTCATGAATCCGAAAGTTTGAAATTAAAACTATATTCATTGGCTGACTACCAGAATATGACAAATTACACCGATGACGGCAGGGATGCCCCATACCTGGACAAAGTCACCGCTACGCAAGACCCACAGGCTGTAGCGCCGTTCAACCTTCGGATGGGGGATGATATGCCTCAATCGAAACCATCTTCCTTACTTGATCATCTTTGCGGAACCAAGGACGCTGGAGTAACACCAGATGGTACAGTGCTGATCGAGCAGTTCCGTGGATTGAAACGGAACTTCGAGCAAGAGCATCAAGAGACAGTTTACGGGAACCGAACGAGTGAGACAGAAGTCACCGCTCGCGCTAGTCAGAATACAGTACCTCTTCCGGAGGACAACGCCGCCTTGGATGCAAAATTCCCGCGTGCCATCGCTTCCTATTTCCGAGACCATGAAGGTTCAAAGATGCCTCAAGCCATAGCGCAGCGTTCCACATTGGCGGGTTCCCAAGAGTATCAAGATGCTTCACCCGGTGACATTGGAATTCCAGGACTCTCTGCGCGCAGTGACTGTTCTCAGAATGATGCGCTTGAAAGTCTCGCCGGCGCCAGAAATTCAAGGCCTTCTCGGTCTGTTTCTGATGGTATGGGAGAAAGACAGATGGATCGGGCTTTGAGAATCATGATTCCAGATCCTGATGGTGTATTGAAGCCTACCACTCTCCCTCCCCTTCGCAGGCCAGACCAAGGTCCTGTCCTCGAATGTCCATTCACCTTCCTTAAGTGCTTCAGACAATTTACCGTCTTAAACGAACGAGAATGGATTCAGCACAGTCTGGAACATTTTCGGACCAACGAAAAACGGCCGAGAAAGGTCGATCCGCCGAAGATCAACTCGTGCTGCTTTTGCTTCCAAAGGTTTCAAGCACCCATTGGTGTTGTCAGTTGGCGCGACCGCATGGACCACGTCAAGAATCATCATCATTGTTTGGGCCATCGTCTGGCGGCCGCTCGATATGACTTTGCCCTCATTGAATACTTTTGGCAAAATGGCTTACTGTCGTTGGCGGACTATCAGGGAATTGAAACCGAATTCTGTCAACAAGCATGGCAACAACATTGGCCACGCAGAGCAAGCGGATACATCGATTCTTAAGGGACTTCAGACCAACAAGCAAGGCATGGTTATCGGTCCTGAAGGCGTCCCGATCGCTCGTCTCGTGGAAGGCAAGGCAAACGAGCTTGTCGGCAAGATATGTGACGAGGACGGTCAGCTCTGGAATGATCTCGGCAAGGTCATCGGACGGTGCGAGCTTATCCCTGAGAATGAGCGCGAGGCTAAAGCTGAAGGTTCTTTCGCTGGGCTGGAGGGCTGTGTCGTTGTCAAGGATGGCATGATTGAAGACGAAAATAAACGTAGAGTTGGAGTCGTTGTCGAGGGCGATGCGACGCGACTTATTGGCCGTGCTGTTGATGAAGACGGAGATATCATTGACAATTATGGTAACGTCAAAGGTCATGCCGAGCTGTATGAGGAACCCCAAGAAGAAATGGCAGAACTGTCTTCCATGGGAGGGGACCTCGTCGAAAGTGCTGTGGATGAAGCAATAGAGCCCGTCACTCGATTCAAAATCGATGAAGAGGTGATCAATTCGCACGTCACGGGATCAGGGTACAGGCCACCCATGCGTCGTGCAGTTGCAGCATGCACAGCCTGTAGAGAACAGAGGGTCAAATGCGACAGGGCCGAGCCAATGTGTGTCCATTGCGAACAATACGGGGTAAAATGCATCTACAACAATAATACAAATCTGAGCCAAGGCGCTGGTCCAGACCTATCTTCTAATGTCAGACCCGGTGCAGATCGCCCAACGTTCCAGCGAGATGACAGCTTCTCAGACTCGGCTGCAGAAGCGAAGATGGAAGCCGACCGCAATTTTTTCAATGAACCGAAATCTGCAATCTCAAGTAGACATTACCTACTCTCTTTCAGCGACGACGTCCCCAACAGTGACCGGATTCTCGAGCGTGCCGATCCCCTACGGCCTCCCGCCTCTGATGCAGAGAAGCGCATTCAAAAGCAAGCCGATACTTTTCAGTGCACATTATGCCCGAAGAAGTTCACTCGCGCTTACAACTTACGATCTCACCTCCGGACCCATACTGGGGAGCGACCTTTTCTATGCACAGTCTGCGGCGAATCTTTCGCGCGCCTGTTCGATCTCAAAAGACATGCGGCGCTGCACAGCGGAGAGGAATCTCATTCCGACGAGCGCGATCCTGGTAGCGATGTCGATTCAAAGGCATCGATGAAGAGAGGAGAAGAGAGTTCAACACATACGCGTCCCCAAGAAAAAGACCGGAAATTCATTTGGCCGGAGTTGGGGGACGACTCTCCGGACATCATAATTCCTGTCGGCACATCGTATGATGCGGCCGCCCCTTCATCCATCGACAACGCCTACTTGACTGAAGGTGACGAAGAGCAGAAAAACAGATTTATGGAGACGACAGACGAGTACAAAGAGTTAATGGACGAGAATGTCCTTGGTCAAGACTTTCACCAGCAGGCACGCATGCAACAGCATCGAAGTGCACTCGACGCATCAGCTCTCATGGAAGAACCCTCAGGTCCAACCTCTCCTCGTTATACCTGGTCTTTTTCAGCACCCACGGAGTTCAAGTTTCCAGAGACGCAAGATACGGCAGCGGCGCGAACTAGAATCCAGGATCCAGGCATTGACTTGGATTTAGTGGATAGCGTGCTGGAAAGAGGGAGCTCTGAGAGGTGGCAGCGCGGAAGCGAACAAGGCGATCCGGGGATGGCGGATATGGAGTTGGTAGATCGCCTCGTTTTCTTGTGGACCACGGTGAAGCATTTGTAAGATGGTGATGACAGAGCACGCAGCAGCGGTCTTCATTCAGAGGTTCCTATGACCGAAAATCGCAAAGGCCTTCAAATCTTTGGAGATGCATTGAGCTTTGGCATGGGTGGAGGCCTGATGATTTTACAGGATTTGATGAGTCAATATTGCGAAAGGCGGAAGTGATAACTCGCGGGCGCACGGGTGTCTTTGTATGGATGCCTGGATGGTATTGTTTTACATGATCGGCTTTGGCCGCATTTGGGATCACCTTCCCCGTCATAGAATGTCATACCTGGGTCAGGAACGTTTATTCCACCTGCAAAACCCTCATGGAGACGACGCCGCTGACCGTCCGGCCGTATTTCTAACGTGCATTTCTCCTCAACGATTAGGAATCTGTGGGGACCTAGCGATCACAGATTGACCCGAACGCCAGCCCCTTACGCTCGGCAAAACATCTGTCTCGGTAGCCTACTCACCTTTAAACCAGCAAGCTCCAGCCTCATTCACCGACCGACCTTTCCCCCCAGCCCGTGTCCCCAACGCCGGCGCCGTCGCGGCGTCCCCTGTTACCCCGTCGACCCCGAAAAGGGCCTCGGCCCCGGCCTCGGCCCCGTATTCCCCCAAACCGAGGACGGAGACACCTCCTTCCCCGCCCCCCCAAGACATCGCCATCAACCCCTCACCTCAAACAGCCCTCTCCGTCACCATCCGCGGCGACGGCGGAAACCCAGAGCCTCAGCTACGCCTTCCCCCAGCCAAGACTACAATACCAACCAAACCAAACCCAAACCAACATCAACATCAACATCAACATCAAACATCAACCCCCACCCCGCCCCTCCCCCACTTCATCCCCAGCCTCAAACTTCCCCCCCACCACCACCACCACCCACCCCCCCCCCCCCTTTCCACAACTCCCGGCCCCGCCCGCCCGCCTTCCTGCCACGACGTGGCGCACCCGACCGAGCCCGCGCATCGCCCCTCACCCGTCAACCCGTCCGTCCCCCGGGCCAGAGCGCGTGCGTCGCCGCGGTCCGCGAAGGCACTCTTTTTTGATAAACGTGCTGAGGATCGGTGCGGACGGGGTCCGAGGGTTTGGACGTGGTTGGGATTTGTGGGGGTGGGGGAAGGGGGATTTGTGGACTGGGTGTGCAGGGGTTTTGGTATCTTCGAGGTGGTGGGGGGTGAGGGGGGATGGGTGGCGGTTTGGGTCGGTGCCTTATTAGAAGGGGGAGGGGTGGTAGTAGCACCTACGGTACAGGGATAGGTAAGGTAAGACTGATTGCTGGAAGCGAGGAATGCGGGCACTACCCTTTGGTTCGGCTGGGGTGGGTGTATCACCAAGGTTGGGTTAGACGGAAGAGGTAAATTTCCCGTCTGCTCGATTTCATCATTATGGATATCAAAACAAATTTCATACAGAGAGAGAGGCCAGGATCCACCTCCATCCGAAGCGCCAATCCCCCATTCCACGCCCCTTCTCGCAACATGAACAAATCACAGGCCTGATAATCTAGTACTACCCAGGCCAGGACCTCTAGCCTTCCAGTCAGCAAATCCCCCACTCACTCCCTCAGCCCTACCCCTTCCTACCCAAACACCTAAACAACAGTCAGCTTACCCCCCATCCCCACCGAGAGCAGACAAAGTCTCCCTCCACAGCACAAGATTCCCGCACAGGGGGGGTTACGCACAGGCTTCTGCTCCGCCCCCTCGACCGCCTTCGAATACGCCATCCGATCCTTGCAGTAAAACTCCACCGCGGTCGTTTTGAAATCCCGCACCGCCTTGTCGTCGATGCCGCCCGCCTTGATGCACACGGCGTCGGGCATGACTTCGAGTTCCGTGTAGAGACTGCTTCCGCAATCTTGCGGCCGCGCTTCGCCGTCAGCGCACTTGGCTCCCTATCCTGACCGTTGGGGGGGGGGAGTGGCGTACCGCCGCAGAACCAATGGTCATTGATCTTGCCGGAATCGCCTTTGATCTTGTAGCTTTTGGGGCTGCCTTTGATGACTTTGAAGTCTTTGCGCGGGACGACGACGTTGGAGGTGTAGGCGCCACCGGACCATTTCTGGCAGTCGGTGCAGTGGCAGAGGGCTGTCACCATGGGTTCGCCGGTGTATTCGTACTCAATGGCGGAGCACATGCAGGAGCCTTTTGTCATTGTGGGCGAAGTGATAGGGGGGACTTGTTGATGGTGTTTTGGTATCGTCTTGGTCACTTGGTTCAAGATAGAGAGTTGGAAGGCAATGATGGGAGTCAAGAAAGGAAGAGGCGGTAGATAAGTAGACATCTTATAGTAAGATATGAAGCAAGGAATGCGGTAGGCGGTTGAAAGTGATGTCAATAGAGACCAAACCTCCCGAAGAGCCGACATGCGAGTGCGGGGTGAAGCTCCCACGCCAAAAAAGCGCCCATAGACCCTCAAAGACCCTCATGGACCCTCATGGGCCCGTTCATCCGATCTAAAACATTCCGACACTTACCTATCCCGATCTTAGCTTAACCCAACATTTGTCAAAGTCATAGTCAAAGAAAGGAAAAGATGTGATGCGTGACGACGATGCGCATTAGCATGAGAGCCAGCTTGGTAAGGCATGATAAGATCCCCATGGAATAGATATCACCTCAGGGGAAGATTGTACACGAATGATGAGGAAACAATCCTGCGCTGACATGGTCAGGGTAACTTCAGCCTATCCATGACCGGGTTAAGGGCCGGCTCGACAACGCCTGTTACCGTATGCTAGACCTATCCATTCCTATATCCTTCTAGACCCTTCGTATCGCCCTGATAATCGTCCGGCAAAAGCCTCTTCGTACATCATACCATTCATGCTGAAATCAGTCTATGTCCACCAATCGATTCTGCAGATGGGTAGGTCGGATTGGATCCGGAGGTAGAGTCGGTCCTCCAGTAGAATTTGACCATTGTTGCGCGCCGATCTTGGAGGCAATCTTACCGAAGTATTGGATGACCATGGCTTCGGTGTAGTAGCTGTGCTGCGCGGAGTGATCGGAGACTAGATTATGCGACAATTCGTGTGCCATAACGACACACCAGTACACAATAGCATCGGTCTTGTTTCCCTGTTGCACTAATGGCAAGTGCAAGTTTTCAAAGTATCTGTAATTGAAGAAGAGAGCTTTGCTTTGATTGAAAGCAATGGTGCTACCAGCGTCATCGTAGAAGATGTGCACCGTAGAGCGATTGAGAGCGAAGACATCGGCGCAGTCCAACAGAACTGTAGCGAAGAGTTTCAAGGCGGAGACATTGGCTTCCATGAATTTGGTGGCATTCAGGCCATTTGCGGCGACGGTGTTAGATAGAAAGATCCGGACCTTAGAGGTCTCCCCAATAAGTGATATATCTTGGCCTGGTCTTGCGTCACAATATGATCCACCTGCCTCTTTAACGTCGTTTACAGCTGGCTGGCTGATCACGCTTGCTGTGTTGTGCGCTCGGGAAGCTTGAATGGCGTTGACTAGATTTTGCTGGAGGTGATGCGGTGCCGTTACAGTCTCTGGCTGTGGGATCTGCGTTTGTGAAACATGTCCTTCATTCTGTGAATATGGCGGCGGTGCATCATCCCGAGGAGCCTCAATGACACGATTTTTGCCTCTGCTTGCAGGATTGTTTTGGACGGACGGCCGCTGATTGTCGAATCCGAATTGCTTACGTATGCCAGAGAACAAGCCTCGGGGTCTGTCCATAATAGGCTCTGCCTCAACTGAATTAGTCAAGCTTGGACGATCGGGCGAGTCGGGGAAGATCCCCGGCATTGCGTTCTGTTGGGCCTTTGCGGCGCTCGCGGCGTGTGCTTCTTTCCAAGCTGCTTCGCGCTCTTTGATCTCCCGTTGTTGCTCCTCTTGTTGCTGCTTGAGAGCCTCATCGGCGATGCGAGCTTCCGTTTCCTTCTGTTGCATGATTCGGCCTACATTGTAACCTCTCGAGCGTAGCTTCTGCAGACTGGATTCCAATATCATCTCGAGCATAAAGATGTATTGGGGCTTCGAGCGCTGCAGTAAAACAGGCACCAGGGCCTGACTGACCTCGAGCATATCGTAGCCTTTGGAAATGATATACAGTATTGGCTTGTCGCTGTGGACCACAGCGCTCCTAGACTCTCGGTGACTCAAGTTGTACCCCCGCAGCGACCTCCTAAGAGCAATTGTCTGCACGCATTTCACCTTGAGATTCTGCTCTATCCATTTTGCATTGTGCTTAATCATTTCAGAGGAGTAGTCGTGTAGGAAGAGCCGCGATCGCTCGTGAAGTAATTGTTGTAGTTTCAACGCTGACGTTTGGTCCTTCGAGACCATGCCGATGCTTTGTTGTTCCTCGAGGAGACTGGCGACCTCAGGAGCGCCGAGACTGTGGTAGAACTCCTCAAGAGTCTCCTCCATAGGAGCCGCCAGAAGACTCGATTTGAACAGGTTATAGGTGATGATGTCATCTACAATGACCACCTGGCTGGCGTTTGCAAGTTCCCAGGACTTAATCCCGGACTCTTCCTCCTCTTCGTATTCGCCTTTCGATAACTTCGAGCTGATCTCTCTATATGCGAGCAGGCATTTAGCCGCCTTCATCTCCTTGACCAAGGCTTTGTCTTTCTTCAAAGTGCGCCAAGAAGCTGCCACACTCCGTAGCAACTCCAAATACCTGGTGTCGCCGAGCACCGAAAAGATTCTCGCTGGCTCGCGAACCAAAAGCTTTGTCAACTCAGTCGTGCTAGGTTCGTGCTTGGAACCGACCCTTAAGAGAAAGGTATTGGCTTCCTGACCGAAATCGACATAATCAAAGACATCTGCGTACTTCTCGCCATCGCCAAGAAAGCAGATGCGAGGCGGTATATGTACGATTCGCTCTGAACTTTCGGACTTTGGGCTGGCGATACTGCTCGACTTGGACATCACAGGGACTATGGAAGCCCCACTGAGTGTCTCCGCATATCGGTCGTGCATCTCTGACAGCCGACTCGCAAAATAGGCGAAGACTTCGCGGGCATTGCGTTTAGATTGTGGTGGATTGCTGATTAAGCGGCTGACACATTCTGCAATCGGTGGGTCAGGCTTGACGCCAAACTTTAAAGCGTGGACGTGCAGGTCGTGTCGCAAAACATCAAAGCCCATGATAGCTGCGCGCTCGTTCGAGAAACAGTCGTTCGGACTTGCCACCTTCTTTTCCGAGCCTTCGATGGGTAGATATCCAGACGTCACGCTTGTGTGATCGTACTGGGAATAGCCTTTCGTTTGGTGGTAATCAATGAAATATCTCAAAGCCTGATCCCGGAGGGGCAGATCTCCACTTGCAGCTGCAGTTGACATAATATGAATGAGGTCTGGGTAGCCTGGATACGGGCGTAATCCAAGAACTTTAAGAAACTTGCCCTCCTGGCTTTCAGGACGATAGATACCTGGCCAATGCATAGTACGCAGCTTGAGCCGTCTGAGCGCCTGGTCGGGCTCAAAAAGCTCCGAGGCCTGGTAACGTTCGGCGGAAGGCTGGAGAGCTTCTGTTTCCGCTGGACATATTTTCATTGTCCTCAATCGCTTGATATCGGCAGCTGGAATGTCATTTTGGACCGATGCCAAGTATTTGATAAGATCCACATGGCTCCATTTCCTCGAAGAAGCGGGAATCTGCGTCTTGTTTGAGGTGGTCGACGGGGTTAGGTCCATCAATCGATCAAAAACGACCCCGATGTCTATTGTTTTTCGTACCTGAAGAGTTCATTAGCAAGGAAACAACGCATATTTGACGCAGTGAAAAGGGTGACAGCTCATCAAAGTAGCGCGAGCTAGCAAGAATGGAAGAGATTAAATGGAGGTGTGCAGTCTAAGGAATTGGAGCCATAGGAACGCGTACTTGCAACGCCGTCAATAACTTGTCTTTCACTGAATGAAGGCCAGTGACCACGGGAAGGTCATCAAATAGCTTTACCGAGGGGAAGTAGGCGTCAGCTGGCTTCTTCATGCCCATCTTAGTCGGTATCACGGTCCGCGGTGCCAGTAAATCAATGACAGTTGACTTGGATGACTGGCTTAATCCCTCCCACTGTTTGGATATTATGGGTAGGACGCTGCTGGCGAAAGCAGGTGACGTGGTGATATCCTGGTCGGACGAGAGGGCACCACGGCCACCAGTATTCTCGATGAGCCATCGGAGCCATGGAACTAGATGCAGATCCTCAAAATCTAGCATTTCCAATTCAGATTTACTAATCTTCTTGGTGAATTTGAAAGGCAGCGTGTTTGGTGGAATAGGCATCTCTGGTGGGATCCTCGAAACATTGAGAAAGTGCTTCATTTCTGCCAAGACGATAACCCTCCCACTGCCATCTTCATCGTCATTTGCAACAGCAACATCAAGCAGAGACCGAATCACTACCCCGTCGATCTCATTGATTTTTGCTTTATGCCCAAGCCATTCTAAGAACCGCCGGAGCTGTGCCGCGTCCAAAGCTTTTCCTTCCAATTCTGACTTGATGTCCGATATCGTGACCTCGGTAATGACGCCATAATCTATCAGCTTTTTGATGACTCCAACGCCTGCCAAAGCTTCAGGCAGCAGGGGTATGCCTTCGACAAATCCGAGTTCCTCATGTGCAATGCGTACTTGGGATGATGGCAGAACTCCTTGAGTTGATAATGTAGCTATCGTTGTCTTTTGGTTGCAGGTCCAGAACGCTTCCTCCATCAGTGTCCCAACCTCGGAGGATGGTGTTGACTCATTCCACGTAAAAGTTTTGTGGAGATACAGCGTTTCGGGGAGCAATGCAACGATGTCATCTTTGACCACGTGGTTCCTTTCCGCGACCTTTAATGCTCGAGAAAGCTTCTCCTTCAACTCCAAAGCTTCATTGCCCCAGGATACCCGCGCGACAATGCCAGCGACACGCAAAAGCTCGACGTTCCATACTCTGATGAATCGGTTATTCAAGTCAATAGACTCCCGCTCGACGGTAGGGATGATCGACGGTGTGCTAATATGAACGTTTAGACCGGTGGTTTGATTTGTTGTGAAGCCAATGAACACGCGTCCCTTGCCGTCAGTGGGGATGAATGTCCCAAAGATTCTGGGTGCCATGGAAGCTTTACCGGAGGAGGTCGAAGCTATTTGCTCATCGTATGATGCACTGAGAAGGGAGACTGTTGTAGTCTTGGGAGGAGGCTTCTTTGTGGCTCTCTCGAGCTCCGAGCTGAAGCTTTGGCTGACGAGAGTCCGGACTGTGGCCTTATTGACATGCAGAAATATCGTAGCATTAGAATCACCCATAAGATCTTCCTCTAGACTCTCCTGGATTTGCTTCTCTTCTGTCGCCGCTCTCTCGAGAGCTGCGCTGTTCGAGGCACCAGGAGCCAGCCTGGAGAAGAACCCACGCAGGGACTGACTCGACTGAGCTCCCTTGACGGTCGAACCCGACCCAACGCTTAGATTATTCAAGGCGGCTTTCGGCTTCCACTCCACGACTTTCAACCAATGTGCATCCAGCTGGGCAGCTTCTTTAGTGATATCAGCCACATGCATCAAGCCTTCTCGTGTTTTCCTCTCCACCTCTTTCGGTATCTGTAGACCAACGCTCGGAGCAACCTTCTTGTTCAATGTGATTATCCTCCATTCATCTAGCCACATCTCGATAGATTCGAGCCCAACAAATGTAAGGCTGCTCGTGAGAAATTGACACAGCGATAGCAAAGACGGGATCGGAGAGGTACGGTTGCGCATAGGAAGAACGAATGTGGTGTTGTTAGTCTGGCCGTTCGGCAAAGCCAAGCTCTTCGTAAACAGGGCATCCTTTTGCCAGTAAAACGCCAAAGCTTCTTTCCCCGAGGAAACAAATGGCTCCTCGCAGTCCGCAAAGACACTGTAGAAGCCCACACCAAAAGCACCAATTTTTGTCTCATCTGGGTTACCTTCAGCGATCTTTTTCAGCCTGGACCAGTCCGTACCTTTGAACACTTCGCCGTTGTTCTCGACTATCGTGGACTTCAGCGTATGATGTAACAGTACATGCTTCAGTTGGGCCGATGGATCCGAGCTTTGCGGAACCGGCACTGTCGGTGAGGGCGAAGTCTCAAATTTGATAATAACTTTCGAGGCTGACGCGTCGGCAGCGTTCTGGAGGAGTTCTCTGAGCGTAGTCCATTCTCCCGAGTATCGTGCTAGGACTTTGTCTATGAGAGCGCGAGTGTTGACTGTAACAGCTTCATCGTTGCCCGCGCCCATGGTCTGCGCCCTCAGCGCATCGTAGTCGAGCTTCGCCATCGTAGACAAGCTTGTACGAGAGTGTTCCTTCAAGAATCGCTCATCTCCTGGAACGCGGGTCTGTCTTGCAGTGTACTCCGGAAAGGGTGTTGTTCCGTGTCGAAGCTATAGATCAAACAAAGAGCTCTCAAGTATTGTAACAGGTACTACAACGCGAACGCCAGGGCAATGCAAAAGCGACAAGGCTCAGAAGGCAAGAAGTGAATCATATGTATCAGAAGTGGCGAGCCCAGCTGTCATGTAGGCGGAGCTACTGCTTAATTCCGGTGTCGTTGTTATATCAAATGACATGTATCCCCATCATCTGTCCCTGCCTCGAAACATTTCTCTACAATATGTTGACTGTCTTCCATCGCAGGCTCCCCTTCATAGTGTGCAAAGCCTACGGTGCTGGCTTTTGAAAAAACTCGATGGTAGAGGCGTTTGCCCCTCTGACACAGCAGAGGTCATGGACTCTCACTTGACTAGGCTACACTTCCTGCTTGTCTCGCAGGCTCCTCGAAAACCCGCACACGACCTAATGCAACATGAGCCTGGATCCTTTGTCTATTGTTACTCCGGCGCGCTTAAGAGTCTTGTTAGTCCCTGTCGGTAATGTCAGGCAATCAAGGTTTACCAGCTTCGTGGAGAGGCTGCAGCAAGTCAATGTTGTGCGACTGGGAGACGTTAGTCCTGACAGCAGGCCGCATAGAAGTGGGAGAACCATTTATTGCTATTTTGCGCCAGACCTTGCTGACCAGACCTTTCACCAGCCATGTTCTCCCCCCTAGCCTTCCCAGAAGGACGTGTTCTCTACGACCTGTCGACTTCCCTTCCTCCGCCTGCTCACTTGGCCTTGACCCCATTCGAAGTCTACAGAGAGCCTTTAATTGTGTTGGGAATAACAGACGGAACTGACTTTGGATTAGAACACGCGCAAAGGGATGGCCAGGTACAAAGGAACGGAGCAGAACCAAGGTTTGGAGGGGAGCACAGAGAGGTGCCTGGTATTGAGTCGATTTCCCGTGGCCTCGACGATCTTAGTCGCCAACATCCCAAGGCACTGGTACATCAAGTCCTTGTATTCGACCATGAAGAATTTCCACTACCACAAGGAGTCTACCCAGTGCCGTCGCCGGCAAAATCGCGAACCACAACAGTCAAAACAGTCATGTGCGATATGACATCTCGCCTCCTAGGTGAAATGGCACCGTATGCAAAGTCACTGCAAGGGTTAACTTCCCTAGACTCCCCAAGGGTCTCTTCAGCGCCAACCTTCAATGAAGTAGCGTCTGCCTTGCCATCACACATGGGCCATTTGTCCAGAGTCAGCTCCGGCGTTAACTCAAGGTCATCGTCCCCTGCTGGTGAGCGCTCGGACTTGACTCATCGTGTGTCAATGCCTGCTCGTATTACCTCAGAGATCGATTCGCGATCTTCTACTCCAGACAGTCGAGCTACTTCTCCTCCTAGCGGGAGAAACACACCGCCACCAACGACCAATGGACTGACTGGGGCTTCTGCGACCAAGTCACCACCAAGGGAGTCGGGCAACGAAAAAGCAAGGGCGGAAAGTCGAGACAGAACCTCTACAAGCGGTTTCGGCGCCGGCAGTCTTGGAGAAAGGGAGAAAAACAAAGGCAAAGGCCGTGTAGGCATCGTCATCGGTGCTATGTACTTACTGGCCGGGCGTTGGCCTGATGCAGTGAAGGAACTGGTACAGAGTGCAACAATCGCGAGAGCCAGCAGTGATTACCTGTGGCATGCAAAGGCTTTGGATTACATCTTGGTCTGTCTTTTAATGTTTGCTTGGGCAGAGATGGATTTTCGTGTAAGCTTCCACCAAATAGATGAAAGCAATCTCTGTAAACGTGACCGCTCGTTGGAATGTGAAGCTGAGGTGTCCAGATTCCCGACACCTTCTATCCAGGCTCTGAGAAACCAGGCTCAAGCTCATCCAAAACATCCAAAAACAAGCAGTCTGAGAGCCTTGCTGAGATAGGCGGGAGAAAGTCTTTAGACCCAGAAAATCGTGCTGCATCTCTCCAATCCCTCGCAAGCCTCCTGCCTGACCTGACGAACAACATCTTAAATCTCTACTCTCGGGCGTGGACATTCACAGACGACAAACTTCCCCCACTCGCCTTCTCCCAGTCTGCTATCCGCTTTGCGAAGCTACTCAGTGTTCTTCACGTCTCGGGCAAGCTAGATGACAGTGTTCTACGACACTTAGTGCTCAATACGAAGTTGTCGAAGCCAGTAATTGAGGGGCCAGATGCTGCAACCCTTTCAACGAAGCCAGAGCTCGCCGCACTGGCGTTTCGAGCATACCCATCGCCTCTCCCAGATTCATCGCTATCAATTGCAGATCATACCATGATTCTCGCTGGCATTGCTTCGGTTCTATCAGAGCTGGGCTACCATCGCAAGAAAGCCATCATACTGAAAGGACTCATGTCCACTCTTCTGCCCGCGCTTGTGCAAGCTAGAAAAGATGGTGCTGCTGAGATGGGCGTTCATCCTGCCGCGAGCCTCGCCTCTCTCAATGCATCCGCTAGAGCTATGCCCTCACAGAACAGTAGCAGTGCCAGCGATGACTCCGAACAAGGCATGCGGCATTTTCTCTCCCTTGTTTGCCAAGCTTATGGCATACTGCCTCTTGAGCCCATTGGTAGTATCAAGCAAAAGGGACACGATAAGCAATCGGTTACGCCAAAGTCAAGGCAGACTCGAGCGAACGAAGCAACTGTTGCACGTGCAATTCAGCAAGCATCAATCAATGCTAGTGGCTCCAAGTACCTGAAACTAGAAGTCCTGAGATCCTGCATCAACGTATGTGAGGCCTTGCCAGACCTTGGTGGCGCTCTGCAATACTCTGCAGAACTACTTCGAGCTGGGGGCAGTAGCATGGCGCCTGGACCGGATAGCAGTGATGGCTCGCCCGACTTGCCCATCGAAGAACAGATGCGGCTTGCCAACAACATCTCTCGGACTCTGAGCGCGGCACGACATCTTGGCGTCCAGCACCTAGAAGCAGATTATTGGGACGACTTCCTGGTACGAGGCATTGAGGTCGTGGAGACCAATCAATCAAGGGCCCTGGTGTCACATGCCAAACCAGAGCTGGAAGTTGTCGAAACGATCGAAGCTAAGAAGGAGAAGAATCCTTTTATATACAACCCCTTTTTGAAAAAGTCGTCAGCTGCAGCAGAGCCACTACTGGTAGCGCAGGAAGAAGCTTTCTTCCGAGTGACCCTGCAAAATCTTTATGACTTTGACGTCGTGATAGAACACATCGAGCTGTTATCCGATAGTATACCCTTCGAAGGTTCGCCTGAAACTACATTGATAGGGCCCTACAGGACGCAGACGTTGCTCCTGAGTGGCACACCGCAAGCAGCCGGCTCCCTGTCTATCACTGGATGCACTGTCAAGGTGAAAGGCTGCAGAGAGCGGATGTTCCCTATCTTTTCCGAGCCGTGGGCCTTGAAGCCAGACATCAAAGGCCGGCATGTTGGTCTGGCACAGAAGTCTCGTCCGATCTCAACTGCTTCAGATCCTGTCAAGAGTAAGATTCCTCCTCCAAAAGGGCCTACGGCCACCAAACTTGCTTTAAAAGTCACGGGGGCACAGCCTAACATCAGCATGAAATCCATCTCACTGCCTCAATCGGCCATCATGCTCCTTGATGGGGAGACGAGAACCTTCACTGTCTCCTTCCAAAACACATCTCGGACCATACCTATGGATTTGGTCCTCCTCTCCTTCACCGACTCAACCGCCTCACAGCTCCAGTCCGCCTTGGCCAACAAAGACCTTTCGCCCGTCGAGCTCTATGAGCTTGAGTTTGCCTCTGCACGCAAGCAGTCTTTCCGAAGGCACCGCAAAGACAAAGATCGAGACCTTATGATCGAGCCGGGTGGGGAAGCTACCTTTGAGATAGAGGTACTGGGAAAACCTCAATTGTCACATGGCGCGATCCAAGTCGACTATGGCTATCTTGGCATTCCTAAGACAGATATTAAAGATCATTTTTACACTCGACAGCTTGTCATTCCTCTTACCATCACAGTCAATGCTAGCATCAGTTTCTTGCGCAATGATGTCGTCTCTTTACCCAGTGATTCTGGACGGAGAGACGAGCAAGCTACAACTGACCTGGGCGGCGCTCCATTCGAAACCAACTATCCAAACGCCAACCCCAGCCCACTCCACCCACCCAACGACCATCCCCACTCGCCGTCATCACTAGAATGCCTGCTCCTTCTCGACCTCCGCAACTCTTGGCCAAGCACACTTACCATATCCATTGAACTCCGATCTTCCAACACCCCTACGAAGACTCAGTCGCGCATATTCCACCCCGGCACAACCCACCGCATCCCCGTCTTCGTTCCACGCCTCCACCTCCCCAACGCCCACGACCCAATCCCCTCCATAAACCCCCACAATGCACGCCAATTCGTCGTCTCCTCCACGAAGAGCACGCCCGAAGCCGAGCGAGCTATGCGTGAAGCTTTCTGGTATCGCGAAGTACTTCTTTCACGACTTCATGCGACTTGGAAGCAAGAAAGTACCGGCAGGAGTGGGGAGGTGGAGCTTAGAGGGTTGAGATTGACGCCAAGGATGATCTCTGCGCTGAAGCTGGACGACTTGGAAATAAGCATGGCTGTTTTACTCGCTGAACCTCACCCTGGCTCTGCATCCGCTCCAGTCAAGCAGCTCAACCCGACTACCTTCACCGTTCCCACGCAGACTTTCCTCTCCATAGCCACCACCCTCCGCAACCGCTCCACAACCCCCATCCACCCACTCCTCCGCCTCCAACCCAGCTTAGCGAACCAACCTCCCGGCATCGCGCTGGATTTGGGCAAGAGGTTGCTTGTGAACGGTGTCTTGCAGCGCGTCGTGGATGTGATCCCACCTGGGGAGGAGGTGAAGATTGAAACGGGGTTTGTGGTGCTGAGTAAGGGGAGATACGAGTGGGGAGCTACGGTGGAGGAGGTGAGGAGTCAGAGCATGGCTGGCAAGGGTGATGCTAAGGGGAGCGGGAAGAGGGGGAGAGCTGCTACGGGAGAAAGGGTGCTCGAGGATGGAGGGAGGCGGGTGTGGTATGGCGAGCAGCCTTGTACGGTTGTTGCTGAAGATACGGGTGAAGATGAGGATGAGGAGGAGGGTGAGGAAGGAGAGGAAGCTGAAGGCAATGTATGAATACGGAGGTCAGCATCTGAATGCAAATGGCTCATGTGTTATCCTCGTTATATGGAGTTCCGCGTGCTTGTGTCCATTCAGAGCATAGTTGTCTATGGACTCAAACGATACTCAAACCATGGCCTTGTTCTCCTAGTCTCTGTGTCTATGTCCTACAGGAAAATTGACCAGTCTCTGTATGCTCTTCAATTGCTACGTGGGGTAGTTCATATAAACATGGGCATTTGGAATTGGGAAAAGGAACAAAAACCAAGCCGTGCAAGATATCAACACTAGAATACTTAAGGTGGAGTCATCCTGCCCTTTAGCCTCTATAAACTCCTTTACCGGATGCCTGCAAGCTGCAGGTCCGGCCAATCAAGACGCGAAGCACTAGCTTGCCGGAAATTAGAATTAGATGTTCGCAAGGCTGTCGTGTGAAGTGAGCTTTGGTCCAAGACAGTGAGGGAAGTTTGTATAGCATTGCCCGCCAGCATTTCCTCAATATCCTGCAGCCCGACTTCACTCGGTTTGTAAGTTCGTATTCGGCTGCAGTCGGCACGCTTGTACCCCTGCCAGACTGCAGTCACTGACCATGTACCCCTGTCATAGTATCCTTAGCGTGTGTACACGCAGGTATTTAATGGACTGCTATTTCTTTCTTTCTGCTTCTTAGTTGCTTGCTACCCTCACGTTCACTCTATCTTTGCACGGTTCTTGCACCATTTTTGCACCATCGGCAAAGCTCTGTGCCCGATTCACAGCTTCGGTCCTTGCCTCATAGCCTTAGCATCAACATAAACAAAGCTCTGTACCTCATCTGGTAAGTCTATATGTCACCATTCTCTGTGCCCCTCTATCCTATTCTGGCGCGCTGCAATGGCTGCTAAATAAGGAGAACAGACATAGCAATGGCTTGCAATCACGCCAGTGCTGCGGTTGACACTCGCGACGACGAGAACACTCCCCTTGCTGTGGTTGCTACGCAGGGCTCGGGAAACATCAATACCGTTGATACGACTCACTTCAATGTTCGTATCTCTTCGAATAACACTGTCATATCCTCAATTCCGGAATACTTACCATTGAAAAAATCCAGACCAATGACATCTTTCGCTTCACCAACCTTCCGGTTGAGCTTCAGAACAAGATCATCGGATATGCTATGATGGCAACAGACAATGAGATCAGATTTCCGTGCCTTACCAATCTCAGCTATAGACCCAATATCACTGTCGGTCTATTGCTTGTCAAGTAAGTCAAAAGACTGTTCAAGCGTCTGAGATCCCACTGATAAGCAATTTCCAGTCACCGCATTTACCACGAAGCACATTATCAAGTCCGCAAGCAGAACACCTTTATCTTTAGCAATTTCGGCTCTGACATAAAATCAATGGCATCGAGCATTGGGCCTTTCAAATGTCGCTCTGGAAATTGCGGACACGGTGCTCTCCATTCAGTGCTTGCGAAGGTCACATTCGACTTGGGAGATGAGCAGTTGCCTAGTTATGCAAATGACACAGTCCACGCCTTTGGATGCGCCCTTCGATATCTCCGTTCTAATATCACTATTAGCTCTCTGCACATCCGCCTTGCCTATCATACATTTAACGACAGCACCGGGCTTACTTGGTTTGCTACCGCTTTGAGTAAGATCAAAGTCCAAGACAAACTCACTATTATTGGCGACGAGACGTATCTAGACATGAGCTTCGGAGACCTCCCCAGCAATCTTGGCATGGATGTATCACCAGTGTACACGCATTTGCAGGCTTACAATCCAAACATCCAATATTCGCCTGGGTGGTTCCTCCATCAGTACGTGCCAAAAAGGCGCGTCGGCACGAACGCTGATACTCAGCCTACACATGTCGTCGTCGATTCGAAATACCTCTCGGAGATAGCAAAGGCATTCGATGCGCAACATGATGGATAGTTGAGCTGTTTCCGAAAGCTTCGGTCGAAGGTGTTGGGGCTTGCAAGACTATCTTCCCGGTCAATGTCGTGGTTTCCAAGGATACTAGCCAGAACTTTGGCCACACTCATGTTCCAGTGCTCCATGCGCGATGTTAGCCATGATATTGGCCACACTAATGTTTCGGCGTTCCATTGCGTGACAGGCGGTCACAGGCATTTCATCACAAGATCCACTGTATCATAGAACACTTCTCGTCTAGCTTCAAACTTGCTCAAGCCCAATCCAACTAAAACAGTCCTCTTTTCTTCCGGATTCCTCGTGACGATTGCACTTGCAATTTGCGTAGCATACAGCTGACCCACAGTCTCCCTCTCAGATGTAGATCCTCCTAGCAGTGTCTTTGGCGAGAGGTGAGCCATTGGCAAGAGATTATCCTCGTCATTGCCGGAGGACATATATTGATCTGCGAAAATGGGGTTGGGGGAATTTAGAGGTACGTGGATCTGGAGAAAAGTCAGAGGTACGAATCGCTGCTGAGACACGGGTACGGCCATACCCACTGTGCAAGCCTTCCACCTTGCGTGATCGTGATCATGATCTTGTCGGAGAAGGCTGTAGACGTGATATTGGTCTGTATGCCATTTATGGTGCCGGCTGCTTGCTTGGTGATGGCTGGGTAGGACGGGGAAATGCTGAGGACCTGGGGCGAGTCTGGTGCCATTGGAAGCGGCATTACGGTTCTAGCAATGTCCAATCGCTTTTGGAGAATGCAGATAGTGTCAACTTGGCTTGTATTGGATGTTCGATTGCAGGAGATGTGATGTGAAATGGAGGACGTAGAAAGAAGGTCGATAGTTTTCTAAATCTTAAATTCTTTTCTTGGCAGTCGCCGGAGTGCCGCCTACCATCTCTCTCTGTGTTGTCTTATACACAAGGTGAACATAATGCTTATGACAATGCATGTCTGTGGAAGGGCATTCAATTTGAGTAGAAGGAAAAAGCATCCTGCGGCTGAGCCTCGAGAATCGTGAGGACAGTGGATCTCTTAATAGCCCAGTCGGCATAGAACATCATCTCTCAGTCTCGAGATCGACTAGATAGACACTACACGATCATACGATGCTCGCTGCTTCAGGTGAAGACAAAGGCAATACCTACCTACATTAGCCCATGCGATTGCCATATTAGACCTCTGGAGAGAACTAGCGCATTGCTCTCCCACCACCAACCTTTTGACAACCAGATGATGGCGACCTTCTGCTATCTACACCAGAACTTCCCGGCCGTCATTCGTCCATAATAGACCCTTTAACAGCTAGTCAATGTGACTCCAGCACTGGAGGATTTGAGATATCTTGACTAAGTCGTACTAGTGTGTGTGGCCATAGAGTACCAAACTGTAGGTCTGACGTTGAAGATTATTCAGAAAAATCTCAAAGGTGTTCGAGTACCTTACTTTATTATACAGTCGCGATGCCTAGATTTGTTCCAAGACAGCGTAAGCACAAAGTAAGGAAGAGGCTTGAGCAAGACAGCGGCAACGTAGGTCTTCCAAATGGCAATGACAGCAATGCAGCGGAGATCTTTCCTGGCACTGTCGCAGAAACGGAGAAGAAAAGGCAGGATATGAGAAATATTTTACGAGCTCAACATCCAAAAACATCCAGCAAGAAGCAGAAGAGACTTGATAAATATATCGTATGTAGGCCCTCTCTCTGTTTGTCTGTCTCTGACAAAGCCAAAACTAACACCCACAGGACATAAAATTGAGAAAAGAGGAGAACCTCGATCTGATCAAAAAATTAGCAAGCGCAAAGGTCGATACTTCGTTGCTACGCAGCTCTCGAAGTCTGGGTAGAAAGCCAGCCAAGCGTGAGGTTCTCTCGCAAGCCTTGAAGGAGAGTCAAGCTGGCGTGAACCTCGAAAAGAATAGCGAGTTGTTGTTCGAACACGATGATGATGATGATGATGATGATGATGAGATAAGGCGATAGCTCTGAGGTATCCGAGAATCTAGAGCCTACAGACAACCATCTCTCTGCCCTTGATGCTCCAGCAAAGCCAGCATTTGGCAGTGGTCTGAAACGACCATTGGAAAGCGGTAGCGATGGCAAGCCAATCATCAAAAAGCGTCGGCGTCTGAAGATGGCTAAACCTCTGACTATTGCAGCGACCGAGATTCCTTGGGATGGTTTTAGCTCGGGCAATGATTCGGACGCCTCTTGTCACAGTCTGCCCTCTCCCACAGCGTCGATGGATGGGCCGGCGGATTCTGAAGACCAGCTTTCTGAATTCTCCGACGATTTACCCAGGACTGATGATTCCGAAGATTCTATGGACGAAAGCGGGAGCAATTACTATGACCCCGAGGAGCGCAAAGAACGCTCTTCTGCGTTCAAAGCATGGGCTACGAGTCAAGTCAACGAGGCTTTGGGCTTCAAACCTACTGCATATAATTTTGCTACGCTCCAAAGTGGTCTTCCCACTAAGCAACCAACTCATACCCCTAGAGGCCCAGAACAGGACCCTTTGCCGCCAGAACTGGAAATAAGAAGCAGTGCACCAGAGCGCAAAGCATTTAGCGTGAAGGTAGAGCGGCCACTTGACGTACAAGAAGGTCGTTTGGGTCTACCTGTGGTCGGAGAGGAACAGAAGATTATGGAAGCCATCTACAACAATCCCACGGTCGTCATTTGGGGAGCAACAGGATCTGGGAAAACTACTCAAGTACCTCAATTTTTGTATGAAGCTGGCTTTGGTAGCCCTGAAAGCCTAAATCCTGGGATGATAGGGGTTACACAGCCTCGGAGGGTAGCTGCTGTGAGCATGGCAAAGCGCGTCGGCGATGAACTTGGTGGAGTGGGAGAAAGAGTCTCCTACCAGATTCGCTTCGACAGCTCGGTCAGCAGCAAGACGGCCATCAAGTTCATGACGGATGGTATCCTGATCAGGGAAATCGCTAATGATTTTGCCTTGCTTAAGTATTCAGTCATCATCATTGACGAAGCACATGAGCGCAGCGCCAACACAGATATCTTGATTGGTATGGTGAGTAGGATTGTTGATCTACGGGCTACTATGAGCAGGGAGGATGAGAAAATCAAGCCTTTGAAGCTTGTAATCATGTCTGCTACTTTGCGAATCACAGACTTCTTGGAAAATCCGAACCTCTTCCGCAACGGCACTCCCCCCTTGATACAAGCGGAAGGACGACAGTACCCTGTCACTACTCACTTTGTACGTAGGACGCGGAGAGACTACACTGAAGAAGCATTTGAAAAAGTATGCAAAGGCCACAGGAAACTTCCGCCAGGGGGGATGCTTGTCTTTCTGACGGGTCAGAATGAGATAACTGCCTTGGCCAAACGGCTCAACGAGACCCTTGCAAACTTCCAAAGTCAATCTAATGGTCACAAGGTTCGGATCTCTGCAAGTGAAGCACCTCTCGAGACGGAAGATCTTGAGCTAGGGAACATTGCTCCTGGGTTCGATGATTTTGAGGACGACGCAGAGAGTGACGGAGATTCTTCTAGCCGTGGAGACGATCGAGATTTCGACGTTGAAGACTCCACCCCAGCATCTTCAACGGTCCATATTCTCCCTCTCTACTCCCAGCTTCAAACTAAGGATCAACTTCGTGTCTTCGAGCCTCCGCCTGAAAACTCCAGGCTAATTGTGCTAGCCACCAACGTGGCAGAGACGAGTTTGACCATTCCCGGCATACGCTACGTCTTCGACTGCGGTCGCGCAAAGGAGAAGAAGTACGACCGCATGACGGGTGTCCAAAATTTTGACGTCGGCTGGATCAGCAAAGCGAGTGCAAGTCAGCGTGCTGGTCGTGCCGGACGAACTGGCCCAGGACATTGCTACAGACTCTACTCTTCAGCCGTCTATGAGCGGGACTTCGAGGAGTATGCAGAGCCGGAGATACTCCGAATGCCTGTGGAAGGTGTGGTGCTGCAGTTGAAGAGCATGGACTTGCAGCATGTTGTGAATTTCCCCTTCCCTACGCCTCCAGATCGGCAAAGTCTAGCAAAGGCCGAGAAATTGCTCATCTACCTTGGAGCGGTCTCGAATGAAGGCAAAATTACTTCTGTTGGGCGAGAAATATCCAACTATCCGCTTTCTCCACGCTTTTCCAAGATGCTTATGATTGGCCACCAGCATGGCTGCATGCCCTACACGATCGCCCTCGTCGCCTCTTTGGCAAGCCTAGATCTCTTTATCCCCAAGAACCAGCTGGACCTTTCCGTGAACGTTCAGTCTGAGGTCTATACCAACGAAGACCGCTCGGCAGATGAAGCCCGTTCCCAGCTCAAAAGCCACTACAACCACGCACACCACCTCTTCAGCCGTCACTCGCCGACTTCTGATGCTCTCAAAGGGCTCACTGCTCTATGTGCCTACGCCTACGCTCCATTGAGAGAGGCCTTCTGCAAAGACATGTTCCTCTCCCCCAAAGCCCTCAGCGAAGCCAGCAACCTCTGTTCCCAACTCATGAGCATCGTCCGCAGCAACAACCCCACCCTACTTGCGCCCAACGTCTCTCTCAAGCTCCCATCCCCATCAAAGACTCAAGTTGCAGCTCTCCAGCAATTCACCGCCGCAGCATTCATTGATCAGATTGCCATCCTCGCTTCCGCATCAGTCTCACCACCCGACCTCCCTCGGAATCCAACCAGAGCCATCGATGTTCCTTATCTCCCACTCTTTCCCATCAACGTAAAGCGGAGAGCAGATATCGATATGATCGACATAGCAGTCTTCGTACACCCCTCCTCTGTCCTCGCCCACCTCGCGACCAAAGATCTGCCAACCTATATCATCTACAGCCACCTCCAGCGCGGCACACCCGCCACGATTGAAGGAGCCAAGAAGCCAAGGACACGGATGCATGCCCTTACCGCTGTGACAGCCATGCAGATTGCGGGATTGGCAAAGGGGACGCCGTTGTTGGTATATGGGAAGCCGATTGGGAAGATTGAGGAAGGAGATAGCAAGACGAGGACGTGCTGGGTGATACCTTCGCTTGTCGGCGAGAAGGGAAGTATAGGTTGGCCGTTACCCGCGCAGAAGGTGGTTCAGAAAAAAGACGGGAAGGGGGAGTGGGCCGTTGAGAAGGTGATTGGATGATTCAGGCTGCTTTCAAGCCGATAATTATATATAGAGAAAATTGATCCCAAGATTCTACGGTACGTGCGGCTTTTGCCTTCGGACAGGTACGAGTGCAATGCACGCTAAAGGTTCCAAACACATACTCATGGCAATTTCTCTTCTTACCATATTCAGCATCAATCCAAAATCCACCTCTCATCTCCGAACTCATCAATAACACGCCCCTAGACCAGCTAGTTTCCTACACATCACAATTTGTGACGCTTCTCCCCACTGGCAATTTTGCGAAACTCCTCTTGCGGGATTCCAGCGGCAAAACGCTCCAATCCTCCAAAAACCTCTGCAACGTTCTGCGAATCCAAAGTCTGGCGCTCCGGTCTGCGAATCAGCTCTTTCACCTTCACCAAGCACTCGCTGTTAAGATGGCTTCCAAGGCGATCATGCACCTCTTTCATTACTTCGGCAAAGAACTTCTCATGGTCATCCTTGCCCGTGTCGAAGATCTTGTTGACAAAGCCAGTGTGCAACAATTCCTCAGCGGTGATGCGCTTGCTCATGATCAGCGCCTCGTTCGCTTTACTGATACCCAAGCGCTGCACAAACGCATGGCTGGCTCCACCTTCTGCTACCAGCCCGAGCGAAGTAAAGGGCGTGAGGAGAAAGGTAGACCTCGTGCAGTATATGAAATCAGAGTGCGCGACAAGGGCGGCGGAGAGACCTATGACGGGCCCATTGAGCGCGGTGACGAGGATCTTCGGATGGGTGTAGAATGCGTTCGCGACCTCTAGGTTGTTGGACACGAAACTGCGCAAGCTCTCGCGGCGTACGTCGGCGTGCTCGGAGAGGGAGCGGCCGACTGAGACGTCGGCGCCGGCGGAGAAGTAGCGGCCTGTGCCCGTCAAGATTGTGATGAATATGTCGTCGCGCTTTGCTACCTCGCGCATGAGACATGCGAGACGGTAGCAGAGATCTTGAGTCAGGGCGCCGAGCTTCTCGGGGATGTTGATTCTGATGTAGGCGATCTTACCTTCGGTGTGCAAGGCGACGCGAGGGTCTGATGGGAGAGGCATGGCTGTTATGCGGAAGGGTGGATATTGTACTCTAGACGTCCACAAGGGTTGGAGGGCTGGGGTGGCGAGAGTGTGGATCTAGTCAAGGAGGAAGTGTTAGAGACCCATGGATGTATAGATGAACATTGCCGCTCATCGCAATGACAGCTGTGGAGTTGCGTAGTAAAGCACGCGGGGTATGAAGTGGGTCGTTGTTGACAAATCTGGAGAAGCTGTTTGCCGAGGTCCAGCCTTGCGACCGAGGGAGACGAGCTTTCAACGAAGCCTTTTGATCATCCAGCACGATGGTTACAAGACACATATAACGGCTCTCGCAAGCCGCGAGCTCTCCAAAATGGAGACTTCCACCGACCCTCGCAACCCACATCTCCGGTGGTGCCAATCTAGAGGTCTTCAAAGTACGTACCTCCGCCACCCCGGTTTCCCTTTCCCTTCATGCTAATTCTGTTCGCGCAGTTTGGCATGTACATTGCGTTCCCCATCGGCTGGATGTACTATTTTGGCGTCAACCTCGACACGCGCTTCTCGGTGCCCGACTTCTGGCCCGCGCCGGAAACGACACATAAGATACCCTTTGAGAGAGAGGAATTGAAGGTGCTGTCGGAGAGATTGAAGGCGGAGAGGTTGGAGAAGAGGAAGCGGAGGTTGGAGAGGGAGAAGAAGATTGGGACTGAGGGGGAGGTACAGGGTGGGGCAGAGGAGCAGCGGGGAGAGCAGGCGGCGGTGGTGGAGCAGAGGACGCTGGTTGGGGAGTCGAGTGGGACATTTGGGGTTGGGTCAATTGAGAGGTGGGCGAGGGGGAGGTGGAGGGATTGAACGTGGGAATGACACGAGTGATGGAAGATGGGGTGCATTGATTCGTTTCTGATGGCATAGCACATGGCGCTATTTGGCTTGAGATGTGAGATACCTCATCTCTACAGAAATCCTGTGAATACCTTTTTAGGCAAGCCATAGACCGGCATTTTTTGTGGTAGCGGAAACACAGCATGTCCACAGGAGCCCAAAATCTCTTGGGAAGAGACATGACTCTTTCCTTTTCATCATGATACCGGGCGCCCCAATACCGTTCGCCTTTCCCACGGCTTCTCGACGCCTGACTCGTCTATGCTCGCTTTAGACTTTCCAAGCATTTGTCGATGTCACCTATCCCGCTCTTTCTCGCCCAAGCCGTCCCTCAGTCTCTCCTCTTGTTTCTTCCAATGCGATCCTTCTTCATAGTTCGCACTTATCCCCAACGCCTTCCTTAGCTTCTCGCTCTCTTCTATCTTCGCCTGCGCCAGCTCGTGTACCTGATGTGGTTTGAATTGTCCTTTGCGATCCGATCTCGAGTCAGAGGGGGCTAAGGAGCTAAGTTTCTGGCGTAGGGCGGAGGTTTGGAGCTCAATTTCTTCTTCGTCAACACTGCAGAGTAGAACCATACTCAGCGGAGACCCCTCAATCGCAACGATATAGCCACACCCAAGCGATGGTAGGTACATGTTGACAGTATGAGGGCAGACATACCCCTCATCCTCAAGCTTATCCCTTAGGTCATACACCTTGACCTCCACCTCCCGCAACCTATCGTGATCCAATATCTCCTTGTCAGGCTTGCGCTGTCGGTGCTTCAGCAAGTCGTAGTCCTTGGGATATGGCGCAAAATTGTCACGGGGTTTGAGATGGGAGAGATTGCGTTGGACGTAGCCTGAGGTACCAGAGCCTCTTGGAGTTGTGAGACCGACGTTGGAGGACATGATGAGGATTTGGCAACTGGAAGGTATAGAAGGAGGGAATCGCTAAATGTGGTGGAGTGTAGCGTTAATAAGTCGAGTTTCCCATGGCTGAGACGCCTCGGACCTTGCAAAAAGACCCTTGCAGGCTTGGCGCTGTCATAGCGGGAGATCGGCGGAGCTAAGATCGTGGGCGGCTCAAGAAACCCTCGTATGCTGCGATAAAACAACTATGTACGTCTGATCTTCCCAGAATTATCGAATCGCGGACCTCAGCCATGCCTATTGCAAATGCGGATCTTATGGAAAGATCTCCCTCTCTAGAACCAACAAGTGAACCTCTGATGGAGCTACCCTTCCCAGTAGTCACCAAGTCACATATCCTTAATTGTTCATACCATTCGTGGTACCCAAGGTATAGATTCAGCTACCTGCTCAAAGTGTCACGCGCTGACCAAGGTAGATACCGCTCCCTAACCCCCAAAGCCCGCCTTATTCCTCTCTCCGCCTCCTTCCTGTCCTACCTCCGCGCCGACGGTATCATTCTTCCTCCAGAAGATATCCCCTCAAGCACCGGTTCTGATACAGACAATGAAGAAGAGGAAGAAGACCAAACCACAGACCCTTCACAGGCTTGGCTCGACATGCACCAAAAGATCAAATCCACTATCTCAGAACTCGGTGGCTCTGTAATGCCCAAGCTCAACTGGTCTGCTCCTAAGGATGCGACTTGGATATCCGCCACGAATAGTATGACCTGCACAACGCCGAATGACATTTACCTGCTGTTGAAGAGCTCGGATTTCATTACCCATGATCTAGAGCAGGTCCTTGATGATTGCGAGGATGAAAGCGATGATGAGAGTGAGGTTGAAAACCAGGACGAGGAGAGATCCGCCAGCGAACATCTCTCGAAAATACCGTACCACCTCATTCTGCGAAAGACGATACCAGCATTCAACCCTGCGTTGGAAATTAGGTGCTTTGTGCGGTCGAGACATCTGCTCTGCATGTGCCAACGGGATCTCAATCATTTCGACTTCCTGCCGCGCTTGATACCCAAGCTGCGCTCACTGATCCAAGATGCTTTTGACAAAAACCTGAAGAGGACTTTTCCGGATGAGAGTTTCGTGTTTGACGTTTACATTCCACCACCACACGACCGAGTCTGGCTAATAGATGTCAATCCGTGGGCTCCGCGCACCGATCCTTTGCTTTTCTCGTGGTTGGAGGTCCTTAACATGAGGGGCGAAGAGCAAGGCGGCGCAGATAAGTTACAAGACGGTGTCGTCAGACTCTCGCTTAATGGGAATGGTTCCGTGGATCGTGGGTCAGACCTAGACGATGAGCAAGAGGAGGAAGTGGAAGAGGCATCAGAAGATGAGGAAGAGGCTTTTACGCCAGAGTTCCGTCTGGTCAATCGGGATGATCCAGAAGCGTACAATTTCAACACACCGCAGTACAGCGCACACAAGCTACCGAAGGATGTGGTGGACGCAAGTACGGACGGAGAAGCTGGGTTGAGGGAGTTTATGGGAACGTGGAGGGAGATTGTGGCGAGACAGGAGAAAGAAGATCGAGAAGAAAAGGATAATGGGATTGTAGATGGAATCTAGTATCGTAAATGAATGTTAATCTTGTAAACTCAATGCACTGCCAAACCTTCTCACTGTAAATACTACATGAGCCACCGAATAAGTAAAATGTGATATGCCGAAAGGCATTTAGAGTAAGACTCGTGGAAATTATTTGGAAGGACTGCTACACTCTTCAATTCGGTTTGAATTTTGAACTTTTCAAGCTTGGAACCGTATGTTCTTGCCTACAGTGTTCTAGATCCCATTAAGAGCAACAGTCAATGTTTTAGATGTGTGAATGGAAAATGTTGTTTGTGCTCGAAGGCTAAAGTGACATCAGCCCTACAAGAAAGCCGCAAAATCTAGGCCAGCGCGAGGCTCTCTGTGACTTCCATGTCTTTGTTTCCTCTAGCATCAAGCCTGTCCAAGTCACATCTTGAGTGCGATTTGCAGTGTGATGGCAGAGTGGAGAAATTGCTTGGTACTCGCATTGGAGCATGGCCCGAACGAGCCCTGAAAACAGGGAGCCCGTCTTTACCCCGATAGCACAGAATGGCCCAGCTACTGCCTCCTCAAAGTACAAGGATATCACGAGTCAGTTCAATGATAGCAAAGACCGGGGTCGGCCCGACAGCGATATTCAGACGATAAATAGAAGGAAGGAGATTCAATTCAAAGCTTCTCATTTTCTGTTAATAGGCTTCTTTCTGTGGATATTGTATGTTCTTTCCAGCGCGTGGGTTGATCCTTTCTAACATTTCTAGTCTACTTCATGCCATTGGAATATATTTCTTCACCAAAGGCTTCCTTCTTACACGCCTTGTGCTTGACTACAAATCAGAATGCACTGCTCCTCCGTTCGACCTGGGGAAACAAAGTCCGAGAACCTATACAGATGGATGCTGGCATCCGAAGACCTTCGACAAGGCGGTAATAATAATCATTGATGCTCTACGCTACGACTTTACTGTTCCCTTTTCTGGTATTCCGCACCATTTCCATAATGCTCTTACAGTCTTGGACGAGACAGCACGACAGAGCCCTGGAAATGCCTTCCTCCTACCATTCATAGCGGATCCTCCAACTTCGACACTTCAAAGATTGAAAGGCTTAACAACGGGGACTCTGCCTACATTCATTGACATAGGGTCCAACTTTGCTGGGACAGCCATTGAGGAAGATAATTTGCTTGGACAGCTGCGGAACGCAGGGAAGACGTTGGTTCATTTAGGTGATGATACCTGGCACTCGCTATTCCCAGGATACTTCGACGCCAATCTTACGCACGCGTACGATTCTTTCAATGTTTGGGATTTGTTTACCGTCGATAATGGGGTGACTGAGCATCTGATACCTCTGTTGAGCCCTGAGAACACGGGAAAGTGGGATGTACTATTTGGTCATTATCTTGGTGTCGACCACGCCGGACATCGATATGGCCCCGATCATCCAGCGACGAACTCTAAGTTGAGAGAAATGGATGACGTGCTAAGAAAAGTCATTACTCTTATGGACGACAAGACCTTGCTGGTGGTGATGGGTGACCATGGCATGGATGTCAAGGGAGACCATGGCGGAGAATCTGACGACGAGGTAGAAGCGGCACTGTGGCTGTACTCGAAGAAAGGCGTTTTTGGTAGGGGTCATAACGGGAAGATGGAGCCACCACCCACTGCCAAAGAACGTCCTGTGGGACAGATTGACCTCGTGCCAACACTCTCCCTACTTCTCGGCATGCCAATACCTTTCAATAACCTCGGAGCTCCCATCGCGGAGGCTTTTGTCGGCCCCGGAAAGCCTGATTGGCAAAGACTAGCATCTGTGAACGCACTGGCGGGTGCTCAGATTAGCAGATATCAGCATGAGTACTCGCGTTCCAGAGGATTGGAAGAAAGTATCTTTTCTTTGCCCCAAGGTTACTGGGCGGACGGACTCCAATCTTGGAAAGAGGCCGTTCAGCATAAAGAAAGGGGTGACTTGTATGCTACAGCATTCGAGAAGTTCTCCCAGTACCAGCAAGAGACTTTACGCATATGTCGAGGTCTTTGGGCTACATTCAATATCCCGAGTATGCTAGAAGGAATCTTTATTCTGGCAAGCGCTGTGGGCGTTGTGGCGGTCTTCGCACGGTCGTCAGGACCATCGACCGCTGAAGTGGTGCCAGTTTATTTGTCGCATATGACGGTCCTTGGAGCTATCGGCGGTGCGAGTGTTTTATTGATTGCAACGATTTTGCCTGGCATGGTTGCGAAGGATACCTCTCTTCTTGGCCTTGCAGCTGGCGGTATCGGCGGCTTCGGCTGGGTCTTCCTTGAGCTACAGAAAGGGTTTTCTCTCCCTTTCCCGCGGTCCTTGTGGGGTTGGCTTGCAGTTGTCTTTACGTTGAGTCAGTCCATCGGCTTCGCTTCAAATTCGTACACCATTTGGGAAGACGAGATTATGCTTTGCTTTCTCGGCACTTTCGCATTTGTCGCTTTTGCTGCTTCGATACGCCAAGAATTCTTCATTGAGCGCATCCTTGGCATGTCCCAAGCCGCCGCATTCTTCGTGCTGAGTCGTTTGGCTTCGCTCTCCAGACTCTGTCGCGAAGAGCAAATGCCGTACTGTAGGTCCACATACTACGCGTCGACCAACTCATCCACATCGGCTCCGTGGCAACTGCTCATACCACTCATCACAGCGATTCTATTGCCCGTTATTATCAAGACATACTACCAGGGGACACGTTCGTACCAAGGATCCGCAACACTGTGGGTGGGCTTTGCCTTGAGGATGGGCCTACTTGGATCTGCTATTTTCTGGGTACTTGACGCAGCAGACGACAATGAATGGCTGAAAATGAGTCAGGGTAGCCTTAAGATGATAAAGATCGTCCTGGCTCGATTGCTACTCGGCTCGGCCTTCGTAGTCGGTACTACAACCTTTGTGTATGGGAACCCTTGCATCAATGTTGAGGTGACACCCGAAGCCAATGCCGACACCAACGATGGCGTAGTCACAAAGCCAAAGTCGGTAAAAGTATTTGGGTACGCCAACGTGCACGGAACGCGGTACTTTCTGCTGGTCACCAACTGGCTTTTGGCCATCTTTTTACTTCAAAAGCCTATGGGAGGAGGTGCAATTGGCATTTTGGCCGTCCAGATCCTCGCTCTCCTTGAAATCATTGACACAAACGATCTTTCCCAAACCGCCATAGGTCCCGTTGTCTTAGGTCTACTCGGCAGCTTTCACTTCTTCAAGACAGGCCATCAAGCAACACTCTCAAGTATCCAGTGGGAGTCAGCATTCGTCGCTTTGAGGACAGTAACCTATCCTTGGTCACCACTGTTGGTTGTGCTCAACACCTTCGGCGCTCAAATACTTACTACCGTGGCAGTGCCCTTGATAGCACTATGGAAGCAGCCTCCAAAGAAGCCGAGGCTGCTTAGCGATGTGGCCAAAGCACTAGCTACTTTGCTTTTATACTACGCCGTTATCAACCTGGCGACGACTATGTGGGCTGGCTGGTTGAGGAGACATCTAATGCTGTATAGAATATTTAGTCCGCGGTTCATGACCGCGGCGGCGGTACTTATAACGGTCGATTTGGTCGGCATTCTTGTTGCTATTGGGAGTTTGAGGTGGAACTTTGCAAGCATTGCGGAGGTGTTTGGATGGAGTTGAAAAGCGTTCTTCTGCTTCTGATGTATAATACCTTCTCCGTATGACTTCGACTGTACAGAAATACCCATTTGCTTGCTCTATCCTACCATTGCTAAGCGTACCGGTAACCTCGTGCAAGCCTTCAACTGTATTTGAAGCCTGGTCTTGTCTATCGAGTCCAGGCCGTAAAGAGCTAGTTTTGAATCAATGTTGTAGAAAGTCAATTATCGGTAGAGTAGGTGTAAGCGAGACCTCGTAGTTCACGCTCTCTGCCGCCGGAGATCATCGGTGTTGCACCACCCACAGTCGTTACCCTATACACAAACAATGGCAGCGGAAGCCCCAGATCCAAAGACCTTCGGGTCATGGGAAGAAGCCTTCCAGTATCCTGTTCCCGCAGTGCGCGGTATGGAGAGACAGCTGCGCAGGGACATTGATTCGAACCGTGAAAAGCTGAGGACACTCGTTGGGTATGGGACCACTTCAAGCACTTTGGCTTCCACCGTGTTTCTATTAAAAGTCACAACTGCTGACACCAGCGTGATCATGCAGCGCAAGCTATCGTGACCTCCTAGGCACTGCGGAATCAATCATCGAGATGGGTGGCCAGATGCACGACTTGGAGACCTACATGGGCGAGATTAGCAAGAGGTGCAATACTAGGATCTTGGACAAGAAGGCTTCAAATTTACGGACATGGACTGAAGAGGTTGGGGCTCCAAGTACGAATGTCTCGTAAAAATCTACAGACATCTGGAGACGATGCTTATGGCTTCTGTGGCAGACACTGAACGCTACTCTTTCGCATCCCAATTGGCCGTCCTCCGCAGTTGTCCAGATGTCATTTCCAGGCTTTTCAAGAGCGGAGGATCGGTGCTGCTGGCCGCCAAAGTTCTGGTGATCTCGAGGCTGCTGCATACGAAGCTCTCCCAGCGCCGGAATCCGCCGCCATTCTTAGACGATTTGAGGAACCGATTGGCAAGTCTACGTCGAAGACTGCTGGGCAGGATTGACCGACGGCTCAAAAGCTTGGAAATATCGAGAGATGTACTGGTGGAGGCAATGTGCGCTTTCTCGCTGGCTACAAGTTCGTCACCTAAGGATGTTATACGTCATTATCATCACATGAGGCTGGAGGCTATTTCCGAGAATATGAGCCAGGATGGTGATGGTCATGACAACGTGCTATTGGCATTACGACTATACGTAAAGACGTTGAAGGACACCCAGGCAGTCATACCTACGCAACTGGCACGCGCACTGGAGAGATTGAAGTTGGTTCCGTTATTCAAAAGTCAGGATGTATACTCCTTGATCGAGCTCAACTTGGATGTTCACGAGCGATGGATAGGTGACGATATCAGGACTTTTACACCCTATATACGGCATGATGATTTGACCAAAGCCGAAGCAGAACGATCACTCAAACAGTGGGCAAAGTCCGCATTTGGGTCTTTCCTCGCTGGACTACGAAACAGGATAGAAGATGTCGAGGATCCCGAAAGACTGGTAGACTTACGGAGACAAGTCTTGGAGCTTTGGTTGTCGAATCATCAGCATTCGACCGGGGTCGATTCGGCTGAGACGCTTGATGGTCTCCGCCATGTTTTCAACCTTCAATCCACGCGTCTCATACAAAGTCGAGCGTCTAAGCTGGACCGAGTGGGCTTGATTGTCAAAAACGTTTTGCAGAACTGGCAAGCTGGCGTATCTGACCTTACTCCGTCATTATGGGATTCTTCAATGACTTCAATGGAGTTTGAAAACGGAGGCAAATCGTTCCGAGAGAGGCTTGCGTCTCGATTCACAGGCAAGAATGAGCCCCTCAACAAAGTTTCTCTAGAGTATGTGTCTTTTTCTTGAAAGAATCGAAAGTCTGGAAGAAATGATCAAGAAGCTGCGAGAGGCTAGATGGGCAGACGATATGGATGACGTGGACAATGAGAATTATTTGCTGGACAACAAACAAGTCCTGCTCAGTGAGGACGATCCAAGACTATTGCAAGAAGAGCTCAACAGCGCCCTCCAAGAGGCTTATACTGATTTACAAGTCATGCTTCACAAGCTTTTTGACAAGTCTGAGACGACTAACAACGGCCAACAAGCAGCGTACTTGATCCGTGTATGGAGGGAACTACGGCAATATCTACCAAAGAGCTACCAAAATGCTCAACTTGGAATTGGTTCCATACCTACCCTGCAGCATACCATCGCAATTGAAGCACTTCGGGTGCCTCTGGAGCGATGCTCGAAGCGTATTGCCAAGATGTCGCAAGCTAAGCTACTACAGGCGAGACCGCTTTGGGAAGGCGACCCCGAACTACCCGTCTTGCCGTCTGCATGGACATACAGATTTCTGCTTGAACTTGCGTCATCAATGAGTGCTTGTGGCAGCGACGTGTGGAGTCCGCAAGCAGTCGATACGCTGAAAAAGGAACTTATACTGAGTATAGCGCCAATGCTTGAAGGACGTCAGGCTGTTCAAGTCAATGGGCATCGGGATAGAGATCTTCTTGATGGCGAAGACAAGGAGGAAGAAGAACTCGAGGAAGAAGTCAAGAAAGACGAGGAGGAGATAGAGGAAAGATTCAGAGAGGAGAATGGAGAGGTAAATGGCGAAGAAGCGGGAAAAAGTGAGGAAAAAGAGGAGCGAAATAGCAAGGAGCCAGAAAAGTATCCGGAAAAGCCCCTGAATGGAACTATGAGCAACGGACACATCGAGTTCAAGCCAGAAGAGGAGCCAGAAGACGGGAAGATACAACGATTCTTCGACGTTGCCTATCTAACAAACGCTAGTGTCGTTAAAGAGACGGAAGCTGAGGACAATCAGCTGGTTAGCCTACAGGGTTCACTAATTCAAGATCTTGCATTCGAGCCGAAGGCAATGGAGAGGATGAAGAAGGATGCTGCAGAGTATTGGAAGCGGACGAGTCTGCTCTTTGCTTTGTTGGCCTAAAACAATACTAGCTGATCTGGCATCCGTTCTTTCAGAAGATAGATTTGAATTACCAGGGACTGCCATGAAGAATTGCTACCAAACCACCTGAAGAAAGTGCCCTGGTGTGCCTCGTGGATCAGGGGAACTGATTTTGCCCTCTTCTGCCTCTAGCTGCCTTTCTTCTCTCCTTCCTCCAGAACCTCAGGGGTTTTGCTACGAGTCTACAAAGCAAACGAAAGATATCCTCGTACGCTCCGGGATTGCGAGCAAAGGAGTAAACGCAAGGCATGAGCTTAACCAAGCACAAGTCAGTGATCTGCAAAGGTTCAGCCTTTGGGGCTGGGTGGGGGGCAGAAAAGGGTGTGACATGCCTTATCCAGCTTTGCACTTCGAGGCAAAGGGCAGGAAAGCCGGACGTGACTTACGGTGGAAGAGTCTTGCTTAGAGGGTTCCTGACCTGAATAGTCAAGGAAGAATGACCTTGTTCTTGCCTTTTTTCTCAAAGCAAGAGTATCCTCGGCGATATTGCGCATCAATAACAAAGACGATTCTGGTTGACCTAATGAACGCTGCTTTCACTACCTTCTCTACAACGCCAGCTAGGCGTTTGACAATGAAATTGTTTCACTGTCTTAAAGAAATCTACAACAAAGAGGTATTTTTACTGTCTACACAATGACAGAGGAGGGTTCTTGAGAATGCGATTGTCAAAGAGAAAGAGACCATTGTGTCAAACATAATTTTCATAGCTCATGGTCGCAGGTACTTAATGCCCATTCCTGCCTCTTTCTTTTCTCTTCTTCTCTACATCCCTCTCACCAACACGCATCCACAACCACACTCCAAAACCGAACCACACTCAAAACAGAAGGGATCTCAAACGTCACCACAAACCCACAACAAACCAAACCCAAACCCAGAAGATTAAGATGGACCGTTATGGCGCTTCTACTCGCGATTTCGAGTCCGGATGACGATTACGAATATACCCGTCGTGGTGCTCCACTCGACCGTGACGATGACTATGACCGTGGCTACGGTCGTGCTGACCTGATGCGTGAGCGAGAGACATTCCATGGCGAGCGAAGCGGGCTTGGCCATAGATCGGAGTTCTCCGATGATGAAGATACCGACCATGGGAGACACGGCCGCCCCACCCATCGTCCAGACGCCTCATCAAGCGACCGCTATCGTAGCAGTGCAGATGTAGTGCGCGGAGACGGGCCTCGTCGCCGTGGCTATCCCACCGGTACTCCCGATGACTCCGACAGCGACTACTCCGAAGTCGAACGTGGAGATCGTGACATCCGAAGTCGGGGCTTGGGACGCCGAGGCGAAACACGTCGCCCAGACCCTCGCTTCCGCGGCGATTCCTCCGAGGATGAATCAGACTTGGATTCTCGTGCGACGCGCGAAGGACACCGCGGACCTGGAATTCGCCGAGCGCAGCCACTTCGCCCAGACGTGCGCTTCAATGGCGGGGGCTCCGCGGGCCGTGGTGCAGCTCGTGCCAGCACCACGGACGATGAGTCCGACTCTGAGCAGTATGGATCTCGTCGGGGTAATATTGGGGACGCTCGAGGTGGGATGCATCCTGGTTGTCGTGGACATCTATCCGAGGATGATGATCTTGATGACTCCGAGGACGAAGGAATGCGCAGAGGACGGAGGGGAGCTATCAGCTTTGGTAGGCCTTCCACGAGAGAATTTTACTAGCGGATGTTGGGGTTGGCAAGATGGTCTCTGATGCGAGTCGGGGCGATCAAGGGACTTGCATTTTGGGGCGTTTGTGTGAATTTGGGGATGATAGAATGAGAATGTGAACAAGAGCGAGTGTTATTACTATGCATACTGCCTTAATGATCTTGCAGAACATTTTGATCCAAAGACATCCCGACTTTCTGGCCTGCGCTTGTTATGACGCCGATCTCTGTGCTTGATCCGGTTAGCCTTGCCCTCAGACGGGAAGAGTAAGGTAAGGAATCCTCAATCCCAGTATTCTACGCGATTTCGTGCCATCAATCTTCGACGCCTGAAACAAGACCCATATTCCATCATTAGATTGCTAATTCGCTCATTTTAAATCCTACTGTACGATCGACGTCCGTTGCTGCAGTAGCCAGAAGTTTCGACATGGAACAGAAACCCAGCGGACCGTCTCCTGGCCTCTCACTTCCTTACAACTTGCACTCCATGTTACAACTTGCACTCCATGCTTGTGATTTGGATGAACAGCAGTATCCGTTTCCTCCATGAGTTCCGAATTCCGGCAGATGCGGAGTCCTGTCCACTACCTTTCACAACGCCCCCAAACAATCCAATTTACTCAATTTACGTAGAGCGCACTCACCAGCTTCCTCTATTCCCTTGCACCACTATGTTGCGCCGATTTGGACACGGATTAGGGCATGAATTGGTAGCTTGAGCGGGCCAAGGAGTACTGGATTCCACAAGGATTGTACCCGACATACCCGGCAAAGATGATGTCGCTACGGATGATTGGATTGTCTGGCTTTCTCTTGACATGGCTGACTCAAGTGATCTTCGAACCCTGATCAAGTGGAAGAAGGCCGTCCATGTGGTTGAATCGAGGGAAAGTTCCAATACTTTGTCGAGTCACCGAGTGCCATCGTCGAGAAAAGCTACATTGCAAGTCAGCTTTCGGTCGAGGGCAGTGCCCAAGTCAGCCAGAAGCACTTACTCAGTATTTCTCATTCGCTTCACCAGCCCATTGAGATGTACCATCCAGTCCCCGCAACGAGTGGCATCGATAGGGAACTGAAAGAATGATTTAGCCAAATATAGGATCTCAAGAACGTTGGAATGGCTATACCCTGTCCAATAGACCACATAGTGTTGCAGCAAGGACACTTCTCAGTGCGAGCTAATGGATATGAGCCAATGATATGTGGTAGAGCATCTGAGTTGAGAGGGTTTGAGGACGAAGGCTATCGATCGCGTTCTGCTTGTCTGCGTGGTTCATGTTCATTGTCGGGAACGCTGCTCTTGAAGGTACGTCAGCAGGGGAAACTGAAGGTTTGATGGGAGTCTCACTTGCTAGCTCGTCATGCTGTTCCGCTTGGTTGATAAGGCCAGTGTTGAAACAATCCTTCATGTTGCAGTGGTATACAAGTGGAGGAGAGCCGTGGCCAGGCGAAGGTAACAGAGGCAGTATGAGGCAGAAGACATTTTCTCGGGCGTCCCAATGGGCTGACTACTGGGATTGTATAGGGCTGCGCCGAGTCGGAGGACGCTAGAAGAAGAATAAAATCTTCCCTAACCCCATCAGACGGTCGCTTTTCTTCGTGATAACATCAGAAGCAGGCGCGCGAGAATTGTCATCAGAGGGAGCAGGGCGCAGTTACTACTGGCCTTGGTTGCCCCCCTGAATTCTTCACTTCGCTTTGAGCCTCCCTCTTCTACCATGGAGCGGATGTTGGTATCGACTGTCGGTCCTGTGGAAAACCATTTTCAGCAAGCAGAAAGAACGTTAGGGGACGATGATAACAAGCAAAGACGTTGCATACCTAATGTTGACCGGTTGACATCGCTGTGTGCCATCTCACATGTCATCATGTCTTGGATGCCGTGGTACAAGCTCTGAGTCCCTGCAGATTGTGTCGAGAACAAGAGCGAAGAGTGACTGTGAAAAAGCTGTTAGTACTGTTTACGCAGGAGGAAGGCCGCAACGGTGTGACTGGCTGCTTGCCAAAGGGCCAGGGTCTTCTTCTGCCTTGAACGCATCTCTCTGGGCGTGAGAACATCAAGGCAACGTATTGAAGTCCACGCCAGGCTCGAGACATGGCGGTTAGGTGCTGGCAGCACCGTTGGTGTACGAATAGACAGGGGAAAATGGACCACGAGGGGCAGAGATTTGGTGAGTGGCGGATGGGGAAGATGGAGAAAGTAAGCACGTAGAGAATCCCTTCTTAAAGTCCGAGGCAGAGATAGACACCTGCTTCCTTGACTTTAGCGAGTCAGGTAAGCAAGCATCAACAATTAGATCCGCATAGGGAAGCAGCCACCCCCAGAATCGGTGCCGTTCTCAGCGTCCGTTATGTCTTTACACGCCGTTATGACCAAAGCAAGTCTTCTTTCCCCTAATTAGCCGTGCTGAAAGAGAGGGCATTTACTACTCCAGACCAGCCCCCGCCACGGGTCTACGCCAGTGTTTGTCTAATTTAAGGAGCGAGTAACATCTTTTGCACAACGGGGAGACGAATCTCCCAATCTTTGGCGACATTTCTTCATGAACGCCATATACCCTAATCTCACCTAGGTTTGGAAAGTCCGAGTAAGCAGTCGTCGGAAATTTTAGCAGTCTACATTTCAGACTATATCCTACTACATGTCACAGGTGCCATGGACGAGGATGCTTATCGAACGGACGCCTCTCCACCAAGCAGCTCGTCAGATCGGGTGGGACAAGTGAAGCTGTTACTTGTCATCTACTGTCTATGATGGTGGGCTCAACTGGAAGACGGTATCATCGATACCTCAGGAGGGAAATAGATATACAGACCGTCTATTTCGTCTGACTCAAAACAACCTCCGCATCCACAGACACTACGCAATATTCTGCCCACCTTACCAAGCTCACACAGGATTGGGTAGTGTAGGCAGGTCAATGGAGCAGAATAGTCTGTGCATGTATAACCCTCATCAGACGATAAGATATGACTTGGCGGCTTATGCTAATTAAATTCCCTGGCCATCATTCCCCTTTCAACCTCATACCCTGCGGTAACGACCTTCAAACCCCACGCATCTCCCCACCACCACCGTAACCAACAACCCCTGCATCTTCCACTCCCTTCCCACCCACATCCTCCAAAACAAATACCACCCCAGGCTCCAGGATCCCCACGCAGACAACTTCAATCGCCCCGTCCGGCCTCAAGAACCCTCCCCCTCTCTTTCTCCACGCGTGTCCAACCCACACCCGATCGCTTATTGCGCGCCTCCATCGGTCGTGTACAGTACCGTATTTTCCGGTCGCACTTCACTTCGGGAATGCGCTTTTCGGGGAGCTTATCCTTTCGAGCCACTTTGATCGAGCAGCTCTGCTCTGCGCGCGTACTCCCGGGAGCTCCGAGTGAGTCTTTCCGTTGGTTTTTGGAGCGTAGCCCGTGAATGAGATGGCGTTTCTGTCGGCGTCGTCGAGGACTGCTCCTATGCTGAATTTGGTGCATGCAGGGGGGAGGGACGGGCACGGTCGAGGTCATATGTATGACATTAGTCCCATGTGATCATCGGCTGCGGTAGTGGGGTGAGGCGATCTGGGGGGTTTCATTGTGTACTACTGCTATAGAGATTGTATACAAGCTTGGGGCCAAAAAAACGGAGGCATTAGGCGAGGAGGCAGTACAAGAGGAAAAATTCCGGACTTTTTTTGACAGCTAGCTGCTAATGGAGGAAGAAAGAGGTCTCTCTGCAACTCTTCGCAAATTAAGATTCATGAGTACGACAGTCGGTCAATTTGGTCTATACATGAGCGACTAACCAGGGAACAATTCGGTGGGTGCTAACGTCTCATCCACAAATCGCTAGTGGATCGCTCACGGGCTTCTGTATAGGATGCAAAGGTGCCGCACTCCCCAGCAAAACAGTCCCGATTTTGTGGGGGTCACGATCACCGAAGTGTACTTTTTCGGACGGGAACGCTTGCGGAGCGACGACGCGTTGGAACCTGCAGCCAATCGAAACGTAACGTACCTTACACCCGCCCTACCTCTTTCCAGCCAAGGATGAGAACCAGCCCGCGACTCGACGTCGCTTTGCGATCCTCCCCCCTTCCTGGGCGCTCCTGCTAATTGGATACGGAGCACAGGTTCCCTGAAGTTGCTACTCGGTCTGACCCTCAGGGGGAAGGGTAGGTGGATAGTCATTTCGTCGCTTGTTTCTTCGTCTAGGGTAACGTGGATTTCAACGCCTAGGAATGAGCGAGGAGCTGGTTGGGGACGAGGAGACAAAGCTGTACAAAATGATACTAGAGGAGAAAGAGCATGGTCGAGGCGAGGGAGTGAGCAAGCCAGAGGAGAACGAGAGATGCTTGTGAGTGTAGAAGATACAAAAGAGAGGAAGGAAGGTTGTGGCAACCTGCTCTTGGACGCGGTCGGTCTTAGCTGTTCTGGATCGAACGATTGGAGCGACAGTATCGAAACAATGAGTCAGAATCCATCTTCATATTCGGGCTTGAGTATTGAGAGGAGGAAAGTGGGTCTAGGTGAGCACATTACCTATCCATTCGATACCTGCTTGAGTTACACGCATCTACGCTCTTACAGGTCTATATCGATCCCATTAAAAACTTACAATCCCAGAGGACAAGGGCAGCATGTCGCCGTTATTCCCTCTCCGTTTCCGAGCAAACGCATTGTCGATGCTGCTCTATTTTGGCTTTCGGACATACTTCCGGTATTCAATTCAGCACGGTGTCATGGCTACCTTCACTCCATTCGCAGAGCTACAAGTAGCACCTAAGCTTTCCGTCCATGGTTCGGTATCGCGGCTCATCACAGCTGAAAATGTCTGCACTAGACGAACGGTTGTATACGAGGCCTCAGTGAGAGCGAATTGCTCTACAACAAATGCAAAATTATGGTGAGTGCTGCCGCTGACATTGATGATAGGAAGAGACTCACGACCAATGCAGTTTCTGGGCCCGCCACCAAACGGCAAGAATTTCTGCAATTGTGTCAGCACGCATAAGCATTCATCTTTGAAGGTAAAACACTGTATGAGAATTACCCAAGATGTCTTTTCGTTCTGCCAGCGCTCTGGCCGGAATTCACCTGCGTCAGGGCCCCAGAGATCTTTCCGTTGGTGAAGAGCAAAGTAATGGAAAACCACCAGAGTCCCGGCAGGCACGAAGACCGAAGACTTTTCGTCGACTCCCCCACCTTCCGGAAGGACCGTATCTCTGACTGCAACACGCGACGATGCCGGGACTACAGGATAGAGCCGAAGTGCTTTATGAACTGAATATCAGCATAATCTCGGGATCAAAGAAGTGGATGGACCTGACCTTCATTCAAGCAGCATCCCAGATACTTCATAGCTTTAAGCTCATCCAAGGTTGGCTTCCGCCCTTGCAGTTGATTGACCTCGTCACGAAGGCGCTGCCAGATGTGAGGATTTCTGGCGAGGACAAAGAACAGGTTCGATAGAAGGGCACTTGTAGTGTCACGCCCCGCGAAAAAGATGGCAATGAGCTCATTTCGAAGGGTCTGTCCATCACCAGTGAGCTTGAGGAGCTCGTGCAAAAAGACGTATTTTCCATGCTCTTGGCCTGGATCATTGTGCGATTGCTGTAGCATTTCATGTTGTTTGATCGCTTTGTCAATGTGTGCATCCACATATGTGTGCACCCGGTTGACTGCCTGGTAGAACGTTGGTTGTGGCACAAATTTCGCGAAGCTGCCCAGGCGGAACCGTCGCTCTCCGCCTGTTTGAGCGTCTCGAAATGCTCTCATCAGGTGATCTTGGAAGGATTTCGGGTGCGACAGGGACTGGATCGACTCGCCGAACATAAAATCAGTGGTCACATCAGCTGTATAACGTTGAAACAAGTCACCCAGATCTACTGCTGATCCATCACGTGGTATGGCTCTGATGAGATTCTCCACATGAGTATCTAATGTTGACAAGTTAGAGACTTGGCTGCTTGCAAAACTCGGACGGAGTAGGGCTCGCGAATGCTCCCATTGTGCACCATCGGCAAGAAGAACGCTGTTTCCAAGAACTGGGAAAAAGGCATCACGCCTGGGTGCTCCAACAACGTAATCTTTGAATGCTGTTGAAAGAACTGTCTTAATATTCTCGGGTTCGATCGTACTGATGACAGACAAGGTTGAAAGCTTAGAAGAAAAGGTATTGCCATAGCGTTCATAATGACCCTTCTTGTGATCCAGAAAACTTTTGGTTTTGGCGGCGCGAAGGGCGTCGTAAATGGCGTCTATGCCGAAGAAAGGATCTTTTAGAGGGAATTTGGCAGGGGGTTTGCAGCCGCACTGCTTGATAATCTTCTGTTGGGCTCTACGGGTTGCAAGGCGCCGGGTGAGTAGATACAGCGCAGCTAATACGGTTCCTCCCAGTACGAGTGAAAGGATGGGAGAGAGAAGGTCGCCCATGACCATAGCCAGACGGAAGTTAGGTCTGAGGTAATGAGATAATCAGGTTACGCCGATCCGTTGAGAAAGAGGAGTCGTAATTTCAGTTGTTTGGGACAGCTGATGCGGTATCACAAGGTAGCAGCCGTTGCTTTTCTACATGTACGTTGCCCTAGATCTACTAGCGTGTGCAGAACACTTTAGATTTCCTTGGCATTGAGGAACCGTCACACCGTTTCTATGCAACAAACCGTAGACGTTCCGACGTGCATGCAAAAAGGTCTCTCACACCCTTGATCAGGCAGAGAAGTCCAGTTCCTGCATCGAAGAAGATCTTTTAACCCTTCGAGAAGTCGGATCCGATCTTTGCAGAATTGCCTTAAAATGGCCTTGCCTAGAGTCAATATGAGTCGCGCGGGATTGCAGAGTACTTCCAGCCTATGGCTCGTGTCGCGAGACTCATCACATGCCCTCCTTGTATCGCCCACTCTTTTCTTCCAGTGCAAAGGAACAACTTACCGCCCCTTGTGATTTCCAACTCCCATTCTCATCTCACCCAAAAGGGATCTACGAATCATACCCTAACAAGTAAAGGCCCATGAATTAAATTCATGGAGTTGGATTTTCTAAGTCAAATGGAGTTGGATTTTCCAAGTCAAATGGAATTTTAGCCCTAGCCCTAAGTCAAATCGAACTCTGATCGCTTGCTGTGCGTTTTGACCTACTTCCACCACTACGAAATTGATTTAATCTATGTAGTATACAGGCACATATGTGCGGAGAGAGGCGCGCTAAGGCCTAATTAGGAAGGTGTAATAATTACCTACAAAAAAGAAAGGCCATGTCCTTATGGCAAGAAGTATCGAAATATCGGAAGAAATAGAGACAACGTGCCAATTAGTGGTGTGAATCCCACAATATCTCCTGCCGCAGTGAAATTTTTCGAATAATGAAATAGCTGTAGACATCGGACGGTTTCAATTGTCCAAATATGCATCGTTCCGGGATGATTTGATGTGGAACCGTGGAGGCATATGACGTGGGATCTTGGAGAGCTGAGCCGTGTTCTTGGTGCTGGGGGCCTTGTCGCCGCTTGGTTTCTCCGCAGTGTTCTCCATAGTGTTCTCCGCAGTGTTCTCCGCATTTGCCTGTTGTAGTTCCTCCTCTTACTTCTTAATGCAGTGGGGATGATAGGCTAAGTTGCAGTGGTATTCTCCGCTTGCTGAGTGATGATTTGATATGGAACCGTGGAGAGCATATGACGTGGGATCTTGGAGAGCTGAGCCGTGTTCTTGGTGCTTGGGGCCTGTTGCCGCTTGGTTTCTCCGCAGTGTTCTCCGCATTCGCCTGCTGTATTGACTTCTCTTGCACTGGGCTGAGTGGATTGGTGTGAGACCGTGGAGAGTAGGCCTGTTGTGTCACTGCTGCTGATGACTGTCTCCGCAATGTTCTCCGCAGTGTTCTCCGCATTCGCCTGCTGTATTGACTTCTCTTGCACTGGCTGAGTGGATTGGTGTGAGACCGTGGAGAGTAGGCCTTTGTGTCACTGCTGCTGATGACTGTCTCCGCAATGTTCTCCGCAGTGTTCTCCGCATTCGCCGCTGTATGACTTCTCTTGCACTGGCTGAGTGGATTGGTGTGAGACCGTGGAGAGTAGGCCTGTTGTCTCACTGCTGCTGATGACTGTCTCCGCAATGTTCTCCGCAGTGTTCTCCGCATTCGCCTGTTGTAGATCCTCCTCTTGTTCAACTGAGTGCGAGGGTACCGAGGGTAAATGTGTTTATATTGGTGGAATTGGTAGAATGGTAGAATGGTGGAAGAAGAATAGTTACACAAATAGGTGGAAGGATTATTATTCGATCCCGGACGCGTTTGGTGTGACTACAATATTTGAATGTCAGTTTAACCCATCTATCGCTGGCTTGGGAGGAGTATGAGGGGAGGACGTATCCGTTCAGGCTCTTTTGAGGGCCTTTCAACGCGTTTATGAGCAGTAGTAGGTAGCTGTTGGGCTCGCTTGCGGCCTCGATTGCCAGCAGTAGCGGATTCGCCGAGGGGTGGCCTGGAGGCGTCAGTAAGGGGCTCTAATTGGGCGAGGGGTACCGAAGACGATTGTGTTCATATTGGTGGAATTGGAGAATTGGTAGAATTGGTAGAATTGGTAGAATGGTGGAAGAAAATGGTTACACAAACAGGTGGAAGGATTATTATCCGATCCCGGACGCGTCTGGTGTGACTACCATGACTACCATATTTGAATATCCATTTAATCCATCAATAGTAGGCCAAACTTCATAATTTTTACAGCGTTAGAAAGCGCAAAGCGAGGTCTACAATTTGAGGAATTATGAAGTAACTGTATATATCGCAAGCTGAGTACTCAAAGTGTAAAACTTCTACATACAAATTTTTGATGAGGGAGCTCGGGAGGGCTACCGGGCTGACTCAGCCGGTCTAACCAAAGAGCGTAGCGAACCCGAATTTATGATTGGCTGCACATACAAATTCAAGGTTTTCAAGCTCAGCCCTACCTTATTCTTTTATATATACTGATTACTGAATCATACCCCTACACCAAATTTCACCCAAATATGGGGTATGATTCGGTAATTTGCCATTGCTGGGGTATGATTTGAAAAATAATAGCTTCCTGATATGAGAGGGTTTAATGAAGGTAATGATAGCGGTAAGCTTATCGTCGACTTGATTATTGATAACGGTGGTATTTACGCTGCGCAACGGGGGGTTCGGGGCGGGGTTTGACCCCGAAGTTTACCCCGCCCCGTTGCACAGCGTAGTAGGAATTATTCCTTCGGGGGCCCTACCGAGCCTACGGGACCCGAATAGGGGTGTCTGCAGCGTGAAGTGCGGACACCCCCGGGCTCGAAATTTCGCCCACTCGGCTTTCGTCTGATGTTTTTAGGCTGATAGAAGTCTCATCAAATGCGGTCGGAGAAACTCCCTTATTTCTATGATCGAATAAGCCAGGTCGCGGATTATCTCCTTCGTAGTTTGAGGCCACTTTGACAACTTACCAAATCATACCCCAAGCAATGGCAAATTACCGAATCATACCCCATATTTGGGTGTGATTTGGTGTAGGGGTATGATTCGGTAATTAGGGTATGATTCGGTAAGGATTCGTACTTTCGGGGTATGATTCGGTAATTTGCCCCATTCTCATCTCTTCATTCTTGTTAGTAAGAATATCCAACGTTCACCAGTCCTTGAAAAGAAGCCAACTCCTTGCAAGTATGACCCAAAGTTCGCTCTCCAGACATTCGCTCCACGTTGGGGAGGTTTTCACCCTAGCACTTGGCTTCGGTATTAGTACTCTGGCGGTCTGTGCACGCATATACACGAAGATGCGCCTCACGAAAACAATGATGAAGGAAGACTGTGAGTATTCTCCTCTGGATAGCCCCTGCCTTCAAGTAGTATCATAGCTAAGAGAAGATAGATTTTTCCCTTCTTGCCTGGGTATGATATCTGTCGCTCGACCTACGCAATGTACTATGGTAAGAATGGCGGACGGCTGACCGACGCTGACTTAGCTATTCTTCTTGGCCTATATTGCGCTCGCAGTTGTTATTGGCAAGAGCGATGGATCGATTGAGCATATCGCCTACGTAGGCGTTTTTCCCTGCTTTGTACCTCCGTTGCCCTTGAATGCACTGCTAACAAGGATTCCACTCAGCTCTCGTCCATCGAGTCAGCTATCTACTGTCCAATCATGGTCGCGGTCAAGATCTCTATCCTCCTGCAGTACATCACTCTATTCGTGGCACACCGGGGTACCAATTTCCATTACTTTGTGCAAGGTCTTATCTGGACCAACATACTCTACTATACTATCATTACCTTGCTTTACCTCTTCGAAGTGAGCAAAACCATCTTCCACCCTCTGGTGGTAAAATCCGAGAAGACGAAAGGATGCTGATGCCAAAAAGTGTACCCCTCGGCAAAAGTTGTGGGATCCCACCACCCCTGGGCATTGTTTCGGTAGAGATCAACTCGGAGTTGCCTCTGGTATCATCAACGTTATCTCGGACTTCTCGATATTAATCTTACCACTTCCAATAATCTGGCGCCTTCAAATCTCCTGGTACAAGAAGTCCCGTGTCATTGCAGTTTTCGGTTTTGGGCTGTTCGCTTGTTTTGCAAGCGTCTTGCGCCTTGTGTACAGTTCTGAGCTAATTCATGTCCCCTCCATAAATCCTGCTTATCAATTAGATGTCGACAGGATTGGGCTTTGGGCGTACGCAATTGCACTGTCCTACACCTGTCTTCATCCTGCTGACGACGGCCTAGTTTTGCAGAGATAGCAATCGGCATCATAGTAGGCTGCCTGCCAGTCCTGCCCAGACTCTTCAAGCATCTCGTCTTTAAGGAAGCCGGCTCATCATCGAGATTCAAGATCCTTTCCACCAGCAGCCGAACATCTTGGCGCAGACTATTCCGCAAGTCCACTACACCGGAGCTGACCAGCAAAGATTCTTCATACTTCAACCGAAAGTCTCTCCGCAGCAAGGAAAGCTCGAGGTCTACCGGAGCTCCATATATTGAAACGCCAATTCTCACACGCAATTCCTTTCAACTTTCGGAGAATAATCTTCCGAGAATACCCTCGCCGGTCTTTGATAAAGAATATTCAGCGGCGGCGCTACGGATTGCTACCTTTGGTCCAGGGGGAAAAGGGTATGTGGAAAATGGTAGAATTATCGACGTAGAAAGCGGAATCCGGGCAGGATGGAACTGATGAGATATGGTTGGGATGACCAAGGCGAGATATCTTGCTCAATATGATTTCCTTTCTGGGGTGGTAAGTCACATACCACCCCAAAAGCACCGGATAGCACACCTGTAGGGTATGTTCCGGGGTGGGGTGTGACTTACCACCCTGTAAGGGGACAAGCGGATATATGCAACAATTTGCAGCATGATCAGCTCATAACATCCATCGCAATCAGCACCTGCAGCAAACATCTCTACCAACTTCTATTACCTGTCCGCCGAGCTGCTCGTCAAATGTGGTCGGACAGCCGAACTCATTACTTGTCGTCCACTCGCTGTGATGCTGACTTCGCGTGCAAGCGTTCAAAGATCCAAGTGGAGGACGGCATCACAGATCCCTAGACATGGCCATGTGCTGGCATAGTTACAAACTTGATCCCGTCCAAAATGTTGAATTGTTGGTCACACGCCTGCTCATAGGAGGAAACTGATACTGAGCCGGATCTCCGCTCGTGTATGGGTCCAAAAGATGGTTTCTCTCTGTGGCAATAAAATGCTGACCCTCTCTCACTACGAAAAGCCCTTACAGGAGCGCATTGAGGTGGCTATCGCGCTCGCAAACCAGCCAGCGAATGGGCCTGAAACTTTCGCAACATCCTTGGCTCTTGGACCTCTTCCATCCCTGGCTCCTTTTATGACGAATAGTGAAAATTTGACACCATTATATGCAGAAGCACGGAGATTGGGCATGGTAAACTCTCATTACTTGTTGGAGCTTGCGTTGGAGCAACGTGAGGTGAATCAGATTGGTGAAAAAGCAAGCGACTGTAAAAGTACATGAACTTCTAAGGATTATTATACAGGATGTCGAATTCTCCTCAAAGAGCTGGGTATACGGAGCGTGCCACCTCAAAGTTGCCGATGTAATCACACGAACTCAGGGATTTGCTCAAGTTCACGAACAGGTATTTCCACAAATGCAATAACGTCGGTAATTTACGCCTTCATCATACATCCCAACCATTTAATGTTACGTCCACGTCCTCATCAGCGCTTCATCACACACAAAGATCTAACGCCTCGTCAACTTTTCGGATAGATCAAAAGAAAATCTTGAATGGTTTTCCATCAAGACCTCTATGCCAAAATTGCCCCTTCTTTTCGATGAGCATGATAGAGCCAGGGAGGGAAGAGCAAAACTTGCGGCAGTATATCACCAATGCGTACATCAAAGAAGTATCGAAAAGCCAGCAATGTTCAAACTGAGCAACCAATAACGAAGGCGAACAAGAACGCCTTGGGGAGCTCCGGATGCGGTGAAGGAAACAGTGTTTACAATTCCGCATACGCTACGTAAGAACCCTCTAGAATCGTACCCTCGTGTATCATCACGACCTCGTCGTAGTCCTACGTAAGGCATGTTGCGGCCGATCAACCTAGCTTTAACCTTCTAGCAGAGGAGGTGGCTGTGGATGTAGGCCAGGCTAACAAGCCCGAGGGACTAAGCGGTAAAGACGAGGTAGTGAGGTGGTTATGAATGCGTGATAGGTCGTCGAGAACTGCTCGAAAGATAGGTGGAGGTAAAGATCGCCTCCGTTCAATCACATGGCCTTTACCAGGTCTCGAGCGAGTGCGTTAGAGTTCCTGACCAGATGATAAGTGTATGCATGATTTTGTTACGGGCGCTGTGCTGTGGCTCGTTCGCTACAACAATGCTGACCTCGGCATGGTTGGCTTCGTGGTTTTGTTTGACCTCTCAGTCCCGGAGTCGACGCCACTTAGCCCGCCCTACAACACAAGGCCGTAAAGTGTTCGCCCGAAGACTACCGACCACTTCCATTCTCAATCAAGTGTCAAGGTTAAACTGCGGTGCTGACCAAGGCGCTGTGTTGACCAAAATCATGTCCATTTAATCCTCGGCTACGAACCTCGTTCTTTTCTCTAGCACTTATAATCTACATAGGTACCCATTAAGCTGCTAGCCTTGCTATCCTGGCATCAACATGGCATCACTTATCGACTTGCCCAATGATATCGTGATGCCGATCATTGACTTGGTTCATGTTGAAGACATCGTATCATTCTCATCATGCCACAAACGCATTCGCTTGCTATCCGTGGGCGTATTGAAGGAGTACAAGGAGATGAAAAGAGCTTGCATTTGGAACATCTCCTCGGCGAGGCTACAATCACCAAACGATAGATGCCGGCCACTGTTTGAGAGCAATTATCCACAATGACACTCTTGCACGGTATCCTGCCAAGATCCCCATCAACGAATGCCATGAAAGACCTTTAAATTGGTCTGGTACGTGGCAGTGGGACAAGCAGGATGTGACCGCGGCGGCCGTTGCTGACTGCCGAGATTCAACTCTGGCTAAGATCGAGACGTGTCCTTACATCGAACGCTGGATGCGACAGAGTTGGATACGAGAAATCTTCGATGGCAGGGAATCGACCGTTGTCGCACTACTCGTCCTCTATCTCCCAAACCTGAAGTCGATCACGATATTTGACTCAATCGGAAGTCTCGGTTGTTTGGAGCGGCTGATCTCAACGATCGATGCCGCACACCGAAAGCATAAGCAAAACCCCACTACTCCTCTCAGCCAATTGTCTCACCTAAGGTTGGATCGTCGGGACGCCTGGAACGATGATTCTGGAGCCTCGCTGCCCCAATGGCTGCCAATTGTCGCTGGCCTGCCATCCTCGCGTCGTCTTTCCGGAGAAGCTTTAATTGGACACTGCTCCAAGCGGTCTAAACCATACTCAAAACACACAAATAAAAAGAAGATGTGAAGAAAAAACCAGAACCAAAGCCAAACATCATACCAACAACCGAGCTTGGTCCATCGGAACCTTCTATCCAAAGTGTTCAACCCACGAAGACCTATCGGCCAAACCTTGCCTGGAACTTTAAATTTGAAAAAAGGGGGGTCCGGAAAAGAAAATCCTTCCCCTCGTAGACCTCTTGCCCGCTTTGATCGAGGTGGACCTGGCCTATCCTTTCAAATAGCAATGGCCAGGTCGAGTTTGACAAGTTCGCATGGAGGTCGATGACAAGTTCGATGTGACATGGGGGCCCCCTTTATGAAGGCAGGCATTGACTTGGTGTGTTGGAAGGTGCGGAATGCGGCTGAAAGAAACCGACATGAATGGTAAGGCAAGCGGCGCGAGGAACGCGTGGTCGATGACAATTTGATAGGACAATTTTCGAAAATGAGGGGCTTGACACCATGTTGGCTGTATGGGTGTTGAGTAAGACAGAAAGCGAGAATACAAATGCCAAGGTAACGCCGTTGGATCATTGAGCGGAGGACGTGAAATCTTTGAGCCTAGAGCTTGCATTCATTTTTGTGAGAGAAATCAAAACCCACGCTTTCCACTAAAGATACTCAGGCTATTCGCGTCCAACCATGGGGCAATGGGTCACAGGCCTTACATAGACCCAAAAAAATGGTGTCACAGTCGAATGCCTGATCCAGGATCTGCTGCGAATGGGGCTCTGAAAGTTCCTCTAGCAACTCTGGCAGACGAAAGCACCTATAGAAAACACCCAAGTCGTCAAACACGAAGGTGTCTTGTATGTCCACAGCGAAGATACTATCACCACCTTGAAAATTCGTCCATCTATCCAGATTGATATGAAATCGATTGTCAATGCCAAAACCATCAAAGTCTCTGATTCTCAATATTCTTTCATCACACAAAGGACATAAATGTGCAGAACTAGGATGATGTACTCTTGGGACTATGGTTCAACCTCCAGTTTTTCACTTCGTACTCTATTGGAGATTTCATCTTCACAGTTGGGTAGGTGAGACTAAGGAGCACTTTTCTTACAGCGCGGATTAATGTCATCGACCCTTGTACCTACCTAGCTCCTGGGTAGATGATAAGCTTTTGATAAGGCTGACGGCTGAGCGGCAGCTTCCGATATCGTGCCGCTAGTCCGGAAATGTTCTCTCTCCATCCCAACCCTTGTCCTTTTGCTTCACCTCCAGAACTGGGACTCATCAACATGTCTGTCCCACGCCTGATCTTCCTCTACCCTCACCTCTTCAACCCAGCAAGATTCCACAAGGCAGGTCTCACATTCAAGCCCCGACGTGCTTCCCAACAGCCCTTCCAAAAAGCAGGCATCAGCACCACGCGAACCCGCAGACAAGAAACCTACGCCCAACGCTATGGCACGGCCGCCGAACCTCAACCACCCCCCGGCATGCCCACGAAACCCCAAGAGGAGAAATCTCTAGCTAGTGCCATCGAGAAAGAAGTGAAGAGGGACACCAAACCCGAGGAAAACAAAATCCAAGCCCCTCCATCAAAAGAATCCGAGAAAAAGGCAACGCCAGAACCCAAAGACGACAACAAAGTGTTACCAGACGCGTCCCGCGACGCTGCAATCACAACCTCGATGCGTGACCCCTCAACCCGTGCCACCGAACTCGACGCCTCGGAGCCTCACCCCAAACAAACATCCCCCGAATCCATTAACGACAGCAAAACCCGCACCGCCAAGCCGCTCGAAACCGTTCTGCAAATGGGCGCCCCGGCGGTCGAGAAGCCAGAAGAGCATAAAGCGCCGCATCTGCAGGCGCCGCCGTATGTGCACCATTTCGATACCTTTACGCTCGTGAAGGATCTGGAGGGGGGAGGGTTTAGTGAGGAGCAGAGCGTAACCATTATGAAGGCCGTGAGGGGGCAGTTGGCGATAAACTTAGATGTGGCTAAGGAAGGCTTGGTTTCAAAGTCTGACGTCGAGAACGTAATTTCCCCCAACCGCCTTCTGCACATATCTTCCCACCCACCCCAAAGGTAACATCCTCGCTAACCCTCGTGACCAAATAAAGGAAACCTACCTCTTCCGCGCCGCCTGCTCCGAACTCCGCACCGAAATCCTCAACACCCGCAAAAGCAGCTCCACCCACACCCGCACCCAGCTCTCCCACCTCCAACACACCTACGACATCCTCTCCCAGCGCGTCTCCCAAGAAGCACTGAGCCTCAAAGACGACCTCCGGGGCATGCTCAACGACCGACGCATGGCCGTGCGCATGCAGAGCCAGACCCGCGACGGAGAGATCAGCGAGTTGAATTACAAAATCAGTGTCGTGCTTGGGTCAGAGCAGAAGAGCGAGGTGGAGGGCCTGAGATGGGTGTTGACGAGGAGGGCGGCGATGGCGATCGGGCTGATGGCGGTTTTGATACTGGGGAGTTTGAGGTATAGTAGTTATAAGATGCACGAGAGGGACATTGAGGAGAGGAAGAAAGGGGCTCAATCGCAGAGTTCGGGGACGGGGACGAGTAGTGGGAGTGCGGGCGGCAGTTTTACGGTGCCGAGTCGGGAGATGGGGACGCAGACTGGGGCAGAGGAGAAGGGCGGCATGGGTGATAAGAGTGAGAATGTTGGGTATGTTTCATTGGGGTAGATGAGATGGACGGACGAGAAGCAGTCATGGATTTATTGGACGACTATGCAGCGTATATACCCCAGTCATTCGACGAGAAGCCTATGTCCACCAATCGCAGTCCAATGGCAATGGACTTCCCAAACCAATGCTCCGCTAAAACATGCCCAATTAAAATGTACACGGCGCACAACATGATGCCAAAATACGAGACAAACAAGCCATCTTTTGCCAATTCATCTTCCTCCAAAATTCAACTTGAGCGCAATGCTGGGTTCCGTCTCTGCAGCGCTCTCCCTATTCCCGCCAGTGCTTCTCCCTGCTCCCCCACCTTCTCGAATGACGGTCTCCATAAAGGTTCTTTGTCCGGCGCTCATCTTAGCCACCACACCCCTGAACATAGGCGTTAGATTGCCACCTGCTAGTTCGAGCAGTCTTTTCGAGGTTTCGAGGTAGACAGCCTTGCCCTCAGCTGAGGCGCGGGTCAGAAGCATCGGGATGATGATGCACATTGCAGCTGAGGATGCGTCGCCTGAAGTAGTCGTAACGAAAGATGTGAGAGCGTGCGCGGTGAGTGAGCGTGCGTTCTCCGGATCTGGTAGTTCTGTGTCTGCTGTGAAGAGAAGTAGACGTGGGAAGAGGTATCGTGCGATTGACTCGTCGGTCTCGCTTTTGGGGCTGACCATTATAAGAGAGCGAAGGCAACTTGCAACGACCTTGGCGAGACCGAGATCCTGGAGGCAGCCGAGCATTTCATCTAATGTACGTGTGATGAGAGGATCGTTGGGGGCCAGAGAACGTGACGCGTTGGTGAGAAGTATGGTACAGGCGAGAAGGGTGTTCTTGGCGCATGGAAGCGAGGTTTCTGATTCGCGGCGCTGAGCGTGCGAGAGAATTGAGAGAAATCGATGGAGACAGCCACGGATCAAATCAGAGCTGGCTGCCAATGTAGAGGCGGTTGCAACAGTTTGAAGGAAACGTTTGAAGATCGGAAAGGCTTGGGGGACCACCTTAGCCTGGCAGGCACCGGTGCTGAGGATAGTGGCAAAGATGTGGAGGATGCTGGCGTGGAGGTCGGTTTTAATGATGGAGGGGAATATCTCAGAAGCATCTACCAGGGATTCTAGTGACTTCTGGATCACCGACACTGCTTCATCGGGGAGCTGTGGTCTGATTGAAGGGTTGCGCTCTCCAAGATTTGGCAAGACGCCTGCAAGGACCAGAACGATGATTCTTGTCAGCTCAAAGAGCTGCTCGATATCATCTGATAGATGCTCTCCGTTGTTATCTTCCCCTCTCGCAGATGGGTGCGTGAGACACATGTTTCTCGCAACATCGACAATGACAAGTTGGACATCGAGACCTTCAGTAAGGGCCAATCGATCGAAGAGCTCCATAGTCTCTGCAAACACAGCGTCTTGGAAGACCGCATTGCCAGAGACAGATGGTTGAAGTATCCTTTTGAGCGCCGAAAGAACCTCTAGGGTTTGCAATTCTGAGCCGCTACCAGGCCTAGTGGTTAATGCCTCGATCACAATACCAAAAAGAACGAAGAAGAAGGCAGCAGGTTCGTCGCGGTAGTCGATGTCATGTTTTGTGGTAACAGTGCCGTTGGTCTTAGGAGTGCTTGACTTGCCATCCAGCGCGTCGAAAACAAAGTCGCTGTCCTGATCAATCAGACTGGCAATAGCGTCGACGAGCTTGAGCCATGAGTCTTGGTAGAACTTTCTCATTCATCAGCAAACAATCTATCAAACAACCGGATAATCTCGGCCTACCTTGAGTAATGTCTGCCGATTGAACGCGGCATATACCACATCAAGACCCTCGTCTGGTCTGGCTGGCCCCATGGAATTAGAGATGTCTGGCTCAAACCTCAAGCGCGCAAATTCCTGCAATGATGAGAGCCACAGCGGAGTAAGCTTGGCCACATGTGGCTGCATTACTTTCACGAGGTACTCTTGTTCAGTACTAGCAACTTGTAACTCGGCCCATGCAGACAGCACTGCCATCCTGACCATAATTTGCGCATTGGGACTGAGACCACGCAATTCGCCAATCGCAGAGTCCTGAGCATCATCTAGCCTTCGTTAGCAAGAATTTTTGCAACACAACTATTGACTTACCTGTAAAGCTTTCCAATGCTGTCACTAAAAGCTTCAGAATCCTACCCATGCGATCGACATCGGTAACGAGGCCGGTAGCAATGAAGGTTGCGCATACATCTACTGCTGCTGAAGCGAGATCAGGCGATGAGTCCGCACCAAAAGCTGGTGTCAATGCGGAGCTGACTTGGGCTTGGTACTGCTCGAGTAGAAGGGCCTCCGAGAAATCAGGGTCTGGCATGGTCCCGAATATCTGATTGATTTAATGAATGCCATAGGCCAAGGGTTCTCAGATTGTCATACCTTCAGGACTTGATCAATCAGTTGCAGGCCTCCAACCTGCAATTCAACGACCGAGGCTGTCGATGCTAGAAACGCCAAACGGATCACCTCTGCGATCTTATCCTGTAAGGCATGACCAGCTGCTGAGTCCGGGTCTGATTCCATTTCTTTACCGATCATGGCCGCCAAATCACTCAAACATTGCAATGCAAAAGCTCGTGTTTGCCATCTCAGCAGCTCCTGAGTTGCTGAAGGCACCGGAGCGCCGTTCTGGTCTTTCCCATCCCCTGAGGCAAATCCAGCTACTTCCTCATCTTGCAAATCTGGCGCTGCAGACTTGGGTTCTGTGGCTGAAGCGGGTTCAGGTTGAGATTTCGCCGCCTTAGTAAGGACATGCTGGCAACGCGAGACCCACTTCTCGGCTTCAGTCAGGCCTGACTGACCAAGCCAAGACTGAACGAGATTGCGGATACCTTCCTCTCCGGGCTTATCGTTCAATGCGAGCCACAGCTGATCTTCTAAGCCTTCATTGGCAACCGCGAGGGTATATTCGGCATCCCTTCGCATGAGATTGTAGAGCCCATCCACAGACACCTTCCGAACGATGCTGTTGGTTGACTCAAGTTTACCTTGCAAACGACGCACATAAGCTGTCAAATCGACATGCCCGGAATCATAGAGGTACATGTGCTCCCAAGCGCGTAAGCACTCTGCTTGGACAACGGCCAGATCGTCTTCCGCAAATTGTTTCATGAGAATGAGCATGAGTTCCCTTGCTTTGTTCATGTCTTGAAGATCAGGACCAAGGACGTTGACAAGAGAATCGATGCTGTGTGCAACTACTGTAGCGCTAGGCCAGGCGATTTCGAGATTGGAAGATGCTGTCAGAGCCGACTCTTCGTTGTGGCTGTCACATGTCCATATCTGAGCCAGTAGGCCCAGTGTGCTAGCGACGTATCCTGAAAATGTCAGGCCGGCGGAGTCAGCAACCTGAGATAGAGCTTCGATTGCGCAGAAATGCACGGTTGGGTTCGGGTCGCTGCACAGTGACATCAACACTCCATGAATCTTCTTCAGATGGAAGCCTGCTGCCATTCCTCCGACTTGAGCATGTATGGACCCTAGAGCCATTGCACATCCGGCACGAGCATTGGGATCTCTGTTGGTAACAATAATATCGATCAACGTATTGACCTCGTTCGCGGTAAAAGTATTTCCAGAACTGTTGCAGAGTCTCCCTATGGCCTCATAAGCAACGAACCGGATGGAACGATCCTGGTCAATCACCAAGCCCTAGGCTGCCGTTAATACAGACTGCGTTAAACCAGGAGCCGTGCTGTGGACATACTCTTAGTATTTCCTCTATGCTTTTTTCGACTGTGGGATGCTTGAGATCCCCATGTTCAGCCATAGTCTCACCAACGGCGACCTTGAGCGCGCTCAACAAGGCCATAGCAGTATTGACAGCAACAGCTGCTTTTCTCCCAGGATCTCGTTGAAGGCTCGTAGACGTCAAGAAAGTAGCCAACTGCTCTAGTACCCCTTCTTGAACTCTTGAGCTGTGGAGCGGAAACGCTGTGGCGAAGAGAACGATAGCAGAATTAACCACCTCAGTCGCCGGTGGATCTGGCAGACTTTCGGCCTGGTCCTCGGAACTGGTATAGAGGCATACCGAGTCATGTTCTTGTGCACCGCAAATTGGACCCATGAGCTAGCCAAGCTTTGTCAGCGAGTTTTCCGAAAGGGAGACTTGCACAGCCAACGTACCGTCTCGTCAATATCCGAAAAGTCATCGCCATGATGTCGCCAACGAACGTGTTGCGTGGTGCTGTGCTCTCCTGGTAGTGCCTTGATGAGTTGCCCGCGGACTAGACCTGTGACACCAAAGCCAGAATTGTCTGCGACCTCCCAAATACTCTCAAATGTGCCTGCAGCATTTGCAATGGACGAGCCAAGGGTCCCCGGTGCATAGCTTTCTGGATCTGCTAACAGCGTCACGGCGAGTGTCAAAAGGTTCGATTGTGTGAGAATCTCGCCGCTAGCTTGGGGACTGAAGCTGATCAATCTTGAATAACACTGGAGGACCCTCCGACGGACCATCAGAACCAGGTCTTGTAGTTGCAGTGAAAAGAACAGCCTTTGGGACGCGTCCTCGATGAGCTTCTTGCGTGGTAAATTTTCCAAATATTCGACAGTATTTTGCAGCATGGTCGCAATTCGTTTGGCGACATCAGTTGTTATCAGTCTGCCATTAAACTCAAGGAATGAAAGTATAGATCCTAAAGTACATTCCCGAACGTGGGTTAGATACGTAATCTCTGAAGACTGCCGCTGCGCAGTGTTCTCTCTTGTCAGCGGCTTCGGCAGCGCGTTTCGCCAAAGCAATAGGAACTGCGACAAGTGGATCTTGACAAAATTTGGCCCTAGCGCCATGAGACCGCCTATCAGGATCCAAGAGACTTGAACTTGAGTACCGGCCACACGTAGCTCGGCTTTACTGCTTGATTTGAGTAGATCGATAGCGGTGGACAAAACGCGCGAGCTAATCTCGAGTGAACTGTAAAGTGGCTGCGAGGGCGATATGCTCAGGACCGCCGCAAGCCCATTAGCATATCCGACGCAGCGACGAGGGGATTGGCGAACAGTAGTCAATAAATTGAGTTCTCTGTTGACACTGTTCATGCAAATGGAAGCACAGGATAGCAGCTGTTGTGGGCATGCCATCACAAAAGCACGCAGACAATGAGAAGCATGGATCTGCACTGTGTAACTTGGGTGCTGCAAGACCTGGACAAGAGCCTCCCGACAGCTGTCGCCGAGGGAAGTGAAAGCCGCTCCCAATGACTTGATAAGTGAAGCCAGAGCATCCAGAACGCCAACGAGAGTATGTTTTGATGGCTCCGGTACTTCTTTCAGGACTTGAGGGTAGTTCTTGAGCACATCGTTGATTAAAGTCCTTGCTGCGTTGAGCCGCCCGGTCTCACCAAGGATTCTGGAACCAATACAGTCGGCCAAGATCTTTTGCACATATCTTCGCGTCAGTAATAGCCGGTAACGATCGTGGGTAACTGATGCATTGCTCAAAAGCTCGGCTATAAGGTGATTCATAATCTGACCATAGTTTGTCTCGACGGTTGAGGCGTTCAAGCCGCTGAGGACTTTTATGTAGCAGTGCGCAATACCTGCTCTGAGCCTATTGCTGGTAGTCGAGCGGTGATACTGTGACGAGAGTTGTCTGAAAATGTCTGAAAGAGAGAGTTCTAGCTTCATGGCGGTCTTCTTCCCTGAAGGGGACCCTGGCCTTGTGATCTCTTCCTCTGCCTCTTCCAATACAGCCTGGTTCCTATTGACTTTCTTCGGTTTCCGGGCTTTCGTAGACGATTTCGAGAGAGCGTCCTCCGAATAGGATTTGACAAGCGCCGAAGCAAGACAGGAAGCGGCAGCATGTCGAGCAGCAGGAGCGGACGTTTCAAATGCTTTCCAGATCGCAGCCTTCAAGTTTTCAAAGTCACCAGTTGTCTCGAAACAGTTTGTGTAGGATATCAGCTTTTGCAGGCAATGGCATGCTCTCGCTTGTACCAAAGCTGCCTTATCTCCCGAAGCTGCTGTTCTTCCAGCTTTCCAAATGTCCCTCGCAATTGAGTCTTCAATCGAACCCTGAATCATTCCAACCACTTTTCCAAGAGCCTGAAATATAGCTGCCCGTAACCCTGCATGACTTTGTGCAGCTTTCAAAAGGCGAAGTAGACTCGAGCACACTAGACTCGAGAGATTGATCGCACTGTCCCCAGCGGCGTTGTAGATTTCTCCGAGGCAATGAACGGCGGCATGCTTATTGTGGAGTTCTCTCTCGCCCTTGCCTGCGTTGGCCACAGCGATTAGCTGATCAACCGACTCGAATAGCGTCTTCCTGTTGCCTTTGCCCAATATGATGGCGTAACATCGTCCCAGATTATTCCTAACAGCCTTGGAGGGTATTGGGGAGGATAGGTTAATAATCTGGAGCGTTTCCTTGGTCAAATCCGTTTGCTGGGCACATAGTGCCTCGTACTCCAGCGAACTCGCATATTTCTCGAGCTCGACGGTAAAGGTGAAGAGGTAGAGGTCCTGCTGTTCTGAGGGCAGGGAGTGCAACTTGGGGACGTCGAGTCGAATCTTTGGGGGAAGTCCTCCCTTTTCAGAGTTTTCGGCACTGCCATTAGTGATTGGAGCTGGGCTACCGTTCGGGCGGTTTGACATAAGGGTCAATTTGCGCAAAGATTTGTTATTTATCCCCTGGTGCCCTTTTGCATTTGGGTCTCCCAAGGATCGAGGGACCACTCGTGGTCACGGTACGAGTAAGGCTGAGAGTTCATATGGACGCGACGCTAAAGAAATTTCCCTTTGGAAGGCAGTAGCGCTCGTACAAGCAACTGTTCATGATTGGGGTAAGAACATGCATGACCCTCCAGTTGCGAGGAAGTCGGTGCTTCTCACTGACAAGCAGCCTATATTCTGGACATAGTCGATGGTCCAAGATCAAGCATGACAAGGCGAAAGTAGATGTATGTACCCAGTCAACAGGAGTTAGTGAAGAGGAAACAACTGACCACGCCTACTAGGCTTCGGTGACCAAGCAGCGCTCTACTTTAACGCAAGAACTCCAGCTCGCCTCAAAGCAATATGGAGCAGACCCTCAGTTCAACCCTCGCCTCGCTACAGTAATCACCGCGGCCAAAAAGCAAGGTTTCCCTAAAGCCTCCATCGAGAATGCAATTGCAAGAGGACAAGGCCGTTCGCCCACGGGAGCTGCCTTGGAATCTCTGACTATAGAAGCAATGGTTCCACCTTCGGTCGCTGTTATCGTGGAATGCCAAACGGACTCCAAAGCGCGGACTCTGGGCGACATGAAGTTAGCTATCAAAGAGTCTGGTGGGTCCATGACACCCACCAGCCACATGTTCGACAGAAAGGGAAAGATCGTATTCGAAGGATCTAAAGATATTGGAGAAGAAGAGATCTTCGATCAGGCAATAGAAGCAGGGGCTATCGATGTACAAATGGAAGACGATGGCAAAGTGGTCGTCTATGCCGAATCGAGCCAGACAACGGCAGTCGCGGAGACTCTGGTCAAATCTTCGGGGTTGAAGGTTGAGAGTCTGGATATTGTTTGGGATCCCAAAGATGATATGATGGTCGATGTGGCATCTCCCGAGATGCTCGACAGCTTTCTAGGTGGTTGCAACCACATCCGTCCACTCAATGTAGGCTGACGTCGGTTCCCTATAGGTCGAATCCAAGACGACCCGAGCGTGCAAGTAGTGTATACAAATGCAAGCTAGACAATATTATTCAGAAAGCTACGAGACGGTACATCGAATACGCTAGACTGTTTCCGACTTGCCTGCTGTCTTCTTCAAATTCTCGTAGTGAAACTTTTTGGTAATTGCAGAGATCAGTCTGGCCAGATATGGTGGATGCTTGGGTGAATTTTCTAGCGACTCCTTTTGTCCACGCATGAAAATTCGGATTTCGTTCACTCCTTCTACCACTACAAATTATCTCTTCTTCACTTCACTTTTTACTGCTTGCGACCACTTATTGACTATACTCTGCGACAATTCACACATGGAGTTCTCGTCAGTGGATCTGTGCCTGTCTTAAAGAAACTCTCAGGACTGAACGCCGAGCATGGCTCTCGTCTTAAACAAGACACCTGGCAGTCCATGGAGCATGAAGCTGGTATTGCTGGGTCTAGATTTTGGCTCTAGCTGCCCAAGGCGCGCGTACGGAGCAGAAAGAGTTTCACCAGGAGAGAGAACTGAATACAAAAGACCTTGTGGCCGAGGAGTCAGACCAGATAGAGGAGAAGAGTGATGACGATGTTCCCGAAAAGGAAGAAGATGCAAACATTATGGATTCTGCCGTTGACGAAGAGGAAAACCGAGAGGACAAGAACGAGCAACATGATTGGAAAGACATTGAAGAGGATGAGGATGATATCCAGAACTGTGGAGAAGAACGAGAGGTCTCCGCACTTGCGATCATCGTTCCATCCCAGATGGTCAGAGAGATCCCAAAAACCACCATCGACAAAGAAACCGGGAGGATATTCAATCATATGCCCTTTGCAGAAAAGCTGAGGATCCTCTGCGGCTCTGGCTTTTGCGGTCACGATATGGATTTCTGTGATTGGCTTCGTCCTGTGGGTAATGGCTCAGGCGTCCGAGAATATTACAGTGACGGTGGTCTTCGAAATATGAGCAGGGGAGAGCAAGCATAATCAGTGATATCGGAACAACTTTTCTTGCAGTTTAGAGGTGGCGTGTTGGTCGTGAGGGCTGGCAACTGCTGTTCGTGAAGCTGATTGAAGAAGCATCATGGAAGGGCTCCCGGATGGACACGTTGGGTCTGTCTTCGCCCAATAGGGAAAAAATGGAAGGATCTACTCTTATCTCATTCGTCGGCTCCGTAGAGAAACATATAAGGAAAAGAATCAAAATAATACAACAGACTTTTCTATGGCAGCCGTTGCGGATCACGTGACCGTTTCACTCAGAGAGTCACAGAAGGTCTCCGAAAGAGCCTTTTCGACCAATTTCGCATTCAATATTGTAGATCACAAGCAGTTGTTCATAAAAAGCTCGATCGGAACTTGTAGGACTCTGAAACCAACATCGTATCTCTCTCTCATAGCCCACTTGATCCTCCAAGCGCCGGCATCCTGTAGCCTGCCAGCCGCGTCGCGTGCCAACATTTGCTCCTCCCATCCAACCATTCACCCACCATGAATATCGCATTCACATCTCATTCACATACCCTTCGAACACCACAGAAATGCCTCAACTCGAGATTGATGACACCCGCCAACACCTGCTTCAGGCGGGGCAGAAGGCCAAGACGCGCGCAAGCCGCTTCTGGAACGGCTTCTCGGACTTCGCGCTGCAAGACAACGTCCTCGAGGTAGCCGTCGGTTTGATGTAAGCCATTTCAGTCCCGGATTCTCTGCTCCATATTTTTTGATTCTCCTCTCCTTCTGTCTGGCTCGGGACTAAGTTTCGCTCCTGCGGTCTAGACTAGCAGCAGCCTTCACAGCAGTCGTCACATCCTTCGTCTCGGATGTGCTTCTTCCCATTCTCTCGCTACTGCCGTTCATCGATCGCAACTTTGATGAGAAGTTTGCGGTGCTGAGGGCTGGGCCGCATTACGGCAAGGGCGCAGGGCGGGGGTACAATACGATGAAATTGGCCCTCGAAGATGGAGCCGTGATCATGTCTTGGGGGTATGTTTATTTTCGATTTCTTCTTTCGATGAACCGCATTCGTCGTCGCCGGAAGGGAACGAGGTTCGCTGTGTATACCCGCAACGGACTGGGTTGACAATCGCTCTTTTGACTTGTCTAGCACCTTCATTAACAAAGTCTTCAACTTCATCGGCATCGGTATTGCGCTGTACACTGTTGCACTTGTGTACGGATGGGCGTCAAATGATTCTGTCATCAAGCATACCGTCAAATGCAAGTACTGCAGGAAGAGGATCGGTGAGAAGGTAGGGCGCTCTTTTCCCTACTGAGCGTGGAAGCTGGGTACTAACAACTATTTTTAGGCACAACGCTGCGTAAACTGTACGAGCTGGCAGGACGGCAGGGAGCAGTGAGTGCGATGGACCATCAAAATTGTTGAGCTCCTGTGTATGTTGGAAACCTGTAGTATTGATTTATGTATTTGAGCTCGCCCAATCTGCTTTTCCGTAAGCTCCAGCATTACTTTGATTCAATTATATCTCTTGTCTGCTCTGTGGATGGAGCCAATCCCACTAGCATCTCGACTCGAAGTTGCTCGCGCTTGCTCCCATCGGGTTGACATCCCTTGCGATTGTCGTACTGCTAAGCCCAGGTCTTGCGAAAATTGTGACTTTCACTATCCGAAGACGTTTCAACTTCGGGCTCCCAGCCTCTCCGTACATCATTCAAACGAGCAAATGAGTTCTGAGAGATAACCCCCAAGTTGCCACAAGGAAAGACCTGCTTACCATCGTCGCCTTAAAGAAGGGTCTCAAGCGTTTGGAAGAAAAAGTCGACGTGCTTCTCAGTTCGCTGGAATAGATTGTGGTCGCGCCACAAGAGAATAAAAGCATGAGGAAAGAGGGTATGAAGGCTGGCAAACGCTAGCTTGAGCTCTCTTTTCCCATACCAACATACGGTATGTTTTCCATTCATCCTGCCAGGTCTTACTGACTGGGCTGTGTTCGGACCCAGTATACCTAACGCATACACATTTACTTTTCCCTACTCAGACAACCACGACCTTCAATCCTTGGCCCAGCGTCGCACCTTCACGCTGACCGTGAATCCGCCCAACCTTATTCCCATCTTCGTAGGTGCTGCTCTTGTATTGGGTGTAGCTCACAGATACTCACACGACTCATTTCTACCACCATTCTTTACATTCCGTGGCTGGCTATGTGGTTCGGCAATCGTGAGAGTAATGAAGAAGCTGATGTGGTTGAGAAAAAGCACAAAGAGGAGAGGAAAACGAGAATTATGTCGTATGTAAATACGGTAGGTTATAGGACCAAGAGTTGCTCGCTGTTACTTGGTGTACATAGTGTCGAGGGAAAATGACGTGGATTATGCTTTCTGGTTGATGGATTGGATTGTGGTGGAATAGGAGGAGGATTTGCTGCAGTGGTCTCTGCTGTCCTGGGCCGCACAGATAAATGAGAATCCGATTGTCATACGCAGATTTGCTCCAGCTGAAAGAATGCTTTGTTGTCCTTTGGAATACTTCATCCGATAGATTCATCTCGGTTGTGACTAAATGGTCAAGACTTGAAGTCTTGCTCCATTCTAATCAACTCATCTGTTTACGCCTTGGCTTGCCTATGGGAACGTAAAGCCGAATATCATGAGATCGCAAAGGCTCAACCCGATGAAAACTAGCTATCTTACCAATGTTCTAGAATCTTAACCATCCTACGCATTTCACAACATCTACATCACCCCGCAGTCGCCGTCACTAGGAAGACCACCGATGAAGCCCCCAACACCGCTGTCCGCAAGATCCCCAGTCAGCCGCTCAACGGGCCTTCGCAGCAATGCTAGGAGACGCACACCTGAGGACAACGGTGGCGATAGGGATTGTCGTTAGCAGGGATAAGTATCGTCGAGAGCGGAAGAAACAACAGAAGGAGATGCAGAGGCACGGGGTGAGCAGCGTGGACCAAGTCGAAGTTTCTAGGGACTTGTCTGCTTGAGGGCGGGAACTGCCTTGCGGCCGCTTCTCGGGATGTGAGATGATGTTGTGCTGGCTGGGGTTTTTGCTGGGGACTCGCCAGCTATTGGGCCTGCGCCTTGGTGCATGCATGATCCCTTGCTGGTAAGTGGAGCAAGGGGGCTCGAAAAATGAGGGGGTCACGTCTTCTATATTCCTTCGACCCTACCATCCTCCTCCCGCACCAAACTTGCTCTCATCTCCGTCGCCATGAGAATTCCCCGCAACACCACCCAAACCATGTCCCAACCACTCACCTACACCCTCCCATCACAACCAGCTTCACAGCCACATTCCTCGGCGTATTTGGCGCCGTCCCCCTCCCCCACCCCCACAGGCTTCACGTGGTGCAGCCTCCTCGGACTCTGCAGGCACGTTCGCAGGGTACTAGATCGTCATAACGTCCGCTTTGGAGTCTTCCGCCATAGGAGCCGAGTCTGGAGATCGTGGAGGCGAGAGATGATGAGCTCAGGGACGGACTCGGGGCATGAGCCTGCTGCATTACTTTCTGCTTACGGGCAGAAGCGACTGGCTGCGTCTATTCGGACAACGAGATGGGTGCTTGTAGGGGTTGGGGTTATGATTTTGGGATTCTATACGTTTATACGACGAGGTTTTCATTGACTATGGAATGTTGTTGTATAGAGTACCTACCGGTTGTGCTGCGGTGGGTGAAGGTTACATACAGCGTGGTGGTGCAGGCATAGTGAAATTATTAGGCGTCACTGCGTTGGCTTCAGTCTGTCCTCAAGGATCAAGGTTCTTTCGTGTATGCAAAGCTTCTATGCTCGTGTCAATCCGCTAGGATGATAGAATGCACAGTGTGACAGACACCGTTCCTGCTCCACTTGCTTCTGTTCGGCACGATGTCTTTTCCGTTGACGGACATTCTGCCTTCCATTAACGAATGACCCCCGCCAGCGGATCACCTAGGCCAATATGATCCATCGTCTGCACGTTCCTCCGAGCAACAGCCCTAACATCACCCCTACGCGGTCCCCTGATGGTAAGGAGGTCGTTAGTCCATCTGAAGTGCACTCCTCCGACGGTCATGCTCTCCAAACACGGCCAATGTCCTTGAAACAGTCGCGGATAGAGTATATTCATAAATCGCCTGTCCATGGGCCACACAGCAAAAGGCTGACCAACAAATTGACCAACAATCTGACCTGCAGCCGGAGGGGGAGGTCGACCCGTTCGTTCACCTTGCTCAAAGACGACATGCCGGAGTGTATGCTTCACCGAATTGATGAAGAGGGCAAACTCGTGGTATAAGTCTTCGTCCTTGGCTTGGGATTCTATGGGGAATTCTGTGTGGTACCTCTGCCCGACTTTACGCAATGTCAAGGCTCTCAAATTTGGGCAGCGGCCGATGAGAGGTCCCAGGAGATTCTGCATTGGACCGGCAGAACCGAAAGGGAGGAGGCTTCCGTACCGACGGATTTCGCTGTTCCAAACGGAAGGTCTTTGCTGATAGTCTTGTCGGTGATTGGTTCGGCGGTAAAGGAAATGATCGCAACCTTTTCCCACCTGTTGTAGATTGTCAAGCTCAAGGTGTTCGAGCTTCGCAGGATTATTGTAGAGGATCGAGGCTGCGAAGGAGTAGTGCATGACACCCGAGAGCCGAATGGAGATGGCCGCAGGAAATAGTCCGTTGGAGTAGCCATCGGCAAGCGGATCGCCATGATCTCTGGACAACCATGCAAGGTCTAAAGTTTCGACACCTGTCAGACGGTGAAAGGCATCCCAGATACGCAAGATGGCACGTCTTGAAATGGCTCCAGGTGGAGTAATTCCCAACAGAGGATTTCGAGTGAGCTCTTTGGTGTGTGGTCGCAGCAGAGTCCAAGTGAAGGATTTCACCAGCGTAGCCAGCCCCGGATTCCCCAAGACTGCTGCAATAAAACTCTCCTGCCTTAAGAGCGACCCTGCTGGTACCTAGAGAAGCGAAAGGAGTCAGCAAGATCTTTGGGCCATACACCAGGATTATATGATAGGTTCAAGGAGTGGCAGGGCTTCTGTTTCGAAAAATGTGCCACGCAGCCCACATTTGTATGACGTAATTTTGGGGAATTAGATGAGAATTAGAAGGATCTCCATACCTGTGTACACCAGTAGCTGTCGGAAGACTGAGAAAAGCCGTCCGTTGGCCGGATCATGACCTGGCCGCGGTTGTGGATGCTGAGATCGACGTGCTTGTAAAGGATCGGGTTGCCGATGGCGTACAAGAATCTCGCGGTAAGGCAAAGACTGGGGAGGTCGTTTCGTGGGCAGGACTCCACGATCTCGAGCACTAGCTATAGAGGACATGAGAGTCAGCATGATGTCGTTAAGTAAGAGTTCCCACTACTGGGGATAGAACTGGTGCAGAGACGCCCATTTGCGAGACATGTACGAATAGTGGTCTGATTCCGAAGCCTGAGTTGCGAGCAAGCATTGGGTAAGAAAAGAGAGCTCCATAGATACGCACCTCCACTGGTAGGTTGTCCATACTGGTCGTGATAAGTCTCCGAAACTTCTGGAAACTGGTGGCCCTGCAAAGAAGAGGGAATGCGAACCAGCGATATTTTCTGTAACGCAAGCAAGCACAACAAATGCTGAGAGGTAGGCTGTTGAGGCCAAAGATGCGGAAATTCTTGGCACCGAAGGACTAAGCCAAGACGGTGCACAACACAAGAGTTGACAGCCGCACTACCCTCGGCGCAACATCAAGATCTCTACCAGGCAAAATGGCAACATCGAAGACATAGTTCCTCAACCTATCGGCAGCCTTAACAGTGAGACAGAATATAGTTTCTGTCACACAATCTGCCAGCAGTCTTTTCCAAAAATCAACAGCAAACAACTTCGGGTTGAGATCCCTGACTGCGCAAGCATTGGAAGAGACCAACACTCAAGAATGCCACACTTTTTGACAGGACCGCAATATATACGACAAGAAGGTCTCTCAAGAACACGAAATGTCTCCAACTTTGGAGTATTTATATAGAAAGGGTTGACGAGAGCGAGTCGTATAAGACGAAGGCGCCAATTTCGTGGCAGGTGTTTGCTTGCAAGTCCCTCTACAACAAGAGAGATGCTTAATGGTTATTTGCCCACGCAGAATCTATTGTTGGCCGTCAGCATTTTGGCACTGCTTAAAGGTAATAGTCTTCTATTACTTTTCGAAGACCACCCCCAGCACCTCTTCGACATCGCCAGATTCGCCCCTTCCAATGATTTTTGCTAGACAGTCAGCGGCAAAGCGTAAGCTCTCCGCTGCGAGGACGACATCGACATCATCCCCGTGATCAGTAATTATACTTTCGTTCTGGTCATTATCTTGAACTTCGGCTAAAAAGTTCTCCAGGTGCTGAAGACACTGTAGCAGCAGTAACCGTTGTCGTTCCGTGGCACCAAGTGATTCGGCCCAAGCCGAGTGACTGCCCGTCCCGAATTTTTCTATGGGGACAGCCGCAGTGGTCATCCTGCCAAAGAGTTGGGTCAAGCCGTTAAGAAAAGCCCGAATGCCACTTGGATCAGATTTGTCATCGATATTGGACATTTGAGTATTGGTACAAGAGATCGCGAAGAGTGGGGTTTCAGATAGGTCAAAGAAATCTCTGAGTGCCTGATGTCGTCGGAACTTTGATCGTGTATTCGAGAGATGAGCATTGCTGGCGAATAAGTCTGCTTTGTTTAGAACGCAAACGACCTTCTGTGAGCCTAGATCGATCTGGTTCAACACCTTCTGGACCTCGGAACCTATCGAGACGTTGATTTTCGAGTTTGCTGAGCTCTTCACTACCTCTGCAGAAAGCACGACGATGACGACGTCTGCCTTGAGTGCTCTTTCTTTAGCCCTTCTGATACCTTCTTTTTCTACATCTCCGATTTGCTCAGTGTCAGAAGTCTGCGTCTGCTGCCGAAGCCCAGCAAGGTCACCGAATCGACAGTAAAAGCCTCCAATATCGACATTGACATCCACTACATCTCTTGTTGTACCTGCTTCGCTGCTCACAATGGCTGCTTCTCGGCCCACGATCTGGTTGAGGAGAGAGCTTTTTCCAGCATTCGGTGCTCCAATGAGGGCTATGTTGATGCCATTTCGCAGTAACTCTCCTCGAGATGCACTTTCGATGTTCGCTTGCAATTGTGATTTCAGTTGTCGGACCTGTTTCGCAACCGATGCGCACAGCTTTGCAGGCGATTCATCAAAATGCTGATCTTCGGAAAAATCAATCAAAGCCTCTAGCTCTCCTCTGGCGTACAGCAGCTTCTGTCTCCATGCCTCATAGCGTTCTGCAAGGACGTTTGTTGAGCCTCGAACTGCTAGCCGGCGTTGTTGCTCTGTGTCTGCTGCCAAGGTATCCCCAAGTGCTTCGATTTGCAGGAGATCGAGTCTATTGTTGTAGAACGCTCGGCGTGTGAATTCTCCAGGCTCGGCATATCGAATAATCTGAGGAGCATGCTGTGGGACGGTCTTAGGTATGGCAGCTAACACGGCCTTTACCACTGCTGTTCCACCATGTACATGGAGTTCGAGGCTTTCTTCGCCCGTTGCTGTGTGTGGTGCAGGGAAGTAAAAGACTAACGCATTTGAGTCTAGGACTTGTTCATGTCGGCTGTCTACCGAAGTCACTGAAGGCTCAAATAGAGTCCTCAGTGTGGCGACACGGGGCTTTGGTGGCAGTTTGTGTGGGCAAAGTGCTTTATAAACAATCAAGCAAGCTGGACCAGATATCCTGATAATGGCTATGGCTGCTCGTCCTGGAGCAGTCGACAAGGCGTATATAGTGGGTTCATCATTTTTGATGAGATTGGAGCTTCTCCTCACTTCCGTTCGATGCCATGCTTGGAGTGTGTCATACTTCCTCCTGACACTCCAAAAAGGACCTGGCCTAGATGAGTATGCTCGAACTCTGGATATCTGTGCTCGAGATTGTGGTTCAAATTTTATTAGGAAAGAGAACGAAGTTCGGAGTGATATAAGAGTGTGAAGTGGCTGACAAAGAGCCTTCATCCCCTACTTAACTTGGAGTGTATAATGCATTTTTGACAGTGACGCCCGACGCCCAAGTCGAGCCACTAGCGGATCGACAAGAGTCTTGGCAGTGTTGCCGGCGGCAAAACTGCGGTAGAATTTGGCACGAAATTTCACTCTTTTTCTCAGTCTCTTGCCGATATTTGTGTTTGTTTGTGCCTCTACAGCCTACAGTGCGTATGGTCTGCGGGACCTCTCTACTATGGCCTCCGATGAGATTGTCTGGCAAATTATAAATCAACAATTCTGTTCGTTCAAGCTGAAGTACGCTCCCCTCCCTGTCTTGTCCCATATACCACACCAATGACTACAGCTAACATCACTCCTACTACCAGAACACCCAAACAACAAAATTTCTGCCGCAACGAATACAACGTCACTGGCCTCTGCAACCGTCAATCCTGTCCTCTCGCCAACTCACGTTATGCCACCATCCGCAGCAATCCCGAAACCGGTACCATCTACCTCTACATGAAAACCATCGAGCGGCAACACATGCCCTCGAAGCTATGGGAGAAGATCAAGTTGTCTCAGAACTACGGCAAAGCCCTCGAACAGATCGACGCTCGTCTCATCTACTGGCCTAAATTCCTCATTCACAAATGCAAGCAGCGTTTGACTCGCCTGACACAGGTTGCGATTCGCTCACGCCGCCTTGCACAAGAAGAAGAGATATTGGGGGAGAAAGTGGTGCCGAAACTTGCCCCCAAAGTTCGAAGGAGGGAAGCGACCCGGGAGAGGAAAGCGGAAGCGGCAGCGAAGGTAGAGAGGGCGATTGAGCGAGAATTGATCGAGCGATTGAGGAGTGGGGCATATGGAGAGCGACCTCTAAATGTTGAGGAGGGAGTGTGGAAGAAAGTACTGAAGGGCCTGGAAAGAGGCGGTGATGGCGAAAGGGACAAAGATCTTGACCAGGGAATAGAAGACGAGGAAGAACTCGAAGAAGAGGAGGAATTAGAGGAAGAGGGTGTGGGACAAGTGGAGTATGTGAGCGACATCGATGAGGAGGAGGATGTGGAATTGGAAGATTTCGAAGACTGGCTGGGTAGTGGGGAAGAAACAGGCAGTGATGAGGAAGATGGTGACAGCGAAGAAGAGAGCGGCAGTGAAAACGAGGACGAGAAAGGAGATGACAGAAGCCTGCGACAGGTGCGAAGAGGAAACGTGAAAAGGCCCCCCAACCAGCTCGCAAGACAAAGCCGCGGATGGAGATCGAGTACGAGGATGAGGCGAATGTGCCAGTGCGAGAAGCTGTGCTTGCGTGAGCATTGCCAGTCGATCGAGCGAGAGGAGATATTGGGGTGCGCGTGAGCATTTCCGAAAAGATGCTGTAGCTATCGCTCGACATTTGCAAGTAAAGCTAAAATGAGACCAGTTTCACGAAAAATTCACTATTGTCATAAGTCAATCCCACTCGTGTCTACCTACTTTAGAGCAGAACTAAAGGAATAGTAACCGGTCTTCCTTACACATCCCCTTGACGCTACATGTATGTATCTCGAGCAAAATCAAACGACAGTGAACCAACCCTCCCCAGCAGCATAACGAACACTCCACACTCCCAGTCAAAACGGCCATCTCTTGGGCTCCATGGGTCACGCAGGGGCTTGATACTCCTTGAGGCAAGCTTCTCATTCCATCTATACCCGTAAGTACCCTCCCAGCCTACTGGGACCATTTCCTAAAACTCGCCTCCCGCCAACTGCCGTGACCTCCCACCCCGGATCCATCAAGAACCCCAATCCGGCAGCACGCACCCACATTTATTTCTTCACGGATCCTCTCCCACCATCCCCGCCACTCTTCCTTCCCCATCCACGACCGACGCAGGGCGCAAACCCGCCAGCTACGCGTTTACCTGTGACACGGTAGGCAGAGAAGACCGGCGTCTCAGAATGCCGTTCCCCAAACCCCTCCTCCGTGTTGTTTGCTGGGTGATATAACGAATGCAACGGAGCGTAACAGAGGACCGGGCCGGTTTGAAACGCTATCAGTGCTGACCCAGTCGCCTGCTTTGATCTCCGGGGGGAGGGGGCAGAATCGTGCGCCTGGGGTTCGGAGTCGCGACGTAGCGATCGTTAGTGGCCGTATGGAGTTGGGCATGCGCGATGTCCTCTTCCGTAAAACGGTGCGTGATCGCGCCAATATGTGATTGTGGGGTACGGTACAACTTCTGGGGTGCTGCCGTGGCAGCTAGCTGTTGGTGCGTGCGTGCAAAGGTGACGGGACGGAAATGGTGGTTTGGAAGGGTTACTGCCGATGTTAGATCGAGGATTGATAGCAGAATGAATGGGTGAATGGCAGGGCTAGGGAATGCGTGGGGTTTGAGTGACAGGGTCACTTCGTTGTAGTGGTTTGTCCATAACAATCGACTGCCTGATACGTTCAACCCTGCCAACCATCCGATTGCTTGAAACCTGTCTTGCCGAGTTTTATACCAGTACGACAGATAGCTGACTGAATAAAACCTGATGTCGAAAGTTGACATAAGCGTTCCAGGGTGATGTTTTTCATTCGAATGCAGTCATTTCTTCACTCTTCATCCAAGAATTTCAAGGCACCCCCCTTCAATCTTCTCCCACTCCTGAACTTTCCGCTGGGTCCATGCATCGACCTCGCTCATGTCGTATCCTCCATCCTCATCTGGCTCTACATTACCGAAAAACGCCGGCCTCACCTCGCCATTTACGATAATCCTCAGACGCTCCTGCTTAGAACTGCCGACATACGTCTCTATTCCCACGTGCCCTAGATAGGGTGCTAGAAGCGAGACGCGCCATTGGCGGTTCGCATCGACCCTTTTCAGGCTCGGCTGCCAATCTTTCTCATAACAGATGCCCAATAAGCAGCAGAGATAGAGAACCTCCTCGCGGTGCGTAAAGCCAACCCGAAGGGGTAGACTTGCACCCGTTTGACCGTCTAGCCCAGAAAGAACCCTCACGGCAGCATTCATCCAAGGAACGGAATACAGGCCGCTATTCTTTGCGCCATAACCTTCGCTGAAATGGTATTTCGTGTCTCGTAAGTACTCGAAGCCGGCCCAGTCTTCGGCATCAAAGCAATGATTAAAGGGAGACTCTCTCCCAGAGACGACATCGTAACAGTGGAGAAGCTGCATGCAATAGATATCTTGGGCGGTCAAGGGCATGGTGGTAGGGTCTAGCCAGTCATTCTCAAGGCGCGCAAGAGAGGCGTAGGTGGTCACATCCATGAGCTGCTTCATTTGCTCACTACCGGCTTGCTGGTCCACCTGGAAGGCGTTGTGCCAGCAAAGATTGTCACAGCTTTTGCTATCCTTCTCGGCGGCTAGCACTTTGACCTTGGTGTCTACTTGCTGAAGGCTGCCTTCGGAATGTTTAGACGCTTCATCCAACTTCCCTGGATGTCAGATGAGCCAGAATAATAAAGATATAGCTTATATAATTATGGAAGCTCATACCAGAGAAAGCGTCCGCAAAAGCAACGGCAGACTGATGGCAACGTGCCGCCTCATCAGTCCACACGGACAACGTAGGATTCCCCTCGGGCTCCCCCGACGGCGCCGTCAACCACTGCTTATATCGTATTCGAAAAGCAGTCCCCAGATCATGGCTCTGCTGCAGGCCGGCCTTCGATACGGTACCCACATGCGCCGCTGTAATCCAGCTCCGATAGTTACCAAGAAAAGCCAAGTTGCCCCGCACGAACGGCCTTCCCTGCTCCTGCAGCCCTTGTAGCTTCTTAAGGAATGGGGCTATGTAGGCGCTGTAATCATGGTGGGAAACCTCGAGGATACCATGCCGGAAGAGGTAGACGGCGCCGGTTATTGTGGAGGAGGCTGGTATGTGGGGTTGTTTGAAGATGTTAGAGTAGGGGGATATGGCCGCTAGATACTTACGAGTATGGCCGTTGGACTGAAGCATTTATATTGAAGTCGGGGTTGGGGTTGGAGTAACGATGTTGCCTTATCGTGAAGCTATAGAGCGGGGTATATCGAGCTAAAAGTTGGGAATGTTCAAGAGCGAGAGGCACAATAGAAGCTCCCTTCTCCTACCGCAACCACTCAATTTTTTGGTATACACGCTTCCGGTCCGAAGCTGTGGCGATCGAATCTCTGAAACTATGATACATTGGCTTACAGACATTGACTCACAGACTCTTTATAAGATCCGAGGTTAAAATTCCAGGGTTTTGACAGGTGCCAGCCCTACACTCATTCCTCGCTTCGGGGGCCAATCATATCGCAAGCTCATTACGGCATACCCCCCCTTGCGTGGGGACTTTCTGAGACTAAGCTTTTCTCTGTGCGTCATCCGATTCCGTCTTCCGACTCAAGCCTTTCAAGCCCCTTCAGCTTGTTTCATCCGTTCTCACAGTTGAGTGGCGACTGCTTCAATGATGTTCTTGCTTGAAACCCAACTACAACTCAGGGGCCCTAATGGAAGTTTAGTAAGCCATTCTGGCCAATCGAAGCTCACGGAATCGGGTTAAGCAGGAGGGGTGTTGTAAGCCGCTGTGGAAAAGGAACCTCCTTCCCGCTGCAGCCTTGCAGAAAGCCATGTTTGAGCCTCACACACTGCCCTGCAAATACTCGCTTCTAAGGACAAGAAGCCAACCAACCAACGCAGACATGGCGTGACGACTGATGAGCTTCTCTCCAACTCTAGCAGCGAGGTGATATGCATTATCAGGAAAGTATCAATTGTTACGTGAACCCCAATGCGAAATGTCACTACTGATAGAATAATGAATGTTACGTGCTCTCCGTCACTAGGTAGGCGCTAATATGTGAATGGCGTCTGTTGCAAGTGACTCGAAGTTCTGGATGTGCGTTCGAGTACACTACAAGAATGGCATTCCCAAGTCCCAAGTACGAGTATGCCTGTCCAACAGATGACGGACAAATACTGACAGCACACAAACCCTCTGAGTACCTCGGCGTCCTAATATGATGCCACGAACATATAAATTTTAGACTAGATCTTCCTGTCTACTTTACATGCGGTGTGCTCTCTACTTCTGATAAACTTTTGCGCCAAGACGTTCTTGGCTTTTATGCTTTTCCAATCCCGACTCTTCTGTTATCCTCGTACATGAGATTCCCTCAGTCCGACCCAGGCACCAGTCACTTCTCTCAGAGCATCTTCTCGCTTTTGTGCTTTTGCTGGATGATGGCCCTCAGGGACGACTTCTGTTGCCGACTACTATCACTGACCACTCACCTCAACTACAGCCTTCACGCTTGAAAACCTTTTCCCTCTACTCCGGAGCCTCGACGACAATGGCGTCTCCACGGCGGGCCCGATCACTCTTCCTCTCTCCTGAAAAGGCAGAACTACTGGCCGCGCGGGAAATAAACAACTTGCTACATCGAGTGGAGGTCGTGCCTCGCAAAGCAGGACCGAGGCAGGCCAGAAGGACGGATATCGTGATGGATAGAGACTCCGGGGACGAAAGACACATGTCAAAGGCCAGTACAATCAACGCGGTCGGCCATTTCTGCGAAGAATACCGTCCACCCTCTGTCGCGCTCCATCGGTTATCTTATCTGAACAAGGAACTCCCACCTCCCCCTCTGTCTGAATCGACCGCCCAGATTCCACATCAGAGCAATGCTGTGAGCCGAGTATATAAACAGAAACACGCGGCTTGCCAGACCGTCATTTCAATACACAGTCGCTACTCTACTCCGATCAAACCCTCTACACCGAGCCGCCTCTCAATTATCTCTTCTCAGGAGGGTGACTCAGGAGATCGTATTTCTATCCGGAGTCGCTACTCTACCCAAGATCCCATTCCCATCGACAACACCGTCTCTCGTTCGAACACCCGTGCTAGTGTTGCAATAGATCGCTGGCGGCCGCCGGATGTTGGGAAGGAAAGCGGTAAATCTTCAAGGAGACAGACTTCTGGCAGCATCAGTCCTAGTACCATACCACATCATGAGATGGTATCGGAAGTGGTGGATCAGACGATCGCAGTCGTCGATCCACAAGAGACGAAGACAAATCCAGGGGCATTGCAAATTATTCCACAAAAGCCTCTCGTGGGCACAAAGAGCAGGGAGATGGTGCCTAGAAGCAGGTCGGATCGAAAGGCTTCCGTCGGTTGGACCTTTCACGATGGTCTCATACTAAGGAACGATGACAGACTTCAGAGTACTACAGGGACGTCTACCGGTAACGCAAACCTCGATTTGGGAGCCAAATCGAAGCACATGATCCCAATCCATTGGAGCTTTCATGAAGGCATGATATTCAGAGCTGATCAGTGTACCGAAGATGAGGATGGTACTTCGAAAGCCAAGTCGAAGCGTATGATACCCATAGGTTGGAGCTTTTACGAAGGGTTTGCATTCAGACCTGATGGTTCGATCGAAGCGATCTCGAAAGCAACTGGAAGAAGCGAGGAGATTGTGCCTAGGAGCAAGTCGAAGCGTATGATCCCCATCGGTTGGACGTTCCAAGAGGGTCTCATATTCACCATTGATGATTCGGTCCGAGATGCCTTGACTTCGTCTGACAAGAGCAAGGACATCGAATCGGAAGCTCGTGCTCAACGTCTGCCCATTGCCTGGTCCTTTCACGATGGTTTCATACTCGGGAATAATGCTAAAGTCAGAGATACCTCGAAGAAAGCTTGCGATAACATAGAGGTTGCCACTATGCCTAGGTCAAAGCGTACTGTTGGCTGGACTTTCACTGACGGCCTGATAATCAAAAATGGTGGCGGGATGTCGCCCAACAACGGAGGGATAGCGACTAGGACCCAATCGAAACGTTCAGTTACTTGGTCCTTCAGCGACGGCCTCATCATCAAGACTCATGTAGGGGCTTCACTCAAAAACAGGAAGCTTGCCACTGGGACTAGTCCAAGGCAAGCTATCAGCTGGAGCTTTCACGATGGCCTAGTAATTGGGACTAATAGCCGCGTCGCCAAGCGCTCTGGCCAAAACAGAAGTACATCGACGAGTACTGAGTCCAAGGGAATGTCTGCTAGCTGGGGCTTTTACGAAGGCTTGACAATCAAGCAGCGATCTAATTCCAAAGGCAAAGGAAAGGGAAAGGGTGTGGACAGGAACCTGCACCCTTTGTTCCCTAAGTCGAACGCCGGACAGCGTCGGCGTATCACATACACTTTCTGGGATGGTGTCACGATGCGAACAATTGATGGGGCTTCAAGTCGAGCCTTGACTCAGTCGAAGTCGAAGCTCGGCTGGACATTCCACGATGGAATCTGCAGGACGACTGTTGAGCCTTCGAATCAGGTTTCCACCTGGGCCCAACCGAAGCGCACGTACGGCTGGACCTTCTATGACGGTCTGAGAATCGAGCCCAATGTTGAAGCTGGAACCTTTTCAAAGACATCATCAGCGATTCGTGGCCCTGCATTTCCCAACTCGCGTTCGGCCCAATTGACGAATAGGGATACTCTAAGTCTTCCGAACGAAAAAAGGGCTGAGCTATTTCCAAAAAAGCCATCGGAGGATGCTGTGTCTGATGTTCCAAACGAGGCTGCTCTGGACGAAGGACAGCTTGATTCCTCCCAGCGACCCAGGCCGTTGCCATCATCTATCCCACCTAAGGAACCCGATCTGTCTCCGAAATCGAAGCCTCCACCCCCGTCTTCTTCTTCATCCGGGGTTTCCTATTTCTCGGCCCAGCCTGGATCATCAAACGTAAACCTGGCACCTGTTCAAGATAGACCCAAGAGACCACCAACCTCACGAGCCAATACCAGATTAGAAACATCTCCAAGCGTCTCCGATACACGGTACTATGTTATCGAAAAGGGAAAAGCCGTCGCAAAGGACGCCTTCAACCAGCCTCCTACGCCCAACTCAAACAAAGATGCCACGCCTCTACCTCTGAAGCCTAGAATTAGGCAGAAACCACTACGATCTAGACCCTCCCTTGAAGACTGGGACGGAACCTTCCCCCGCTCTACCTTTGAGTCTGCGACCAGGCGGAGACAACGCTCGAAGACTAAACTCCCTATCGAAAATGGTAACGGTATACCTCCAGCACTTGCACCCAGGCGCAAGGACGTGCCTCCTCCAACTGCTTCTAAGTACCGCATCGAGCACATCGAGGACGGAAATGCTGTACCTACATCTACGGGTCCGCTTCTTCAGCCTCAAGCGCTTTCGGCCATGCGGAAAAATATAATCGCTGGATACTAACAGTCTAGGGATGAGGCGTTAGATGAGGACGAGTAGGTTGAAGTTACGCGAAGGATTCTGTTACTGTGATTTATGGAGGCGATTTGTGCTGAGAAGGAAAGGCGTGGTCATTCATCCTTTCGGCGCATCTCTGCTCGAAGGCGTTAGCTGAACATTGTCAATTCGAGCGTTCGTTCTGCAAGAGGAGACAGGATGAGGTGTGATGGTGAAAATAGTATGATGCATAGGGAAAAAGTGGCTGAGAGCAGAGGTATCGGGATGCTGCAAGAATGTCAAATGGCAAATATGCAAAGAATTGTGAACGACCGTTTCGATCTGTGTCCGTCGCAGTCGTCCCTTTCGCTCACTTGGCCTGACACCTGCACCTCCACTAGAGAAACGCGGAAGAAAATTGAAGAACCCTCATCGACGTTGAGGAAGTTAAGGTATCTATCTAAGGTGATGAAAGAGTCAAAGATATCAAAGCTCGAGTTTTGATTGCTAGCCTTCAATCCGACCCGTAGCTACCTAGTCATCCGTCACTCCTGCACGAACCATCCAACGCACTCCATGATCTAACACGGTACATTGTTCGAACGTGCTATGACGTAGTGACTCCTCGCCTATCTCTCACATTGGCTCGTTCCGCTACCGAGGTCGATTGGAAGAAGTCGGGTGGTCGCTACGTGCAGTGGATGGCGCATCCGGCATCGGTGGCGAGGAGGGAGTAACAAGTCGTCTAGGTGGGGCGAGGGTGCTGGGAGGGGAGAGAAGACGAGGATGAGAATGGGACCGAACGACTTGAGTCTTTTCGAGCCCCTTCTTCTTTATACGTTCCACGATTGATTGATTGATCGACTGGCGGATTGCTTCACACTTGTTCGAATCGGTCGCGGTGCATGAATGATGGCGCGTCAACGAGCGGCGTATAGCGGTGGTTGAGTCGTGTCCAGCAGACCGGGTACGTGGCAGTCTTCGAGGTCCATCGTACCCACCCCCTCTGCGATCTGGTGCTCCGCACCGTCACGGCTCGTTTCGCTCGACGCCCCCCTCTTCGAGAGGGTCGCGGGCTGAGAAGGGTCGCAGATGACCTGGACCGGGACCTCTAACACTATGGCCTCGTGGTGGATTTTGTCGACGGTGATGTGGAGCACCAGCACGTATCGACGAGCCGACAGCGGGTTGAGAAATGTAGGGATCAGGGCCTTGGACGCGTTCACCGGGACTATCAGCGTGGTCGTCCACGGGGTGGCAAGAGTGTCCGAAGCGATGGTGCCGGCGGAGGACAGGCGATGTAAGCGCCACGAGAGGGTGTCGCACTGGCGGATCTCTCGATAAGTGCAGCTGGAGGTCATCTCGGCCAGCGGCTCCGATTTGACGCTCTCCTTGGTGGGCACCTGAGTGAATGGGTTTGTGGAATAGAATGTTCGGACTTTCAGGTGAGACTTCACGGTCAATCTCCACTCGTACGGTGTGGCGGCTGGGGTGTGGGCTTCGCACGGCTGGAATAGAAGCTTGACCGCTGCTACAGTGGAGGCTCTAGGGGCAGATGTCGAGATGTTGAAGGCCTTTGGTTCCGCCGCCGAGATGGTCAGTTCACCCAATGGCCGATTCCACACGCGTCTCTTCAAGGTCTTGACACAGGTCGTTTTGTACTCGTGAGGGAAATGTTCGATCTGAAGGGGAGGAGACGCTGGAATGGAAGGCATGACGGTAACCTCTCGCTTGGTCCGGCACTTCGTCGCTGAAGTCGTGCCTCGTGGGAACCTGGTGGACACGGCAGTAATAACATACGTGATTCTCGGTTGCATGTATTCTTGCTTGGTGGCTAGTCCGTAATAGCTTTGGCCCTCTCTCACGGTTGGAGGGAGAGTCAGATACGCTGGGTTTACATCGGACCTCGAAGAGATGAGCTCAGTGGGAATGGTGAACGCAAAAGGCAGACGGTATACCGAGAGCCCTTCCCATCGATGTCGATGAGAGGATGTTGCCTCGATCTCTTGGGTTTCACTCAGGAACTTGCATGGAAATCAGTATCTCGTCATTTATCAGTTCCACCAAGAGAAAGGTCTTACTTTGTATTCTGCTGTAGCGTTGTGATCTGGCTGTGCGTTGAGTGACGGCCGCCATGTCCTTATAATGCCTATGTCGAAGAAGTATCAACAAGGATGCCGGCAACAAGCACTGGCACATGCACGCACCTTGAAACACGACGGTAATATTCACGCCAACAAGACTCTCTGAAAACACTTCCAGATAGCCGGCCAGTATGTCACCGCCTTTCCGTGTGTTACAGCATTCCGTTCGCTCTGGACCATCGTCAGGCAGGAGTACTATCCGGAGAGTGGCCTCTGAAGGTTCAAAAGGTGCCATCGATTCTTTCAGAGCCTCGCAAAAGAAACAACCCCCGATAATGTCGTGTCTCGATAGCTTAGAACATCCAGAATCCGAAAGATGGCAGCATTACTACGAGAGCAAAGAAGATGAAGTTTGAGAGAATGCGAAGGCGCTACGCTATGTCGAAGTCTGTCATGTTTGCTGGCCATATCAGCTGGCCCAGTCCCCCCCTTAGCCACAGGTTTTAGTTGCAGATATGCAAGTTGGCCTGGTTTCTTCACCTTCCCCACACCGGCCCACACGGACGCAAAAGTGCTGGAATTTCATGTTCCGGGTACTTCTATCGCGTGATCCAACGATACCCAGTAAGTTACCGGCTCAATCATCCTACGGGAATCTCGCAACTAATCATGACTAGGGAAATTGATTAGAGATGAGTACATTATGTCACCAGCATTGACGATCGTACTTTAATGGCTTGATGTCGATATCTGTGATACGTTAGAAGGTAAAGAAATGAGCTGGGCCCTTGAGATGTATCAACAAAAGTAGTGGGGTCTATGTAATCAATTCCACCGAAACGCGCGTATTTCAACTAGGTCTCCCGAGAGCTCCCGCGTATGGCCGATACGTGCCGTCCAAATTGATTCTCCTAATAACAGAGTAGAATGAGGACACCAATCAAACTTCTCAGACATTCATCGGTATCCTCCCCTGAATTTTTGTCCTATCCTTATCAGAGGACTCGGTTTTGAGCGGCACTACTTACTCGTACGAGAACTCGACGCGGACCACGGCTCGTGGACGGGAGGCGTTCTCTTTGCAGAACATATGCATAGGCGATTCACTGCAAATAATTATCAGATTTAAAGAAGTCGGAAGCCGATGATTTCTAGCAGTTGTCTGTTCCAAGGCGGTCCCTGCATGGTGGGGCCAATTCTGAACAAAAAGCTGTTAATCATTTCAGCCTCTGTTTACCCACAACCATCCATTCATGCCTAGCCCAAGTGTCTCTTGATCTTACATGAATACGTGATACCAGCAGACCATCATCTCCCGAAGCGCACCTGCAACCATGAGCTGGCAGTCTAACGCTCAAGGCAAAAGAGCGAGTCTTATCGAGCTGATCCCGCCAAAATGGCGAATTCCAACTTCCGATATCCCATCCGTCACCAGACTTCGCGACTTTGGTGAATACATATGTCGGTTTCTTGATCGGCGGGAGCTGGAAATCACCAATGCACCCAGCAGTAGGATTTTGGCCAACATCCGATCTGGAGAATGGACATCCGTGGATGTCACCAGAGCTTTCTGTCATCGCGCATCAGTCGCGCACCAGCTGGTAAGCAGTGGACTGTCAAGTCACCATTAGACTCCTTCTCAAGTCACACTCACCACCTTGCTAGACCAATTGCTTATCGGAAATCTGCTTTGTGGCCGCAGAGCAACGGGCCAAAGCGCTGGATGAGTCTTTTCTTCGGACTGGCCAGACGGTAGGACCACTACATGGACTTCCGGTCAGTCTGAAAGACAGGTTCAATATCGAGGGACTCGAGTCTGCTTGCGGCTATGTGAGCTGGCTTGGGAAAGAAAAAAGTGAAAATAACGAGGGCATATTAGTCAAGCGGTTACGTCGCATGGGCGCTGTCTTTTTCGTTAAAACCAACGTACCGATGAGTATGCTGGTAGGTTGCCGTCCACAGGATATGCCCTGGAGCATGTAAACACTCATTGACGTGACACAGATGGGAGAGACTAATAACAATATCATCGGGTCCACGATAAATCCATATAATCGCAACCTCTCTGCCGGAGGAGCTTCGGGAGGTATATCTATCTGACTTCACAATTCCAGAACATTGTCTCCTCGACTTACATTTCGATAGGCGAGGGCGCACTGCTGGCTTTGAAAGGCTCTCCATTGGGTTGGGGATCTGACATTGGTACGATACAAGACCGTTTGGTGGTGTAAGGATTGGTGTTGATTCTGAAACATAGCTGGATCGATTCGCATACCGTGCGCTTTCAACAACCTCTTTGGGCTGCGTCCGTCATTCGGGCGTCTGCCTGCTAGTGGAATGGCCACAAGCGTATGTGCCGCTTTGATATATCCACTACTTTACTAATCGAATAGTTGCCAGGTTTGCCAGTCAATGGAAGCGTAGTTGGTCCTATGGCAGGTGATTTACCGACAATAGAAATGGCTATGAAGGTAGTGCTCGATACTTTCCCTTGGCAAGATGATTGTGATGTTTTAGAGATGCCTTGGAGAGAAGAGAAGCTTCAAAACATTCGGAGTAGGACGGCTCGACACCGCGAGAGAGATGGAAAGCTTGTCTTTGCCGTCATGAGTTGTGATGGAAACGTACAAGTACATCCGCCGGTGCAGCGAGCTATGGCGCTCGTCACGAAAGCTCTTTTGCAACGAGGCTATGAGGTCTGCGATCCGGTGAATTGCTCTCTATACTGTTATGCTAATGACATGTGCAGGTTATCGAATGGCAGCCGCCACCGCATCATGACGCAGTTCAGACTCTAGTAAGGCAGCACACAGCAGACTCAACTCAGGACTGGGTAAGCGCAAGGATACATCTAACATGGCGACAGTTCCAAATACTCGGAAGTACAGCAGGGAAGGAGGTTCGCAACGCTATAGACGCAAGCGGGGAACCTCCTGTCCATCAATTACAGACCTGGTACGACAACGATAACGTGGAACCTTCGTCCAGTGCAGAATTTTGGGATCTTTGTAATCAACGAGACCAGTATCGCTCGGAATACAACCAATATTGGACATCAACGCGAGAAAAAAACGTTGCCAAAAGACAAGTGGACGGTGTCATCATGCCTGTGGCTCCAACGGCGGCGGTAGAAGAAGGGTGCTTTAATTACTACGGTAAGTCCTCTTGTCGTGTCCCATACCCGTTCGCTTGCTTACATATATCCCAAGCCTACTCCGGCATTGTCAACCTCCTCGATTACACTTCCGGCAGCTTTCCCGTCACCTTTGCCGATCGTTCTATTGATGTCGAGACACCTGACCACGTTCCCTTGAATCCGACCGACCGTGCAATATGGCGCACATGTGAGTTTCCTGCCCTCTGCCACTCCATTCGTATAGCTGTCAAATATAACCAAATCAACAGATCAGAAAGACTTGTTTGACGGAGCCCCTGTTGGTCTACAGGTCATGGGCAAACGCTTCGAGGAAGAAAAGGTCTTGGGCCTGATGGAGGCGCTGACTGCCGCGTTGCAGGATTTCTCGGTTGGTCAGATAGGCGAGCCAAGCAGCCCCTTTTGATGTTTGTTCGGGGACGCGGTATGAAAACGGGACTAAGGTACTTGCGGGGAAAAACGTGTAATAAACCTTTAGTGAGAGCTTAGATTGTCACATCCTGCTACAACAACTGCTTTAGGGTTAGCGTTGCCGAGTGCCCCGGGCCCGGTTTTTATCATTACCCCGCGATTGACCTCGGCAGCATCGGGAACGCTTACTTTAACATTCCATGCGGCATCTTGACACGAGTCTCACACTATTGCACGCCTCAGGCGACTTCCCGTGCAGATTTTACTTCCCCTGGCACTTTGGCAGATACGCCCTCGGAGTTTGTCATATCACTCTAACGTCCTTTCTCATCCCATTGAACCCTTCCTCGTTTGTAAACTATTGAGATCACCGAGTCGACTTTCATTGCATGGACATTCATCTCTTAATCATAAGCCATGACGGAGGACTACGAGATACCCCATGACTATGGTAATCCTCCCCGAGACCGAAGCGCTCCCACCGGCCGATACTTCGGGCGTAAAACATGCACCGCTACGTACCGACCACGAAAGTGGATCTGAGCCAACCGCCAAACAAAGCGAGAAGTCCGGAGGAGAGAATCGCTCTTCCGTGTCCAATGGACAATACGACATTCCGGACGAGTACGCCAACCTTGATGAGCTTGCCGGACCGTCACCGGTCGACAATCGACATGGGCAAGGATTGTATCACCATCACGACCTTGAAGAATGCCGGTCTAAAGAGCCTAAAGAGCAGGAAGAGACACAAGATATACAACCCCTCTCTGTGCAGTCGATTGAGGAAGACGAGGACGATCTCCATGAGTACGCGAATCTTGATGAGTTAGAGGGGCCTCCACCGGATGAGAATCCGGATGAGCGAAGAAGTTACCGTCATCATGACCTGGAAGAAGCTCGAACGAATGAACAGCAGTACGAGCGGCGAGGATCTTGCCAAGAACGGAACGGACAGCCGTCCCCACATGATGAAAAAGGGTCCCCTCAAAAGACGCGGGGGTGGAAAATTCACAGGATGATTTTTCACCTTTATGTCACGTCGTACTTGATTCTCTTCTCAATCTTGGGTACTCTGGCACGGCTTGGACTCCAAGCTCTCACAGTATACCCAGGTTCCCCAATCGCGATTTCTGAATTATGGGCCAATGTCGGGGGATGCTTGATTATGGGATACCTGAGCGAAGACCGGACATTGTTTCACAACGAATGGGAAGTCGCAGAGAAGCGCGCACGTCGAAATCTCCATCTAGAACGAGAGAGCAGCGACGACACCACGAAAGAGGAGGCCGACGAAGAAGCGATCTTGGTAGCAGCTAGGAAGGAGCATCAAACAGAAAAGAAAACCATTCCAGTCTTCATCGGGCTCACAGTCGGCTTCTGCGGCTGTTTCACCTCTTTTTCTTCTTTCATGCGTGATGTTTTCTTCGCTCTTTCCAACCATTTGAACACCAGCGCGTATACAGACAACAGGACAGTCGTTGGTACGAACCCTCCTCGCGACGACGGCAACAGCGTCATGGCAGTCCTGGCCGTTCTGATTGTAGAGATCTGCCTCTGTTTGTCAGCTCTAGAGTTTGGGGCGCACATCGCAATCGCACTCGAGCCCGTGGTGTCGAAAGCGCCCAGGCTGAACATCAGACGGATTACGGATCCGATAGTGGTTTTGATTGCGTGGGGTTCTTGGGTGGGAGCTGTCGTCATGATCATCTGGCCTCCCGACCGTCCATCTGGTCCTGCGGCAGATGGACAGACCCTCTGGGCGCAAGAAACCTGGCGGGGCAATGTCCTGTTCGCACTTGCTCTCGCACCCTTGGGCTGTCTCGTTCGTTTCCACGCCGCCTTGAGGTTCAACGGGTTGATAAGTCACTTTCCGGTTGGGACTTTTGTCGTCAATATTGCAGGGACAACCGTGTTGGGCGCATGCTGGGATCTGCAGCGTGCACCGTTGACCAATGGAGCAATCGGTGGCGGTAGGGTTGGTTGCCAAGCGCTCCAAGGCGTTCAAGACGGATTTTGCGGCTGTCTCACCACTGTCAGTACGTGGGTTATAGAATTGAAAGGCTTGCAGCGAAAACATGGGTACTTCTATGGAGCGATGAGCGTTGCTGTTGGCGTTTCCAGTTTAGTGGTTATCATGGGTACTTTTGTGTGGGAACAAGGGAACCGGCCAACGGCATGTAGTGTATGAATAGACAATATCACACTTGGATTAAGAAGCAGAAGCATCCCGAGTGATCCGGATGGGCCTACTGACTTTCCAAAGTCCTCGTTCCATTTTCGCCGGTGTCCGACACGTATCAAAGAATAGTTCCCAGGGTCTGACTGACCACTCAGCAACAGCGGGTACCTGGCATTCAGTCTGGCTTCCTCACGGTCTGACCAGTCCGGTTGAGTCGGTGGCGAATTTGGCAATAGCATCAACATTTCAAAATTCACAATAATAGTAACAATCGGGCATGACGGTGCCTGCCCTGGTCCAAGGGGTTGAGGGTCCTTGTCAAGTAAGTCAACCCTACAAATGGAGGGGTTGTTGGGATGCGCGTAATCGTGGCCCTCTTAAGTACTCGCGGGGCCACAATCACTGTCATTTTTAGATCCCGGTGGGGTGGAAACCAAGACCCTCGGACACAGTTGCACAAGGAGATCTCTATCGAAGGAGACATTGGTGATAACAAATTTCGAGCTTCCGATACTCTCTATAATTGTGCTGTAGACATGTTTTTCTCAAAGGCGCTGGTCATCGAGGTCTCAGGCGATAAAGCGGTATTATAACCAGGGTTCCGGCGCCAAGATCTGTGGGCGCCCCGCCGGGAATAAAATGACCGATAAAAGTGTTTCTCTATTAATCTTCCTCGCACTCGCACTGCAAAACGATCGCTTCAACTTGACTCCCTTATCGTTCCAATGTTCCTCGTCACGCCTAAACCGAAGGCCAACAGTAACAGCGACTCCAATCCTCCTACCATTCGACCCATAGCCAAGATCACTGCTACTTCCAAAGTAGCCAGAGTGCAGACAGCATGCGATCGATGTCGTATGAAGAAGGTCAAGGTAAGTCATGAATCTTGAGTATCGCACTGTGCCACTTTTGTGCTAATACATCATCATATAGTGTGATGGCGACCTACCTTGTCTACGGTGTTTCCAGGACAAGCTCCTGTGTGTCACCACTAAAAAGGCGTCCAACGACCCAAAGGGAGGGACTGAGAGAGTAAGTCAATCATACTCATCATAAAATGTCACCCTAAATTAGCAAAGTACTGACATTTGACCAAAGATATGTTCATTCCATGGAGTCGCAGCAAACACGTCTCATTGAAGCACTCCGAAAGCTTCACCGCCATGTAAAACAACCAATCGAGGAGGAGGACATGCAGGAAATCTTGCAGACAGCAAGATCATGCGGCTTTGACTTTGAAGGCGTACAGGACATCCAGTACAATGCCCCCGAAAGCAACACCCCTCGAGCCGGGCACGATAATATAGAACCTTCTGGGAGCAGAGCTACGATTGGATTCAATGATAACAAGGATGCCGATGGGAACAACAGGGACAGCGCTATGAGTTTGGCCACAGGGCTTGACTGCCTCGGGAAGAGAAAGAGGGCGGAATTTGGACAACTTCTGAACACGGCTATCACTCCAGGTAGTGAGGTGGCCGTCGTTGCAAATGTTGGAAATAGCTCACCAGATACGAACGGAGGCTCAAATCTGGCACACGAATCAGAAACGTCACCCTTGAAACGCCAGAAGGCCGCCGCTCCTACAGAAATGGTCGATGATTACTGGGGACTTGACAGCTACTTCGACCAGGTCACAACTCCGTACAATCCATCCAAGCCGCCGACAATACTTGGCACGGCGGACTCGAACCCAACGTCTGATGCAAACTTACTAAATGTGTCCAACGCCCTGCGACAGCCATGGGAAATGCCAGCTTCGTCCTGGAACGATCTATCCCAGTCACTGACCACCACCGATGATGATCCTACCTTTGAGATTAATGGAACCACAAGCGCATATCCAATTGGGGAATCGACGGAGGCATTATCAACTTTCGAGGCACAACATGATTGGGGGTCAACAATGTGGTGGGATCCTTCATTGCTCTTTGACACAAGGCTTGAAAACTCGGAGCTTGATGGTGATGATCTGCCTACATCATCTCTCAATTTGTCCCACGAGGTCAACGAGGGGTCCTTCTGACAGAAGAGTAATCCCCGAGGCGATCTTCAGTGCCAAGCATTTTCTCCTCCCAAGATTACCAAACGCTGCGGAAATCTGGGTCCTCTTTCAAGAAGCACCGAGTAGCTCTTGCGTCTTGTGCTGGTGTGCATTTGACGCCCTTGCTATGGCACGATGGCTTTGTCGATACTAACGGACGTTATGCAATGACTGACAGAAGGCCGGAGAGCGTGGCATCTTCAATGGCTTTTGTTCTCTATCTATGATATCCCTCCTCCTACCCGGAGTGGCATCTTGCAATCTACCTCACAGCTTTCAACATCAGAAAGACTCAGCATCAGCGCCGGGTCGTCGAAAACCTTTGAAAGTTTTTAGCTCTCAGCCTCTTGCCGTTGTGCATTGTCTGTAGCTTTGACGTTTCCAGGGCCTCCTTCTCGGCTCTTGGAAGCGCTCAGATATATCCTTGTTGCGCTACAAGGTAAATTAATTGATATCACGCCGGTGCCAATGGCTCTCCCCGCAATCACATTGCGAGCAACTTTCGAACCTCTCTTCCCATTGAGTCGCCATTGCCGAGGCCTTTTCTCATCAAGCTTGTCAACACAGCCAAATAGTTCACAGAAGACACTTCTCGCGCCGGAAAGATATGATAGGGTGTCCTACGCAAACCTCTGCCTCCGATGAAATCGTCTCCATCCGATGCTTCTCCGGCATCTTAGCGGCTTCCGCACCTGCGAGCGCTTTCCTCGGCGTTTTGGAATAGGTACAGTGATGCTAGAAAAGGAGACACCGGAGGTGCCGGCCCTTCCTCACCGCGCCTTTCCAGGTGCCACGCTGCCGGAAATTGGTCCGGTTTCCTGGTCCCCGCATTTTGTACTCGGAGCCGCTTTGCTTTTCTGTTTTTTATGACTTGGGATGGGAGGGAGGGAGGGGTTTTTGTATGTCGGGCTTGTAAAGGACAGCTTTTTGCAATCGGATCGGCTGCCGGGTGGATGATGGGGTGATTGTGGCGAGTCGCATGATGGGGCAGTTCTGATGTGGTCGGAGACAAAGTCGGTAAAATAATTGCTTGGCTACAGCTCGGCTGGACGATGAAAGAGATGGCGTGATGATGACCACTCGGGGTGACTATTTGGGCAAGATGCGAAGTCCGGCTTCAGAAGCAGAATCTGTACCTAACGTTTATCTATGCAGAGTGTACAGTCCTAAGCTCCACTCCGGCATACATGACCTCCGCACCCGACGCCTTGATCTCATCCTCAATATCCATCAAGCGGTTATACTTGGCGACCCGCTCCCCGCGGCACGGACTTCCCGATTTCAAGTGGCCCGTCCGCAACCCCACGGTCAGATCGGCAATGAAGTCATCCGTCGTCTCGCCGGATCGGTGCGAGACGAAGACGCTCCAGCCCAGTTCGTATGCCATCTTTGCCCTATTTTTTTTGGCTATGTCAGTCGGGTTCAGGATGCGTTTGTCAACCAACAACGCATTACAGTCATACAAACGTACGCAGATAGTGCTTCGGTGATGGTACCGATCTGGTTGATCTTCAGCAAGAGAGAGTTGCACGCGGTTTTCTCCTTGGCCTCTCCGATGCGATCGACGTTGGTGGCCAGGAGATCATCGCCCACGAGCTCGACGGGACACGTCTTGTGGAACGCCGTCCAGGACGGCCAGTCATCCTGTGCGTACGGGTCTTCGAGCAGGATGATCGGGTACTTGTCCAGCAGTTGGCGGTACAGATCCCCTAGCTTCTCGCCCGTGTATTTCTCCGACGTCTTGCCTTTGAAGCCGAGGTCGTACTCGCCGCCCCGGTAGAACTCGCTGGAGGCGGGATCGATGGCGAATTTGATCCGGCCCGTGTACCCGCAGTTCTCGACCGCCGTGACGAGCAAGTCGAGTGCCTCGTGGGGCTGGGAAATCGGCGGCGCGAAGCCCCCCTCGTCGCCGATACCGGTTGCTGGGATCGGCTTTTCAGTCAAAATGATATACGACTTGAACGTTCTAGCGGCAACACTATCATTGATTTACCTGTTGGTCCGAAGGCCTTGGTCAGCACCTTCTTGGGCTCCTGATACACTTCGGAGCCCATCTGGACTGCGTGGGCCATTGACCGCGCGCCCACGGGAGCGATCATGCACTCCTGGAACGCCATGGTGTTGCCCGAGTGCACGCCGCCGTTGAGGACATTGAAAAAGGGCACGGGCATGACGTAAGGTTTCTTGGATCCCGATTCCTCGCGGAGGAACTCGTACAGGGGCACTCCCCGCGCGGCTGCACCGGCTCTCGCGCACGCCATGCTGATGCCGAGGATGGCGTTGGCACCGAGTTTGCTCTTGTCTTTGGAACCGTCCACTTCGCGCAGCAGAGCGTCGATTTTCTTTAGATCTGTGGCAACGTCGAGCTTCGCTTTGATGAGAGCGGGTCCGAGGACGTTTTCGACGTTGTGGACGGCCGTCTCGACACCTTTGCCCCCATAGACGTCTTTGTTGTCGTCGCGAAGCTCGATGGCCTCGTAGTCACCTTTGGATGCCCCGGATGGTACAAGTGCTTGGAACTGACCTGCAGATTAATGGATTAACAAAATCATCACGGACGTTGGACGATTGCCGATTTCACTTGCCTTTGTCAGTGGTGATTCGTACTTGCACCGTAGGGTTTCCTCTCGAATCCAATCTCTGGGCTGCTTTGACAGCGGAAATCATTTTGCAAAAGTCTTGTATTTGGTTTGAGTATTGTATTTGAACCGGTGGAGAATGAGGGAGTATGCGAGGTCTATATAAAAGGGAGTGCCTATGACGAAATGTTCGGAATTTTACCGGTCGTGGAAAAACATGGTAATCAAAATACAGCTATTCACGTATGAGAGGTCAATACAATATAAGGAAGCTTCGAACGATGGCGGTAGATGAGAGGTGGAATATCGCTAGTACCGTTATAATCATGGTGGACCGTAATATAGCGTACGGTCGGTATCGGAAGGCGGCCGCTAGAATAAGGGTCCTTGGTACACCGGACAATGCTCCATAGAATCCATCTCGAAACCGGGTGTTCCTATGATCTCTCGCCGGCATACCTCAAGACGACGACAGTTGCAAACAGTTTCTCCGCGATCTCTATGGAAATCGCATCAACAAATTACCGTTCGTCTAAGCTAAAAACAAAGTTGTGTCTTATCAGCACGAGCTGCTTCAGGGTCGGAATTTTCGCCCAAAGACAAAGACTGAAGTCGAGTTTGGATAAATCTTTAATGATAGAAGCTCTTTCAATGTGTGTCTTGTGTGTGGCCCAGAATTCGGTACCTGGGTACCAATGAAAGTGATTCGCAACGAAATTCACATTTCAGGAAGGCTGGTTCCAATCTCGCAAATCCTCTTTGGTGGCAGTGTGTCTACGAGTTCGATGCCTGTCATGTTTAGTCGACATGAGCACCCCCTTCAGAATGCTTTCGCATCCTCCTTGCTGACGCAAGGCTTTCCGTGCCGTCAGAACAACATGGGTGCATGGGGAACGCAAAACTTCGAGCTCTATTATCAATAGTCATCAACGAATCCTTCACTGGCTAACCAACTCACGGTTTCGTTATGGTCGGAGGTGGCATCGCGGGTTCAGTGTCGGCCTCGCGTCGTCACACTCACTTACCTTTCTCCTCTATACTCCTCATCGAAGCACGGTCTGACGTTATCAATTATTCTTTGATTACCGATCGTAGGAATGCCGGACAACTGGTCGGCTCAGAACTGGACTGATACTACTCTACCGTCCCTCAAAAGCAGTTGAATAACCGAGTGTGCCCTAATTATGCGGGTAAAGCCCTCGAGGTAGTGTCAGCCATCAATGCCTGTCCGATAAACACTATTCACCAAGTTTAAGGAGGCAAGACGCTGACATTCCCGAGCGGAGCCGGCTCGATTCGCGACAATGCTATGGATTATGGTGCTTGGGCGAAGTTTGTGAACAACTTAAGATGGACTACAAAGGCCTGCTCCCATAGTTCCGCATGACTGAACACCGTCATTCGGCCGATTTGGATATGAATGAGCATAGGTAAAATGGTCGAGTTCACACGCAGTCAGTAACATCCACTGGTCGACACTACCATTTATGCGAAAGGACAAAAGCTGCTTGGGAGTCGTGCGCTGCAATTCGAAAAGTCGACGCGGACTCAGGATCCCCCCAAGGACTGGGCGAGCTCGTAGAGAATCTCAACGACGGAGTAGGACAGCGTACCAGCACAATGCACCCTTTGGCGGGTGTTCAGGTCATGGCGGAGGGAAGAAGATGCTGGACTTTATGATGGACAGTAAAGAAGGACAAGCAATGGTGGAAAAAGAGACCATCGCTGAAGGTTGGACACCGCTGACCTCAAATTGCTTCGGATAGCAAGCCTGATGAGCGCATCAGGAAGCACGAAAAGTACCGAGGTTGAAAATTGCCTCTGAGATCATGAGAGACTCGACAGGAAAAGTCACGCCAATGCACAGAACCCTACACCATCCCGCGGACACAGCAGCGATGGGCAAGGTGGCGGATAGTAGTTCATGCGTCTATGGGGTTCAGGCATCGCGAGTGGTGGATGCTAATATTCTGCCGCTGCCCATCTCAGGACACTATCAGGCCTATGTTAACGCATTGGCGGAGCAAGCAGCAGACCTTATTGCGGACAGCTTCTCGTCTCGGACTGTTGAATCGTATGTATACCTCTTTGCGCTTTTAAGTCGAGGGGCAGCACTCTGGCCCAATATTCTTTCTGCTCGTCTGTAAGTAGATTATGTCATATGTACCTCTGTACCTGCCTTTCATGTATGTTGACGTGCAGGTGCATAATATTGAATTTGGAGACGCGGAATGATGTCAGAGGCGGCAGATGCCGAGGCGGAAGTTTTTGGTGTGGGGAAAGGCCCAACGGGCACCGAAGGAAAGGATTTCCTCATCGATCTTCATTTAAAATTGCTTTACCTAGATAGGAGCAGTCCAACAAAAGGTCAAAGACTTTTGCAACATCATCATGATAATCATAAAATGATGATGATGATGATGATAGTATAGTAGGTATGCTATATATAAAGCTCCAAATCAAAAGATGAGCGTTAAAATGTCAATTTCACAGGGGGCAGAGCGTGGCGACAATCTAATTTCCGCCACACCACATTCCTTTTCTTAGTGGCGGGGTGGTGTGGTGTTTCATCATCGCGCTTACAGATGCGCCAATCAGACTTGTCACAATGCTTCACAATCGATGGACCTCTTACAGCAAATGCAGGGAGCCTTGAATCTCTCTTTTGGGAGAGAGTTGGCGATTATTACGCGACAGAGGGAGATAGAAGAGCACTTCATGCACGTTCCAGCGTGATGCGATGGGAAAGGTATTCATTACATGTACCCCTTATCAAACGTTAACATTGCCGAAGTTGGGGAAACAACTCCCCGGGGAAGATTGTGCGGAAATTCGCCCGGCTGAAAAAAGAGCATCACCTGACAGCCCCACCGATCGGTGTTGGCCGGAATGGGGTAGAAGCTTGGCCCCCTTGGACCCTTGGGGTTTTGCTTGGGGGGGTACCTGAGGCGGTAGGTATAGTTTTCCCCTGGCGAGCCACAGGATGACCCCGAATGGTTGATTAGCTGCGCCGGACCAGACCGTGCTTTAGGCTTGGATTTGATCTAGATCATTGGCCCCCCCTGCTTGTAAGTTTGTAACCGTCCCCCACCCCCTGTAAAACTCATTCCAAGAAAAATCCTGCTTTGATCCAAACATGGACTGGCACCAGCTGAGTCGCCGTCGATTGATTCGTTGAGAAGCGGCCAAGCGATGTATGCAATCTACCATCATTAATCTCAATTTTTTCCACCGAACTCTTTTGCCCGCCTGATCCCCCCCCGCCACGATTGCTGTTCTTTTCCTCCCAAAAACAAAAACAAAAACAAGGCCGCTGCGCTATTTTAGCTTCACGCCATCACTGCCGCCCACTCTCGACCATTAAACATATCGCAACATATCTCCAGCTCCCCCTTTCTCATCACCTGCATCCTACCTACAGCATTCTCTCTCACTACATCTTCTATCCTGTAAAGCGTTCAATTGTCACCTCTGACAAGGGCATCTACCACACACATCAACTCAACCAGTACAGATACAAACACCATGCAGCGCTTCATTCTGACCGCCGTCCTCTTCGCCGGCCTCACTGTCTCCCAAAACCTCACCCAGATCCAGGACCTTCCACCTTGCGGCGTATGTGCTTCGTGAATGCAGACATACCCTTACAGCGTCATGGCCATTTGCTAATGAGCAATCAGCAAACATGTATCAACAACATGTTAGGCAAGGCATCGAGCTTAGGATGCGGAACATCAGACTATACGTGCCTCTGTAAGAACATGAACTTCGGCTTCGGCGTGCGCGATTGCTCCGTCCCCGTGTGCGCGGCGGCCAAACCACCGGTCGACCCAAGCAGCATCATCTCCATCGGAATGGACTTCTGCTCCGGTTCGCCCAACCCACTCCCTGGCCGCCGTAGATCCTCACTGACGGTGTGCCACAGAAGTGCAAGCAGCAGCCACCACGGGCTCAGCCACCACCACCGTCGCACAGACCGTCCTCACCGGTACCACCGCCGTCTCAGCCTCTCCCGGAAGCGCCACCGCCGGCGCCGGCGCCGTGGCAACTGGCAGCAGCAACGCAACCTCGAGCGGCACGAACGGGACATCAAGCGCGGGCGGTGCGGGCACAAACGGGACTGCGAGCACCAACGGCACCTCTGGAGGAGTGCTCGGAGGAGGAAAGGTCGTCACCACCACCAACAGCCTCGGCAGCACTACCACGTCCACGGTAAGCCTGACACGTCCACTCCCATGCCTGCCGTGTTCGATACTGACAAATCCCCCAGATGACATCCTCCTCCTCGACCAGCCAATCCAGCGGCGGCAGCTCGTCCACCTCGAGCAGCGGCACCGAGTCATCATCCTCCGGCACCGGCACCGCCACCGGGGGCTCCACCTCACCCAGCGCAACCAAGAAATCCGAGGCCGGCCACGTCGCGGCCGGCGCTTTCGTCGGTCTCGCCGGTCTCGCCGCTTACGTGCTGTTGTAGTACGGCCTCGGATCGTTTCGCGGACAAACAAAACTTTCAGCGTGCAAATCGGCGGATTTTGGAAAAAAGTCGTCTTTGCGTGCTACTTCTCACTCTTTGCATAAGATCGATACCCCCCCCCGGCATCCACTTCCTGTCATGTCACGTCGCATACGAGGAATTTTAAAAATACCCTTCGGTTGAGCCGAATTAGTGTAGGAAAGAGGAGGAGCTTGCTTAATATGGATTTCAGCGTTCAACATGGCTATGCTCCGTCTTTTCAAACCCCAACCCTAATATCTGCCTCCTGTACCTACTCTGCCTGCTTGGCGGTACCAATGAACAAAGATTGCTTTTTGTTTTTTTTGCATTAACCAATTGCTTCGACGAGGAGGGTGCACAAAGTGATTCGATAATAGTTGTCTTCGTACTCATCCATGCAACGACTCCCTACACTCATGCAGCGCTTGCTCCCCAACCCGGTCCTTTCTCCGCGCCGTTTCGTCCACCCTCGTAGCTGATTGATACGCACGCCCCTTTTCGGTTTTTCTCCGAACGGGATCAGGCCATGTGCTTCAGACGATCTCGATGCGGTCACGGAAGTTGTAGCACAGTCAGTCCGCTCTTCATGCAGCACGAACGGTAGCGACATGGTTTGACAGTGGATCAATCAATCAATCAATCAATCAATCAATCCCAAGCCTCCGAGTCTTTCTCGCTGCATGACATTGCGTTTATTCAGACATCAAGGTCAGTGTCTACGTGTCACGAGACCCTCTCCCTGCACAGCCGACGCGGTTCGGCTTCGAGTTCCTGCCGAGAAAAAAAATACACGCCGTCAGCCGTACAAGCGAGGCGGGATGCCAGAGAATGTGAAAGCGTTTGATGCCGGGCTTCCTGGTTTTCGAATCACTGTGGGTGACTGGGCGTGCACAGTGGCTGCTGGTGCGTACGTAGGATTGGTTCACGCGAAGATCGGGGTGGATGACGGAGTCCCGTTTTTGGAAGTTTGTTGTGGTAACGGGATTGCAAAAGGTTTCGGTGATTGTGGGTCAGCTTTTATAGGATTTGTTTGGACTTTGCCAGAATTGGGAAGGGTTTGCCGAGATGTGTTAATGCGTTCCCAGGCCCTGTTTGAACGTAGTCTGCTAATCCACGACGCAGAAGCTATCTTTGAGGCGCTCGGCGATTGGGTAGGATGGGATCTGAGCTGAGGATTTGACGGGTCGTGGCTTTCCCTTCGGTGCTCTCGGGATTTTAGCATTCTGGGCAATTGGACAGCGGCAACTGCTTTTGACTTTGACAATTCGCATAGCTTGATGTTCTGCAATATGTCCAAGCTATCATCTTCTCCCCCGTCCTCTATCGTCATCATCCTCATCACTCGAATCTCGAAACCCCCCCTCCAACTCACGACTTAATCTCCTGTCACCCTCCGTATCCGAGTCCACAGCCACATCATCTCTTCCTCGAATCACCTCGTCGGAGAGATTGTCGAATCCTTCTTCTAGCTCTTCATCGCCGAGCAAGCTATTCGAGCTGGCGCGTCGCTTTGAGCGGCCGACAAGGGCTTGAATGCGAGAGAGGAGGCGGGTGGTGAGGGATGGATTGTTGGAAGATGATTGAGAGGAAGGTAGCAGGCTGTAGGAGGAGCGCGCGCGGAGGTGGCGGTAGTAAGGGAGGACGAGGTAGGTTGTCAAGGCGTAGAGAGCAAGGGCGAAGATAGGCGGAAGGAGTACTGACTGTCAGGAGTCAGTCAAAGCGTTGGACGACGAAGGGGAAAATGTAGTGTACCTTCCAAGTGAATGCGCCCATGATGTATACGTGGTTGAAGGAAGGTTACTGCGTTGTACCATGGACGAAGGATGTTGGTCGGCTGATGGGATTCCAGGCTAGCGGACGCCGCCTTAGATGGGCAGAGCTGGAAGCATGCTGACAGGCGTTGCTGAAATGGTTACTGTATAAGCTGTGCTATAGGGTCAGGACATCTGCAGGAAGTAGGAGAAGAGGGATCGAATGCACAGACTTTTAAATAGGGTGTGCATATGCAGCCAGGTGGAGGGAAGGCGTGAGCGGTGGTGGAGACTGGATTGGAGATAACTTTGTGTGGCCCGCCTCGAAATGCCTCGTGTTTTGCGGCTGCCGTAGTATCTCACTAGCGCGAAAGGAATCCCCTATGCGGCAACGAAAGATTACAAGGGAACAACCTCGCCGTCTTTCACTTTGTATAGAGGGGAGTAATAACTCAACGTTGAAACACTTCACAGCCACTAGTACTCTTCTTAGCCTTCGACAGGCTTCTATTTGCTTTCTCTTCACCTTTTGGCGTTCGCATGCTTCTTACTGCCATGCAACGATCCTTGGCAAACAATCGCCCCCCTGCCGATTCTCTGACGGCACGTCGACCGAGGATGATCACTGGTCTAACGTCCTAATTACAGAAACCCCAAGGTCCTTACACTTATTGAGCGACCAAACGGTCGAGTCGTCGAGCTGGAGGACATCCGACTCCCACGGCGCCTGGGAGCGAAGAACGGGCGTTGTCTCTAGGAAATGCCTTCAACCAACGCACCCGTTGATAGCAAGTCGCGGCAGTCTTCAGGAGGGAGATCATTTTTTGGGCGGAAGATACACAAAGAAAGGTCGCAAGACTCGTATAGTCCGGATGATGGCGGTTCAGTCCTGGAGGTGCCCAGTACCACCGGCAGCGCCAATGGATCAAGATCTTCGAGATCCTCGCACAGATCGCAAATGCCGTCTGAGGACGCAGGGCAGGACGGAGATAACTTGGGCTTGTCGATGACTGCTGGCGTTATCACGTCAATACCTTATGATAGTGTATCACCGGGTGGGAAGACCCCTATTTCCGTGGATTACTTGCCGAAGAACGACATGAGTTCTCCCCGGAAAGAGCCCTTACCGCATCACTTGGGCAAAGGAGGCAAAGACTTCCATCAGTATCCTTCATTTAACCCCTCAGAAGCTACAAATGGTTCCTCACATCCTACTGGACCGCGACCCCCACCTCATTCATCCGCTTCACAATCATCCTTGAAGCCCTTCAACGGCATTCTTCCTACACGCGACAGCAGTCGCAAACCCATACCAACTGACTCCGGAAGCATCTACAACGAGTCACACAGCACCTACAACTCCAACTCCACAGGCGACACAGCTTCCAATCACCGAAACTCATTCGATCAAATGAGCGTCCTCTCCGCAGCTTCGTCTGTTACACGAGGCTCCAGCATCTTCTCCTCCGACAACTCATCACGAACAGCTGTGCAGGAATCGCGACCAAGTACATCATCTCGGGGCTCACACCACCATAACGCTTGGGCACCGCAGCAACCCTCGGGTTTTAGCTCCACTACATCATTCAATCCAGACGGCTTCCACTTCCCACGGCCCAATGATGATCGAATCATCGAAAAACAATTTGTTGACATGATGAACAAGCGCAACTGGCAGGCTATGCCTGAACAAGCGCGGCGGCAGATGATGGCCTACCCTACAAGTAAAAAATGGCAATTAGTACATCAAGATCGGATGGTAGAATGGCAAGGAGAGCAAAAGAGAAGGACTAATGCCCGACAGACGATGCTTAGCCACGATGGTTCTCAAGGCATCCTGACAAGAGCAGACGAGGAGGGGAGCCCCGAATGGTATGTCAGGAGGGTCATGAATGATACAATAACCCCGAAGCAACTGGGTAGCCTGAGTGTCAGTCTGAGGACACAACCGATCAGCTGGGTCAAGTCATTCGTCGAAGCGCAGGGTCAAGTGGCCTTGACGAATGTTCTTGCGAAACTCAATCGACGACAGGGCCAAGGGCCGGCTCCTGCTTCAGGTTCTACAAGTGACAAAGATCTGGATCGCGAGTACGACATTATCAAATGTCTCAAAGCTTTGATGAACAACAAATACGGTGCCGACGACGCTTTGGCTCACCAACAAGTCGTTGTATCTCTCGCAACCTCCCTGATCTCACCACGGTTGACTACTCGCAAATTGGTCAGCGAAGTCTTGACATTCCTATGTCATTGGGCAGAAGGAGAGGGGCACCTGAAGGTGCTCCAAGCTATGGACCAAGTCAAGAGCCACCAGGGCGAGAACGGGCGTTTCGATGCCTGGATGCGGATAGTGGAAGTCACAATAGATGGTAGAGGCAAGATGGGCAGTCTTGTGGGTGCCAGCGAAGAGGTCCGTAGTGGAGGCATAGGCATGGAGAATCTCCTCATGGAATACGCACTTGCTACACTATTCCTAATGAACATGGTTATCGATGCGCCGGAGCATGATTTGCAGCTACGATGCCACATCAGGGCTCAATTCACGTCTTGCGGTATTAAGAGAATCCTAAACAAGATGGAAGACTTCCAATACGAGGCCATCGACAAACAGGTTGAGCGATATCGAGAAAACGAGGCCATTGACTACGAGGACCTGCTCCAGCGCGAGAACAGCAGCATGAAAGATGATATAGACGCAGAGGTCAAGGATATGCAAGATCCGTTGCAGATTGTGGATGCCATACAGTCAAAGGTACAGGGAAGCCGTGCGCAGGACTACTTCCTTTCTGCCATGCAGCATATGTTGTTAATCCGAGACAATGATGGAGAAGACCGATTGCGGATGTTTCAACTAGTCGATGCCATGCTCAGCTATGTTGCTATGGATAGGAGACTGCCAGACATGGACCTCAAGCAGAGTCTCAACTTCTCGGTTCAAAGTTTGCTGGATAAGCTGCACACAGACTCCGAAGCACGCCAGGCATTGGATGAGACTACCGAGGCGAGGCAATTGGCGGACTCTGCTATGGCTGAGCGTGATGAGATGAAGGCAAGAATCGACATGGGAGCCGATGGACTGGTGGCGAAGTTGCAGAAGCAATTGGAAGAGCAGACCCAGATAATAGAGCTTCAAGGACGGCAATTCCAGGCCTTGAAAGCCGAGCTTGCTGATCTCCAACGGATTCGCGCTGGAGAGTTGCAAAGGAACGAGCTGGAGACAAGAGAGCTATACCTTATGCTTCGTGATGCCCAGGATTTCGCTGCTTCTGTGGCTAAGAAGGGAGTCCCTGAGGCGCTTGCTTCGACGGACCCGAAGAAAATGCAGGGCATCTTAGACCGCGATACTCTCATGTCTCGATTGGAAGTGCAACTTGAGCGGGCGAAGACGCAATGCAAGCTGGAGGGCAAAGTCTGGCAGCAAGCTGGTCCTTCTGACAGGTTAAGGGAACTGCGCGAGCAAATGGACGGCGGTGAATCGAGTCCCTCAGAAGAAGACTTCTCAAGCAGGGTGACGAGGCAATTCAGTCCTGGTCCCCTTGCTATGACCTCGCGGAGCAAGATACTCAAAGGTCCAAGGCGCGCTGCTGCCGATGCTTTGGCTGCGAGCGAAGAACAGGCCTACCGGATGTCGGGCGAAGGCGATGCAATCATCTATGAGAAACCGCGGATTATCGAGATGAGCCGGCCCAAGATGAGCACCAAACAAGCCACAGGGCTCTTGGGCGAAATTGCTGCCAAGGTTCGCAGGTTCGATGCAAGCGACGACGATGATGTCGACGGCGACGGCGTTACCACTGGACCTTCTCACCCAAGTCTTGAGTCTGACTCGCCCAAGACTCCTATCGATGAGATTCCGCCTCCGCTTGAGAAGTCCAAGGAAATGCCACCACCTCCGCTACCCACAGCGACCATAATGCCCGGCTTCGAGATGGGTCCCCCACCTCCACCACCGCCTCCTCCACCGCCTTCGCTACTTCCAATGGCTCCTCCAGGACCGTTCCCCTCAGTACCAGTGGCTCCTCCGATGCCTCCCCCTCCATGCCGGGCTTCTCTTCAGGCGCTCCCCCCCGCCCCCTCCCCCAATGCCAGGCACACCTCGGACAGCGACATCGTCTGCCCGGACTTTAATGGGTCCACCTCCCATTCCCGGTGCGCCACCTACGCCAAGTGCACCTCCTCTTCCGGGCCCACAAAGAGGCGGCTACTTTCCCCAGGCCCAGTATAACCCAGCACCCACTTTCGGGCTACCCTTCATTCGTCCGAAGGGGAAGCTCAAGGCTATACATTGGGACAAAGTCGATGCTCCTCAAGTCACAGTCTGGGCTTCTCATACTCCAACCCATCAGGCTAAAGAAGAGAAATATATGGAGCTGTCAAGGAAAGGTGTTCTAGATGAGGTCGAGAAACTCTTCATGGCCAAAGAGATCAAAAAGATTGGTGCTGCCAAGGGCGGAAAATCTGACAAGAAGCAGATTGTTGGAAGTGATTTAAGGCAAAAGTTCCTCATTTCATTATCCAAGTTCTCGACGCAGTCTGCCGACGAGATCGTCCGCATGATATTACACTGCGATAAGGATATGTTAGATAACCACGTGGTCATGGAATTCTTACAAAGAGAAGACCTTTGCGTAGTACCTGACAACACCGCCAAGCTCATGGCTCCTTACAGCAAGGACTGGACTGGACCAGACGCAGAGCGGACGCAAAGAGAGCAGGATCCGAGCGAGCTCACGAGGGAAGATCAGATATACCTGGCGACTGCATTCGAGCTCCATCATTACTGGAAGTCAAGAATGAGAGCTTTGTCACTGACACGCACTTTTGAAGGCGAATACGACGAGATATCAAGGCATCTGAAAGAGATCGTCACTGTCTCCGAGTCTCTGCGTGACTCGGTTGCCTTGATGAATATTCTCGGCCTTATCCTAGATATTGGTAACTACATGAACGACTCGAATAAGCAAGCCACTGGTTTCAAGCTGAGCTCGCTCGCGCGCCTAGGGATGGTGAAAGATGAGAAGAACGAATCCACTTTTGCAGATCTTGTGGAGCGAATAGTTCGAAAACAATACCCAGAATGGGAGGGCTTTGTCGACGACATCGGCGGTGTAGTCACTGTGCAGAAACTTAACGTCGAACAGTTGCGCCTGGACGCAAAGAAGTATATCGACAACATCAAGAATGTACAAATGTCACTTGACTCCGGCAATCTCAGCGACAGCAAAAAGTTCCATCCACAAGATCGTGTCAATCAAGTTGTACAGCGGTCCATGAAGGAGGCCCGACGGAAAGCAGAGCAGATGCAATTGTATCTTGATGAGATGAACCGCACTTACGACGACATCATGACGTTTTATGGCGAGGATAGCACGGACGAGAATGCGAGACGGGAATTCTTTGACAAGCTAGCCAAATTTGTTACTGAATGGAAGGTAAGCTTCGTGGAAGCTTCTTTGTGTATGACTGTTGCTGATACCCAATAGCGCTCCAAAGAAAAGAATGTTACCATGGAAGAAACCCACAAACGAAATGAAGCGTCCATGGCCCGCAAACGTGCCAACGCCAAAGCCATCAATCCTGCTGCCGCCAACTCTGGTGCCGATACCCCAGATGGTCCCCTGTCTCCTTCATCCACCGGCGCTATGGACTCCCTCCTTGAGAAGCTTCGAGCCGCCGCTCCCCAAGCCCGGGACACTCGTGACCGTAGGCGCAGAGCACGGCTCAAGGACCGACACCAGGTCCGCATCGCTAGCGGTCAAAGCATTCCTGACCTGGGGGACGTATCTAACAGCGGTAATGAAAACGAGGAACCTGATAAGGCCTTGCTGAGCCCCACAGCGGCCACCAATGAAGAGGCCCCTAGCGAGAAAATGGAACCTATTAGCGAAGGCGAAGACGTCGCCGAGCGCGCCGCCAGTATGCTGCAAGGTCTTCGTAGCAATGCCGATGCCGATGCCGATAGCGGCAGACCTGGCAGCAGAGATGGCAGTCTTCGCATAAGAAGGAGAAGAGAAAGCGCCAACGACGAGCGACAGAACCGGCGAAGTAGAAGGAGAGGGAGAGAAAGCTCGAGCACGGCTGGCGATGAAGCGGAAACGCTCAGTCCGAGACAAGAGACTCCTATACCTGAGATCCAGGAACCAGAGGGCGAGGACGGCGGTGATGAGGCAGAGGAGGTGGACGTGCCGAAGACCTTCGTGGTGCCGCCGAGTCCCGAGGGAACAGCGACGAAACCGCTGCTGTTGGATGACTAAGGAAATCGACGAGTGGTGAGTTGAAAGGATTGGGGTTGTATATTGTTATATCCATTCAGCGCTTTTCGTTTCGTGTGTATAGGATACTTACTCTACTAATACCCTTTACTGTATCATGCAAGCGCTGGAGCAGATGGATCGGGGAGAGTTCGTGATAAGCGTCTCCGCATAGCGTTTGCGTTACGCCCGTGACAGGCATGAGGCTTGTCATGGCAAGAGAGTAGTGTACGTTGGATGTTATGGCACCTCGTCACAGGTGCATCACATGAATCAAATTCACGCCCTCACCACCACAGTATTGATCGTCGCCTTTTTCCGCGTTGGATTCTGATCCCCAGACAAAGTGTAGAAGAAACCGGCTTCCGACTCCAATGCGACATACTAGATCTCATGAGGCAGAAACTGCGATTGATGTGTGGGACTATTTCGTGTTCCGGACTTGCCTCCTTTTCGCTGCTCTCTTGTATGAACTTTGTGGAAGGATTTGTTCGGAGATCGTAGAGGAAGTAACTAGTACGGGCCCGTTGACTTGGTATTAACATTGGAGCAGAATTTACCGAGGAGGCAGACGGGCTGCAGACCGCCAATACCCTAATGAGGACATCGATTCCGTGACATCGAATTGACTGGAGTCATTCATTGCATGGGGCAATACGAGACTCGATAGGCCCATTTGGGACTGTGCGCGATACTGACGGTGTATCGATCGAGCCCAGTGCGTTCAAGCGCTAGGTAAAACATGGCATCTTTGCCGCTGCTGATTTTTCTGGACTCCTACGCTCCATCATGGTTGAGATCGCTCTACTTTGCACCTTGGAATCGAAATGATGCATTTGGCTTGTTGCAGCTATGGGGTTGTCAGGCCGGAAAGCCCCACTGGACGTCGATGGATATGGTGGCCCGTAAGTAAATGGTTCCATGCATGAGGCTAATGTCGGCACTGGCAAAGGGGTGAAAGTGGGATACCATCTATCTTTCATCGTTTTCACGTTCTTCCATCGCATCAACATCATGTCCCCAACAAAAGCCGGCAGATCGACTTTACCCACTACTTGAGCATACCAATCGCCACACGCCCTTCCAGAGCGCAGTTACATGCCCCTTTCGCGCGCTTTGAGCGAGAGACATCCTCAATTCTCCCCAAAGGCTCTGTCTGTGCTCAATTCCGATCTCGCTATGCTGAGTTTTGGAAGACCGAGATTGCAATCGAAAGGGTATATCGATGCCTGTTCCGAGCACTTACGCGGCCTGGACACGCACGAATGCTTCGCATGGCAGCTGTGAATGCAATAGAACATCAACCGAATTTCCATGATCTTCACTACGGAGGCTATGTCCCGCACGCATTTGGGGTCGCAACCACATTCGATTTTTCGCCATTGAAAATCGATGTATCTGGCCTCCCCCACCCTCTTTGACAGTCCATCGCAAACCGGATTCCTCAGCGCCTCGGGCATCGACCGGACGCATCGGCTACAGCACTTTCAACACATTCTCTTAGACTCACTCTTCAAAGCTGACTTCCTGGCAAACGCATTCCATATTAGGATGAATGTTGTAAATACCGCATTGCCTACCTCGTGGCACTATAGAAGTACTTGTGATCCGAAGACCAAGCGATGGACTTTCCCTAGACGCCCAAAATCTGCCAAAGTCGATGCGAGTGATCTCGTTCGTGGGTGGAAGGATCGTGACTGGGCGACAAATGTTCAGCGTGAAAGACTTGGCGTCTATGCTTTGGGTACGACTGCGAATCTTCCGGGTGGCGGAGCTCGGGAGAAATGGATGACGGAGGTTGACAGCATAAATGCCCTTCCCTAAGCTCATGGCATGATCAGCCCCAGCGAGCTTGCCGAGTCGGGCCCAAGGATAGGAATAATTAGGGTGAATGCCCTTGGGTGACGTTCATATCAGTGCAACAAAAGTTCTGGATGGCATACCATCACGTTAGTGAAGTCGAGATTTCTGAGTATAGCCCCTCGAAACTGTATGGTGGTGACAACCAACTGTCTCAACAGTGGACTTGCAAGAGGCTTGTCGTGTTCAGATCATTTTTCAAGGCAACTGTTGCGTTTATTGATAAATGCAAGATTCCGGAGCATCGGCCTCTGAAATGATATGTACCCTGGAGCCTACGAGCTACAGACCATAGTCTCCGACACACCTTGAACTCCATGAGTCCAGGAGCAGCATACCGCAAGTTTTCCGAGCAAACTCACATCCGTCTCGCCATCTTCTCGCGCGTTCATGATATCCTGGCTCTGCGTCAAGGGAACCTGTTGCCGCAGGCCCCCAATGTAGTCAACCACAATCAAAGGATTAGCGAAAAATGCAGACTTTCCTCGTTTCGTTCAAACCTGAGAGCTCTCCCGCCATTAAACAGTATCCAGCTTCTCTCTAACCATTCTGACTCTTTGGACCTTTCCCGTACGAAGTCGTCATTGGCTCTCTGCCAAGAACATCAATTACCGCCAAATGATCTTCATAGTTATGCGATCCAAGGTAGGCGTGGTATGTCATGGTGCGGCGAAGAAGGGCAGAGGTAAAGCCGGTGCAGATGGTCCTGCAGGCCGAAATGCATGGACTGCCGGTGAAGGTGGCAAAAGGGGCCAGATGTGGACCTACCCAGGAGCCTGAAGTCCTTGAGCGTAGAGAAGCTCTCCTCACTGGGGCTTCTAACCTTAGCATCAATGAGCCCCCACCCTATGCCTCGCCGACCAGACCATTCGACTACGTGAACCGAGGTCGTTCTTCGAACCAATCATTTCGAAGTGATTCCCAAGCCGAATTTCCAGTTGTACTCGTATGCCGCTAGACGTCCATCCGGAGCAAAACGCGGCTCGTAAGAAAAAGCGGGCCTTTGCATTGCTCACCGAAGACCCCGATTTCCCCGCAGCCAGCTCGTGCATCTGTAGCAGCAGACACCAGATCTACCTCGATACACTGTCAAGAAACGATCGATCGATCGATCATCTCAACACCGAGCAGACCTGCTTCGAGCCGAACGAAGGCGGGCCAAAAGCCATTCCGGTCGTGCACTCCTTCGGCGTCTCGCTGGCGAAGACGGTTGTCGCGTAGGGTTTCGTTGGAGGACGTTGCCGCTCAAGATTTGCGGGAGGAGGCAAGAATACCGTCCGGAGCGACATTTACCTATGCTGGTACGGGATAGCACTTGGGGTGTGGCATTTTACTCGGGAGCAAGGCTGAAATGACATGGATTCGATGGGCGATGCCATTTTCGCGCTCCCGTTTTGCTCGAGATAGGAGTACGACGACTTCTGTTCTGGGAATCGGACCCTAATGGCTCTCAAGGTTTACTTCAAAGTTTTATGGATGGTACTCTAGGGTCTCTGGAGACGTTGCCTTGAGGTCCCTTCAGTCTTGTCGCAGATACAACTTCGATGACACAACTTGAGGGGGTCTTAGCCTAGAACCTCTTCATCCTTGCTCTGGATGATCATGAAACGGTACATTATCACTATCACCTGTGTGAACGAACTATGCGTGCAGTGGCACGGCTACTTCTCCCCTCTAACCCATGCATTTCACACGCCCAGTCTATCATTACCAACATAATGCCCTCCACCAGCACACCTATACCCGCCCACCTGCTTGATCCACTGGAAACCCTGACAACAGACCCCCAAGTTCCTCAACCGGTCCTGTACCGCCTTCTCCCTCTTCTGCATGATCTGCCGAATCCTCATCCGCTCCAAGTCCGCCTTCGCCTGTTCTCGCTCCCTCGCAGCCTTTTCCTGCTCCATGCGCGCCTCTTCTTGCAGGCGCTTGAGCCGTTGAGCGTCTGCTTCGTCTCTGGCTTTCTTCTCCCGGAGGCGTTGGAAAGCGAGCTCTGCCTGATGCGCGGTCTCCCACGTGGTCGAGGCCACGTCTTCTTGGTGCCAAAAAGCTTCGTCGGAGATTTCGGGCTCGGCCTTGGCGGCGGCGATGTCGGTCTGCAGTTGGGTCCATATTGCGTCGGACACGCCGGCATCCCGTGCGGTATTTGGTTTTTGGGGCGCAGAATTTTCGCCTTCGCATTCGCTATCGGCGTCGGTATCTTGGTTTTCTGTGGGGTCAGGAGATTCATTTGAAGGGCTGGTGGTCTGGTCGGCTTGGGTCGATGATCCTTCCGTAGGAGCGGGAGGAGGCGGTGGGGCTTGAGACTGGTCGGCTGCCTTCTGGGTGGTCCTAAATGGGAGTATTGTAGGACGATTGGCGCATCGCTCTTGTCTCTCTTCCAACATGGCCTTGGTGAGGCGGAAGACGTCATCTTCAGAGATAGCCAATGCGTTTGAGGAAGAAGCATTTGCTTTGAAGACAAATCCCACCAGTGTTTTGGCTAGCGTCTTCATGTCTCGGGCATTTCCCCATGAAGGTAATGCGCTGAACTTCTTGAGGAGGCCCACCATCTTACCGTGGATCTGGCTGTCAGGGTCCGTCAAGGCAGGTGTCTGGATATTCTGCTTCTTGATCGTGAGCTCCAAAACCTCTAGGCAATGCCTCGGGCTCAGATGCTTGAAGGTGATCTCCTCTGGGAAGCGACTGGAAAGACCCGGGTTAATGGAAATCAGCTGGTTGATCTCTTGAGCATAACCAGCGAGGACAACGAGAAGTTTGTCCATGTATTTCGGCTTCGTGAGTTGATCCACAAGCTCGTTGATCGCTTCGGTAGCAAAGTTGCCTTCTGCAAGTCGATAAGCTTCGTCGATGAAGAGGACTTTGCCCAGGGCCTTGTCGAGCTGCGCGCGGGTTTTGGGGCCAGTCTGTCCGACGTATTGGCCGATGAGATCTGAAGCGGAGCACTCAACGACTTCGACTTCAGCCAGGAAACCTAGATCGTAATAGATTTGGCCCACCTTTCGGGCAGTTGTGGTTTTTCCGGTGCCTATAGCACTGTGTCAGGATCGCTTATTTTGGAGTAACCTACAAACCTACCTGGGGGACCTTTGAAAAGGAAATTGGTCGGTATCATGCCTCGAGGATCCAATCCCTTTGCTTTCATGCCCCGTGCAATTTGCTGGTAGCCGCCCAATTTGGCGACAATGTCTTCGCAACCCACAACGTCTTCGAAAAGCTTGTCCAAGTTAGTAGAGGCATGCGCTCCTCGGTTATAGTCTGGATCAAAGTCTTGTGGTTCAAAGACTATGTCAGATGGTCGCTCGGAGGGCTTCTTGGCGGATTGTCTCAGCTGATGTCGTTCCTTTGCAAGCCCTAGCTGGTTCTCGACCTCGCCAGCATTACCGAAATTCGGTCGATTGCGTCCTCGACTCAGTACCTCTATGGCAACAGCTTTTCCATCGTCTGTGGCCTCGAGATCTTGTGACTTCAACTTGAGATTCAAAATCTTCAACAACTCCTCGTCCGTGAAGTCTTCAAAACGGAAAGCATTTTGTATAGCGAATCTGAAGATAGAGGTCAGTGTGTGGTACTTGTTTTGTTTTCAAGTCCTCCGTGAAGGGAGCCAATATAATAGCACACAGACGAAAGGTTAGGGAACTCAGGAACACAGATGGCGCAAATCGAAGAGATATAGCCGCTCTCGGTCTCTGAAATTGCTTGTCAAGTGCAAGAGACTGGCGTCAACACCATTTACAGACCATTCCACGACACCCATTTTGAAGATGGAAGAGGGCGAAGAGTGGGCCAAGATGGTATACAACAGCCGCAAGATGAGCGTAAGAGAGAATTCGTAGCAATGACAACTCCGAAAACAGGGCTTTGGGCCCACTGCTTTTGAGAAATGAGGGGCTTCGTGTAGACAAACCGGAAGCTTAGGGGTCGCTTACCTTCGCGAGAGGCCTGGATTGACGTTCTGGAACATCTCTACCATCTTGTCCTCGTATCCAAGTAAAAGGACGCAACGGTCTTCTCCTGGTACGCTCTGGACCTCGGCAACGATTGTATCAACAATCGCAGTTTTGAATGAGTCGGTCGTACTTCCGCCACCAGCTGTACCTGTATAGAGCATGTACGCCTCGTCAATGATTAGCACTTTCCCCATAGCACTTGCCAAGATTGCCTTGGCGTTGGCCTCAGAATGGCCAATGAATTTGCCAATAAAGTCTGCCGGATTCTTAACGACGACTGCAGACGCGGGTAATTAGCCATGATCGATGGAGCTGGGGAGTCTGCATGGCTGTAACAACCTTCGCCATTGCTGAGGATACCTAAATCAGCAAGGATCTGCCCATACAACTTAGCTACCGACGTCTTGCCGGTTCCTGGCGAGCCAACAAAGACACGGTTCAAAGACACCTCGATGGGAGCCTTCTCCTTGAGCTCGCGATAGTAGTTCTCGCTGATACGGTCAATCAGAGCTTGAAGAGACTCCTTGACAGCACCTAGGCCGATCATCTTTTGCATTTCATCCCATGCTGAACACTTTAGGATGGCTTTTGAGGGGTCTGGCCCGATAAGATCTTCTTTGTAAAGAAAGAAATCGTCTGGACGAAGTCCCCCTTTGCGCTCATGGGTCAGGCGTACAGCTTGGCGGGCAGCAATCTTGGAGTAGACTGTTTCAAGTGCTCTAGCGTTGCCAAAGCCTGGACGGCCACGCCCTCTTCCAAGACGCTTGACGACGATGCGCATGTACAGGCCATCTTTGCCGCCTTCGATCCTCATTCTCCTATTATATCGTTTCTCTATTCGCTGTTGCAACATCCACAATAGCTCATCGTCTTGATAGTCGGCAAATTGTAGAGTATGTGGCACGCGACTGGTGAGCCCGGGATTATGCTCAAAGAACTTTTCCATATTTTTGTTGTAGCCGGCGAGTATGAAGACGATCTTACCAACGTTGTTCTCCATTTCAGCAAGCAAAAAATCTAGCACCTGGCGACCAGCATTCTGGTTGTGTTCTTCTGTGAGTTGATACGCTTCGTCCAAGAAAAGAGTGCCTCCGCCTGTACCGAGAATGCCTTCTAGAATCTTTTTTGCGCCAGCAACACCATCATGAGCCAGACGTGCGCCCGTCGTTTCCACGAAAGTACTGCATGGGAGGGCTCCAAGGGATGCCAGAATTCTGGCATATAGACGAGCAACTGTTGTTTTGCCTGGCAAGCACCGTCATTGGTCATGTTATAGAAATAGAGCTGCAGACTAGGTGATCTTACCTGTGCCCGGATTCCCAAGAAATGAAATATTCAAGCGGTCATTTGACACGTCAGCATTTTGCCGCATGCTGACCTCGATCATGGCTTTGATCCGAAGAATCTGCAATTTGACTTCTTCCAGTCCAATCATATCCATGACGGAATCGATAGCATCGTTTCGGGCGTTATCTAAATTTTTCTGACGTTTCCACTCTTCCTTGGCTGGTGAATGGCGTCTATTGGTCCACTTAGGCGCTGGTGATTTGGCAGCATCGGGTGGCTGCATACCACGGTTGTTCGACGGAGTGGACGAAGCTTGCGTGGATATGGGACTGGCCTCATTCCCTGACGACCCTCCAGAACCATGTTGGGCATTCGTCAAGGAGTCAAAAGCTGGAAGAGTCATGGCTTGCGCGCCAGCAAGATCTTCCTTTTTTTGGTGAACTGCCAGGGCTCTGTCTCTGGATAACTGGGCATCCCTGAGTCTCTGTCTTTCTTCAGCTAGCATTGCGTCGAGCTTGGCTATGTTCTCAATGTGCTCTTGTTCTTCTCGAGCACGCTTCTCTCGCTGTCTCAGGTCCTTTTGTATTTCTTTCTGTGCTCTCAAAGCCTCCGCTCCACATTTGCTGCACTCGCGTGGTGGTTTGTGACATTTCCAGGACCTTTCATGGCCCTTTGGGCATTTATCGTCGAGCATGTACTCGCACTGCACCTTTGAGTGGTCGGACAATTGATGACATCGCTGCGGACAGGGGTGGAGACCACAGCCGAGCATGGTGCCACTAGAGCTGTATTAGCACTAGGCCGGCACCGTGGACTAAGGTTTACTCACCATGGCTCTTTGCACCCTCCATCAGGGCATTCGACGTCGAAATCGTTTGGTTGACGCAATAGACAGGCTGTTTCACGATGTCGCTCGCACCGCACAGGAAACCCGTCATAGACATGGCCGCCATTCTTGAGTAGACCCCAGAGCTTAGTCCAAATATCCTTCCCTTTGCGAGCCTTCAGGAAAGTTTCAGGGTTGCCAATCAAAATTAGAGCGTTACGAGCTCGAGAGAGAAGAACATTCAACCGCTCGGCCTCAGACATGAAGCCAATGTCGTGCCTAGGATTGCTCCGCGTCAAAGATGCAACAACGATATCGCTTTCCTCTCCCTGATAGTTATCGATAGTTGCGAGCCGAATTTTCCGCTCGTTTGCGTTTACACTCGCAGGTTGCATAAGACCAGCGCGGACAAGATCGAACGTGTCAAGATCGTTGAGAACGGGGTCGTTCTCCGTACTTAGCACTTGTTTGAGAAGTTTCAATTGTCCGAGATATGGTGTCAAGACCACAAGATTATCCGTTCCATAGCCTTGTTGAGCAAGATAGCGGACGCACTTCAATACCATGTCAACCTCGAATCGATTTTGTTTTGATGATTCAGAACTCATGTCCTTCCCATTCGCCGTATCTTTGGCGTCGTCTTCAGGTTTGTTATGCGAAATAAACATCAAGTTGTTCTGGAACCCACTAAGATCAGGGCGAATCAGGGTTCTCGGGGCATCAGTGAGATCAGGATACGTTAGGGAGCGGACCAGAGCAGATATTGTTGGACGCATACGGTGCTGCTGAGTGAGTGTTTGATGGGGGAAGCCTTTCAGTATCAGTCGCTCAAACAGGGATCTGTTGAGATCGTAGCCGTCGCCTTTTTCTACACTCAAGTCGTGGTTCTTGACCTTGGGCCGTAATTGTTTGTGGTCGCCGATGAGCACCAATTGCTGCGTATGCGGACCAAAGCTTGTCAGGATGTGACTTTCCAGAATTTCACCAGCTTCTTCCACTAATACAACGTCTCGGGAAGCTGCTTGAAGCTCTTGCGTGTATTTCGCTGCAGCTGTAGTTGTACATGCTATGACACGTCTTGAGGCTATTATTTGGGCATTCCCCTTCTTGAACATGTCGTCCAGCTCGCTTTGAGCCTCGTTGTATTGTTCCGCAATGGCGTATAGCTCGGAAACCTTTTCTTTGAGTATGCCAAGCTTCCAGGACGACAACGAGGCCTGCCTTGCAGACACCTGCATCTGCCATATATGGTGTGCATTTTTGGGAACTTCGTCGGAAAAGATACCAGCGTCTTGGCCATTTGACCATCGATCGAAGAGATATGAGTCGCTAACAGCTTTGCCGCCTGGACCAACCATCGTCGACCCGTCTTCAGCTTCGGGCACTGTGAACGCATTGTAATAGTCTTCACCATCAGGAAGAAACTCAAGGTATTCTATCAAATCCGCCGACCGAAGGTTAGTCGACTTGTATCTATCGAATGCGCGCTCCAAACGGATAGTATGAGCTTCTATCTTTGACTTGAGGCAATTGATCTTGGTCCAAGAGGCGTTTGTCTGCCTGTATGTAGTAGACTGTTCGTACAGAGACATGCATTTCGTTCGTGGGGTCGACTTTCCCCCAAGCCGCAGCATCTCATCAGCCGGAATTCCGATGTCAAGTAAGTCTTCGAGGAACTGATCCAGAGCATGATTGGTAAAACAAACCACGAGAATTATCTTCTTCGTGAATCTGTAAATGGACTTGGCGATCAGAGCTCCAATAAATGATTTGCCAGTACCTATAACTCGTTTAGACACCCCTCATGTCGGGATGAACTGGAACGAACTCACCCGGCGGGCCCTGTATCAAGCTCACCCGCTGCTTAAGCCCTGTTAAAAGAGATTTCATTTGGGCTTCGTCCAGTCGGATTGACTTGGCGGTTTGCAGGACATCTTGGACATCCTGTGAGGGATCGTTCTCGAGACTATTGATCAACGCCATAGGTGCATGCGGAGGTTTGACCGGGACGCTATCGGGACTCCAAAGCAAGAGCTCATCCGCGAGGGACAATTCTCGAATTTCTTGAAGCCCTCGCAATACCGGTTCATAAGCAAAAACAGCTGTATCTATTTGCACTAGTTTCACATGCTGTGCAGTCTTCAGCTTGAGCAGCGACTTGGACGTGCTTGCAATGCCTCTGAAATGTAGCGCGATAACCGGAGGTTTGCGAGCGAGTTGATCGACGTCTCGATGTATGGTTGGAAAGGCGGCAATCTCTTCGTCCACAATCAAGCATGCTAAGGATTGATGTTTGAACAGATTCTGGTTGGCACGGAGATAGTCTTTGCGCTCTTTATTCTTCACGTTCGCTGGTTCAGTTGGGTCTAGGCGGTTGTCTTTGCGTTCCTTATCCTTCACTTTGGCTAGTTCGGGTAGGTCTGATAAACACTGGAGCCGCAGGGACCATGGTAGTCGCTTCTTTGGCTCTCCACAATCAACACCGAGAAGTGTAAGTCCGTCTACCATTGTGCCTCTGTGGCGTCCTTTCTTCTTCCCCAAAACGATCTGAAGCTCATCGCGCAATTCCTTTAACAAGTCCTCGCGAAGGAGTCGGAACTGATTTTCAAGATGCATGGTGAGGCGCTTGTCTTCGTAAGCTGGATCTTCCAGTGTCTCAGCTCGACGAAGAAATGGCGGTTCCGCCGAGCGAATTTCATCGGCCGTGGGATGGATAGCAATTTCACGAAAGTCTGCGAAGTCATTGTCATGTCTTCCTCCTGGACCATGTCCATCGTCATCAACACCAGGTGCATCAAGACTGGAGATAGTATGTTTGATCTTCTGCCCCATTGTTCGTATTTCGAAGGCCGGAGAATCGAGGAGCAAAGCTTGGATCAAGGGATCTTGCGCAATAGCAGTATAAGAGCCACTGTTGCCGGAATTTTGGCATAGTAGCTCGTGTAGAAGCCAGGCGAAGCACTGTTGGGAGTCTATATTCAGTAAAGCGTTACGGAAGGACTGTAAGAAGCCGTTCCAGAAGATGGGCGGCTCCACCATTGGCCGAGTGACCTGGCGGACATAATCTCCCCCAAGAATCATCTTTAGCCCAGGATCTTGGATGTACCGAATCAAGGCTGCGGCTGGTCCATTGTGGAAGGAGGCGGAGGCGTCGAATCGAAGACTACTTTGCACGGCTGAAAGACCTGCTGAGCTTGATATGACTTTGTCAATGCATGTTGGTGGATCAGGCTGATCACATAGCGCCTCGATAAAAAGCTCTGCCTGTTTAGTTGTCTTCAATGATTGATCTCCACGCAGAATTGAATTGAAGAATCTTGCGAGCTTTGCTGTCCTAACAGATGGGTCAGCGGACGACGAGGAGAGCATTGCAAAGCTTCAACATCCAATGCCAAATGTGACTATTAAATGGAGGAAAGGACGAGAGGGTTTCGTCACAAGAAGGAGAGCAGGCTATTGTAGACTGAGTCTGAGTCCTCTGTTCAACGGATTTACAGCTTCAGAAGGTTCGATGACACAAAAGTTGGGCATAAATGGAGATAGGCAACAAAGTGGGCAGAGCCAGCCTTGTTCGGACGGCCGCATAAAGCCGAGCACGAGGCCGGCAACAAATCAGGACATGCATAGACGCGGAGAAGCAACCAATCAAACATTGCATGTTTGAAGACGAACGAAAAGACGCTGGGCCCATCAATCTGTCTCCACTTTGTAATGAGACATCTTTGTAGCTAGTGAAAGCGTGAATATCTTTACAAAACAGATCTTGAACTTGAGACGGTAAAAGGACTGAGAATGATCGGAGGAAATCCTTCGTTCTACGGAGCTTGGAGAAGAGTTCTCGGTGGATTTTGAAAGGAAAGCCAGCCGAAGATCCAAGTACTAACTCGAATAGTGCTAGCGGTTCTTGTGAGCCCCCAATATCTAAGTATCTTCATATTCCTCACTGGGTCCGCCCATGTGGTCATATCTCAGGCTGCGGACCAACATGCTGAGGTCTTTCGGCTTTCAATAGCGTTTTCAACCTTTGCTGGTTCTTTCGCTGACCACAGATCAATGTTTGGCGCCGTTACGGAGTACATTGAGGCCATTGCCAATCGTACTTTCGCACTCGTCATCCTAAACGAGCCTCTGGTGATACTTACCCGAACGAAACTTCTTCTGGTGAGAACAGAGCATGTTCGTGTACCAACGGAGTCGAGGCTTTCATTCATGATGCCAGTAGACTTTGACGTTGGCGCACGAAAGGGTCAAAGCGCCGCGTAGTATGTCGTATATTCCTTCTAACGTCCCAGGAGCTGCGAATGCCCATCTTGCCATGCGCTCGCGCAACAGATCCAGCATCGTTCCTCCTAAACGATCTCAAAACGGGGGTCAAAATTTACTTCCTATACATACACTACGCGAACACCTACTGTATCTATCTTACAACTCCCCATGCTCAACCCCATTCCCGTCGCCACCCCAACTCAGATCCGGCATCGCCATGATCTTCACCACCAAACTCGTCCATCCCGTGAAGTGCTGCGTTCTCTGCCCAGCGCCCGTTTCAGGGTTATACTGCTCCCACGCGAAGCCCGTCCGCTCCCATTCATTGAAGACGTTTTCGACGAGGTTCTTGCGAAGGGAGGTGTAGATTTTGGTGGCTTGGGACTTGTGAGGGCCGGGTTGGATTGCGATGTCCTAGGTATTGTTAGTGGGATGTTTGTGGAATACTTAAAGGCAACAGTCTTGACTGACGTAGAGGCTTTTTACGGCGAGGTAGTTCATGTTCATCCATATCGGACTTCTCCAGTAGTTCTCGTCCGTCCCATAGAATTCATCGCTCATGCTCAGACTTCTTAGACCGTAGTCGCTCCATAGCTCTTCAGGATCGCTAATCAGGTCCAGTATTGCCTTCAACCTCGGACTATCCGGTGGCAAAAGACCAGTCAAGAATGGGAAGATGGATATGTATCCCTTGTGGCAAATACGTACGCTTTCCTCGTAGTCATCAATGGTCGCATCACAGTACGTCTTTGCTTTGTTATCCCAATGCAAGTCATCGATGTTCCTGACAATTGCTGTCTCGTACCCTGTGAATTCATTCGCATCATCGGTTTCGCCAATAGTTTCAGCGATTCGTCGCATTGAGCGTGTCATCATGCCCATCCAACTTATTAAATCGGTGTGCAGCTCTCCTGGATGCGGTGGCTGCGGCCGAGGGTAGTCGTCCAGGCCAGAGGTCAATATGTGACGGGTGTCTCTGCCTCGCCAGCGGTAGCCTTCTTTGGTGGAGAACGCTTCTCGGTCATAGGACTTGATGTCGCCCCATTGAGTTTTGCGGAACCAGAAGTAGTGGCGCTTTAGTAATGGGTAAAGATCGCGCAGATAGTCCTTAGCGACATCAGAATTCTGCAAGTGAGCACTGCGAATAGACTCGAGAGGGTCATCCATCCCCTTAGTAGGCCACTTCGTTTGCAGCTTGTCGATCAGGGATTCAAAGATTAAGAATAGCGTGGGAGGGTTGGCGTAGTGTGGATATTGGACCTGAAACTCTTGGGGCACCTTGCTGCGGGCTTCTTGACCCAGAATCTGCTCTCGCCCAATCCATCCATCTTCATCCATAAGGTTGAACCAGCTCCGGACGATCTCTAGCGTCAGGTCCATATCCCAGTCGGCGACGGGTATCAAGTGGAACCCTTCATCCCACAGAAAACCCCGAGGAAAGAATGGTCTAGATGGTATGCTCGTAAACAGCTCAGAGGGTCCTTCAAGCCTTACACCTCCTTGGCGCATACGAGCTTCTGCGGTCTCTTGCCAGAAACCTTCATTTTCCTCTTCATATTCAGGAGCGTATGACTTGTCCACCACGGAATCCCCATAGAAATAACCGATACCTCCGATGAGATTCGAAAACATAGATTTGGCGAAGTCTTGGTACTTCGACTTGTTGAAAGGAGCTTGGGGTGCCAGTAGCTTTTTGAAACGGTGCGCGAATTGGGTAGTTGCTTTCTCGATGGCTCCACTAAGATCGTCCGCTTCTGATAGTCAGTGATTGGTGCAAAGAAGTGTTGAAAGTTGGCTTACACGTGACAGGCGCCTCAGCGGACGCTGAAGAATAAATGATGTCGAACTGTGCTGCCTGTCATTACAAAATCTAACAACGACCCCGAAGCACCAGCTGACCTCGAAAGAACCCTCGAAGACCTTCTGCACAACATGCATATTCCCCTCCTTGATGTCGTTGCCTACTGTGAACGTCGCCCAAGGTGGTGGTGCGTTCTCCTGTCCATACTCAGCGATCATGGCATCAATCTCTTCTTTCATCTGAGAGAAGATGAGTGCTTCACTCAACCAAGCAACAAGTCAGCTAACGTGTACCAAAAAAAACGTGGATTGTGGATTGACGTACATTTAGCCTGCCACATAGCTCCTTCAGGTACTTGCAGACTCGCAACCATTGTTCGATCTAGAGGCTTGTTCTCATAGCTCTTGTGGTTTGGAGGTGGATGCAAGTTGCTATTTGGTCCCTCGGTGACTTGGAGCTTGAAGTCTCCCAGCTCATTGCTTGAGCCTTCCATTGTCACAGGCCCTACTATCCCCAGATCGTCCCTCTCGTTTTCCACACTTAGACTCCCAAAGCCCTCCATTCCAGCGTAGAAGAGCACGGTACTCATCAGCCGGGCTGGCGCGTCTTCTCTCGGTGTTCCTTTCACTCGGACGCCCCAGCTGCCACCATGCTGTCCTCCTGGTATCTTAATGAACTCGGTCGTAATGTCTATTGAGTTGCCCGCATCGTGTATGGTTTGGCGCCCGCCATACCGCACATCGTATTCGTCCCACCCGTATCCAGCCATACCCTCATGTTGTTCGCAGGTATGCCGGAAGTCTATATCGGCATTTGGTCAGCAAATATGAACCCGGGTTGTTTCCTAAAAATTGTAGCCACATACTATTCTGCACTCCTTGAAAGCTATCCACCTTCGCCCATATCAACCCCGTCAGCAACGACTTCGGTATCCTCGGTCGAACCCCAAAATATAAGTTTGGCCGGTAAGGACCCCATAGCAGCGAATCGTTCGAGACTTTGGCTTTTTCAGAAAGGACATGTTGTGCAGTGTCGTCCCCAAGGATCAATGAGAACAGCGAAAGCAGAATCCCGAGCGCGGAGAGGCGCCATAGCTGCAACATCACTCGAAGAAGAGCCACGACAGAAAGTAACCAGCGCAATGGCTCGCTGAAGCTGGGAAAAAGACAAAGGAAATGTTGACTTGTGGACACGAATAGCCTCGCGTGGGAAATTTTCACGGTTCCTACCCTGCGCTGGTTTCAATTCTCGTGCAGCAGTCATGCAGTATAATGTTCCACTATTACAACGAATAGAGCCCGTGAAATCATTTGATGCTAATCCAACTGGCTCTCGGACTCCTCATATGTTCCATAAGACACCCTACACCCCACTCAAGATCATGGCACGGAACCCTAACTACAACCCCACCGATACTTCTCCGAATATCGTCTCGTCACCTCCTCCCCTGCCATCCACTCAAACCCTGCGTAGCATAACTCCCCCTGCCCCTGCCCACCCTTCCCATCATCACTTCCCACCGACCGCGTGGAGCTCCCCCTCCCCAGCCTCGCCTTCAACCTCTCCTGCGCACTCCCACTCCCCGAGCTCCCAGGCGGAGGCCCCGGACTACTCGTATTCCTCCCATCACCTCTCAACTGCTGCTGCTGCTGCTGCTGAGCATATGCCGGATTCTGCGTCTGATAGCTCCCAGCCCGTTGACTGGGCAGTGGGCGTACATTGAGACTTTCTTGCTGTTGCTGCGGTTGCGCACCCATCCGTCGCCCGCCCAGTGGCCCTCGTCGCAGACTGCCTCGCTCTTCCACCGGCGACTGGGCGCCAGGGCCTGGGGAGTCGGACCACAGATCGCTCAGCCCTCTCCCTTGCCCCGGTCTCTCTGCCGCATCGCTCGTACTCGAATTGCCACGTAGACTGCCCATGGGCCTGCTGGTCACGTATGGGTTCTCTTTCTGTTGCGCCCTTGCGGCTTCCCGCGGATCTGTACCCAGCCATGCGGGGAACGGGCGGCCTTTTTCGGTGTAGTAAGCGCGCAGGACGCGGGAGACGTGCGAGTCGTCGGGGTCGGTGATGTTGGAGTCGTCTTCAGAGGTGGAGGTGAGGTTGCGGCGGAGGGAGGCGTAGCGGGAGGTTGTCGATGTGAGGAGGGAGTTTAAGGTGCTTAGGTATGACATCCTTGGAAGAGGATTTGGGTGAATCGTTGGAAGAGGGTGATGGGGCGTGGGGCGAAGGGGTGGTGGTGGTCTTGATAGGGTTGAGCTCGAATCCGATGTTTGTAGCCGAAGATAGAGGGAACGCAACAACTTATTGACAACTCGACTTAACTTATATCAAAGCTTAATGGCTTACAGGGTTTTCGATCGACGTAATTTGTATCGCATCGAATCTTCGGCTTCTGATACATATTGTGTAACTACATTGACATTCCCTACTGGGTTTCACAAAAAGACAGGCCTGTTCAGAGGTATGTACATGCAGACTGCCAAGGTTCCCTTTTTACACATTGATATTCAAGCTTCTCATTTTTTGCTCCTCTGCCCATATGCCTTTGTAGCATAATCTCCATCCTTGACAATCAAATCCTGTGGTCTGTAATCGTGTCTTCCGGAGAAGTATGATTCAAGAATGTCCTTGGTGCCCTTCGCATAGCGGGCCTGGGCATCAATCGATGTACCAGACATGTGAGGGACCGTAGCGTTACCGCCACCCATGGTGTTCTTGGCGTAGCGGAGAGGGTGGTCTTTGGGTGCTGGTTGTGGGAACCAGACGTCGCCTCCGTAACCACGGAGGTGGCCAGACTTAAGAGCTTCGGCAACATCCTCCTTGACAACGATGGCACCGCGGGCGGTGTTGACAAGCCACGATCCTGTAGCGGCCATTTAGCAGAAGCAGTCGAATTGCGAAGATTCAACTCACCCTTCTTCATTTTGGAGATCAACTCCTTGTTGAACAGGCCTCGAGTCTTCTCGTGCAATGGGCAGTTGATGGTGACGACGTCGCACTGTGCCAACATTTCCGCTAAATCGTTCACACGTCGGCATCCAATCTCCTTCTCAATTTCGGGTTTAAGGGGTTGGTAATCGAAGTACAGCAACTCCTTGCAGTCGAATGGCTTGAGTCTTCGCAGCACACGCTCGCCAATACGGCCAACAGCGACTGTACCTACAACCTTGTTCTCAAGATCATATTCGTTCTTAGCAACAGCGGCTACATTCCAGTCTCCACCCGCGACTTGCTCATGGGCTGGGACGAAGTTGCGAACGAGGGTGAGGATAGTCATGAGGACATGCTCTGCCACCGATACGACGTTGGAGCCAGTCACTTCGGCGACGGTGATACCACCGTTGGTTTTGTTTGCAGCATCGAGGTCAACGTGGTCAGATCCAATGCCGGCGGTGACGGCAAGCTTGAGCTTCTTAGCTTTGGCGAGTCGCTCGGCGGTCAGGTAGCCTGGATGGAAGCTGACAGCAACGAATGATCAGCCGACGGATTCTGGACGTGACTCTTTCTCACGAGGTTGATTCTACTCCCAAGTCAATTGCTCTCAGGTATTGCCAGACTCACGGTGTAGTAATGATAATCTCAGCGTCCACCAGCTCTTGGTCGAACTTGGAGTTCTCGCCTTCTTTGTCCGAGGTGGTGACTAGGGTGTGACCCTGCTCTTCGAGCCATTTTCTGAGACCAAGTTCATTCTCGGTCGTTCCTAGCATCTCAGGAACCTCTCTCGCGTGCTCATGGCCCTGTGCAATTCGTTGGTTAGCATGAGCTTTTGGTCATTAGGATTTGGGTCAATCGGAAAAATCCACTTACATCGTATAAGACTAGGAGTACTTTGGACTGGATTCCAGTAGTACTGTCAGTATTTCTCGGGTGTCTGAGGAGTTGGGAACAACCTGTAGTCGGGACGTGGCAGTCAGCGTTCGTACCCCGCCGAAAGCTCCCCGCTGGACCGGGAGAGCAGTCCTTGAGAACAGAAGGGAGGAAGCAGGTCGCGAAAGGCGAGAGATAGAGCGAACAAATACCATAATGATTGATAATGATTTGATTGCAGATTTTGACCGGTTGTTAGACTTCAATTGGTTTTTGTTGAAGGGCAAGGAAGTCGAAGGGGCTGTTTTTTTGCCGGAAATAATGGCGGGATGCTCTACGGCTAGGCCGGAGTACGTCAGTAACATTGGCATCGGCAGACGTGACTATCCAACTTACGGCAATTGAAATATGCCTAGACTACCTAGGCTTTGTTTCAGATAGGAAAACACTGCCTTGATGTCGAATAATAATCGACACGAGATGAATCTGTTGTTAGGGAAGAAGTCAGTGAGTTCGCGGTGGGTTATGTGATTAATTGCTCCCAAATTGCGGGGCCAGCGGAGTCGGTGGACACTAGAATACGCAAATGCTCCTCTCCGCATTTCTGTTCTCATTACGTCAAGCATCGACTTTGCCGCTGATGCAAGACCGGAAACTTTCCTCCGTTCCCGGAACATGGAAGCTCTCGGACTGCGGGGTCATTTAAGCTGGTCAGACGAGAAGCTACTCCCGAGCCTACCGTCAACTACCGTAAGCTCTCCTCACTTAACACCTCATGTCTTCCACTCTAGCCATTTCAGCGGTTGCGATGCCAGAAGTAACTTAGATCATCCCTTGCTGGCATCGCCGACCTGTCTATAGTGCGCACCAAGGCTGGAGCGTGCTGATAAGAGAATAGCAGCAAAAAGGTTCTTGACATTGCAAATCAGCCTATGGTCAAGGATAGTAAGACTCAAGGAAGGAACTAGAGATATGTCTACCAGGAAGCGAACAAAGGTGCCAAGAACCCTTGGAATCGATCTAGCAGCAGACGTGTTACGTCAAGCCTGTGATGGATCTTCTATCCGTAGCAGCAAGTATAGCAGGTCTCGTAAGCATCGCATTAGGATTCTCTCGCACTCTTCGCTCCTCCTACAAAGCTGTGAAAGACACAACCAAGGACACACAAGAGGAGCATCAGCTAGAAGTCGGAGGTCTTCGTCCTCCTGCACCAATCAGACCTACGCCTGTTGAGGTCTCATTGTTTACTGAGAGTCCCAATTACAAATTCTTTCCGTCTCCATCGAAGACCGGACAGACCATCAGCGAATGGAGCAGTGAATATCTTGCCACGACCCGTGACGAAGCAATTTTTTTAGCATTTCTGTCTCTTTATGGACCGAATGGGGTGCCTTTGCGCGAGTTAATTATGCTCGCTACACTGAGAGCTTCTTTCGAACTGTCGGGGAATCACTGGCTGCTGAGTGGTGAGATCGGTCCAATTCTTCGGGCTGTCGGCGATGCAAGCTTACCTACGGATTGTTCCTTCCTGAATGCTTTCGTGCGCGAGACTTCTGACTCATTCGGTATTGATGCCCTGCAAGAACGACTTGTGTCAATGCGTCTTCTTGTCGTTGAACCTGCAACAGGAAGATCATCTTCACTCGTGAATGGTGCACTGACGAGCGAATCTGGCGCACTTCTAGCAACGTGATGAGTACACACTTGATGGTCCCATTGTGGGGCGATTCGGACGGAAAGGGTATCATCATGGACCTGCTGTATGTGTTTCTAGAGATGCCAAGCAAGGATGTGTCTCCGCTTGTAGAACGACACAGAGAGGCTTTTTATTAACATGCTCGTCTTTTCGCAATCGAAACCTTGCGATTTAATCAGACCATACTCAAGAATGCTAAAGACTATACTGTAGCGCTGGTATTACAAGTGCTGACGCACCGCTACCAAGATGGGGATGAGGAACTCATGCTATTTGCAAGAGCATGGCCATCCTCCGTGAACGGTTCTGACTGGGCGATAATGTTGCTGTCTGCAGAGCTAAAAGAAGTCATTTCCAGTGGCGATTCCAGAATCAAGACGCCGCTCACCACTCGCATTACAAGCCTTTTGTCTTGGAAAGGAAGACGACAACGCCGGGCCAACGGTCTAATCGGATACCTCTTGGTTGAGTATTTTAAGGCTGCGGGGCAACGCACGGAAAATCCTTGGCCAGTAACATTGTTCAATTTGCTATGGACTGGGTTGAGGGTGCCTGGTCTTCGGGCTCTTCAATTGAGCGTGCGGCTCTTTGCTGTGTTCTTGCCAACTTCCAGATGATTCCAACTCTGTTCTCTGGAACATTGAATATATCTACACTGGTGTCACCCAAATATCGCCTTCTCTATGGTCATCATCTCTCGCGAACTGGCCATCTCAGGCAAGCGGAAGAGTGGTTGGCGTCCGCACTCATGTGTTACCCTGGCTCCCAAATAAACACGCGACTTCAGGGATATCAATTTGAACTTGTTTCCGTGCTGATTAGACTCGGCCGTTGGCAGCATGCAGAGACGCGGCTCACTAGTATTGAATATGATGCGAAGTTTCAAGATCCATATAGACGAGACTCCCATTTCGAATACGTTTGGGTGAAGTTGCAGAGACGAGGATCCTGTTAGGTCTCTACCAGGCCTGAGTGCCTCATGGCTGTAGGAAGGGTGAGCTATGCGGGTCCTCGGCTGGAAAGTGCTACCAGCACCGCATCCCTCGTGCATGATAATTATGTTCAATCGCTACGGTTGACACTTGAGATGCGACATCTAGAGGTACGAATATGGGAGTGGTCTCTGCAAAAGGCTCTGAAGATAGCAAAAGCACTGGTGATGAAGGTCCGTGGTGCCTTCCTCGCACGAGTGTTGGTTCAATGGATCACACAACAGTCGCTTGCTTTAAGTAACCGGTTGGTCTGGGCAGGAAAGGTGACAGCTGCGTCGTTATTACTGCAAGATATTATTCACAAGTACGTTGAAGAGGACGAGTGCACTCGACTGACTCAGTCTCATCCAAGGGCGATCTCGAAGTGGTCATGTCGCCTTTTCAAAGCCTGGACGCGCTTGCAGTGTAGACATCGAGCCATTCACGATTATCAAGCTTTCATACTTTAGGTATTGAGCCGCGAGTTCCCAACGTTGAATTCAGCGTAGAAGTCCTTTCGCTCCTTGTAGGAATCTATGTGCCAGCAGACTCAATGGACCACCCACTGCTGGTCAAACGGCGCATACACTCCAAGTGCAGATCACTTGCCTTACTCCAAGTCACCGATGGAGAATGTGTCAGTATAGAGACACTCACCCTCTCGTGCGACGCGGACGTCTTCTTGTTGTGCACGCGCTGGACCCAGACGGTACTTTTGAAGACAGCGTGGTAGATGCCATGCTTGTTCCGCAAGGATCGATATCAGAGCGCCAGAAGTCTTGTACTCAGAGGTTCTTTTCGCCTGTGGCATGATGGCCTCTGGAAGAGAATCGTATCGGTGTCGGGCGCATGAATGGTGCAGTGGACTATACGGGGTATTCATCAGGGTTTGGAACGATGTGACTGACTGTACAACTATAAAAAAAACAAGATATATAGACCAATAAATCTAGACTACAAGCCCAAGTCCGCAAGGAGCTAGGACTCAGCACATCTCAGCGTCACATGAGGAAGAGACGCTAACCTAAAGGGCTTAGCGAAGTAATTAGCGCCTCAGGAAGACTAAGGTAGAACTCGTCTGGGCGCCCATTCTTTGGGTGCAGAAGAAACGGAGTTTACACTGATAAACGTTTCTCAATTTCTCTATGCCACCGACAGCCTTTCATTTTCCATGGAGGAACTAGAAATTTATCATCAATCTAATCTACTTTATACTCAAGAGAGCATATTGAGATACCGAGATGACGGATATCATCCGGTCTGTCTTGGGGACACCTTTCAAAACGACCGGTATAGACTCCACCACAAGCTAGGCTGGGATGGCTTTTCAACAGTCTGGCTGGCAGAGGATAGGGAGTATGCTATCTTAAGATCACGCGCTTAGATCTCTACTGATGATTGAAGGCGAATGCGATGGGTCTCGATTAAGATCCTGACTGCTGATGCAACAACGCATTCTCACGAACTTGGTATTCTTCGATCCCTCGCTAAGTTTTGCAAAGGAGCTTTAAGCTCTAGGTATCTCGTTCGGCTACTCGATGAATTCTCTCACCAGGGGCCTAATGGAAACCATCAATGTCTGGTATTCGAATTACTTGGACCCACAGTGGATATGGTCGTGAGCGACTACAGTAACTACGATGACCGCGAAGAGTGGCTCGACCCAGATATAGTCTTGAGGATATCTGAACAGCTAGTGGATGCCGTCACATTTCTACACGAAGCTGGCTATGCGCATGGAGGTACGATGAGCCCCGAGATGTTTGTAGCTCCTGCGACTTCTAATCTCTTTCTCTTTTCTACAGCTGACTTTCAGCAGATATTAGCAGTAGAAACATTGTCTTTACATGTAATCATTTGTCTCAGGCGTCCAAGGAAGACCTCTTCAATATCCTTGGACCACCAGAATCAGAGAATCTAACTCGGCTTGATGGCGAGCCGTCAGGAGATAGCCTACCTAAGCAGCTAGTGAAGACAGTAGGTTGGGATAATTGGACCGAAGAAGATGAGGAAGATCTTCGTATCATTGACTTCGGAGAGGCTTTCCTTCAAGGGGGCAGAGCCGAAAAGGCTTGCCCAGCCTGGCACTTTGCGAAAGCCGGAAACAATCTTTAAAGACAAGTTTGATTATAGACGTGACCTATGGCGTGCCGGTATTGTGGTGAGAACATTGCGCTTCTATTTCTTAGAGTAGAGATACTGAAATTCGTAGACAGATTTATACATGCGTTGTGGGAGGACTTACGTTCCACTACTGGGGAAGTATGGACGCTCTGGTTGCACAAATGATAGACTTCGTAGGAGAAATGCCACCCGGGTGGCAGCCAAAATGGCATGAACTTCAGCTGGCCTCCAATTCTGTCCCCGTGAAAAGTATGTCTGTCTCCCTTGAAAGCATGGTTCGCGGACCCCGAAAGGGTGATCCTGATGGATCGATACAAAATCTGCTCTACAAAGATTGTGAATGAAGGAATGTTTGTTAGAGCTGACGTTCGTGCAGGTGAGAGCCGTCTCTCGAAACTGGAGCAAAGGTTTAATGAAAGGGTCACAGAAGGGATCCGGAAATCTCTGCTCTCAGTCATCCAGGGGTTGATGAGGTTTATCCCATCCGATCGAATCTCGGCATCACAAGCGCTTGAACAAGTTAGAGTTTTGCGACCGGTTCAAAGTGACCATGGAGCGTATCTTGACTGATCGATGAGATTGACTGCAAAGAAAGAGCGCAAGCGGGTATCGATTTGGCGGAGGGTGTACGAGTTGGTCTCTTGGAAGCCGGACGGGTAGAATCAAGAGATGTACCCCTATCCGCGAACCTCGCTGTCAACACGGAAGCTTTTGGAGACGGACGAAAACTCGAAGACTCAGAAAAAGAAGGAAATGCATCTGCCTCCTGCGACCGGGCTGCAAGTATGGCAGGACGAACAATGTTGAGCCACGCTCTAGATGAGAAGAGATGTGGGGGATGAGCTAGGATGGAACGATCGAACGCAAGGTCAAAAGCTATTGACAGCTCGCATAATTCCTCAACCCGAGGGAACTGAAGCTTCTGTACAGAGTGTGTAGGAATCTGCCCTACCGCCAAGAGAAAGCAAACACTCGGACTGTGTCTGAGCTCAGCCACGCACGCTAAGTCTCCTACCTCAGCCTTTCAATTCTCTAGGTACTCTGTGCGACAGCACAGCGTTGACCTTGATAATATCGATGACCGAGAGGCGCACTACTTACGGTTCCCCGTCTCTGCTATCTGTATTAGAGGCGTTGCCTTTTTGGCGGACTACTTATGGACCTTGCCGCAAAGAACGCTCTGTCCGGCAGGTCAATCTAGCATGCCCCGTTATGGCGGCTCTATGCACCGATACTCTTTAATTAATCGGTGGGCGTGTTTCTTTCCTCCATCTAGATGACATTGGAATCAAATGATTTCTATTATTGGCACTATTGGCACGCCACCAGCGTTTTCACAGATCTCAGCCTCGCTCTAACGGCGGGAACCCCTCATTTTCCGCAGGCTCACATCGTAGACTTCGTCCCTTATCACCAGGCTACCAAATCTTGGGAGCCACACCAAGGCAATGGTCGGTGACTCTTTTCGATCGGTCAAGATAAGAAATGACTGGCCAGAGCGGCGCAGACCGTGGTGTTTTCACCGGTCGATGGAAATAAGACCTGCGTCTGAACGCTGTATTTCCCCTCCTTCATCTCATCTTTCCTCGTGTCTTCGACAGTCCAATATCAACTTCGGATGATGACCTGGATGTGGACTCTAATCGTGCTCTCGTGGTTTTTCTTCTTTAATGCTTGCGTCGCTGCTTCTCTCGATATATGCCCACTCAACTCGAACGACACAGTCACCACGTCATCAAACATCACATGGGCCCAGGCGGTAGACCAGCCTATCAGGCAGCTTGATGGCCCTTCCTATCTGCGTCCTGACATCGGTACGTACTTCTGCCGCCTCCAACATCCTGCGACCGAGCTTTACAGTATCAACGGTGCTGACGGAAGTTTAATCAGGCGGCGCATTGGTTCCGTGGGTCTACAGCATCATCATCCTGCTGGTCCACATACCGGTCGTGATCATCCGCGTCGTCAAATGGGAAGCCGTGCAGACATGGTGCTTGGGCGCCACCGTTTTCACCATTGCGATCACAGCTCAAGCTTTCGCATCCACGAATTTCCGCTCGGATAAGATCCTCACCTGGACGCCGCTCCTCCTAGTCATTGACGCCGGTAGCATGGCGCAAGTACTTTTTCTCGTCGTCGAGGACTATGAATTGCTCACTCGGCTGAGACGCGCCATTATGCCTCCCCGAGCAAAACCATCGGAAGAGCCTTTCCTTCACGACGAGGAAGCCGGCAAAAGCGGCGATCCTGACGAAGGCGTCTTCATCGCAATGCGCACCGTAAGCCCTGTTGCATCTGCCACTGCCCCCACCAGCTCCACCCACCCACCCCTATTCACCTCCAAACCGCTCTACGTCGCTCTCATATCGTCACTCCTCCTCATTTCCGTCTTCGCCCTCCAATTCCTCGGCCTCCACCACGCCGTCAACGCCGCCAGGCAGTCCGCCCCCTCCGTCTCCTGGTGCAGTCCCATCTTCCAACCCTTCGGCGTCGCCGTGCTCGACGGCAACTGCAACGTCTGGCCCATCCTGCAGACCTTCTCCAAGGGCGTCGGATGCATCCTGATCCCCGGAAACCAGCAGATGGCCTGGCTGAAGGCCACGGTCGCCGGCACGGGGATCTCGATCGCGTTGGAGCTGGTCGACATCGGCATCCTCGCGACCGTGCACAGTGGCACGCGCTGGCGCGGCGTCAAGATGCGGCGGCCCTGGTTCACCATGTTCAGCGGCGTGGCGGTGCTGGGGCTCATCCTGGTGTTCGGGGTCGTCTACAGTACCATCCTGCCGCCGGGCATCTCGGAGAAGGTTTGGATCGTCATGGATGCGGGGGCGGTGACGGTGTATGAAGGGGAGCTGGGCACTGCGGGACTTCGAGGGGCGATGATCGGGTGGAATGATGGCGTCTTTCAGGGCTGGGGAAATACTTATTTTGGGAGTTGGGCGGTTTGAATCTTTATGAATGATGGGGATGACTGGTTGATGATCGTGTATGGGAGGAGGTTTTTTTGACGTAATTAGTCCCTAGTTCGTGACAGTCTGGTCGGTTTCTGTCGCTGTATCCTTTCACTTGGAGAACAAATCTGCCTTAGAGAGCTCTTTGATCGTCACGTTCTTAGAACTTCTCATATACACTTTGCTCATGAAGAGCCGTTTCTCAAAGCTCAAAGGACGATATTCTATGGTGTCTTGACTTTGCCCGCTTGCATAGCTGTCTCTTTGACTAGTCGATACCGACATCCGACAAGGCACAACGGAATCGACTGAGTAGGCGCTTTCATAGGATTTCTGAAACTGAGTTTCTGATTGTTCGGGCAGCTTTGCTCGGGCTTGTGGTGTAAGACTAGACATAATCAATATATCATGACTTGAGATCTCAGCATCGCTGCTTGAATAAGCGTCTTGTCGGGGAAGAGTAGCCACAACTTCGTTATAACGGAGAATACCTTACAGATTCACCGCTTGTAAGAAGAGACTCAGGGTTAAAGCCTGATCTCATACACGGTTTTGGTGGCCCCGTAGAGATTTCTCATTCCAAATGAATTTGTAGTGTTTTTAAACACCGAGACGGTCGTCATCGTATGCCTGCACGTCATGCTGAATTGCCTCCATCACCAGTCTATCGGTCTCCAGGGATCCTTCCACTTGCTTCGTGATGCTGTCATCGTGCAGACCACCTTCCCCAGCGTACCCTTGAGACCATTTTCCAATTTGAGTCCATGCAAGCTGAAGGATGGCGACGTTCTGTGCCAAGGATTTGATGGCAAGCCTGTCATTTGCCCGCAACGTCATTGAGAGCCTTTGCTGCAATGCCGAATTGTAATGCTAGACCGAGCGAGCTTTCGACAAGTTCAACTATTGATACTGGATCCATTCCCGAAGACTTTGGGGAAATAATGAGGGAATAAGGTGGAAGTACTCGACTCTACAAGGCTGGAAGAGAAGTAGGGTCGCTCGTTAAAGCGGATAGGCGAGCCCGCAAGGCCGTAATCTATAGGCAAGGAGAAAGATCATAGGAAGGTGCGATAGTCTCATAGCACAGTCGGCTCCAATCACGTCATAGTGGAATGCAGTCCTTGTTGAAAGATTGAAAGTTTGTCCTGTCGTCGACGCGGGCTGACTCAGACGAGGCTACGAGGCTGCATCATGCATCAGTCTAGCCACAGCCTCATCTGTAGCAAGTCGCCTTTCGATCATAAAGCCTGGTCTCCTTGACGGGATCTTAGTGTTCAACTGCATGTTTTCAGTATGTTGCCCAAGTCCTGACTGAGCCTCAGCGTTTTAGACCGAGCTTTGAAAACCGAGATACTCGAGTCCCGATTTTTTGGACATGCAATTGGGATGACTGCGTTTTCAATACGATAAGTTCGATGGCACCTACGAAGATGCCGTAACAACACCGTTGTACAGCGCGAGAACACGATACTGTCCACTGTTGGTCTCTGATGGGCGAATGTTGCTTATAGAATGGTCGTGATTCTAAAATAGTACTATTATATAACAAATTGAAAAGCTCTGGATAGTTTTTGGGCACCGACTTCCCTAGCAGGTCGCTGAGACTTAATCGTGCCATGCACTTACCTCGCTACCTCGTTTTAGGGCCGGTTCCGGGCGGCAACCGGCATGTTCCTACCCGAAAGTATAAGCCTGCACGCTTTCAAATTGCCCTCGATATCATGTCTTAGCAAGCTTGTAACAGCAAAACCTGGCTTTCCAATTAAATATGACTGGTAGGACCATTCAGCAGGTTAGAGCCGTGGCCATGGACGACCTTTTGGCAGAAAGCGCTTATCAGAAAACGGCCCAGGCAATGCGCGATATCTACGACTGAAAGGCCACGGCGACGAGTGAACAATGCGTTTCTCAGGGCAACTCTGTGCCGAAAGGTCAGGGTGTTAGGCCACAAGGCCGTATCGCATCCAGTGTTGATTTTTCGAGACCCTCCGCAGCTCTCTGTGAACCGCATTGGTGACACGCCATGGGTTTTCCCTTCCTAGTACTACATGTTATCAGGACGCTTTGGATCCTTTCCAGATGTACGTAACCTGCGTGATTGTGAATATACTCGACGCTTTCAGGTCAATATGTCTTTTAGTAAGGGTGCTGAGAGGATGGTTGCTTTGATATTCTCAAAGCTTACCATTTGGACCAAGCTATAAAGACTCATTCCTGCAATTCCTTTGTTAGTGTATCCGCGTCTTGCCCGGGAGTCAGATATCTTGTCATTAATCGCGTTTACTTGTCGAAGGTAACAGAAAGCTGGACGCAAATGGAAGGCTCGGTTCAGGGTATCAAAGTACAGGAGTCTTGGGAACCTTAATCAGATTACGGCTATGCACTTTCACCAAACGCCATAACATCAAAGAATGCTTCAGTCTTCAGGTGTCTCCGCTGGTATAAGACCTGAAAGAGTCCTCACCGCTCGTCAATCTATGCACCTCGACTCCCTCCCGTATATCGATCTAACAGCTCGACCCTCCGCAGAATCCTGGCTCACCACGTTAGCCTCGTACCTGTCACCCTCCTGCCTGATATTTAGCACAGCCGGGAAACCGTTGGATCCACGGGGCGCCATGATGATGTCTCCATCCTCGGTTAGATAAGGAATGGTCAAACTGGCCCAGATCCACATGGCCTCCAGCCTCTCTTGCCCAGCTGTGGTATTTGATTCGCAGCGTGCGCAAGGGTCGTCCAGGTTGACGGTTTCTGTTTCACTCACGAGGATCCCATGGAAGGACTCGCAGTGTCCGCAATTGAAGCGGTGGAAATAGATACTTGGGAAGGATTGATACATGGTGCGTAAAAGTCCCCCTGAGGGAAGAGTATGCCGGTGTGGTAAATGGTGTTTGAGCCGCGTGTCTGTTGTGAGTCCCTGCGATTGTGGGGAGTGCCTGCGAGGAAATGTGATTTGAGGTAGAGAATGGTTATGTGTGAAAAGGCAAGGGGTCTTGCGAGGAAACATTGTTAAGGAACAAAACAATGCTATTGTCGTTGCTTGTCCTTCATAGTTCATTGCCAACCTTCTTTGTGTCGATGCTTACAGGTTGTTTCACCAAAGGACAAGATCATTGTTCGATTTCCTTTCAAACTCCATAACAAAGCACGCCAGGGTCTCCACCCCGTGAAAGACGCATCGCCCTGATCTCCCTTCTACTATCCAGAGCTGCAGATGGCTCTAGCGCTGTCCCCACCCCAGAAAATAAGAAGCACCGCAACACCATTGTACCAGCGCCATTAGGAATCGAACCTAATACGAACTAAATACCCTCAACAACACCACCAGCTTGCCTCGGTCCTCAGACGCTATTCCCACGTCCGGGCCTACCGTATTGGATGTAGGCTCATAACCACCTCTGCTTGCGAGACGAAATGGAACCCAAAGGCCCCTGTATTTTCCTTTGGCGCTGTGAGCCAAAAGCAGTCTGACAATTTCATGGTAGCCGCGATTGGCAGCCTCGTGCAAAGACTGCTCCACAGCAGACTTGAGGTCAGGTATAGTGAATGTTTCATTGTCAATAACCAGGCGAGCAAAATCCTCCTGACCATGTTTTGAAGCCTCTGGTGAGAGACTTTCCCCTCTGTATCGTTTTTGGCGTTGCCCCTTCCAAAAGCAGCATCACGATATTCAAATGGCCGCCTCGAGCTGCTTGTAGAGCTGCGTTGTACTATTCTGAATAGGATGTACTAAGTTCGTACTTCGGTTCCAGTAGCAGGCGAATTACTCTCGTGGCCTCCCAGGCCCGAAAGCGGATAAGAGAGCAGATACATGATGGGGTTTCCGAAAGTTGCCCTCGTCGCTGGTCCCTTGCTTCGTCTCGCCGCCACTTCGCCGATCCTGACAATCCATGCAAGTCCATTACCAGTGTACGATGTTATCATCTTTGGTGAAGGGACCTGCTGGTCTTAGTGCCGCAAGTGCTCTAGGACGTGTGAGACGCTCCGCACTTCTCACCGATAGCGGTGTCTATTCTTCATAAGACGATCCTGGGTTCTTGACAGTGCATCACACACTAACGAAGTATCTCTAGACAATGCGCCCACCCAAGAAGTCCATGATGTCCTTACAAGAGATGGCACCGTTCGTGCAGCATTCAGAGCTTTGGCTCGAGAACAAATCTCTGTGTACACCTCTGTGTCTATGATGAATGGTGCCGTCTCTTCGACCGCTGCAGAAATCAACAATGCCTATTTCACCAACGATATATGCGGAGGGCAAGCATTATCTCAGCAAAAAGTCATCCTGGCTACTGGAATAAGGACCTGCTGCCGACTACCTCCGGTCTGGCTGCTGGATGGGGCAAAGGAAGCTACTGTACATATTTATATAAACACGCCTCTGCTCCATGCTGATAGTAGCAGGGTGCCCATGGTGCGACGGCTGGGAACACCGAGACAAGCCCTTTGCGAACCTGAGACCCTTCAGCGCCACCTTCGTTCAAAATAGCAACACGCAGACATCCCTCAAACCCGACATCCTGATGCTCACCAACCGCACCTACAACGGTACTACCAAGGCGCAAGCCTCCAAGGACCTTCCAGACTGGGCCGAACGACTCGCTCTATACAACGTCACAGCGTCGAAGACCGCATCGTTCCAGGCTTCTCGCGCGTAAACGGAAACGACAGTGACTACGATGATGACTTCGGGATTACTTTTACAGATGAAGAAAGCATTGTACGGAATGGTATCAAAGGGGCTTTCCCTGCAGGACTGGCTTCGGATCTTCCGACGAAGGTTGGGTTTGGAGCTGAGTAACGAGATTAATGCTACGGTCCATGTGGATGGTAATATGGAGTCAAGCATGCCTGGAATCTTCATGGTTGGAGATGCGAATATGTAAGGCGTGCTTATAGTTACCGGAACGATGCACTTCAACTTATGCTTCATACAGAGATATGTCTCACAGCGTTCCGCACGCAATGTGGAGCACCAAAAGAGCAGTCGTTTACATGCACGGTAAGTGGCCTGCATAACCTGTCAAAGAAAGTTTCGTGTGAGTCTGGCTGATGATGGGCTTAGTATAAAAGGCGACTTAGCGAAGGACTACTCGGATGCTCGAGTGGAGGCGGAGTCAAGACATACCAAGCGCTTTTTCGGCGATGCGCAAAAACCCTTTGAAGCTACAAAGAGACTATTCGCGAAGCCTACGGCAGAGCTCAAATCGGCGCAAGGCTTGTTGGAGTACATCAGCAGTTGAGTGCAACTCCATCATCCTATACGAAAGTCCTGATCAAATGCGCCGCCATCGTCGCTGAAACCAATGGTGTTTTGGGTAATAAGCTCGTGCCTACCCAGTGTTTCAATATCTAACACATAGGTCATGAAGTCTCTACGTCTAGATTACTCAACGCTGCAGGGCATGAAGCTTGAGAGCACCGCAAAATGACAGATCCCCAGGGTCTGCACTCTTGGTATCGGGGTTTCTTTTGCCGTCTCCGACCATGATATTTCGTGGGTTGGAAAGCAATACTTTGAAGGTGTTGTGGCTTCAAACACATCCAAATCTATGTCCCGTTTTGGTCATCAAGCCCTTCGCTTCTGGTTGACTCACCCTTTCTGGCTGTGTCTTGGAACAAGTTGAGACATCTCCTTTCGGCGAGAGCAGTCTCCTGTCTCAAAAAGACAGATATCGGAAACAATACCAACGATAATTGGGCCTCCTGCTTTCCATTTCTCCCCGTCCAATGCACTCTTCCCCTCCACCATCCTCATCGAACACCTCAATGGCACCACCACGCCGTTCACCATGGCGAAAACACATTCTGATCCCTCTATGGATCTTCCAGAGCCTCCTAACAGCCGCCATATTCGGCTGGCTCGTCTTCAGCATAGCGGCCTCTCCACCACTCACACCGTACCCAGACCTCTCCTACATTCTAGAAACCAACGCTCACGAACTAACCTTCCCAATAGCATCGATGTCGTATACGTCCTCTTCTGCATCACGACCTTCGTCCTCACCCTCACGGAAATCCTCCTCTACGCCAAACGCAACCTCCAACCCCTAACCTACCTGATCTTCCAGACCGCAAAGACGCTCTTCTGGTCCACATACTTCATCGTCGTCACAATCTATAACCAAGCGGCGGAAACCTCCCTGATAAACAGCAGCGAGTATCAACTCCAAACCGTGGATGGCTGGACTCGCTATGTCCTTGCTGCCGCCCTGACGCTGTGAGTCCAGTTTCCCCATCCCTCCCTTCCTCTCTCCCTTCCTCAACCGCCAATTCCCCCTTTTTTTTGAAAAAACATGCCATTTTGCTTGCAAACATCGATCCCCGTTGACACTCCTCACGAGCAGTCTCTCCCACATCGCCACCCTTATATACGCAAGCGTCATCTACCATCGCTATCGCCACTGCAACACCAGCCGCAGGCCCCCCTGCTTCTTCAGAATATGAGACCACGAGACAGGCCGGGCGGTGAAACTCGAAGGGATCGTGTTGAAGTGGCGGTGAACTACTAGATAGGTACCTGGGTTTCGTTTGAGGGCTGCAGTACGGCGGTGGCATGCAGGGAGAGCTGGATGAAAGGGGCGGCTTCGGGTTCGAGGAGGTAGTACCATTCAATATTGGGAGAACAGATTCATTATTTTTTAGACCGTGATTTTTGAAAGCGCGCAGTGCCCGGTCTCGTGGAGTGTATCTGACGAATAGGATCTGCGACCAGTAATCATTATCGCCCGACATGCTTGCAGCCAGCCCCTTTAAATGAAAGGTCGGCCACCACTCGCGACAAGCATGACGCGTCGACACGTAAATGATCACACAGCATTCATAGCCCTCCGAGTATTCACAGCGAGCTTCTCAGAATGCGAACAAATAAATTAATGCGCGGCAGAAGCTCGTTCTGGCCAGGATTTCAATGCTACCAGCTCGACTGACATCCAACTCGACCTCCCGCGCCATCCGATCCTCGCCCTCTCAAGCGGCCCAGGCGTAGGTGAAGCCCTCGAAGCCGTATCGCTCCCCGCCAGCACCGCGACATTTATCAATCGTCGGATCCATCGCCGGACTGGTCTCCCTTCATAAGCGATTCGCGGTTTCTGTCCAGTTGTACAACATATGCGCCGAGCTTGTCATGACCGAGGAGACACACAGCGCAAGGCAATACCAGACGATGTTGGTATGGTAGCGAAGAGACTTAGCAAAGAACTCGCCCTTCTATTGGAGGACATCACCCAAGAACTGAAGAAGAAGAAGACTAGCCTGTGGGGTACCAGTGTTGGCTTATGATATCAACTAGTTCCTCTCACCTATTCAGCTCATGATGCTCCAACTGAATGCAGCTCCAGTGAGGAAAGAAGGGCCAACGCCCAAACTGCCCATGCTTCCATGACCACTCTCTGTCTGGGTTGGCATTTAGATTTCCTCGTTCGAGCCATGTTCATCGACGTACCACGCTCTCTGTGGCAGCGGGGGCTGTAGGTATTTCGGCCTTCGACTTAGTTTACAAAATATGTTACCGCCTCTCAAAATTGCCATTCATGATCGTCCCAACCTGTACTCCAAACACCAAAGATCCAGGATCCCACCATCCAGATCCATTCTTCTCCCACGAGAAACCCGTCTATAGACCTTCCATTCGATAATTCTTCTGCCACAGATCCCTAGCTTTCTGCCTCCTCGCCTCCTCCTGTTCCGGATCCAGTGCTTCTATCTCGCCTCTTTCCCTCCGCCCCTTCAGTACCCTATGCACCTTATACGCCATACTACCATGTAACCCGTAGCCTACCACCGAGAAGAATTGAAACACAACCATCGTATCCCAGACCGCTTTACTGACACCATGCTCAGGGCCGCCAGGGGTGCCCTGAGGACATTCGGCACGGCGCAGGCCGTGAGGGATGCCGGTGGGGGATGAGCCGGCGCAGGCGGCGAGGGAGAGGATCGCGGAGCAGAGGTAGAGGATGACGAAGATGGAGGAGAACCAGATGGCCATTTTAGGAGGGTTGTTGCGGAGCAGCATGTGTAGATGGATGGAAGGGATGGCATTGAAGAAGGAACAGCCTGGTATGAGTAATGTTTGTATGATCATTGGCCTGTGATTGTTTCAGCGTATTGATGGTACGGGAAGGGCTCGAACATTCGATTGGTGAAGCGGAGCAGAGCGTACACTGTCAAATGATTACCTAGCTGGACTATCCAGATGGAACCGCACACGACTTGTACGATAGCTATTGCGAAGATGACGCAGACGACGATGGGGCCGTAGCCAGTCCAGCTGGAGGCGTTCCACCATTTGGGGTCGCCTTTCCAGGAGAAGTTGTGGAAGCTGAGAGTAGACATGCCGAGGTCTTATCGCATCCTCAGAATGCTTTCGTTCGGAGCGGAGAAGAAGTGCAGAGTTGAAGAGGATGAGGATTGTTCGGATGATGAATGTGCGTGAGTATGTGATGCTAGGGTATGTAGATGCTCTATACTTTACCTTGGGGCGTGTTCGTGGGCGGATTCGCGGGGTTGCCTTAGCTTTGAAGTTGGTGTGCAAACAGCAAAGATCAGCCACGCTAGCGAGTCATGCCGCAGTGCTTCGCCCTCAGAACTACCTTACTCTATTGTTGTAGGCAGGTTTCCACGACGAATCGCAAAGAACAGCCCACCACCAGTTGTACCACGATAGCTGGGGCTGTATACATAATGGCTGCCACTATATATCAAGAGCAGTTACATACAAATGCAACGAGATGTCACGGCTGTCTATCGTTACCGCAGATCAAACAATTATTAGAATCACCTCTTTCTGACAACGTCGACATCACCCACGGTGAATGTAGGCAATGTTATGAGTCGTGGGATACTCGAAATAGGTCAATTTGAATGAGTAATTCAAGCACCATGAACCCATTTGTAATGCCAGCGTCAAGGCTCACTGATATTCGGGGTTTGAGCCGCAACTGCCCCCACTTCAGCCTCCAAGGACCCCGTAGACAATTCCTCATCCTTTGAAATTTGTCCACTTTGCTTATCGGAGACGCTCGTTCTCAATAAACAACACTTCTTGCTGTAATGTCTTTTGGTTTCGGTGTCGGTGACTTTCTAGCAGCCTCAAACATTGCTAAAGGTGTCTACGAAGCATGCAAAGATGGACCAGAAGAGTACCAAAGAAATATCGAGAGAGGTACGATCCGTGCGATACGCGATCAATAGCCTGTCTGATGATGCCAAAGATCCCCATTCTCTCTTGAACAAAAAAGGCGTGAAGAGAAAGCCTGAGCTTGTTGGTATCATCAGAAACTGCAGAACGACGATGCAAGAACTTTAAGGCATGATAGACAAACACAGCAGTCTCAACGATGATCATGGTAAATTCACTCGAACCTGGGACGCATAGCAAGTCGGCTCGAGTGATCTGATTTTCCTTCGGGGCAAGTTGACCTTCTATACCTCCACGATCAGTATGTTCCTCCTCAGCTTGGAAGGATCAGCAGTTGCTCGTATCGAGACGAAGCTTCATAAAACCTATGCTCGGAATCCTCCAAGACGATGGCGCTCAAGCTCAACAGAGCTCTGTTTCTGTGGCGTCCACCACGTCTTTGCTTTCGCAGATTGAAACTCACGAAGATGATGTTTGGATGATCTTTAAGACGGAACTTCTGGCTGAGGACGTCTCAATGGCTCACATCATGTCTAATAAAGAGGAAATTATCGAGCACATCAAATCATTAGTTGCCGGTGGATTGCCAAACGGCGGATATGAGGTAACTCCAGGTCAAATCTACGGGAGTATTGCAAACTCGTCGGCATCATCAGCTTCGGAGCCCCTCGCGCCTAACCGCGGGCACATTCGAAGTCCTGATAACCGTGGAAAGACCTTTGGCTCGCAATCGTCGCCGTCCGGATCCGCGGATGTTCAACTCGTATTAGGGACGTCTGAAAACGCTCAGCTCACGGCTACGTCGATTGCCTCAAGCTTGGACAACATACAGCTGGCTTGGTCCCGGATAACGAAATGGTCTCAGGCATACGAATCGGATGGTGGTGTGGATGACGACGGTTTCGTTGAGCGATTGCGACAATTGCTCGAAGCTCTAGAGATGATCATTAAAACTCTTGGAAATACCCTGGAAGATTTTTAAAGCTGCGTCAGCGATCATAGCATCTATGGGCCTCCTCTCTTACGGGCGTTGGGCCTGAACCAGTAAGTGACCTTCATCCCATTAAAGTCTCACTTGGAGTCACACTTCAAAGTCACGATCATAGGTTTTTCTGGTATCTCTCTCGTGTCCTAAGGCAGCCGTTGCCAGGATAGACCATGGCAGTGGCACAAATTCGTGAACATAATCAATTTCGACAAAAGATATTTCAGACCAGTCAATGCGTATTGTTCGCCCAATTGCCCACGAGTTGTTCGAGTATGAAAGCAGGCTGACGCGGAAAACTCCTTCGTTCTGGCAGATTTCCTGACCACATGTGTACTGCCGATTAAGACCGGTTCCAAGCTCTTACGCTAATGTACTGCAGTCTTGTACAGCGAACAAGGGGAAAACTGCTGCAAGAATCAAAAGAGCAGATCCAAGAATTTGATAAAAGCGCTTCCACGATCGACTCACCTGCGGCCTCCTCTATGTCTACCACGATCGATCACCGGTATAGCTCTGAAAGTTCTCGGAGTCAGGAAGACATCGAACATCGTCCGTTGGCTTTTGAGGAACAGCTCTTCATGAGCAGAGTCTACGCGCAAGAATTCCAAGGACGCCATAATTCAAAAACCCCTCGACGCCGGGATTAGTGAAGGCGCTGATACATCAAATAACTGCTCCACTATCAATTAAACTATCGGTTTCTAGCGGTTGATGATGCTGTTGAAGGTCTGACGGTTGGTAGTTGGAACAGCTATGTTCTTGAAACCAACTGTCCCGACTGGTCCACTGATAATTTTGACATGCAACTTCTGAGCTTTTATTGGGCCAAAACAAGCGAGTCTTCAGCCCCATCAGGTTCACAGCACTGTTGAAATTCGAGATCTCATGACTATTGCACCTTCGCGTCTTAAGATTGAGTCACGTGTTGTCTCTTAGCGTGTCGAACTATAGCCTCTTTTTTTCACGCCGTATCCTTATCGATATGAGTTTTGAGATTACATGTACGACCGTTCTATTACATATACTACGAACTGACTAGAAACAGCCTCCGAGTCAGATATCTTGCCCGGCGACAATTTGATGTTGTGCTTTTTGAAACCGTTCCACTAATAATCGATGATAGGTTTCTGTACATATGGTATTTAATTAATGAAAGGTTCATAATCAAGTGGTCGATCCAGTTCCGGCCTCAAACCCAAATACCTTCAACTATCGCCCAGCCATTCCGCAACGCTGAGCCATCCACCGCCAACCGAATGCCGTTCAAACCTCGCTCCGGACGGCAGAGATCCCCCATGCAGCCACTCGCACTCGGGAGCTCGGCAACACGGTGACGATAAGAACCCGACGGATAGTCAATCCCATCTTATAACCTGTAAACCCACCGGTAGATACCTACGAAACACCAACCTTCAAATCAAACATCTATCTACTGGTCCGAATCCCAGTGTCCAAGAAATCACAACCAAGCCTCTTGACGCAGCGCCAGCATATACCACCAACTTCGCCCAGATATCCGTTCCAAACTATCTAATCCCACGATCTACTTCCCTCATCCGGGTCCAAATGTCGTAGGTCCCGCGACTCCGCCCTTCGTCCGCGAGGCTGTGATACCGTGGGCGGGATGGCGCGTCGCCGTCTCTCTCCGAGCAGACTGATCCATGGCGTGGTGACGCAAGTCCGACAGCGCTGGTTGCACAGAGGCGGCTGGACCATCGATCCACACGAGCTGGGTCCATGTCGACTCTTGACGGGACGGTGGGCGTTGAAGACTTGAGCACGGTTTTTGTCGGAGGAACGGTATGAGATTCGGGTGGAATGGAATGGATTATAGCCGTATCGAGGGTGGGAATGTGGTGGTGGTGCCGGGAGGCTTTGGAGTATGGGGCCGTGGCTGAGGTGCGGTTGGGGGGCGGAGGCGGTGGTGCGGTGGGGAGGGAGTGGGTGGGTGGATGGATGGAGGTGGTTGGGAAGGGGGGTTTTGAATGTAGGCTCGAATGCTTTGTGGATGGATTGGTCAATGCTATCGAGGTGGGTTGGGGAAAGATGGTGTACGGCTTTCCGGACGGCATATGCAGAGCTGTTGGATGGTTAGGGAAGGGTGGCTGGCCGCTGGAGTGCTGCGGGGTTGTGGGGCGAGGTTGTAGGTGGGGTGATGTGTTCACTGGGGGAAGGTCATGAGGGGGGTGGGCAAATGGCAGGGTATATTGCTCAGATAGTTTTTTTTTTTTTTTTTTTTTTTAAACCCCATTTTTTTTTTCCCCCTTTTTTCCCACAAGGGGGGGGGCTAAAACAAAGGTGCTGCAGCAAATCCAAACTATGACGATCCAAGAACGAGCATTTTCAACAGCACAAACAACCAACACAACCCACCAGTCTTGCATCCACCACCGACCGCAACCCCCCTCCCCCCCGTCCCTCACCCACCTAACCAGTGAACCCGTACACAGCCCCCACGTCCGGATCGGCCACGTTGAAATACCCCGGGTCGGGAACGACCGCGTTCGAATACTGCACGCAGTACCACTGGTCCTCCGAGCAGGAATAGTGCAGGTCGAAGCTGCGGTACCCGTCGGGATAGTCGTAGCCGCACGCGGTGGCGCACGTTTGGATCAGCGAGCACACGTCGTCGTCGTCACTAGAGGTGTGGATGGGAGTCAGTTTGGCGGAATGAAAGAAGGAAACTGTTTGATACTGGGGTGTGGGGGGGGGGGGGCTTTCCGCAGCAGCAAGAACGACAACGACCGCAACGACTTTCCGCAGACGAGGTATGTGTGATAAACGACGACGACGACGAGAGTGCGCTCATGGATTGGAAAGGAGAGGAGGAGGAGGAGGAGAGAGAGGGAAATTATAACGCACAAAGTAGTGGTGTAAGGCGGGAAAACCGCCGGGAATTTATTCCCGGGGTTGTCGGGGTTTTCGGTGTATCCGGTGCCGGAGTAATACTGCGTGAATGTGACGGCCCCGTTCGAGACGACGGAGCAGGTCGGGCTGGGTTCAGTGTTCGTGCAGGTTGGGGAGCCCGCGGTGGTTGTGGGTGCGGAGGACGAAGAGGAGGAGGAGGAGGAGGAGGAGGAGGAGGACGAGGAGGAGGAGGAGGAGGAGGACGAGGAGGACGGAGACGGCGTCGCTGTGACTGTGACTGTGATGGTTGCTGGAGACGTTGGTTAGTGTTTGCATCCTAGGCGGATATGATAGAGTCTTGGGGTGGACGGGGTATCTGGTAGATAGCGAGCGGGCCCTTTGTCTCCTGACGAGGATTGTTGTTGTGCGATTCAATGCGGTACCGCTGGGGTAAATGCAGCGCTGGGGAAGACTTACTTGGGGGCGAAGTGATGGTACTGGTGACGGTGCTGGTGACGGTCGAGGGAGAGGCGGTGACTGTGACTGTGGAAACAGGTTCCGTCTGAGTCACGAACTGTGTTGTTGTCTGGTGAGATCGAGAAGTTAGTTTTGCTTGTTCGGAAGGGGATGTCTGTGGTCTGGAGCTTGGGTGCGGCGAAGGATCAGGAAAGCTTGTGTGTCACTCGAGTCTGGAAGGGTAGAGATTGAGTATGTGGATACATACGGTAGTCTTTTCACCCTGGAAGCAGGTCGAGACTACGGTTGAAGCGACTGTGACGGTCGAGCTTATCGTGCTGATCGCCTGCGTAGATGTTTGAGTTAGCGTTGCTTGGCTGAAAGTATGATATGGGCCTTGGAAGTGATTTCATTGTAGACACTCCGAGGCGTATTTGTCTTTGGACTTCAGGTGGGGAGCCAAGGGGGGGGGATTGGGCTCGGAGTAGACGTACTGGAGTGATTGTCTGAGTGCTCACGACCTCATTGATCGTCGCGGTAAAGGTCGAGGTTGTAGTGGCATAGCTCACGGCCGTGTGCTGTTTGATGAAGTCAGCGTGTCTTGCCTGTCATGGAAACCTAAAAGATGAACCGGTAAAAACCATGTCGCCAAAAGACAAGTCCGGGGATGAGTATGTCTGTCGGGGGATAACTTACCGTAACCGACGTAATGGTCTCTGTGGTACGAACGTAGACTTCGACCTGCATCAAAAAAGTCGAAGTCAGCATTGCCCATAGAAGAAAAAGGTTTGCGCCTGGGATAGTTCTGCGGAGCTGCCGGCTCTCAGGACAAGTCCCGTGACTCCGACTGCAGTTTGAAGAGCCAAGAATTGGGTCTCGGGCAATACGTACTCCGCAATACACCGTCTGCGGGAAGCCCCCTCGGCGGTCAATGGCATGGGCTCGGGGGAAAAGGGGTGCAGCTGGCGTCGGTGCTGGATGCCGCTTTAGGCGGTCCCAACCAGGTGTGATTGTTGTTGTAGTCGTTGCGCCTAGTGCAGTGACTAGCGAGGTGGATGTTACGGTGACAGGTGGTGGTGTGATTGTCCAAGTGGCAGTCGAGGCGATAGATGGAGTGATTGTGCTTTTGAAAGGTTGAGATCAGTACTCTTAGTTTTCTAGAGATTATGAAATTTTTTCTGGTTGAGGAATATTGCTTATGGTAGGGGTATGTATACATTGCGGCGGGGGGAAGAAGTGAATGTACATACCTAATTGTAGTCGCTGTACTCGTTGATGTCACCTTTGTAACAGTAATCTTAGGCAATGCCGTGGTGACTAGTACTGTCGTAGTTTTGGCTGGAAGAGTTGTTGTCGAGGTTATGGGGTTCTATTTAGAGGCTTTGGTCAATACATTTTCTTTCAACTGCAGGAGCCGCATGAGCCAAAAAGGTATTGTTGATCCCGGAATTTTCCTAAGATTCATGCTGCCCCATTCTTTTGTGAGGTATCAGTCCGAAATACGTACCAATTTGTCTATGGTCGTTTTGACCGGGATCCCGATTGCTAGCGTCGCAGTCGTCGCAATATCTACGGTCGAAGTGATTGTGTCTTGGTAGATCTCGGAGTCAGCAAAGAAGGATCTTGAGAAAAGAGTGGCCCCGTAATGCTCGACAGTATTTTGGCTCTTCAACCTTGACGCAAAAATGGGAGACATTATCCAAGCTAAAACATACCTGTCACAGTAGAAGTGTAGACGACAACGGGCACCGACTTTTGGCTAGTTATGCCTGTTGAGGTGTAACAACCAAGGTTGATCGTCGTAGTTGTGGGGTTCTGACAGAGGACAGAGGACGCAAATAGCATCAAGGCCGCGAGCGGACTCGGTGTAGAGGAGCGCATATTGAACAATGCTGAGTTAGGATTGACTGGGAATGCGAATTGAGGGACGATCTCTGTACACTGGTACATGACTTTACAAGGACGGAAGGACGTATTTATGCCACAATCCATGCCAGCTTCCAAGCTCGAAGTGCGTCCAAGCTCAGGTTTCCCCGCCATGCTAGAGCAGCCTCTGAGGGATCGGCTGAGATCTTTGACGGTCTCGTCTCCTCGTAAGATGTAAAGATGGCCTGAGCACCACCGATTCAGCATGCTCTACTTCTAGTAGCCATGGCGGGCTTTTTGTTTTAGCGCCAGAGGTATGACGGATCGCTGATAGCGGAGACAGCATGCTCTGAGGGAAGATAGACAGCATGCCCTGAGGGAAGATGAGTATGGCACGCGCTTGCTAGCCAGCCATGTTTACTCCACTGTCAATCTCATTGAATGATAAATTTACATCTTGCTCGCCTTTAACATGGACACTCTTGTGTTGTCGGGAGGACTTTAAGCATCTTGTGGTGGCCATTTTTCGTGCTGTCAGCTACAGTGTAATCCGGTGAGGTGCCGATGCCCGTGCCCATGATGTTGTGTACCTCGGTAGTAAGTCGATAAAGTTGTTTATCAACGTTGGCGCTAAGCTAGAGATTATAGTATAGCGTCTTCTAGGAGCGAGAATGTTCCGATTTGGGGGTCTGAGCGTTGGTTGACAGCACCAAAAAGGTTAAGTCGCTTAGATCGGTCCTTTGTTTGGTGCGGGGAAACCCCAAATGAGAAGGGAGATCTCATTTCTTACTCTTTAGGTTATAGTTCAGAGATGAATTCTCCGGCACAATTAATTACATTACATACATTAACATTCGATGAGACTGCAATGTGACTTTCCGTGGCGACATTGTTGGTGGAATCACCAGTGAGCGTCCAATGCTACTAAAGGTTCGAGAAGTATCTAGCCGAGACTGCCTAAAGTTATTATATGCCAGCATTCTCCATGTCGCATTTGCTCTTTCCGAAGAAATCTGGAGCTTTGACCCTTTGACCCCAAGGCATCCATTGAAGAACCAATTGTTCAAAGAGGAGGAGTGTTTCGATGGAATGCCCATCTATTCCACTTTCCGTCCGTCAGTGCAGAGCATACGAGCAAGGCAGAGAAGCTGAAGTGCTGGTCTGGCATCGAGTCGAACCATGGCCAAAGCACCGGGCACGAATGACCTATCTTTGCCGGCTGAAAACTTCTTCACATGGAAAGTCAATCCAGGGCAATCATTGAGATAGGTACCTGTTATTCTGCCAAACTCAAATGGTCGAGCGAAAGCTTGAACTTGGCCCCAGTCCTAATCGTCCTTTATAGTTCTAGTGCTAATATCGGATTTTTTTTGATTCAATATGCAGAAGTAGGAAATTGAGTTTCGCGACTCTGAGACCTTATTCCTGATCAGCGAGTTGGGGATCCTCTTCACAGAACAGCGCGATGACCGAGGCAGTATGAAGCATGGGTAGGGACTATGCGGGGGTGGAGAATAGATTCAGAACCAGTACCATAGCGGTGAAGGAAAAAGTGGAACCTTTCAAAGCGAGCTCTCGCAACGAGCCCGGGCCAAAGAAGGAAGATCTCACTCTCCAACACGCCAAAGAGAGTCGAAGTGAAAGTCAGAACCCAATCAATCGACATGCTGCCCGTAAGATTTTGCACCTCAAAAGAGTAATCTGTCACTTAATCCACATAGACTAACTAACAGTCTCATCTCCATCGTAACAGCGCTGAGTTCTGGCACTGTATGCTCCATCCTGGCCCACGATAAAAGAGTAATGGTCTTGAGCTATTTGAGAGAACCTCGTAATCGCGATGGTCGCAGCTAAATTCTTTTGGTAATCATTCAAGTTTGATCGAGAGGGGACCGTATGCTCGTGGTATTTCTACTCCGCGCGGAACACTGCCTCTTTGTCCAATAACGCGAAGTTGGTATCTTTCGTTGGGTGGACTGGCGAGGATGGTGGAAGACGTGTCGTTCTCAGGGCAATTGTTTGGGCCAACTACTTTGGCCGATAAATGCTTCATAGAGCAGTTCAAGATCTGTACTCTACTAAGCAGGTATAACATATGTCAGATGTTGGTGTTCGTTTGGTTTGCATGGAAAATGAAAAGATTGGAGAGAAGTAATGATGATGCAATTATAAGTCCGTCTGTGGATGATATTCTCAACGCACGCCGCAAGGTAACTTCAAATAAACTCTGGGTTATCGGGCGTTGTACCGAGAAATCTTGACTAGGAGATTTAGAACAATTGAGGGAGTACCAACTATTAAGTGACATGAAGTCTGGTAGCGGACTTAGTATCTTGAAAGAATATTAAAAACGGGAAGGCATCAAGCGATAACTGGCACGAATGTCAGGCACACCCAAAAAGGTTCGAGAAGTCCCGCCCCTGAAACGAATAGCAAGCCAAGACATGGTATACTACAGACACCCGTTTTTTCAACAGAAATGGGCTTTTGTCCAAAAATCCAAAGTCGAATGCCAAACCTGCTCTCTCGATCTGCACAAGCCTTGAAATCTGCTCTACTGCGACCGTGGAGAAACCCGATCTTACGGAATAGGTGACCTGGTCCAGGGAACCGTGTATGGCGTCACAAGACTCTGGCGCAGTATTTCATGGAACGAAATTGCCTACTCCTAACGCTTGGTGGAAATAATCCTCCGGTGGCTTTTGTAGCTCAAGATAAAGCACCGTGTCCTGGCAAAACTGTGAGATGCCATCTCTGACACATTGTTCCACAAAGCAAGACCTCACAAAAATTCTCTCAGGAGCTAGCCGCGGCAGTTCAAGAGACCCACGAACCGGCAAGTTCCATACGCTGAGTCACCTTTCGAGTTCCGCACCATGATCTACCGCCTCCCAACCCTCAGACGTACGTTGCGGCCATTTGCGCGACCAGAAGGCTTTCAGCTTCAATGGCCATCCAGGCCGGACTCGACCGCCAAAACACTATCCGTACACGCCGAGTGTTCTCTATGTCGAAAGCCGTATACAACGAAGCGATACCTATCGAGTACCGCGAGAAAGGACTCGCCCTCTATTTCGCTTTGCTCAAGATGTAGGGTCATGCATAGAACGGTCTTCGCACCGAGCCAAGCTAAGACGTGGTTTTGAAACATCGTTATGAGGGTGAGCTCAAGTTAGCCTCTGCCACTACATCATTGGCAAAACCACCTGAGATGTGCGTAGGGGGAGCTGTAACTTGGGTGAAACGGCTCCGAAGCTTTAGATGGTGTTCGAACACTGTTCATATAGGGTTGGTGCTAGGCCGTAAGTCCCAATCTGTTGATTTTGCATGGCGTGAGGAACTGTTCAGAACTGTTGAGTCGATCGTCGGCGCAAGCAGAATGCCGGTCTAGAACATAATATACCTCGTAGTTGGTCTCGCGACGAATAATGTTCCAATGTTGTTTTAGATGTAGAGAGCTGCATTTCTAGGATATCGTAATCGGCCTATGCTATCTGGTGCTTAGGATGGTAAGATACATCACAGGAATCCACTCTAGGTTAGCCGGAAGCAACACCTTCCACAGCTACCACCGCGATCTGATTCGTATTTGCTGAAGGCTCCCTGGCGCGCCATACACTACGCATCTATGCAGATCCTTGCCAGCGGCCACGAGGAGATTCGATACGCGTCAATGACTCCAACTCCCAGAGGGTTTTGCGTCGTATTTGTGAGAAAGACTTGATATCTGAAAAGAGTTTTCCTGACATATCAGGACTGTGTATTTCCCACTTTCTGGATAAAGGTCAAGAGGACTTGGGAACACGATCCGGCACCATCTTACTTGTGCAATACGTTACAGCGCCCTTGCTGCTGTCTTCTACCTTCACTTTGGCGAACGCCAGAATCACCACAACATGGAACACGCACCTTTAGTAGCTAGGTGTATGAAAGTCTTGTCCTAAGGAAACACTTCGCAAAGTCACCATGCTCGACAGCTGCAGCATGAATAAGACAACGGAGAATCTGGATGCCACTCCGGAATAGATTGAGCGCTATGAGTGCACTGCACAAAATGATGCCCTTATGAAAGTGCTCATCGTCGGCTCCATACTCCCTTTACCTGGTATCAGCGGTGGGCGGGGTGGGCTCGTTAAGAACGGAATCTCTCGAATCTGGCAATCTGGCAAATCTCCCCAACCCATGACCAGAAATTTGTTTTCGCGTGACAGGCTTCGTGCTCGAGAAGGCTAAGTAGCGCACCTGGCGGTAGGATAATCAACGACGCAAGTATCGGAGTGCCTACCTTCTACAAGGATGATGGAGTTCGATCAGCCGTCTTTGTCCGCCAAGAAGCATCGGCTAACCTTCCCCAACAAGAGCCCCCAAAACCTTCCCATCATTTTTTCCCTCCCCATCTCACTCGGAAACACTCCTAACAAGGCACCATGAGCTCTCTCCTCATGTCCACCCATCACGATCCCCAGCGCATCTCCCTCATCATCCGCCGCCTCCGTCCCTCCTTCGCCCGCCGCGCCCTCACCACCTCCCCACCCGCCTCCGCACCTCCGATCCCCGTCCCTGTCCGCTCTCAGGCCTCGTATCCAGTACCCACGACTCCAACGTGTCCGCCTTCCGGCTGCGCTTGCGCTGCGATGCCGTCGGGGTTGGATATCGACTATGGGAGACCGTTGGATGGCACGATGCCGCCGTATGTGCAGCATGTGGTTGTCAGGACGGGTAGGGATGATTGGGGGAGTAGGATTGAGGATGAGGATGGAAGCGTGGAGGGTATAGGGATGAATTTTGCGAGAAGCTTGAGGGGGTTGGTCGGGAGGGGTGGGAAGTTCTTTGATGTATGTATGTGCGGTTTCTATATTTACTAGTGATACAAGTGATACGGAGCAGAGGGCTGATGGAAGCAAGAACTAGCCTCAAAGACCCATCCTCATAACCAACTCCTCCCTTCCAGCGAAGGCTGGTCCGGAATACACATCTGTCCACGTCTTCCCACAACATGTGCACGTGCCAAAGATACCCCACACGCCCGAAGCTCACGAGGCCTTTGTGTCCCAATTCTTGATATCGAAGGGCGCTATGGCAGAGAAGATGTGGACGAAGAGAGAGATCCAGAAATCGGAAGGAGATGATGTTGACCAGACGGGATTTCCAATACCAGAAGAAGATCTCGTGGCTTACAAATCGAGGTTGAATTATGCCAAGAATGTGAGTCCTACGATCTTGATCTGCGGGCATAATTCGAGAGATACTCGCTGTGGTATACTCGGGCCCCTGTTGCGAGCGGAGTTCAATTCGTACATTGGGGGGCGAACTCAGCTGCCGGCTGATGATGAGCGCTCGATGGGTTTCAGATTCAGTGGGTTGCAACCCGTCAGTAACGTCGGCAAATCAAGGGTCGCGCTGACGAGCCATCTCGGAGGTCATGCGTTTGCGGGTAATGTGGTTGTTTATCTGCCGAAACGTTTTAAGTTGGCAAGTGGAAAGGTGTCGCCGTTAGCGGGGATGGGTATCTGGTATGGGAGGGTTGAGCCGAGACACGTATGGGGAATTATGGAGGAGACGGTCCAGCGGGGATGTGTTGTTAAGGAGCTCCTGAGAGGGATCCACGAGCCTGGTGTTATCGATGGGTAGACATAGGAAGTTCATGGATTTGATGTCCTGGGGCTTTCTTACCGGGTAAGCTAAGACCGGGTACGGTTGATGTATAAAAGTGGACTGTCAATTTGTGACTTAAAGCTTCCAGATCTCCCATTCCTGGGGATCGATCTTCTTTAGTAGTCCGCCGAGAGACCCTTGAATCTCCCTTCCGTCTTTCCATGTTTTCGGCCCGGCAAAGGCGTTGACGAAGCCTTCCGGTCCAGATACCAGGATGACCTTCCTGCGAGTCGTTCCATCTTGGTTCGCTGTCTGATCGATGCCGCTCAGATATGTTCTTAGAAGACTCTCTGATATGTACGAGCCTTCGTCGTCAACGAAGTAGTCTACAATGACCTTGCCTCCATATCTAGCTTTCAGAGATTCCACCTCCTCGACCAGCCGACTCTGCGAAGGTTGAGAAGGAGCAGCGCTTTCTTCGTTTGCCTCTTTGAGCTGGCTTGGAGGCTCCCCTTGCCATTCATCTGCGAGCTTTCGTACTTTTGGGACAAATCCAGCGGGCGCCCGCTGAGATGAGAAATGGTCCAGTCCATTGATCGAATCCTCTCGCCGCCGGTTCGCCCACAAAACACGTAGTTCTGGGCCATGATCGGTCGGTTTGGTTCGATAGTTAAACAACGTGTGTGCTACTTGTAACGCCGGAGCGATTCCCGTGCCTCCTGCTAGGAATAGAATTTCGTCTACATCATCTGGGATCTCGTACTCGACTCTCGGGCCGCGGAGGTGAACAATAGTGCCCCGGTTGATTTTATGCAGAAAAGTAGACACCTCTCCCTGAGGCTCCTGCCGGACGAACAACCTCACTTGCTCAGGCTCTGTGCCTTCAATTGGCGGAAGAGGCGTATACGATCGCGCGATCTGAAGCTCAGGTTGCATCACCTGCACACTCCAAACGCCTGTTTTCCATGCTTCGGACACGTTCGCTGTGTTCTGACCTTTGGGTAGTGACAATAGATTTAGTATAGCGCTCGTGGAAGAGACTTTTTCTCTCGACTTGAGGATAAAGGGAGTAAAAAATCGGGGATTTAGAACGAGGGATCTGGCAGGATTTGTTTGCCATGTGTAGACTTTGTAACCTAAGAACGCAACAATGGAGAAGACAATCAATTTGCCAGGCCCAATCCGAACTCGTCTCCTTGGAGAAGCCTCCGCACTGTTGACCGCCTTAGCTGATTGGCCCCGAGGAGCTTTGTGCGGTTGAGTTGAATGTCCAGTGGCATTGAAGCCAGAAGCTTTGTCTTTTGGAGATGGAGGGGGCGAAGATGGTTTAGCTCCGCTGAAACTTGGGGACGAACGACCTGCAAAGCGGCGAGCGTGCAACCTTTTGGGAATTAAAATTGGATCTTCTGACAATTGAATGCATCTTCGAGTGCAGTGAAGACCTTGCATTGAATTGATGCTTGCTGAACGATGTATTCAATTTCTCAAAACGAATTGAAGGACGTCGAGGAATTGTCGGAAATACGCTAGTCCAAGAACGGCAGCTGGAAGCGCTCTCTTTCTTGCACCTGCACGACGAGCACGAGAGCAGCCTCCACATTATATTATAACCACCGCCACACGCAAATATACACATCCGACTCGAGAGCTCTATCAGTCGTTTGTGTGCACTGCAGACTTTCAATGACAACATGATCATAAGAACACATCAACCATAACAGCAACAGTGTGGCGATGTCCCGCGTCAACTATGCCAACCTCAACCCCCCTCCCAGAGACTCACTCGAATTGGCCTCTCTAGCGTCCTCTAGCCTTGATCATACTCACAGCTCCAGATCGTCCTCTCCCTCGGGGATCTCATCTTCTCGAAAGCAGTCTCTCTCGAACGACGGACCTCTCAACCCTGCCACCACCCCACGGCCTACTCCTCATAGCCGCTCCTACTCTGTCTCCTCCGCTTTCGACTTTGCGTCGAACCTCTTTCCCCCTCTCGTCAACCGCTGCTGGCTACTCAGTGCTGGGGGGGCCGGGCTCTGGACCTGTCGACCTCAACGGCGCGTCACTCGAGAAACACAAATCCCTCACCTATCTCAATGGGCTTTCCCTCATCGTTGGCCTGATCATTGGCTCGGGTATTTTCTCCTCACCCGCCCAAGTCAACATCAACGCAGGATCGTATGGCGCGTCGTTGATTGTTTGGGCAGTAGCTGGGATACTGGCATGGACAGGCGCCGCAAGCTACGCAGAACTGGGAGGAGCAATACCCCTCAATGGCGGAGCACAGATATATCTGTCAAAGATCTTCGGAGACTGGGCTGGGTTCTTGTTCACATGGAGTGCGGTTTTCGTCCTGAAACCTGGTTCCGCAGCCATCATCGCCATCATCTTTGGCGAGTACGTAGTCCGGGCGGCTGTTGGACCGGATGCTGAGAACGCGAGCGCGTGGATCAACAAGGGCGTTGCATTGGCCGGCTTGACTGCGATCACCATTCTCAACTGTCTTTCGACGAGGCTAGCCACACGGATGGGCGATGTCTTCATGTTCTTCAAGTTCGTTGCCCTCCTTGGTATCACTATTACTGGCATCGTCGTTGCAGCGACTGGCTTTACGTGGAAAGGGGCACCGAATACCGAGTGGAAGACGACCGGTTGGTTTGATGGGACGAGTACAGATCCATCCAGATGGGCTGTGGCTATCTACGCTGGTCTGTGGGCCTTCGATGGTTGGGACAATACAAACTACGTGGTGGGAGAGTTCCTGCATCCTGCCCGTGACCTACCTCGGGTCATCCACACTGCCATGCCGCTCGTCATCCTCTCCTATCTCCTCGCCAGTGTCGCTTATATCTTTGTCCTTCCCACATCTATCATCTCTTCCTCTAACACGATAGCCGTGCAATTCGGGTCTGTCGTCTTCGGACCCGTCGGCTCTCTCGTTCTCGCTCTCATCGTCTCCGGATCGTGCATTGGGGCCCTGAACGCCACGACGTTCACCAGTGGCCGTCTTGTTTATGCAGCAGGCAAAGAAGGTTTTCTGCCTGGACTACTAGGGCACATCGGCATGCCTGGCTCCTCTCAATCTCATAACCGATTACAAAGGAGGTCGTGGGTTAGTCGAACAGTCACACGTTTGATCGGTGACGAAGAGGGCGGAATAGGCTTCACACCAATAAATGCGATGCTATTTAATGCGCTTCTCACTGGCACCTACATCGTTGTTGGCGAATTCGGCACCTTGATAACCTTCTACGGTGTGGCAGGCTACACGTTCTATTTCATAACCGTGCTCGGTCTCATTGTCTTACGAGTACGGGAGCCATATCTGGAGCGACCATACAGGACGTGGATATCTACGCCCATCATCTTCTGTTGTGTGAGTTTGTTCTTGCTGAGTAGGGCAGTCTTTGCGAAGCCAGGACAGACAGTGGTGGTGGTAGCATTTGTTGCGGCCGGTGTGCCGGTCTATTTCTGGAGGGTCAAGGGAAGGGGCAGGAGAACTAAGGGGGAGGAGAGAGATTGGAAATTCTGGAGGAGGTGGGGTAGGAGCGGTTAATGATAGAGCTGGGCAGGGTGTTGTATATACTTTAGTGAGCGAAATGCATATAATAACGAAATCATGTTTACCATGGCGCAAACATTCCTTTGATGTAGATGTAATGTGTTATGAGTCAGAAAGTGATACTAATTGTGGCAAGTAGATAATATATATCAAGATAGCGGTCTCACTCTCATCCAAGAATGAAAGGAGATTTGGTCTTGTTAGCTTGAGTCGTTCACCCTTCACCACAATTGTGGAAGAATGTCAGACAGAGCTAGCGTAGACATTGACCCTGATCTTGCGATATGAGTAAAACGGTTCGACCGTTTTCTATAAGCTACCAACTTCAGTTGGTAGCTGAATCTTTTGCTATTTTGATCCTCTGTCGCTTGAAATATTTTTGCCTTTTTTTGGGAGCTCATAGGTAAGGATAGATAGAGGTGGAAGATTTGCTTCGTGATGTTTGTGGTTGAGGGGGAAGAAGGGAGTCAAAAGCGGAAATGCTCTGTTTTTGCCGACCATTGATTTCTTTCCAGCAATCTACACCGACGACAATGAACGTATATTTTCAAACCTGTACCTTGGCAAAAATTGACCAAGGTCTTATTGAGTTTTATACACAAATGAGGCCGGGATGCTCTCGTGCCGTATAACGCTGCAATTCCAGCGCTGAAGTCTTTTCATGAACGGTTGGACCGAAAGTCAGATAGCGCTCCTCTCTAAGCGTACTTGTCTCCTGTATATGGGCTGAGACTAATGACAGAGCACACTTTTAGGCGACAAAGCTACAGCTCGCGTTACATTAGACTCTTAAGACCCCGAGAACTTCGGCAATGAGACAGATGAGAGCAACTGGGTATGACGACAATGGGATAGAAATTTGCAATACAAAGCAGTACATCGAAATTGCAGGGATCAGATATGCTTATTCCTAGCACCACTGACTCAGTCAACCAGTGTCATTTGCGAGCGCTACTTAGCGAGGGGGCCTCGAGATTCTGCTTAGGATGCCATTTTGGATACATCAGACCGGCTTGAAAGCGAGAAGTAGTGGACTTCCGTAGCTACAGCTATTTTGTGACATTGTGAATCTTGAAAAGCAAGGGGAGACGGTCCTGAGACTCCTCTTATCATATATGTGATCTGTGAGCATTCCTGGGGTTTTCGAGCGAGAAAGCAGGAGAAGCAGGAGCAATGCCGTTGGAATTCCTGGTCTGGGAAAGGCTTGCTTAGCTTAGCGCCTTTATCTCCGTCATATATGTAGGACAGTGTCGTCTCCATAATATCTCTCGTTTTCGTCCCCTCGGCCTCGTCCACCACACCCTAGCATCTTACTGGCCACGTGAGAGTTCCAATGCACATGCTGTTGCCGCAAGCTCCCCTATTCTCTCATGAGGTTGTATCGAGGTGGCGCACTCGTACGCCCTTGATCCACGTTGAAGCATGCAGTCATACAAGCGCACGGCTGTAGACCCTCTTTCACCGATATGGACTATACCGGGCCTGATTGCTTAAACGAGGAAGGCGATGCAATCATAGTCAAAGCTGACGAAGTGGATGAGTCGGGTGCTGACATCTCTACCATCTCTCCTACGGATGCCCCAGAATCTGAGTTCACTGAGCGCATTGAATCGCGGAGGGCACACGATGCTCAGTCAAGTCCCAAGATCCTCGCCAATGCCGTACCCAGTCCTCCAAGAGCCGCCACCCGCCCACTTCTCCGTCGAGAAGGCTCCGCTCCGCCCCCGCCGCAACAGGCTCCTCCACCTGCCCCACCTCAACGGCAAGAAGAGCAGAGGAATCCAACGGACTCTTTGAGTTTGCTTGAGCTGAAGAGACTCGTAACCGATCTACCCAAGCTTGAGCCTACAGCGTATGCGTACGACTATTCAGAGACAAGGTCGGTTCCAGAAGAGCTGGAGGAATGGTTTTCCTACACAGAGGAAGAGAGATACATGCTGTTACGGGCAAAGCAAACATTTGATGAGAAATGGGAACAAGCGCAGGCTGAACAACCAGTATCATCAGACAAAGCACTACAGTGGCAGGATGTGAGTGTAGAAGACCGGGAGAGCTTTATGGTTGGGGCTATAGAAGCGTTGCAGAGTCCGGAAATCTCATCTCGGGTCAAAGGTCTGGAGTGCTTATCTTACGTGGCTCTTGGGGTTTGGGGAGATACGGCTGGGGTTGAAAAAGATGACCAAGTATCTCATCTTACGGCCGCCGACAACAAATGGATGGATTCTTCAAACACCAAACCAAAGGTGCAGCTGGAATGGATCATTAATGGCACACGAATGCTCTGCGAGCTCGACGCCGTTCAGAGGCTGCTCGATGTGTTAATAAAGCTATGGGAAAGCGAACAGTCAGTCAGTCCGCTGCTCTTTACCCAACCTCTTCATGATATAGACACGTACTAAATCGTTTGAGCCTAGAGATGTCGAGATGTCGGAAGATGGGTCACCGTCCCAGGATGAGAAACTTGCTTCGTGGAGATTTCTCAGGCAAATTGAGGTCAATCAGACGCTTACAGCGCTGTACCTGATCATCGAAACCGGCAGATGGCAACGCTCAAAAGGCAATGATGGATCCATGCGAGAGGCTGTTGGTCCGTTCAGATCAACGTTATGTTCGCGCCTTTCAGCAGCTGACGCTCATGACTATAGCTAGCCTCGGACCTTCCATATTGACGGTCTTGACAAAGATGATCGCCAAGTTGCGCTGGGAAGAAACTTCATATATCCCTCTCCCTAGGGTACGATCCTGGCGCTCAACATTCCAGGATGATATGCTGACCTGAAAGCTGAAAGATCGTTCTCCTGTTCTGGAAAACAATTCTCCTAGTCTTCGGCAACATGAAGGAACTAGATGAAAGCAAAGTCGCACTACGTCAAGATACGGATATCAGCGAAAACGAGCACGATCCGAGCTTCATTACAACTTCCCCACTCGACTATCATCTATTTCGTCAAGAGATCACATCGAAATATCCAGCCTACTGCCCTCCTCCGCCTCTAGTCCCGATCGAGGAAGAGAACAACTCAATATTACCGCCCTTACCCAATCACCCTAGTCGACAAGCCAGCCAAGAGAACCTACGAATGGCAGCAGGCGCAACCGCCAACGGCGCTGGTAGATCGATATTCCATCAACCTGTACATATTGCGACGCCTGCGCCTTCGCCACCCCCTTCTCCAGCTGGGCCAGGAGGCAAAGGTGGGAAGAAACAAAACTACCAAACGAACCAAAATTTCCCTTTTTTGTATCCTCCTTTGGACGGCACGAGTAACACAGTTGGTGGCAAGGGTAATGCTGAGTTGCAAGATCAGCTTGTTGGCAAGCGGTGGGAAGGAAGTGATATACCAGCTTCCATATTGGAAGCTGGGCAGTTGTTCGCCAGCCGCATGAGGATGTCGAGGTCGATTCGTCAACTGTGGGACGTACGAGAGAAATTCATAAAGTACGAAAGAGGTTGGAATCGGTCCAAGGACGATTACGATTCACTGCATGAGGACTCAGAACTCGAGAGTGACGACGATGACGCAGAGTGTGAAGCTCAAGGGCCGAGTGCTCGTTCAAAGGACGAGGAGCCCAAGCGGGAGAAGGAGACGGATAATGAAGAGGTGCAAAGAAGATTGGACGCTATCAATAGCTTTTATGTACGTACTATATGTATTGAAGAATCTCCATCGCTGATGTCTGTCCCAGCGTGACAATTTACCGCACCTGCAGTCTATAGTGGTTGTTTTCTGGAAACTTGTCTTCAGCCACGTATCACATTTGGTCGCTCAAAATGGTCGAGACGGATTGCAGAACGGAATGTCTTTCCCTGACGACGGTTCAAACGAAGCTCAAGGCAAGAGGAGAGCGAACACCAATTCCTCGGGCAACATAAGTGGTATGGCGAACGGTCAGCTTGCGGAAAATGAGGATGTCACCGATCCCGTTGTCGAAGAGCTGAATGCGTTGAGGTCTAGAGAAATAACAACGAAGGCTGTGTCTGGTATCCTGCTGATACTCTTGAAATGGTTCAAGCTGTCCCGTGAGTGTCTTGAAGTACCTATTTGTATGTTGCAGAGGTTTTAATGACCGTTGCCAAGACATACTCAAATACGAATACATGACCCAGCTTCTGCTAGACGCAAACTACTTGCCACTGGTCCTCAAGCTCTTCGCTCATCAAGACGTTGACAGAGCGGTCGACCAGAAAAATGACCGCGAAGATCTCGAGTACGTTGACAATTGCAACTACGCCTACATTAGCTGACCAACCTCCAGCTTCTTCTATTTCTGCCACCTCAATTCTAAACACCCTCCAGTATCTCCACCGCAACCCGCCCTCTCACCTTCTACCTCCAGCGACGACGAAGCCGCCCCTCCACCCATTCTCAAGCATCGCCGCAGCCTTTCTGAAACTCCACCGCCAACCCCACCGCGACCAGCCGCCCGCCCCGAAGTAGACGAACTCGGCTACCCTACCTCTGGCGCCCTACCGCAAACACCCCTAACGAACTACGCGCCTCGCTTCTTCCTCACCAACATCAACCTCCTCCGTCTGCTTCAGAAAATTACCAAGCGCAAAGCCCATCGCGCATTGTTGCTTGTACAGTACAAATCTAGTACCATATTGCGCAAAGCGCTCAAGATACCCCAACCAGACCTCCGTCTTTACACCCTCAAATTATTCAAATCGCAAACACCGTACTGCGGTAGAAAATGGCGACAGACCAACATGCGTGTCATCACTGCCATATACCTACACTGTAGGCCTGAGTTGCGCGATGAGTGGTTATGCGGTGGGGATGTGGACGGCGTGGTTGAGGAAGCGGTGCCATTGGAGCAGGCGGGGAGGAGTCTGGTTCATTGGTGGCACTTGAGGGAGTTTAGGGGGGGTCATGGAGGGGAATGGAGAGGGCAAGGGTGGTGAGGACGGCAAGGAGGGCAGAGAGGAATACAATTTCTTCGCACGAGAATTGGAGAAGATGGGCTGGGGTCTCGGCGGAGTGGGAGCTGCCGAGGAAGAAGAGCACGCTGCTGGGGGAGAAGGGGCGGGCGGTGTTGCAGTCGGGACCGAGTTCGAAGGTGGGCCGTTGGCGATGGAGGGATGGGCGTGATGTCCCGGCTTCCCTGAGATGTTTGTTCATTGATTGCGCAATGGCGCTCGAGAACAGAGAGAAATCCGACGCTATCATGTCGACGAATGATCGATGTCTTTCTAGACTTTCGCACGCTTGTCAGACGGCTTCTGCTATGGAAAACGTGTCTACCCGAGAGCAGAGGCCTTTTCCTTCCCTACCATCCTTCCACCATCTTCTCCCTTCCAAGCCAGCACTGCTCTCCCATTGCCCTCACCTCTCACCCTGACATTCCCCCCTTGACCTCCACCACCTCCCCTCCTTCCTCCTCCGCACCTGCAGCGGGCCAATCCCTCCAAATCTCACACCCATCCCAAACCCCTCTTCCCTTCTCCAGCACCATTTCCCCCACCCTCACAGCTTGCTCCATATCCGCCACCTCGACCAGCAGCACCCGCGCGGAGACTCGCTCTGCGAGATCCAGCAGGCGCGGGTAGAACCTATCACCGGAGTCTGCGTAATTTTCCGGGTTGCCAGCGATGGGATCAGCGGACGACGGCACAAGCGCGCTTTTAGGCTCGTAGTTGCGCACGGAGCGGGATGTGGTGGCATTGAAGGAGGAGGGAGAGATGTAGGGTGGGTTCGAGATTAGGATGTCCCATTTAGATTCACACCATGGTTTTGCTCCCCGCGGCGAATATATCGCCGTGGGCAAAGGAGATTTGCTCCCTGGCGTTTGCTCGGAGCTGGCTCTTGGTGATGTTGTGGGAGAGGTTCTTGGCTGCGAGATTTAGAGCTGCGGGGGAGACGTCGACGCCATGGAGGTGGAGAGATGGGATGTGTGGGGCGAGGAGAGAGTGCAGGAGGAGCGGTATGCAGCCTGTGCCCGTGCAGAGATCGAGGATGCGGAGGGGATGTTGGGGGCGAGAGGGGGGCGAGAGGAGGAGGGAGGCGAGGTGGGTGGTTATGTTTTCTGTTTCTGGTCTGCGGAGAGGAAGGTATGTCAGTCAGTACTCATGCCCGCCCGAGTAAGTTTGAGAGAGAATGGTAGGTAGGTAGGTAGATCGACCTCGGTATCAAGACACCCCTCCTACACAGTATCTCCACCTCCCCAAACGGCTGGGATCCGAGGATATACTGCAGTGGCTTCCCTCTCGCCCGTGAGCGACACATCTGGTATAGATGCTGCGGCCATGATGTCTTAATGCTGCCAGAACTTGTCAGAGTGACCTCTCGATTAGCTATGGCATGTTCGCGCAACCAGCGCAGCTCATTGCGCGCGGAGGAGAGATCGCGACATGGGCGCAGGAGAAGAGGAAGGAGGTGGGTGTAGCGCGCGAGCGCGGAGTATAATGGAGGTAGGGAGACGGGGCATTCATGGTTTGCTGGTTGTGAAGCGCGGCTGAAGGTTGGGATTGATGAGAGCTTTGATGCAGAGTGCCAAGACTGACATGCTTGGCTTTTTTGCGGACTGAGGGTTAAGCGAAAATGCTGGGGATTATAATAGGTTTTGGGACGCTAACAGGGCGCAAGTGGTATTGTTGAAGATTTGGGATTGTCGAAACGTTGCCGTGGTGAGCTAACAGTGTACCCAAACAATGACATCTACAGAGGGTTAAGTATTTATTTCGTACTGAAATTTCGGATGAGATGGGCAGTGCTATTGTTTTGTGTGTCTGGGTGAGCTCATGGACGTCAGTGTTCCTGGCACGCACTCGATTCTTGAGATTCTGTAGAACATTTACTGTTGTGCTAAAGGCCCTTTGCGCAACCGATGGCCTAATAGCACGATCAACCAGCAGACGAACGACCCAGCATCGGCCTAGACATCTTTCTAGAAGCATTTGTGGAGATAGTCATATCTTAGGGCTAAATTCTAGTCTATCAGGAATTAGATACATCATCGTACGGCGGTACAATCCCATTCCCAATTCTTGGTCTCTTTATAGAAGCCTCCCAACCTTGACGTCAGCAACAAGAAAACCATGTTAAATTCTCTAAATCTCCGCTGTTCCAGCATATATGCAGGCGCCTGTGCTAGAGCCCCTCATAAGGGACCCCCACCCGAAGTTTGGGGGACACCGTACGTGTCCCGTGTTGAAAGGACAAGCTTTGCAGCGTTGATTGTCGTTATGCCGGGTACAACTTGATCGGTCCGTCTGAACGGGCCTAGTTTGCGTAAGGTGTCGAGGGCCATGTCGAAGATGTCGTAGATTGTTATCACTGATCTGGTCAGTTGAAAGGCAACCCGTAGGTGCGGGTCATTTGTAGCGTTGACGGTGTCGAGAGAGGTATTGATATCTGTGAAGGCTTGGAAAAGACCCTTGGTGGTGTTGGAAAGCGACGGAGTTTGAATGACACTCTGCGTCGCGTTCGTGATGTTGGAGAATATGGAGGTTGGTGCCTCCGTCACCTTGTACGTAATATGGCTGACTGTACGCCCTCAATGCTCGAGAACGATTACTCTAGTTCGGAAGTCAAGATATTATATCATGTCGTCCGTATACCAGGTTTCGGTGTCAGCATTGGCCATCGAAGATGAGTGGTGAGTTGCAACATCCTTCCAGGAAGCGCACAAGGAGCTGAACTTGCTAAAGCATCCCCTGTTGCTTGAAATTTTTTGTGCCAAATGAAGAAAGCAGGACTGCGAAATGTCATGGCTACAAGAATACTGAGACCCCAAACAGCAAGTTCCCGGGGTATGCTCCCACCTTCTTCGACTGGTGTGACTGCAATTTTGACTCGATGGTGGCTGTCAAGCCTGTAGACTGTTTCAAACATGGGCCCTTGAAAATCTCCCAATGCTAGCTGGAGCGCGGACGTTTACAGAATGCAAAAGGCATAGGTTGCGTCGAAGCTTTGGTCCATCGAAACTCGATGCATAACCGAAAGCTCGGCCCAAGATGGAATGTTGTAAAGTTTGAACCTGGGCTGGCGAAGTCGGACGCGTCTAGAGCCTTGGTGATTGAAGAGTCGAGGTTGAGACACGGGTCAGGTATATTGATAGCAGATACATGATTCAGAAGCATGTCGATCCACGCGAAGATAAACTAAAGCAAAGGGGATACAGTCCATCTACATTCTGATGAGTCAATTACTAATGGCTCAGCAGTAGGCTCAAGGTGAAAGATCAGCATTTGCAAAGAGAGGAGCTGGCTTTTTCTATGTTTGCGCCTAAATCAGCGCTTGCGCAAATGCGTGTGCGAGAAATCGAGAACACGGAGCACGACTTGAACTTTTTGCTTTTGCGGCTACATTGACACATGTTCAAGCAAAAGTTTGCTTTATGACTTGGCCAGAGGTTCTGGTCACAGTGGGGACCATTGCAAACAGCTGGTGATTTGGCCTAAGTGTGGATATGCTTGGACAGGAATCATCTGGAGACCTCCATTCATCTTCATCTCCTTGGCGTCGAAGACCATCTCGCCTTACACTGAATTCAAGCTACCATCGGACTGTGGCTATTAATGACCTAGGCAGCGTAGGATCTGTGAGGCCTGCACAGACTCCTCATAAAGATTGTCTTGCCAGATCGCATTAACACATTCTGTTGGCTTAGCGCCATGGTGCCAAGATTTAACCCTGATGCGGCCTAGCTCAGCCTTACACAAGATCTCATAATGAACACTTAGAGATCCAAATCACGTCCAACAATTTCTATACTGCGAAGTGCACTTCCGACCTCCACTCGTCATGGATCTAGTAGCAGGGGTTCGGAAAGAAGGCAGCCGCGGTGGTCGCGGTGAATTCAAATGGGAAGATGTCCGGGACTCACAACACAGAGAGAATTACCTCGGTCACAGTCTCATGGCTCGTACGTCCCCTCCATGCTTACTCTTCCCCGTATTACCTGCAGCTAACACCCCCCAGCCGTCGGCCGCTGGCAAAAGAACAAAGACCTAAACTGGTACGCCAAAGGGGACACGTCCGCCGCCGCCCTCTCCGCCGCCGAAGCCCGCAAAGAGGAAATACGACGGATCAAGGAGGCCGAAGAAAGTGCTCTCAGTGAAGCGCTTGGCTATGGGCCTACTATACGAAGTAATGCGAATGAGACACCCATTGGGCGGAAGGAGGTTGAGAAAGCGATCAAGGAGACTGCGGAGGGTGATGACGAGGAGGGTGCTAAGGGTGTGGGATTTGGGGCCTTTCTTGGAGGGGCACCGGTGGAGGAAGAAAGAGATGTGCTGCGTGGTGAAGGGCTGGATAGACCTGCCAGCAAGGTCGTGATAGAAAGAAGGAGAGACGGCGATAGTAGGAAGGAGAAAAGGAGAAGAAGCAAAAGCCGAGACAGGAGTAGCGAGAGGAGACATAGGAGGCATACCTATGGCGAGGAGAGGTCGCATCGGAGGCACCGATCGAGGGATAGATCACATCGCCGACAGACGGATAGGTCGAGAGAGAGGTATTCGCATGGAAGGGAGCGGTCGAGGAGCTACGAGAGGAGAAGAGATAAGGATCGGCAACCACGCCGGCCACGGGAGCGGAGTTACTCCCCAGACCCACCTAGACGGAGGCGGGATTCGCGAGATAGAGATTACGACTACAGAAGATGATGAAGAATAGATCTGACGACTGCAAATGATTCTAACCTCGAGCTCTTTGGAGATTCATACTCAGCAAAAATCGGGTCTTCGACTTGGGAAATTCGAATCCTCAGGCAACCACAGTGATACCTGTCCTACTTGACTCGTAGAAAGTAGGACAGCCGCTGTTTCTTACCCTTGGTTAGCGGATGCCAAGTAGGCTAATTTCTTCCTATTACAACGCTTTCTAATGCTGAGAGCCAGACTAGTCTGCCATTGAGCTGCGTGTGACTGTGTGTGTCTGCTAATCCCTAGGAAAGGACCACAAACGCACCTATCCTTGGGCTTGTAAAGAAAGGCGCCGCTGTCTCTTCTCGCCGCTGGTCAACCACGGACGTCTTGACTGACCTAGCGCTGGTGCCATCTTCGTCGCCCATTTCACGGTTCCCGATTCCTCCTTCTCTTCAGGCTTTCCAAACCATAGTGGTCGAGCTACGACCGATGATGGAGTAGAGACGAGAATTACGTCAAATTAACCACCCAGCTTCACGACGCACCCTGGTCGGGATATGGCACACGCTGATTGATAGCCGAATCTGTCGCCCAGAGGAATATACCTAGCGCGCTATCGTCTGCAGGCGCGAAACGAGTACTCAATCAGCAACAGTTTAAAGCTGCAACGCGGATAATTTGACAAGGAAAAGACTTCCCTTGCTTACCGTACGCCGTCCACCCCAATTCCGACCTCCGAACCTGACAAGCCTCGGAAAGCAACCGCACATACTCCGAAACCGCCCGCCAGGTCGCAATCACCCCCATGGTGCCTCCGCCAGAGACGTCAGGCTTCGAGGGTACGTCGCCGACGTCTAAGAGGCTTACGATCGCTAGCACGCACGTACCTGAATCCCGCGCAACGTCAGCCCCGATGCATCACCACCCCATGACTGGGATATAGAACAGCGCACCACCCACTCACCGGAAGTATACCGCTTGGGAGTCCAAACCGGCGTACCATACCCTGGCACCGTGTGCGGAAACCCTAGAGACAGCCATTGCGCTCGCCCTGGGTTTCGAACAACGTCTTGTTCGAATGTGCGGATTGCGCGGTCGCAGTCGTCGATCTTGTAGGTGGGGGAGCCGGGACGTCCGCCTGTCCAGGAGGGAAGACTGGTGCATTGGTATTCGTGAGGGTGGTTGTGAGATGCGTTGAGAGTGGACGGCGCGGGGAGGAGGTTCAGGGATGCTGCTGCTGCTGCGGTGCCTAAGCGCATGGTAAGGGCTGTGAAAAGGAGGAGTCGAGAACGCGTTTTGCGTTGACGGAGAGTCATTTTGGATTTTTTTATCCTTTCGCTAAAGCTTGAGGGCGAGCGAAAAGGGAGACAACATTACTGGAGATGGGACCATTCATGCTTATACTAGGCTTCGTTTTGCACGGACCCTAGCGCCTGGACGGCTGTTCAGTTCACGGATCACATCATGCCTCCGCATAATACACTAGGTTTGCTGGTCGCCAATCGCCAGTCGTATATAACAACAGTACAGGTGGCTAGGTATTCTATCCTGCCTCGTCCTGAACTTCATGAACCGTAAGGCATGTTTCAATGTCATCTTCATTCGGTCACTGGACTTTGTGCGATGAAGCAGACCGAACAAACAATACACTTGAACATAGGTAGTCTCAATCTCAATCTCTCCGCAGTGTCTCACGGGCCGTTACTTCGTTATCCCAATGCCGTCAGACTTCCGCAAAACGCCAAAAACGACCAACCCACCTTCCCCCGACCTCCCTACAACACCAACCGCCGAAATACAAGACATTGGCACCTCGCGCCCACGCTGAACTGCGTCCGATGGTGAGATCTTACCTCCCCCATCACCCAGAAAAGAAAGAGAAAAAGTTCGAACGCCCCCCAACTCCCTCCCTCCAGCACGTAGCTCACCCCATCCATCCATCCATCCATCCATCACTCACCAACCCCTCTCCTCGCCAAAAACCCCCCTGAACCCCTTATCAACAGCCTCGGAAAACGACAACCCCATCCCCCCCCATCCTCCCCTTCTTCTTCTCCGCAGCCCCCTTACCCCGCCGTCTCGCAACCACATCAACGGCGGCTTCGATCACCGCCCTCTTCTTACCACCGCGGCGCCGTGTCATGGCGCCGATGGCGGCTTTGAACACGTTGGTCTTTCCGCCGTGGTGCGTCACCGCGGTCAGAGTCGGGGCGCTGCTGGGCTGGGGTTTCGTGGCGATGGTGCGCTGGTCCTGGTCGGAGTGGTGGGCGGTGCTGAGGTTGCGGGCGAAGGCGAGGTCGGTGCGTGTGGGGGGGTTGGAGTGGAGGGCGGTGGTGAAGGTGAGGGGTGGGGGTGGGGGTGGGGTGGAGTCGCGGTGGTCGTGGGCACGTGTACTTTTGCGCGCGGGGTGTAGGTACGGGAGGGATGGTTTTGTGATGGCGGTTTCACAGGCGTCGAGTTCGGCGATCTGGATCGTGGACGCTGTTGGTGGGGATGGGTGTGTGGTTGTAGTGGTGTTGGATGTTTTGGTGGGCGAGGATGTCTCTGTTGTGGGTGGTGTGAGTGATGATAGTAGCGTGTCGACCGAGTCGATCATCTCGTCGAAGCTGTTCGGCTCGACGACGGCAATCTTCTTCTGCGTCTGCTTGTGCATCGTGCTCTTCTTCTTCTTCTTCTGCAGCTTCTGGCATTCATCTGCCCACTTCTGAAACTCTTGCTCCATGAACTCTACCTCCTTGGAATCCAGCTTCTTGCGCTGATTTCGAAGCTTCTGCTGCTCCTCGTGATCTGCAGCATCTGCCATCTGTTTCAGACTTAGATATACCATGTCTGCGGGAAGCAGGCGGCAGTGTCTCTTTCTCTCTTTGGGGACGTTGATAAGAGAGTGCGATGGGAGGAGGGGGAGGGGCCAGTCGGGCCGTGGGGCCGTGGAGGTCGCAATGAAGCGATCCATGGCGACAGGGATGTGTGAGGGTTGCTTTTTCCGGAAAAGCAAAGGGGAGATGAGGATGCTGGACTGGGTGCTTGGTCGGATAGGGTACCTACCTGTGACTCCGAAGAAAGTGGATGCTCGAGTTGAGAGAAATGGGCTGTAGCACAGGCTTCTTGTATGAACTTGAGATGCATGGTGAAAGATGAAAGTGTCATGAAGGATCACAAAGACGGTTGACAATAGGGTTGTGTTGCGCTCAAGGATTACAATGGCGGTTTTGTTGCCTGGAGAGAAAACCTTTGACGACACAATGACTTTGCGATCCAACAAGGAAAGAACCACAAGGACACTGGACATAGGAACACGATGTCCCAAAACTGGTTTTTTGCGCGGACGAGCAAAGATTGGGCATAAATGAAGAGCATCAAGTCCAAAACAATACTTATTCGTCTAAGAAATCGCACCACGAACAAGTCTGAGAACAGCAGATTGTTCATCGATGCTCGAACTTTTGATCTTTTTCAGACTTTTGATCTCTTTCAGACTTTTGATCTCTTTCAGACCTTTGATCCTTATGACTGCGTTCTTCCCTGATAGTGTGCCAAGCTTGCAGTTGTAAATTTACTGTCAATGCTCATACGGGCCGATCCCTCCCGTGAAGCAGAAGAAAAGATTTCCAAGCAGAATCGCTATCAAATTGCGAGACCTATGCCTTTCTATGACATCGCGACTTCGCAAATAGGGATGGAATTTCCTTTTTCCCTTGTTGCTCCACGATGCGAAAGCGCGCAAGCGTCCTCTTGTAACCAACGCGCGGTTATCGACGCGCAAAATCATGTGAATGTTTTGCGAATACTGCGCTCTGCTATCTCGTTCGGGAAGCGATTCAGCCCGCCGAGCGTGCACGCTGCCGCATGGGGCGCTGATGGGCGCACGCACCGGAGACTCTCGCAACATTCCGATCATGTTACATCATCAATGCTCACCGATCATTGCCCTATAGAGCCACTTACTTATTCAGGGCATTTTGTGTTTATTGCAATGCTATCCGCTTGACTGGAATATTTGTGCTTCCAGCTGATTGTATTGCAGTATTTAGAAGAGATATATCCAGGGTTATTGGGACAGTATAATCTTCGTTGCTGCCGCAGCATTGGGCTGGTTTACCTCTGGTCTGATCGACTTGACACATAACCCGGATACCGAGATCTGGAAAAAGCAGTACCAGTTGCAAAGACGTCAATAGGTTGCTATGTACCTCGTATGGCACTTTGGCTGCTCAAAAACTATGTGACGTAGGAATATGAAGATCTGCCTATGACATGTGGCACAAAGGCAATCAACGCTGTGGAAGTTCTCTGAAGATCATGAGATCGGACTGCGATACGAGGTTGAGAGCCAATGAAAGTCTCCGATTTCACCATCTGGCTAACAAAAGTCGAAGCGAAGGGCGACGGAGTGTTTGGTGTTGCCTAAGAGTCCGGCTCAAGGAGAGGACCGTGTTCTGCACCACGAACACGGAGAGGATTCCGCATCGTTGGCACGTCTGACGTCCACCAATCAACGAAGATAACCCCGGCGAAGCCCCCTGCTCTGAAATTGATCTCAACGCACATCTCATACGCATGTGGAGCGGTAACTATGTATTCCGCAAGTCCATGCAGCACGAGATACAGGTCTGACCAGGTAAATTCCCTGAACAAAGCAGGCACTACGCTGATGGCGCCGAGGTGTCGGGGCTCATGATAGTAGTAGTAGCCGTCAGGAAGGTACACGTGTGGATGGAGGGCAGCGTTTGGTTTTATGGCAATGAGAACACTCTGGAGAAAGGTGGTCAATTGCCATGAAAGGAATTGACGATGGCCGAAAGTCATGGCTAGCTCCAGCGGTGAGTCGTAAATGGGATATGTGACGTTGGATCTTGGGAGGCATCTTATGTATTCTTCTGAGCCGTTTGAGAGGATATTCGCATTGCTGATTAGTTGTAAAGAAGGCGGAAGCGTGGCAGCTGATGTTAGAGTTGTGAAGAAGACTTGTAGCAGTATCGGGATGTAGGACCACATCTTGCGCATTGTAAATCGGGACTGTTGAGAGGAAAGCTATAGGTCAGTGAGTGAGCTTGGTGACGAAGGCTGTCAACGACAGTCTACCAAAATGGTGCCGGAGAGAACGTTGTTCAAGTGAAGGACATCATCCATGCGACCGCTTAATACATTGCTCATCGCGATCCTGCGAGGAGCGCCAATGTGGTTGACAAGCCATATAGACCCGCCAATTGCCGTGGACTGACGAAGCGTTCGGAGGTATATGACTCCCAACCTTCAATTACCCGTTTTTAACTTTGATCTGATGGAGAATTCAGCAGGGAGTATGGTTACTATTACGGGTTCGTCATGAGGCAGAGCCATAATAAACGCTTAGGTGTGGTCGTGGATTTGGACTTCTCTACTGCTTGACGCAGAAAGAGGGTAGGTTTTGTAGCTGATCCGGGAGTGGTGATTTTGCTCGCCCGTGCCCTGAAATCGTTGCCGATTGTTGGAAGCATGTGAGTGTCAGGGTTCGCAATAGCGGTTGGTATATCTGAATCCCGAGGAATTCAGGTGGAGTATCAGGCGGGAGTTGAATTTGGTCCCTAAGATGACATTAGAAGCGATCAGAAGTAGCTAAATTGCTGCAAATGCTTCCGACGCGGTTGTTTGTAGAAAAAGATGGGTCCGGAAGTAAGGTTAATGTATACAACAGAACGGTCCAGTATAAAGAGTAAAGATAGGTAATTTACGGACTTCGGGGCGAAATCAAAGTCCGCTAGTCCTCTACTCTAGTTCGCTAGGCCAGTATTGGCACTAGCTCGTACTTAAATACCTGCTGCGCCGCTCGACAAACGGAAAATACGGAGAGCTGAATTCATGGCAAACCATAAGTACTTTATTTATATATATAGGAAGGAACACCTTACTTGATCATATCCCCCAATCTCTCCCTACAACTACCATACTGTATAGTATAGAATAATACAAGACAAACGCCGTTTACTCTACTATCAGCCTAATTGAACCATCACCATGTTCTCACAACGAGTCTTGAAATCTTCTGCTCCTCTCTTAGCTACCGCTGTCATCGGTGGAGGCCTCTACGCCGCTTCTCTTCAAAGTGCTTCCCAAACCCAATCGGCTCCTCCTCCTCCTCCGGCAGCAACAGACCGCATCGTGCAAACCTCCACACAACGTTCAAAAGAACCTGAGAAGATTTTTACTAGTGGCTTCTCCTTTCAAGATCTGAAATTACAGAGTTCAGAAGTCGTCAATCACAACACCAAAAGATTACGTTTTGAACTTCCGGACAAAGATGCAGTCGGCGGGTTACGCGCGTTATGTATGTTCAAAGGAAGCTCTTTGACAGCCGCCACCACTGATCCTTCATAGCTGCACTCCTAACAAAAGCCACTCCATCCGGTGCCTGGCTACCCGTCTTGCGGCCATACACCCCCATCAGTGACCCAGATGAGCCCGGCCACATCGACCTTCTCGTAAAGCGCTACCCAGACGGTAAAATGAGCAACCATCTCCACTCCCTGCTTCCAGGCCAAACGCTCTCTTTCAAAACCGGCCCGCTGCTCACTTACGAATGGACGCCCAACAAGCACTCCCAAATCGCTCTCATCACCGGCGGTGCGGGTATCACCCCCATGTATCAGCTCACGCGCGCCATCCTCAAGAACCCCGAGGACCAGACGAAGGTCACCCTCATCTTCGGCGTCAACGGCGACGCGGACGTGCTTTTTGAGCCCGAGTTTCGGGAATTGGAGCGCAAGTTCCCCGACCGTTTCAAGGCGGTGTACACGGTCAGCAATCCGACGGCGAGCTCGCCGTTTCCGAAAGGTTATGTGACGAGGGAGCTGTTGAAGGCGCATATACCCGGTCCGGAGGAGCGGGATATCAAGGTTTTGTTCTGCGGGCCGCCGGCTATGGAGAAGGCGATTGCGGGGTCGAAAGGGTTGCTGGGCAGTCAGGGCGGTGTGGGAGGGGTTTTGAAGGAGATGGGCTATTCTAGTGATCAAGTCTTCAAGCTTTAGTATCTTGATCAGTCTGATTGTCTGGCGCCCATCATGGCTCCCCAGGTCTGTCTAAAAACTACATTCTATTTTCTTCAACTTGTTCTTTATTCTGCCGCTGCACTTGACGAAACCTTATGGTCTGATTTCGGATGCTGGTGCGAACATATCCATGCACCCTACTTCCCCAAGGATAGCGATCGACGGAAAACCATCTCTCTTCGCAAACAAAAACAAACTGTGTCAAGAGCAGTAGCCGAATCTATGAGCTTAATATCCTAGCACCGCCATAGTCGTATACATCTCTTTCTTTTTTCTGTTTCTTCTTGTAAGGCAGGTGCTCCAAGACACTTCCCCTGACACCTGGAGCCAGACATCAGAAAGGCTGCAGCGACGACATCTCTTTTTAGATTTTGTTTCAGATCCTTTTGAGGGGGTTCCTGCGTTGTTGGATTGGGGCACTATGCCCGAAAGAGCTGTCGTTGACGACTGAAGTTACTGTCTAGTTTGGACATGAAATACGAGATAACGCCCTTGGTGGTGTTGATCGCATCGATGAATGTCAAGGATTCGCACTGCTTCGGATGCAACATTTTCCTTTCCCTTTTTTTTGTCACCTCGCCCAGCCTTCGTTCCGGAAAGCAAGTGCGGTGCCAGGACATGAGATTTCAAATGGACCTGGCTTGGTGGCTGGATCTGTGTTCAAGATACAGGCAATTACTTATGTGGAGAATTATTACAGACTCGACGTTGAGACTGCTAATAATGCAACTCACCAGCTCTCTTCTCCGTGTCCAGAAGCAAAACACTAGAAGTCGGTCCGCAGAAGCTACCTTCAGCTCTATACCCTCGACCGTGTTCGGTTTCAACAAACCCCCTACGTGGCTTTGGTGCCAGAAGGGCCAGCAATGGCACCCATCTCCCCCCGTCCATAATACAATCTGTCCATACCAATGCACACGCTTCCATTTCGTAACACCACGCCCAATGTTCACTCTCAAGCAATATAATGATTGCCCGACCTAAAGCGCCAGCTTTCGATTACGTATACATTACCGCTCAAGTCTACCACCCTTTTCTGAAAAATTCGTCTGGCTGCGGATGAGCTCAAGGGTTTTCTACCTTCGAAGAAAGCATTGAACTCCGTTGGAATACAAATAAACGAATTCATACTGTCACGGATAGCTCTCTTCTGCGCTTGAACAAGTCTCGCAACAATGCTGCACTAAGGATGTCGGATGTATTAATATCCCGCACAAAGGAATCGCACTATTTCCTCCGAGTTCATGATCTCACGGAACCCTTACAAGCAAGTCCTCTCGAGACCCTTTCATTTTCTCCAGTACAGATCCAGTCCGTCCCCTCGCTACAAACATGCTTCTGCCAATAACGTTCCTCTCCGCCCTCATCGCCCTGTCCACCACGCTCACCGTACCCACTTCGCCACACATCTACCGCGCAACGCAAAGTAACAGTTCCTCCTTCTCACCCCTCCCACCCCTCAAACCCTTACCCATCAAATCCAACCCCACAACATCACCAAACACCCTCAACCTCTACTCGCAAGCAAACACAACAACACCACCACCACCACCCACCATCGGCATCTGGCCCCAACTCCCCTTCACCACCGACACAGGCCGCCACCTCAACCTCACCATCGCGCGCCTCGGCCCCATCACCTCGCGCACGCGTCGCGGCGAACTCCTAAACGCCATCAGCGACCTCCACTACGCCATCGCCGCCGAAGGCGATCCGTTCGAACCCATCCCCGGGGTGTATGCGCGCTCCAGCGGGCTTGTATGGACGGTTTTTGCGTGCAGGGATGAGGTTGCGATGAAGAGGTTTCAGGTGGCGCAGGTGCTGAGTATGGTTTGGATTCTCATGGAGGATTATGGGCCGAGGGAGGTGGAAGGGAGTGAGATTGTGAGTGCGGAGGGGAGGGGGTTGGCGAGTTTCGTGTTGAGGTTTTTGGGGGGGTAGGTGGGTTTTGTCGGCAGGAAGTCATGTATATGTATATATATAGTTTCCTACCAGCATGTGACTCTTTATTCCGTTTCGTTTCTTTCAACATCATACTACTCTTCCACCCCTTCCCCCCAAACGGGCGCCTGTATATAGTCTCAAGTTTTACTTCAAGTGTATGTCGTGTAAGTACGGGAATCTTCCAACACTAGGCTACGAGAGTATGCCTGATCATACCTCTATTCGCTTGCTATTCTGTCGTTGGAACGGCTTGGTTACTGTCCACGTCATTTGTATGCCCTCACTTGTGCCTAGTATGCGTGCATTTCTTTCGAGTATGAGACAACTACTCAATTGCAAAACACCTTTTCGTGGAGAGACCGCACTTCTCCGGAGCTCCAAAAAAGCTATTTCCGTGACACTGGCTCACCCAGAGCATTTACAGACATCGAGGGCCAACTTAGTACCATGGATGTGGATCGTGAACGTTCAGCACTGCTCGACGTTCTGAGGAAGGGGATGAATGGACACGCTAACGCAATATTTTCGAGTCGGCTTAGCCAGTCGCATAAAGTGCTGACTTATCATGCATTATTGACAAGATGAAAGTGCTTATATACAGACTTCGCTCAGGCGGAGATGTGAGCTAAACATCACAAACCAGCGGAAGCAAATAATGAAAAAGTAGAACTGATCTCGAGAAGTTGCAACGGACAATGATGAGAGAGGATAGAGATGCGGATGAAGAGATGCAATTGGAGTTTCCAAAACGGTATCTTCCTCTTCTGTCACTGGCCATCTATAGAGTCGTTGACTAAAATGAGTAAACATACCAATGGGCTATGCTCGTGGCTCTAAAGTCTGTGAGCGTATGTCAGATAATGACATCAGTTAGCTACGCGAATTCTGTGGGATCTCCCCCGACAAGCGTTGAGTGAAGCCAAGAGAAAACAGATGAGACGATGAGTCGAAGTGAGAAAATCCAAACTTAAGACGACTTGCGTACGGTTTCAGCCGTACTGGTTCTAGCATCTCACCATTCTATTGTCGTGTGTGACTGGAGAGGGAGAAGGTGGAAACCTGACTGATGAGATGGGGGCTTTGAAAAGGTTAGTCCTATTGTTCCATGATGAGCAAAAGCTCACTGACGCTGGCTAACAAAAGACACTCTTAGAGACGGTCATTGTCATTTTATATACCACGGTGTAACGATAAAAGGTCAAGCAAAACCCATTTCCGGGCCAACCCCAGCGGCCAATGCAGTGCTATTGCGTACTGGCGGCATCACAGAAGGCTTCAAGAGACTGAATCGTTGTAGATACTGATTGCTGGAAGGGTTGACATCGAAGAAGAAGCGATCAGGTTAAGGCGAGAGATCTTGCTACGACTCAGGCTCTTGAGGCTGAGGGGATCACCGTGGATTCCACTATGGCACATTCCTGGCCCGCATGGAAGGATGATCAGCCATTGAAGAGGAAGAAGGAGGAAACCACCGCAGCTGGGGACCAGGCTAGGGTTGCGCCTCACGAGGAGAAAGAGGATGTTGCTCCTGGTGATGCCACCGACGGGCAAAACAAACCTAATCCTAGCAACGGACTTGACGGCCTATTCGATTATACTATGAGCATGGTGACCACGAAGGCTACGATGGCAGCGACTTCTTTGATATGGAAGCGCACTAGAATCAGTAAGTTCCAACTATCAGATCCTGATCTCTTGGGTTTTTAAGATGCTACCGTATTTGAAGCTATGGGAATATGTCCTTGATCACATTTGCTGCCTCTCGTTCTTTTAGTTTATGGGTTCATATGTTGTGCTATGATGTTACGATGTTTATGACTCTCTTCTTGTGCCCACCGTTTCTTAATCGCGGCAGCCCTGAGCTTTACCCTGGTGGTCCTCGATTCCTTGTGCAGGCTGTTGTGACGACATGACCTTAGACGCTACAAATTCTATGGCTGTATCACTAACTCTTTCGTCGCTGGCTACCTCGAAGAAGCTGATCCAGCATATAAGCGAGAAAATATGATATTGAACATAGAGGATGAATTCTCCATATTCCAGGACGCTCAGGGTGTTCCGTTGGTAGAGTAGTATCCATCACCTGCGGAGTTTTTGTGCGAGAATTCCGACGAAGGTGTCGTTCCGGATGCATGGCTAGTGTAAAAGAGCCATGTTATGTTCAAACTGCTTGGTATGCATTGTTTGGTCTACGGGGGCGTAGGTTTGACGGAAGATTCACACAGCGTAGCAAGATGATAACAACGAATAGAGTTGCCCGATTCTAACTACATGTTATGCTTTGTTTCAAGTCAAAAGGGCGGGCAAGGCTTTAGTGCCAGATTTTGCGCCCTTCATTCCTCGCTCCGTGCCCTTGACGAGGAAGGCTCCGATGGAGACTAGGGGGTTAGTTGGTTCTGTTGTTTCAACGAATGAGAGGGGCTGGAGAGGGATCGATGTCTGTTTTGGATACAAGTAGAAGGAAAATAAAGGGCACAAAAATAAAGGACCGTAACGAATGCTAGTAAATTCGAAAGCTGGTTTTCACGGACGCTTTCGACAACTTCTGTTCTGGAGACGAATTCAAGACCACCAACCACATCTATTTCATCTATGCTTCACGGACAAAGAACTTCATAGCACACGTGGATACGTATATAAAGTTGCTCGGTATAATTACATTGTTCTTCCTCGATCTTAGTCTCTAGTGATAGTACAAAGCTATCTATTATACCGATAAAGATCTATCTATCAGTTCAGTACATGTCTTTGTACATCTTCCCTACTTGAATGAAGCCTCCCCCCCTCCCCCCTCGATTCCATTACCAGCAAGCTCTTTGTATCATCCATCACCGACCCACAGCGCTCATCCCAAATTTTAAAATTACACATACACCGAGAGAAGAACAGAACACAAAAGAAGAGACAGAAAACCTCCCTGGAACATTATGGAACTGCCAACAAGCTTTGAATATCTCCTCTCCGACTCCTGCCTCACCGATATCATGACCGTGCTGGCGTTCGGGTGCAACTTTGGGTGGGCACAAGATTATTTCTTGATTGAGGCGGGAGTGACAGCGCTGTTTAATATGCTGTGATGGGGTTGGTAGGCTAGACTGGTATTCAGATTGGGATGCCCTGTGTATGTATGTAGAATAGTGCGGCATGAGTTGTGGTGATGGAGATGAGTACTTAAGCTCTCAAAAACACTTTTGGGTTGATGGATCGTGTTCACGTAGTGCTAGTGGTTGCTGAGGATTTCAATCATGCGTCATGGGAAGCGGTGGTCAAAGCCTTCAGTCAATGTGTCCGAATCAGATTAGCCCTGAGTGGTTCTGTCTGCTCACTTCGCGCGCGTTGATGGAATCTATCATTGCTGACCTGGGTTACCCTTGGTTCCCTCTGTTCAGAGTCATGTTAAGTGGGAGGATAATACGCCTGATGTGTTTGGGGGCTGTTATGGCTGTTATGGCTGAAAGGTTCGTCATGAGACGCAGGGATCTGATCAACATGCAGATTGGCACCTTGATCTAATCATCTGGAGAACGATGGAATGTTCTCTAAGTAATGGTAAATGAAAATTCATAACGACATGACAGTGCCCGGTGACATGGCCATGACCGAAGCCCTGCAATATACAGTATCCGTGAAAGCTGACGAAGTCGCCGGTAAGATGTCTCGAAACGAGGGTACGGCCAGCAAGATGGAACCCAATTCTTCATCTGCTCGGTCGATCACTGCGCCGATCCAAGTCTTTCTCAGCTGCTGCTCTTAAAGCGTTATTTGCTCGAGGAGTCATAACATCAGACTAGCTTCCTTCAGTATCCTGTTCTGCAACGATCATAGGATCGTTTTCGCGCTCCTTCTCCTTGAGGATAGCGTCCCAAATTGCTGGTACTATCTTGTCATATCCCCGTCTTATCGTTTCCCTCCGTACTACCTGTATAAACTTGTTATCTGGCAAGCCGACGTCACGATCGCGTTTGAAGAGAGCTATCACTTCGTTGATTTCTGCCTTCCGTTGGGCTTCGTCCACCACGGCTTTGGTGTCGGCTTCTATTCCAGCTTCCGAGTGATTACCGGTCTCATGGTCTCGTAACAGCCGCAAAACTGGCGCATTCCCACTTTCAGTTGCGATAGACATCGCCGTTTGTCCGAACCGGTCCTGAGCCGAAACATCAGCCCCACTTTCAAGCAACCGCTTGACTATCCTCTCGTTCCCGCCTTTACAGGCGGCGCAGAGAGCCGTCATACCATCTTCGTCACTTGAGTAAACGTCTGCTCCTGCCTCAAGGAGCGGTACCACTACTGCCTCCTGCCTCGCCAATGCGGCGTAGATGAGTGCGTCTCTCCCATGCCCATTCTTTTCGTTGACAGCTACACCGTCATTTAGTAGCCGACGAACATCGAAGTCGTCGCCCCCAATGACTGCACATATGAGAGATGTGCAATATTTGAGATCCTGCGGGTCACAATTGGCTCCGAGCTCACGCAGCAAATCAGGCATCGCTCTGCGTTCTTCTGCGCCACTCCTTCTGAGCAAAGCCTATATGAATAGGAAGTCGCCGTTGTCAACGCCTAGGTCCATGGTCATTCCATGTTTGGCTAGTATTCTCACCATATTCTCGTTTCCCTCCAACTTATGGGAGGAACACTCAGCGACTACGAAGTTCTCTGCACTGTCGTGCCAGTATGCGCCACGTTCGACGAAGAGGAATGCTAGAGTATCCTTTCGATACCGTATCGCGCTTATTGGAGCCGACTCTTCGTCGTCAAAACAATCTAGATTGCTAACAAGACGCTTCAAGCCAAAATGGACTAGGATTGTCAAGGCTGGCATCGGTCCGAAGTCCCAGTAGCCGGCAGTGTCGTCGATCAGGTCGCAAGCTAAAAGCCCCCTCAATTCGCGCCCCAGAAAAAGGAAAATGTTTATTTCGAGAACGTGCTCTGGAGGGCCACGTGCATGATGGCCCCAGTATTTCCCAGCGTAATCAAGGAAGGGATAATTTAGACGCATTTCATCGCTGACTTCTATACGCTCTTTTCCGTGTGTGTATCTCTCAGTCTCAAAATCGTCGACCCAAGGTAAGTGATGCAAGCTTTTGCGATCTCGATTTGAATGTCGATGTTCCTGGGGAACGTCTTATTGCGTACGCCTTGGATGTAGTCATGGGTAGTGTAATGGACCAAACGAATGACCTGACTTTCTCGGTCCACGGTCACTAACCCGGCGCAGACAGAGACAAGATCATCCTCAGCATAGAGTCTCACTTCGTCAAAGTTGTTCTGAGCAAATTTCAGAGTCAGCATGGTCTCTTCGGGGCAGGGGTTCGATATGCACATACCTCGCCAGGCTGAACCGCAAGTGCATGTTGAAGCTCTTCCACAGAAAATGGCCTCCGGGCGCTGGAAATCCAGGCTAAAACGCCTTCAGCTACGCGAACAGACTCTGGGTCTTGAGATCGGATTTTTTCATGGCGTCATCGTAAGTCTTGTTTAGTTCCTTGGGTAAAGAGCTTAGAGCCTTGCGCATGTCCTTCTTGGTCTTCTGTTTCGCAAGCGATTCCAAGTGTGACTGGACTAGCAAGAACCTTTCAAAGTCAGCCCGCAAGCTCGAGCGTAAATGAACGACATCATGGGGACTTTGAAGTACCCACATACCTCTGGCGTTACCAACAATTTTCGCCACGACCTCTTCTTGGAAAGGGGGATCCTGCGCCATGTAACGTGCTAAGCAACGGTCTTGCCGGGTCTTGAATCGTGTATAATTCTCGAGATCGGTGTCTGAAGCATAGATCTCGAGACGTATTGCATCATGCAATTCATGTGGTATAGAGCTTGCCGGGCGCAAAGTAACCAGCAAATGTGCAGAAGACCTTAAACAGACCTTCAGTTGCTGATCGAAACGGGCTCCAAACACGTGTTTGCGCACGAATGTCACATCTTCCAGTCGAGTCTTAATCGTGTCCAAAGCTTTTTGCGATGTTTCGAGAGGCTCCCGGAGGCCGAGTAGGGCTTGGAGTCTGCCTTGATCTTCCTCGCTCGTCTTCAGCTCTCGCTCTAAGTTCTTGATTGTTTTATGGAAAAAGATGAGATCTGAGTGGATGTCCCGTAGCTCTTTGGAACTATGCTGGGAGGCTCCCACATATTTTTGGCTGGCCTTGAGGCAGGCCGTTGTCACCTGTGCAACGGCTATGACAAGGCCGGCAACACTTACAGGGTCCATAGCTTTGAGGTACCTTCGTAACAAGAGTGCTTCTGAGGCAGCTCACCGGGCACGTAATTGTGGTCGTGACACAATCCGATGCTTAGTGTTCTCATTCTCACGCATCACACACACACATGGGGCACATATGAGGTATTGAGTGGTTGGGCCGTCCCCGACGCCGGGATAACAGCTGAATAGAGGCCTGAACAGATGTGTTCGTTTTCCAGCGCCGAGAAAACTCCCATGCCTATGGCGTAGACCTGGAGTACAATAGTAGCTAGCTATATATATAGATGTGGGTGGGTGAGATAAAAAGTGTGTAAGGGCTCTGAAAGAGATGAAATCGAACGAAGAGCCATTGAAAGGTGCAAAACAGGTGAATATGTAGCTCGTAGTGAACAGGTGTCTCCTACCCCTGACAGGGTACCTGAAACAGCGGCTCTATCATGAAACCCACTAACCCCCAGTTCCACTGTGGCGAGAGGATGCCTTGTTCTGAGCGATTTGAAACCTCGGCAAGTGTCTCAGCAGTTGATTCTAGGACATGCTTAGCAATATGGGAGACTCTATGGAACAATTTATGTAACGCCCTGAGACCTGGGTCAAAAGTAAGTGGACGGTCGGGATACTAAATGGATGCTGCTGCAGCTAGGTAAGTGCTCGAAAGGACTAGCTCTGTACTCAATTCTCACAAGGAATTGGACGCCTTCCCGAGCGCTAGCAGCCGTATTTCCCGTTCTTTTAAGACACTCAATGACTGACTGTCTGCAGATTTCCATGCAACTATTCCCCGGACCGAGCTTTCAATCTGTCAGCGAGTCCCATCGCTCGCCCCCCATCCAAGCTTTTTGACAAGCGTTCAAGCCTCCTGCCAGTATCGTAACGTGGGCAGATCTCACCTCCACTCCGTATGTTCCTTTCAGTCTGGGCTTCCTTCTCGTAACAAGCGTGCGCATGTTGATTCGGGATTCCGACTCCGTGATAACAAATCGAATGTCCAGGACTGAAAATGCTGTAGCCTCGCAGAAGTGGCATGTTGCAGCCTTGGAAAATGTTCTAGTTTTTCTGTCCGGCCTCGGAGTTCGCTAAGTGACCAATGAAGACAGGCACAAAACGAATAGTCTGACCCTCGAGTAGCCTAGCTGCATGGGTCACACCTCCGCCTAAGTGCAATGCCAGGGAGTATATTGTTCTTGGATATCTTGTGAGGCTAAAAGTGCAGATGGCCAGAGATCATTCAGACTCTTCAGCGTTGGGAAAGAAGAGAGAAAGCTCCCCCGCTATTCTCCCCCAATCGGCCACTAGACCTCCGTTGTCATACTCAAAGATAACTGATTTCCCCACTGCATTGGTGTAAGTAGCCGCGGATCTTAAGACACCTGAAGACTACCCGAGACATCTAGCAGAGTTGTGGCACGTAGCCAGCCAGTCAATGCTCAGCGCTGCAACCCTCGCAATTTAGAGAGGATCTCCGGTGTTTACCGCACCCAGTCAGTAATTTAACCAAAACATGCAGTCTTCTACGTACGCAGTTTGACCTTAATTGCATGTCGTGCTGGGAGCCTGCATCATCCATGGTCAGCCTTGCAGCTAATGGCTGCAAGGTTGGTAGGAACGGAGCCAGCATATGAAATCGATTTATCGAGGTCAAGTCTGATCTTCATGATGACATTGGCTCCTTTGTCCTCGGATTCTCAGTTCAATCAAAGCCTTGCGCGGAAAAGGCGCCCAAAAGTGCGCAATGCAGCGTTGTCAGAAGAGACCCCAGCAAGGCTGCGAGCTTGCCCGGCATGCCGGGAGCGAAGCCGCAGAACTTGGAACAACAGCTCCGAAGAGCTCCTTATTACGGACTTCGGCATGTTGCAGCCATGGCTATGCCTGTGGGTGACTCAGAAGAGTAGCCCCGTCGCTCCGCTTCACGACCAGATCTTCAGGCGCTAGAGCATAGTAATAGAGGTTTCCGCTGCGTTGGAATCGATGAGACAGTCTTCCTCAAGCGAATTTCTCAATGACTGGTGAGCTTCGCGTGGTGAAAGATTTGAAGGAAGGAAGCATCAACGACGTTTTTGGGAAATTGCGATCGAGGCTAACTGCGCTAGTCATTTTCAGGTCTAGCGAATGCTTGGCGTCACGATTAAGGTAGTTCTCACCGAGGGCACCGTCTTCTGAGTAAACATTCAACAAGTCTTTGCAAATCTAACGGCTTTCCAATCAAAGTTTTTATGCCAGTCAGTGAAAGCATTTTCCCGAAACTATCCATTAGATCACTACTCATAATTCTGCAGTCGATGTCCCGAAGACCAAAATCTGGCGCTTCAGCATCTCAAATCGCGTGCCTTACTTGCTACGTCTTTGTATTCAAGGCTGAGGGTCGTAGCTACATGAAGCTCGAGTAAACATGGAACGGTGACTATTTGGGCACTAAGTGGCAAATACTGAGGCAAGCGGCGAATGATGCGGAAATGAACGGACGATGAAGTGTGTAAGTCTTTTTTGTCTTGTTGGCACCGTTGGAGTCAGGTTTAGCGGACTTTTGTTTGATCATGTTTCGGTCGAAAAAAAGGGCAGACTGTATAGGAAAGAGCTTCTTTCAGTAAGAAGTCACAGTGGGTTAGCCATCGTAAAAGCTCATCGGAGCATTGTTTCGATCCTCGCTGTTTGACCAAAGACACCAGCTCTTTCTTGACGTCGATCGCTGCTTTGAACCTCCTTTCAAACAAGGAGACGAACGCGTATTATGCGGTCACGGTTCTTCTCTTCATAGTACAATGGATTCTGACAGCTCCATTGTCGAAGATGGATAGACAATGCCTTTGTCCTCCGGTCAGTCTTGGCTTTCAAAAACATGCCATGCATTTTCTGTCGACATCACAAACAATCGGGACGTCCACCCACTCTCTACTCATCTTCGACACGCTCCATCAACACTGCCCTCAACACGTTAGACACAACATATTTCACGTCTCGTTCCAGCAACACAATGTGCCAAGGTATACAGCAAATATACGCCGAGTGTGGTCACGAGCACAACATCGAAGTCACAGAACCCTGCACCCGCTTCTCGAACCACCCCTCCCTCAAGCTCTGCACTTTCCAAACCATCTACACCAAAGCCATTTCGGAACCGGTGCGCTGCACCCCATGCTCCCGCCGCGTCGAGCGCAACATCATCAAGGAATACGAGATCCAGAACGCGCAGTATGAGACGCAGGTGCAGTTGCTGACGCGGGAGTTGCGGGCAGAGATGGATGCTGATAGGAGGAGAGAGATGAGGGGGAAGATCAGTGACTTGGTGGAAGAGTTGGGGGATTCGAAGGATAGGAGGAATGAGGAGATTGCGGAAGTTCGGTTCCGGCACGGTGGAAGGGCGTCGTGTTGAGACGGTGGAGGATGGTGGATGGTGTGTCGGAAGAGATGCACTTTCATATCAAGTGTGGATAAGTTTGGCGTGAGCCAGTACGAATCAGCGTTTGCAACTTATGCTGAGCCTGAATGTTGACAAAATCAATGTGGTATTCCAAGCCATCACGCGATTCATGCCCAACACATAGCTCTAAATTTTGATCGTTCCGTCTCAATTTGTAATCGTGCTCTAGTTCGCTCGCTCTCGGGCATAGTTCCAACGTCAGATAAAGAGCGCTTTGTTAACGTGCTACCTGAGATCTCTTCTCCTCTCATGGTCGGTCTGTATCACTTTCATCCTCAAGTGGCTCCAATTCTCGGGTCGGATACCCCATCAGAACTTCTGCTGAGGCATCTCGCCACTTCACGTTCATCGTAGTCATAGCTTCTCGACTGCTCGTCTGCTTTAGCAAATTATTCCACGGGGCCACATCGAAGCCATATTGTGGTGACGTAGTCCTGAGCCCTTTGGGAACTCCGCAGAACGACGATTCTGAGCAAACTCATAGAGATGGCTTGCCGCGCGTCAAAATCGGGGTTTTCAGGAACCTGCTTCAATCTCTTTCTTGACCCATTTCTCAAGTCCACCTCGAGCGATGATCTCCTGCACATTCGGACTTGTAGAGGTCAGCATAATTCGTTATATTGAAACACTAAGTCGTGGGACAGGTTGCGAAGTTACTTCGCTCGAGTAACGTATAGAGGAACCCTGACACAATATGGACCAGGGAATGAAGAGCTAGGGATTATCGTACGGTAGTGCCCCAACGCTTTGAGTCCAGGTCTTCCCATCTTCTTCCCGAATTGTCACTGTCGATCGAGCGACATCCCACGCGAAATACCAACCGCTAATGAAGATGCCAGGGTCAGCATTACTTCAATAAGCATGAGGTTGGAGATTGGAGAGAAGTCTGCGGAGTTAATAGAAGCCCCGAAGCTCTCCTAAAATGTCTTGCGATTCAATATGCGGCACGGAATAAGAAATGTTTTCTTTGAAAATACGTACGTCCTTCTTGTCAACTGTTCCTGCTTTTCTGGCTTGACTTGCGGTGCCGGCGGTGGACTGTCCAAGGACTCGCGATTTTGACTAGGCTCATGAACGTTTTGCTGCGATGCTTGTGGTGAGGTGTTCGAAAACGCCTCCCTTAGCCTCTGAACCAATCTTGGCATTTCTATACCCATAAGAGCGTTGTTTATACTGTTGCGTGAAAATATGTTCCCGAAGCTGCCTGAAACCACCAGGGGTATCTTCTTCGCTAGGATCGCTGTGGCAGCCTGTTCTCTCGAGCTTCCACATCCGAAATTGAATCCGGAAACAAGTATATCTCCTGGACGTGCGATAGCGCCGAAAGCCTGTCGCAATTTCCGAGTTAGCATCGCTTCTTCGGGACATATACTCGAGTAGTGAGTGAGACAGCTTTAGGGGAGTCACAGGACCCTTCTAATCCCGAAACATGTCTGGTAATCGAACTACGGTACGGAATGGGAAGATTCAGCTCCGAACATACCGGATCGTAGTTCTCCATGCAGACATGCGCCATTTTTTCAACCGTGACGTCGTCTTGGTATGTGTACTTCCCCGGATCTATCCAGATCAGCCTTCTCTTTTGACTATCAGGAAGGCTGAGATGTTTCACAATCCCAAAGGTGGTGACATAGAGAAATGGTGAGAAGGAACTTACAGATTCCATCCGTATTGATATTGTCTATAAACTTCGGGGTCAGCACTACTTTTCAAGTAGAGAAAGGTCTGGAGTGTAATGATGCTTTTAGATTCCGAAACATGTCTTGTAGTCAAACCTCGGTACTGAATCAGAAAGAATAACTTCGAAAACACTTACCGGCATCACAGAAAACGATCTCGCCCTCCACCCTGCTAGGAAAGCCTGGAAGAATGGTTACCTGAGCCCCCTTTGTTGATGGTACATCTTTTGGGGATATCTGCTTTTCTGCCTTCTCAATCGTTTCTTCCAGTTGGCCAATCACCCTTTCTAAGGCTTCTTCGGCAGTCATCAACCGATTTCCCTCTCCAATCGACCCATTCCCCTCTCCGATAGCCACGTCAGTTAATCCCGCGGGTCTTTGATACCATCCTGGACCAGATATCATCCCAGAGAGAGCGGACGCTGCCACAACTTCCGGCGATGCTAGATATGCCTTCGCTTCGGCGCTTCCCATTCTGCCTTTGAAGTTCCCTTTGTGCATGTTAGCAACTGCTGATGGCTAGATGTATGCAAAGTGACTGAAAAGGACGACTCACGATTACTCGCACTTATCCCAACCTCACCAGGCTCAAGTAAGCCCGTGCCCAAGCCTATACACTAGCATGTCTCGAAGTCAGCATTCCAATCTATAGATAAGGATTTCAGTGACAAGACAAATCTGGGGAGTCAAAGGGTGGTAAAAGGGGTGACTTGCAGGTCCACAGCCTGAAGGCAACGCCAATGCTCCAGCATCGAGCATAGCTTGCCAGTCTCCAGCCTCTTCGGCGGCCAGCTGTTCAGGCATTGACGCAGCAGCGATATAGAATGACACCCCGTCCGCAACACGCACGGGTCTCCCAGTCTCCCTGGATGCGTCCGTGAAAACCTTTGCTGCGGCTGCAAGATCACTAGCTCTTGAGTTCGTGCATGAGACCAAGTACGCTTTATCGATCTTGATGTTCTGCGATGCCAACTTTTCTACGGGCGTCGAGATCTTGACGGAGTTCGGTCCGGACACGTGAGGAGACAGAGTTGACAGATTCATGTGGAGGTACTTGGCGTACTTGGCACCTTTATCCGCAGATATTGGATGGGCGAAGAGTTCATTTACGCGTTCATGGGAGAACCGCTTGAAGGTCAGTGCATCAGTGTTGTAGAGCGTTGCTTCGGTAGCCTTGTATCTTAGCCATTTCTCAAGAACACCATCGATGGGGAAGAGACCTGACAAGGCCCCTGTAATTTCTTGAGTCAGCAAAATTCTTTTTTACTACCGCAAAGGGTCTCATGACTCAAGACATAGTACAAAATCGAGAATCAAGAGCTGCGGGACTTGCTTACCCCACTCTGTCGTCATGTTTGAGATTGTCAATCGAGCATCCACTGGCAGACTTCTCATAGTTTCTTCTGATCCCGCGAATTCAATGGCATGGTTTAATACTTCGTCGTTGCTAAAAAGCCCACAAAGTGCCACAATGACGCTGGATACCAATCACGCCGTCAGTATTGCCTACTTAAAGGTGGATAGTGAGCCTTGAAAACATGTTTCTGGAGTTACGACTCCTGGTACATGTCTCAGAGCTCAAGATTTGATCTTGAAGAGGGAATATTGACTCGAGAGATACTTACTCTTTGCCAGTAACGCCTTGTGGCAGGGCTCCTGTGAAAGTTACTTTGGCGATAGGCGGTATTTGCCACCAGGTTCGCCCAGTTGCCCATATAGAAGCGGCATCAGTTCTTACGACAGGTGTCCCCAGGCAGCCTACTCCGCCATACATATTACTATGGCTATCGGAAGCGACAGCTAATGTGGCGGGAAACGCGTAGCCTTCCTCAATCATTATCTGATGCCCAATCCCGCGTCCAGCAGGAAAGAAATCTACTGCCTGCTTCTTTGCAAAGTCTTCTATCTGCCTATATTTCTTGAGATTCGATTCCGACTTATTTTGCACGTCATGATCAAGGGTCATGACTACTTGTTTCGAATCATGGATCTTAGAGGCACCAATTGACATGAACTTCAACGCAGTGGGCCAAGAATTGTCTACACCCGTCAGCTTTGCAGTCCTTGCCCATGATTGGCTGCGATTTCTCTTACCATGTGTCATACAGATGTGGGGGCTTAAAGTGACATAGTCCCCAGCCTTCACGTACTGGTTGCCCAAGCCGAGACTATACCGCTGAACAATCTTCTCCGTAAGGGTTTGTGGAGCGTGGGGTGATTCGAGGGAGGAGAGGACGGCAGCGGCAGCGGGATCGTGGAGTTGAGAAGGAAACGCATCTGCACTTTGATGCTGTGTAGCATATCGAGATTGTAGGGACACGCTCCGTCGTGTAAATATTCCTGACGCGCACCGAAGCGCCAGAAGCCCCGAGCGTCTCTGGAGGACTGTCAGCTGGATCTCCAGGCCATGAGGGGAACCACTCACTATCATTCTGTCGGCTCCGACCGCGAGCAGCGAGTAATAGTGCAGAGCAAGCTTTCACCATCAAGCTTTCAAGTTCGTGCAGAAGAAAAAATCGCGGCATAAATGACGGGCCGAAATCAAAAATAAGATAAAAAATACTTCCACTCTTAAAATATTTTTTATATTGTAGTATTTCAACTATTCAAGTAATCCAAATTGTAATATCATTCCCTAATACCGCAAATCTTTCACAACCACTAACATCAATTTTATTCTTCAAAAATCCTTCAAAATCTAAAACAACTACGCGGTTAAAAGTCTAAACAGCAGGTGGAGGCTGCGGCACCCTTTAAGCATCTGTACGAGGGAACGGTGTCACCAAGATAGCAAGGTTCCGCCCATCGATACGCCGGATACACAAACAGGTACCGCAGCTACGGCTTAGGTCAAAAATGAAAGAGTGGCCGCTGGCCAGAGGATCCTTCAAAAACATCGCGGAAGGGCTATTATTAACGCCAAGTCAGACAAAAACCAGGAAAAACTTATACCCACTAGCTCATATTCAAATCCAATAAGTTAGTAGACGACAGTTATTACAAAATCGCGGCATAAATGACGGGCCGAAATCGGAACTTTTCCGCCTTTGCCTCCAACATCCGATCCTCGGCCATGACTCTTGCGAAACGTTTCAATCTTAAGGTGCGAAAGATCACAAATCTCAGCTAGGTATAAAGCAAAGCTGTCCCTCGCATACTGAAGATCCGCCAATGTAATGTTTTGGTAATATCGTTGAATTGGGTTGAGCGATCAGATCACGTCGAAGATCTTTTCTCCATTGGATTACAGCAAAATGCCCGCAAGAACAGACGTTGCTTATGTATGAGGACTCCTTGAAGACGAACAAGAATGCTATCCTGACTGAAAACCTGAAGTTTGGAGCCGGACCGGCCCCGCTTCCCACTCCTGTCCTTGAGAAAGGCGCCGCAGTAAGTATCTTCGGAGTCCATGTTTCTCTAGATCAAATTTTCAGTCCTGAGATATGTAATGGGAATCTTTATTTTGTAGAAATGTCTAAGGCTTGGTGGACCTCTTTATATGAATAATCGTGACACCAATTTCCAGGCATTCGTTAACTACGAGAACTCGGGACTTGGACTTGCTGAGATTTCTCATCGGTATGCCAAAAACTACCTTATGCCTAATCGGACTGTCTCATCAGTCGGGTTATTTTCTCGGAGAGAAGTACTGACTTCATAAATTGCATAGTTCATCTACCGCAACGAGGATTCTGGACGAGACCAAAAAGGCATTGATATCGTTGCTAAATATTCCAGACAATTATGAGATCCTATTCCTCCATGGAGGAGGGTCTGGTGAATTCAGCGCTGTGGTATTCAACATGGTAGCCGTGTGGGTTGAGAAGAGGAGAAGGCGAGCCCAGGTAGACTTCTCCAGCCCCAAACCCCTTCTCTGGTCGTCCTTGGGAGCCCCAAGACATGCTTCTGGACTCCCTTTCCAGATAGACTCCAAATGCCTCCCAAAAAGAGTAATTGCTGATGGGATGATTTTAGAAAGAATTTGGAGACAACGACGAAGCCATTCTGCTCAGAGTCAAGGAAGAATTGAATTACTCACTGCGCTTGGACTACTTAGTGACTGGATCATGGTCGTTAAAAGCGTCCCAAGAGGCTGCTCAGCTCCTGGAACCACTGGGCCGAAATTTCGTGAATGTCGCCCTCGATGCACGCGAGGCGAATGGGGGCAAATTTGGGACCATACCGCCTGAAGACACCTGGAGTTTAACACCAGCCGATGCCAATGCAGGGTGCGGTAGTGCCTTCGTGTAGTAAGCACTTTCTGGGTTGCCTTCTCCCTTTTCCTACCTTTCATCGAGTCTGAAAACAATTCTTGAGGAGTTGTGAAACATGTTTTGCTCCTCGAACATGTCTTCAGACTCCTGAATCCTATTAAGAAAAGGAAATGCTGAATCAGAACTGCTGTAGTTACTGCGACAACGAGACCGTTGACGGAGTCGAATTTCCTAGCTTTCCCAAGTCATTGCAGCCGCAGGCAGGAGAAGACGAGAGACTCGTGGTCGCTGACATGAGCTCTAACTTTCTCAGCCGTCAAGTCGACATAAGTAGATTTGCACTCGTATTTTGCGGTGCGCAGAAGAACATAGGTATGTACTTTGGAGAATTGTACTTCCTTTTTGGATTCATCCTGAGTCCTAAGACAGACATTGGGTTTTCCAAGTCTCAAGTAATCTGTCAAATCTCAATATGCGCCCTTAGATAGGTGATACTGACAATGAAGTCTTGCTCTAGGCATAACGGATTTGACCCTGGCAATTGTCCGGAAAGACTTGTTAACCACAATGCCCTCGCCTTCATTCTTGCACAAGGTCGGAGTATGGTCCCCACCCACAATCCTGAACTGGTCTGTTATCAGTAAGAACAGTACGTGAATTTCGGACTCAATCTATCCAATCGATACAGCGCCTTGAGTCGTAAAAGATGTTTGGGGACAAAGACTCTTCTCATTCTCTTACGATTCCGATGCCTACCCAGAAGTAGAAATGCTGACTCCAAATGTGCATACAGATTCTTTATACAACACGATGCCCATCTTCTCCATATGGATCGCTGGTGAGGTAATGCGTAGGCTACTCGCCTCATACGGGGACTCGAAAGTTGCCGGCCAAGAAGCTGTATCAAACGCGAAAGCAGAGACCATCTACCGTGTTCTAGATGCGAACCCGGAAGTCTACCAGCCTGTAAATCACAAGAGTGTAAGGAGCAGAATGAACATCTGCTTCCGGGTCAAAGATGCCGCCACCGAGGAGGAGTTCCTGGAAGGGGCGGAAACTCGTATGCTGCAGGGGTTGAAAGGCCATCGAAGCGTTGGCGGGATTAGGTACGTCGCTAACGTTTGACTTTGCACTGGTGGCGATGAAGCTGATTTATGGCCCAGGGCGAGCAATTACAACGCGGTACCAATGGCCAACGTGCAGAAGCTGGCCGAATATCTGTCGGACTTTGCCCGGGCGAACAGTAGCTGAACAAGTTGTTCTTGAATCAATAGATACCACAGATCGGCTTTCAACACCGACAAGTAAGTAGCTCAATCCAATCGTTTGAACGGATTGGCCAATTGGCTACCACTCGATGGTAGTAGCGTTGTGTAACTCTGCCCTGTCAGCGTTCTCCCCTCCATCAGTCTTGACAAGTTGCGAGCGACACTTGGTTCCATCTGCGTCACAAGAACCACGTGCCATCAATCTGACTTGGCCTTTGGAGATACATGGAAGTGCGTGGAATATTCAGGCTTGATTATTTACCGATATTTCACTCCTGAACAATTTGCAGCCGCTCTTGAAACGCAACCGCTGCCGGAACAAGCTAGCTTCTCCACAGCCTCAACACGACTACCACCATCTCTAGTAATCTTTTACATTCTCGTACATCCTCTTTCTCTACAGACTACATCATTCCCACCTCACCTCCATTCCACACCCAAAGTCTCCACCCACCAGATACAAAATGCCCGTCATCAACGCCACCTTCCTCGCCGTCAGTAGTACCCTAAACCCCGCCATCACTCGGCCTCACTGCCCCTCCCAGCACGGTCTTGGCCCCGGGGACATCGCGGCTGTTATCCTTGGAAGCTTTCTCGCATTGACCTTGCTCTTGCTGGCCTTTATTTGCGGTGTGGGGAGTTCCATCTACAGGGGATGGAATAGATGATCATGTGAGATGGGTTAAGCTATCGCGGACTCATGAGGGTATTGTGCTGATGGAAGCTAGCAAATCCTCCAGACTAGCGCTACTATGGTAGTTTCGGGGAAGATGGCTAGGGGTTTCTGGCATTTGGTTGGGATTGGATTTAAATCACCGAAATCTAAAGCCATAGAGGGGAGAAGTGGAGAAACCGTAGCATCTACACAGAGAAGAAGACCTATTTTAACACACCATTAGGATGTCCCTAGCGAAGCCAAAATCGATATTCTCTGGAGACTTCAATTTGGCGTTTCACAGTGTCTACATTCGCCCAAGCCAACCCTGCGCCACCGAACCGTACTCGGAAGCCACAGTAAATTCGGTCACCTATCCTTGCGTATACCAATTTCAGTAGGACTGGACTAATTCTTTCCAGCACATCTGATCGGACTGGCAGGACAGCTTTGCTCATGCAGCTTTATATATAAAAGAAAGCGAGCTATATCTACTAGTAATAAGAAAAGCTTATCTTTCTTTAATATTAATCGCGCGAAATCCGCCGATACTTCGTAATTAAAGCCGTCGATAATAATTTTATATATCTATTATATATTTTCGATATCGCTATCTAATATAAAATTATACGTATTATAATTATAGTCTTTCTACTAAATTGTTAACCTAGGAAAATTAATATATTTCTTAGTATTCTCTTAAAAGTATCGCAGCTTAATATGATAAGTTATATTCCTTTAAGCTATCTTCTCGCGATATATAAAAAAAAAGATTAAATATAGAAAGTATATAAAAGTATATTTAATAATTCTAGAATAGATTAGTAATATCTATAATAATAATTAGAATTAAGAATTAAATATACTTAAATAAGAGATAGCTTTATACTACTTATATAATAGCGATAATAATAATTAAGATTAAAATATTAACTTAAATAGCGTAGCTTTTATAGTAGACTTTTTATTATTATATATTAGATTAATTATATATAAATAAAAATCTATAATTTTATCTTTTAAACGTAATTATATTTAATATTTTAAAATTTTTATAATAGCTCAATATTTATTAGCTAGCGCGTTAATATTATTATATTTAAACTATAATAGCACTTATTATTAAATTCTATATTATACTCTTAAATAGTTTAAAAGATAAAATCTATTTAATTATTAGCGCGTATAGTAAGATTATTCTTAATATTTATATCTTATTTAGCTTTAATATTATTTATTTTCTTTTAATTTAAGCTTTTATCTTTATTTATATATATAATAATTTATATAATAAATGAAACTCTAGACTTCTTTATAATTACGCTCGCGTGCTTTTTTTTATATAATATTATTAAAATATAAATTTATTAGAACGATAACTAGAACTAGAAATTACTTATTACTTATCTATTATATCTTATCTAATCTATTTAAAAGCTTACTTCTATTATAATAACGATATATCGATATATTTAACTTTATACTTTTTAATAATTATAGTATAATTAATAACTAAGATATCGGCTTTCTTTACTTTTTTAATTAATTTCTTCTTAAATATAAACGTATTTATTCGCTATCGCGATCTTTTAATATTTTTATTTTAACTAAGCTTATTCTTCGCTTTTTATTTTAGCTAAGAGTCTAATTATTATTTAATTAATCTATATTAAAACTCTTTAATATTATTATCGTTATTAATATTTAATACTCGTTATAATAAATTATTAGACTTAATCTCTTTTACTTTAATTATTATAAAAAAATAAATTAATAGATATATATAAAAGAATTAAAGGGCTTATACGAATATTTATAAATATTAAATTATTCTTAACTTTAATCGAAGCTCGTTTTATTAAAAAGTACGTTAATTCTAGTAAATATCGATATTAGAAATAAAGAGAATACATATCGCGCGCTATTATAGATATATTATTATAGAGTTTAACTTAAAGAATAATTATTTCTATAAAAATAGTAAGACTTAAAAATAAGAAAATAAGAATAAAATATATGAAAATTTTAATAAGTTATAGTAATTTAACGTTAGTTAAATTAAATAAAGATAATCGCTTATTAACTCGCTCTCTTAGATCTTTTATCTTTTAATCTATATAAATTATAATAATAATTATAATTATTATAAAAGTAGCTAAGATTATATTAGATAATAATACTTAATAAATATAATTCGCTTAAGTTTAAATCTTTAAAATTAAAGAGAAAGCGCTTTATTAATATTTAATTTAAGCTAGATAATATAAAGTAATCTAAAAATTTAGTATACGCGATAGATATCTAAGCTTTTCTTCCCCTCTTCTTTCTCTCTAAGACTTTCTTTTTATATTAATCCTTCTTATTATTAGACTATCTTCTTTATATATTAAACTTCTATTTAAATAATCTAATATTATTATAATTATATTAAAAGTATAACGTAGTTATTAAATTATATATTTATTCTTTATCTTTTAATAACTTTAAGCTAATATATAGATAAATCGCGCGAAGAGCTTAACTTATATATACTTAATCTATTATTAATAGCTCTTTAAAAAAAGTTAATACTATTCTAGAGTACTAGATGTAGCGTTAGAGTAAAGTCTTTATTAGATATTATTATCGCTTTAATCGCTATTACCGCCACTTTAATAGATATTATTCTTACTTTAATAAATATTATCTCTATTTTAATAATATTAAAACGTTAATAGAAATTAGATAGTATATTTTTCTAATTATCGTTATACTTATTATATATAATTAACGTAAACTATAACTTAAGCTTTACGCGAGATTTATCGTTATTAAAAATCGATTAATTTTATAATTTCGAAGCTCTTCTTTTAGCGTTTAATTCGTTAAATTATACTTAATTAAGATCTATTAAAGCGCTATCGTATTTAAAGATTCGCTTTTAAAATATTATATAAGATAATAAAAATCTTTCTAATTCGTTAGTTTAAGAGTAAATCTTTTATTACTATACTTTATAATTAACTCTAATAATCTCTATTTAAATAGATATTTATCTTTATACGATATATAAAAAGCGAGTTATATTATAAAAAAAGAATTTAAATCTTATAATTATCTTAGCTAAATCGTTTAGATTAAAAATAAAAGTAAACTTACCTTTATATAATTTAGCTAACTTATTAATTAATTATTATATATATAACTATAAGATATAATTATATATTATCGATTATTTAAGTAATTATAAAAAGTATAAAAGAAATAAAATTATATAATTAAGCACTTACAAACTTTTCTCTTCTAAATATTTATTTTAATTTAGAGTTTAATCGCTATCTAATTAAAAAAAGGTGAGATATAGAAAGTATATAAAAGTATATTTAATGATTCTAGAATGGATTAACGATATCTATAATAATAATTAGAATTAAGAATTAGATATACTCGAATAAAAGATAGCTTTATATTACTTATATAATAATAAGAATAATAATTAAGATTAAAGTATTAACTTAAATAGCGTAGCTTTCGTAGTAAACTTTTTATTACTATATATTAAATTAATTACGTACTAATAAAGATTTATAATTTTATCTTCTAGATATAATTATATTTAATATTTTAAGATTTCTATAATAGCTTAATACTTATTAATTAACGCGTTAATACTATTATATTTAAGCTATAATAGAGCTTATCGTTAAATTCTATATCGCGCTTTCGAGTAGCTTAAAAGATAAAATCTATTTAATTATTAACGCGTATAATAGAATTATTCTTAATACTTATATTCTATTCAGCTTCGATATTATTTATTTTCTTTTAATTCGAGCTTTTATCTTTATTTATATATATGATAATTCGCGTAATAAGCGAAACTCTAGACTTCCTCTAAATTATACTCGCGTATTTTTCTTATATAATATTATTAAAACGTAAGTCTACTAGAATAATAACTAGAATTAGAAACTACTTATCGCTTATCTATTATATTTTATCTAATCTCCTTAAAAGCTTACTTCTATTTTAATTACGATATATTAATATATCTAGCTTTATACTTATTATAGACTATAGCGTAGTTAATAGCTAATATATTAACTTTCTTTATTTTCTTAATTAGTTTCTTCTTAAACGTAAATATATTTATTCGCTATCGCGATTTCTTAATATTTTTATTTTTATTAAGCTTATTCTTTATTTTTTATTTTAATTAAAGATCTAATCGTCGTCTAATTAATTTATATTAAGACTTTTTAATATTATTATTATTATTAATATTTAATATCTATTATAATAAATTATTAAACTTAATATCTTCTACTTTAATCGCTATAAAAAGATAA